CGATTCGAGTGCGCAGTGGGTGTTTTTGCAAAGGAACCTAGGCGAGATACTATACACACTTGTCATATTGGAATCTCATTTGAGTCGAACCTGGCTTAACCTGGCTTAGGCAGCGACAGAAGGTGCCTGCACACTACGTGAGTGTCTTAAGTTTTTGCATATCTGTTGCAGCAAGGGAGCTGTTTCCCGTGAGACAGACTCTCATACAGTCAGACACAAAGAAAGACATAAACAAAAACATACAACAGAAGGGATTCGCTGGTGGTCACCCACCCAACTACTAACCTCCCGGCGTGTGGCTTAAGTACGGCTGAGCGGACGGGAAGCCCTGTTTTCCACACCCTGTGGTCGTATGTGGTAGATCTTTAATCTATTTATTATATATCCATAATGAAAATCCATCGTCCAAACTACTATTTGCCTGTGATTGCTAAAAGATATCAGTCGTGAATCTCTGTCGCGACTGTAGCACAATTCAACATCCCATGCAAGCATGACCAGGATGAGGACCTGGGGGCACTATCGTAGACAGAGGGACTCAGTACATAGATTTTACTGGGGTGCGGCAGTCCGTGCCAGTTGCCGACCGGGGAATCAGGATGGCAGAATCGCCTATCGAAAACAGCGGCAAAGCCGGTATTGTATATTGAAACCCCCACCCCAGACAACCCACAGAGGAACCAACTAAATCAGTCTTACTTACTCTGTGCTAACTAAAAGGTTTACCGTCTCTTCCTGCGGGCCACTAGAGACCTCCTGTATCAGAATTTCCCTACCTCCGACATAATATTCATGTATTATTAGTATTAGAAGATTTGTGGATGAACCACACTGGTCAGTTCCGGAACTGGTAGACAACTCGTGCCAAACCACGCCATGGAGACTTTTTTGAATGAGACGCAATCTGTGCTGATTCCGGACAAGAAGTTCCGAAGCGCACAGGAGCTCCACGGCCTGAAGCGAAAATGGCGTAAACAGTACCTGTCAAGTCATCGCCAGTTGACTGGCACAAGATACCTGTCCAAATCAAGGCTCTTGGCATTGCCATCTTCGTGCGTCTGATGGCAATGCTGTAACGCCTTCGCACTCTCAACGCAGACGCGCGATACTGTTAACACCGGCTTGCCGACCTGCTGGACTTTGAGATGCACAGATCGGTCCTGGCCGCAGTACTCTATCGCCGCATATCGGAAAGGGTCTTTATACACGGTCAGACCAACGACCGTCTCCTCCGCTGGAGGTGGCTTCATCAACAAAAGGGTTTGGGCCGAAGAGAGCAAAGAAGTCTGGCGGTGCCCTACAAAAGTCACAGACCCCGAGCATGCACCCAGCGTGGCCCTGGTCGGAATCATAACAATCGTGTTCTCGATCTGGGCATATCTCGCCGGATTTTTCGATCTCAAGTACAGGGTTGACGACGAATGGAGCGAGACAAGCGCGGTCAAATCCCGCACCGCTTTTTCAGCCATGGACCGGTTCATCCCTTGGACCAGTCGGACCGGCGCAAAGGACGGGAACTGGTTCTCTGGCCACTCCACTGAGGTCAGATACGTCTCTCTCCCGAGGAGGTAACTTGCGCCATGCTCGCGCCGGGCCAGTAACACCGCCCACCAGCCGCCAAGAGCGTCCTCGAAAAGCTCACCATGTCCCAGGCATTGCACACATGCCGAGGGACCCTCCGCTGTGAGAACTGCATTGCCTTTGAAGGTTTCAAAGGGGCCCCGGATGCACTTGGAACGGCTCATGGTGATCTTGTGGTTGCGATGGGTACCCCCCTTCGGCAAGCAAGAGATAATGATATCCATCTTTCTTGTAGATGTGCGGTCCTTCAGGAACTTTTCCGTTGTGGCCGCTGGAGATGTCGACTACGGGCGAGAGCAGTTGGCCGGTCGTAAGGTCAATCTCAGCTTGTCGAATGACCGTCGCTGGCGCTCTGCAGTACCCATGGATCCAGCTACCTTGCACAGACACGCGGCCATTGTCGTCAAAAAGCAAACTGGGGTCGATCCCGTGGAAGTCGTAAAACACCGGATCGCTGAAGGAAGAAGGATCTTCGAGGTCGGTTGCCGTGATGATGAGGTTCTGGGGATTAAAGTCCACGTCGCTCGGCATATCAACCGTACCCTCCAGTAACGTGCACGCAATGTGAAATCGGCTGCCGTCATATCATATGGTTGGTGCATATAGCCCCCCCCCCAACTCCTAGTGAAGACCTCGTTCTTGGCTGCGTTATTGATTTTGGTTGTCGCCCAGCCGAGGTCGATCTGCTCCGGTCTGCAGATCGCGTTGCCTAACATGATGATCAGCGCATTTGTCTCATCTCATTTTGAAGGATTTCTTTGGTCCTTACCCACATGTTCCCATTTTATCAAGTCTTTCGACTTGTGGATTGGAATCCCGGGAAAGAACTGAAAGCTGGAGGTAACCATGTGTAGAAGACATTTTCCACCCAGACCAGGATGGGTCGGGGTAGAAACCCAGGAGGGCTGGGTTGTGGTATCGAGACGCCATCATTGTCTGGCTCGTGCCGGCGATGTCTCTTCGTTTGGCGGTTCGCCTCGCTGTGTAAATAGAGAGAGCCAGCAGAAAATCGACTAGGGACTCAAAGCAGGGTTCAATTATGACTGTCGATTAAGCCTAAATACGATGGTTAACCCGAGCGTGTAAAAGCAAAGTACATACGGTACGGCGGCCGGTATAGAGGGTGCTTTGATGCATGAACTGAATGAATTTGAATAATCACCCCTTCCATGGCACTCAAACCTCATAAGTCCCACAAACCAACCACTTGTGAAGCGCCCATTGTTTTTTTGCCGAGACAATCATTTGGCTATCCCTTGCGACACACCGTTATTACCAGCGTAGACTGGGGGCATCCGAAGCCTTAAGTAGGCCTAGTTTAGAGTACTAATAAGTGAGAAGACAACTCTGATCAACCCATACCAGTACATTTGAGATCTTTGGATAAATGTTGTCTTGCCAACCTTCATCGCAAAGCAGAGGCAAGAAGTAAACTTCCTCAGTTCATTTCAGAGCCGATTGTTACATGCCAGACCTGCTATGCTGACCTATTTGGCTACATGCACAATACCTATAGCTTTGCTGATTATAATGACAACATCTACAAGACAGCTCCCAGATTATAGATTGAGAATTGGAGTCTGTTCATGTACATACCTGGTTGTTTTTTTTTTCTCTTCCTTTTTTTTTCTTTTTCTTTTTACCCTTTGTGGCTCCATGGCAACTTTACATTCCAAGAAGGTAATAAGGTCGAGTGTATGGACGTAGGAATCCAGGCGGGTGAATGGCCCACACTGACAGTACACCCGACCTGGTGACTAGTGGCATGGTTATGCTGCTGTATCTTGTTGCCCCTTCCTCTTTCTTGTTTTCATAGTCATGGCTCAAGAGCGAGCACACTTATTCAGATTTCAAGAGCAATCATCGCCGCCATCTCCATGTCGTGCGAAGTTCCGACACGGTTCGTTCAGATGCCTAGCACTACCGAACACCCCAGCGGCGGGACACCGCAGAACACGAAGAGAAATGGCTGAGTAGACAAGAAGCCCTATTTCATATACCCTGTGGTTGTGTGTGCTAGACACAGCTATTGACTAATCTACCGACTAGTCCTTTAGGAGCCGAGATCTTCCTTATGTCTTCGAACTCTGAATCTACCACATTGAAGCTTCTATCAAATAAGTCGAGCCTTCCTCCGTCAACGCGGTTTCTTTCTAAGTCAAAGGACGGGATAGGAGCATATAACAAGAAATGGAAGCTAGACATGTTAATAGAAAGGCGACCGAGGTCAACCGACTACTTTGAATGAAATTGCAGCCTACCTTGAAGCAGAAATAATGTATATTAGGTTCAATGTTTCAACGCTTAACCCAATACGTATTTGCCAGGCAACCAGAGTTGGTCAACAAACCTGAAACCATTTCCCGGCACCCCAGGTATGAGAAGCTCAAAGCTGAAACAACAGCGCGTATCGTGGAGTCATGACGGATACAAAGAAGCAATGTGGTTTTAGTCCTGCTACACGATCGCTAAGTAGCAGCAATTTATAGTTGTTTGATGAAGTGTGTATTAAAAATGATCATTATCGACAGATTAAGAAACATAGGACGAAATAAAAAGGCATCACAATGCTATGGTCTCGAATGTTGTACACCACTGCTGAGAACGGCAGAAAATCGCCGCGAGCGTAAGGTGTCTAGACATCGGCTGTAGAAATAAAAAGAAAATTAGGTGTCGGTCAAACATGTCGGCGTTGTCAATACATGAAACAACTGATATAGTTCAAAGAGAGTGTGTGAATGTAAGATCATGGACGCGCGTTATCGAGGAGAAACTGCGTAGCCTCGGACCAGCCGGAAGCATCTGCCATCTCCAACACCGTCTGCCCGGCCTCATCCTGCTGCGTGAGATCAGCTCCACCCCCTTTCTCGACCAAAAGGTGTAGCAGCGGCAGATCGCGGTACTCAATCGCCTGCATGATCGCACTCCAGTCCCGGTAGGTCTTGTTGGGATCAGCACCCTTCTCGAGCAGAAGCTCAACCATAGATAAATCCCCGTTGATGACACGACGGATGGCCTTGACAAGAGGAAGGTGCTCGCCGGGGGCATTGGGGTCAGCACCACCTTCTTCCAGAAGGAAACGCACAATATCGACGTGCCGCTCCCGCAATGCGGTCGTCAGCGGCGAAAAGACGCCTCCGTTCTTATACTCGACACTGGCTCCTGCCGCCAGCAGCAACTTGATGCTCTCCAGCTGATTGGCAAGCACCGCCATCTCCATGACACCCTTGTGGGCAGATAGATCAGGGACCAACGGGAGCAGTCGCTGTAGCAGAGCAGGTGACCGTACGGCCATGCACACAGGCCAATCCTGCCCTCGCTGATTGGGATCAGCGCCGTGTGCTAGAAGATAACTCAGCATTTCAGGACGGTTCTCGCGGATGGCCGTTGTCAACGCCGTATGACCTTGAGCGTTGCGGTCGTCCACGTTTGCTCCTCCCTGTTCAACCAGCCACCGCAGCGCCTCGGCGTTATTGACTTGGACAGCCATCTCAACGATCCCCGGCGGTTGATGGAGATCGGTACCGGCAGCCAGCAAGGCTGGAAGAAAATGGGGACGGTTGTGCGTGACACACTTCCAAGCTGGATACTCGGACGCCATAACGTTGGCGTTGGCGCCGTGGTCCAGCAACAGAGTGACGATGTCAGCCCGATCGTCGCGAATAGCCGAGCACAGGGGCGTGTAAATACCGTCCTTCTTCGCATTGGGGTCGACCCCAACTTGTAGCAGAATACGTACCGCCTCAATGTTATTAATGCTCGTCGCCTGTTCCATGAGGCCTGGAGCCTTATTGATGTCAGCCCCGCCCGTGAGCAAGACGCGCAAGCATGAAGGACGATAGATGGCCAACCAAAGAACATGCTCAGGTCCCGGCAGATTCGGGTTCGCACCGTGTTCCAGCAACGCAATTACGATTTTGACCTGATCACTCTGAACCGCTTCATTAAGCGCCGTCTTTCCCTGGCGGCCCTTGCGGTTGGGGTCGCTGCCCGCCCCTAACAAGAGTGTCACAAGCTGTAATGGCGCGCGTTGACGGATCAGCTCGATCAGCACCGTACTACCGTCGGGGGTATCATTGTCAGGTCTGCCTCCATGCGCGAGTAATTGTTGCACCATACTGATCTTGCCATTGGCGATCGCACAGCTCAAGGGGGAGTCCTGCCCTGGCTCTGGAGCATGATTGGCATCGGCGCGGTACTTGAGCAACAAGGTCGCCCCGTCCACAAACGACTCTTCCACTGCCACGAGCAAGGGCGTTTTGCCCTCCCGATCTGGCGCGTTCGGATTTGCGCCAAAGAGAAGCAGCAGCCGCATTCCCTCGAAATCCCGCTGGTGCACGGCCTCATTAAGTGGATGGATTTGCTCCCCCAAATTCGGCGATACTCCACTGTCCAAGAGCTGCTCCAACAGCTTGTGGTTCCGGCTTCGGACCGCGGAGGCTAGGGCACTACGCAATTGCGTGGCACTGGCCGCACTAGTCCGACTGGGCGTGCGATGGGGCGGCCGGGGGGCCGAATCGTATATCTGGTGCTGCGAGAGGATATCTCCATAGGTCTCGCTTTCGGGTGCCATAAGCGTCTCTGCCCGCGACTCTCGCGAGCGAGTCCGAATTGGCTGGCTGTCGGGCCGTGGCAGTCGAGGCAGAGGCTCGAGCGGAGGAGATGGAGGAAGATCGCGGTCTTGGTGATTTGAAAGCAGGAGGGAATCGAGGGAGAGAACGGAGGAGAGCGTGTCGTCGGGGTGGGATTGAGGAGGGCTGCCGATGCCTGTTGCGATCTGAGTGGGGGGCTCTTTCGGAGGCACCGAGGGGACCGAGGAGAAGGATGGCGAGGTGGTCATCTGCTTGGTTCCGCGTTCGAGGGACTTGACCTTGTTGATGCCCATCACCGACCGACCTTTTGCCATGCGGTCGAGTGCAGCGGCCAGCCCCGCGTACCCGATTCCCATCGATTCCGCCATGAATGGCTGTTCTCCGAGAGTCCAATGAAACGCCAGGACGCTGATCTGAAGCGTTTCGGTTATCTTCTGGAGCGACTCGCGAATGCGGCCGAGTTCGTGGCTGGGACGATGCCATCCTCGTTGAAGCCTCCCCAAGGCGCCTCGGTGCTCATACTGAATCAGCTTCGACACCAGCTTGTCGAGATGCTGAAAATCGCGATAGGCAGCCACAAATTTCTTCGCCACCTCCTCCACAATCACTTCTGGCAGCGCGCGGCCGGCGGCGGTGGAGTCGGTGAGGCCAGCATCAATAGCCCAGAGCGCGCGACAAGTGTCAAGAAAGGTCTGAGACAATTCGCGGAAGCCGTCGGGCAAGTCCTGAACGGTGCTCAGGTAGTCCAGCATGTGCACCGAGATGCGGTTACCCAGCTGGGTGGCCTGGGCCGAGACGGCGAAGACGGCCTCCTGCGCAGCCATGACCGTGTGAAAGCAGTCGCGAGAGGGGAAAAAAAGGAAGAAAAAAATCCCTGGGGTTTGGGGGGGCAGGTGTGAGACAGGATTTATCTGGAGCGGGCGCAGGTCCAGTCCACGAGGTAATCGCAGGCTGGAGGATCGTCGCGGGGGGGGGACCAACCATGTGGCTGATGCAGCTGGCGACTCATTTCCCCTTTCCTGGTTCGCAGAGGACGCTAAACAATGTAGACGGGCTAGATAATCAATCTAAACTTCGACGGACCCAAATGTTGCTAGATGCTAGCTGGAAAGTTCAAATGGAGTTGGTCTCGGGACGACTGATAAGAGCAACCCGGAGGGAGAACTGGTGCTGATTGCTGGAAAACCAAACCCCCAGTCCCACTGGAGCTGACCACATCCTGTACAGTGCGATCTGGATCGGAGCAGGCCAGGAACCAGGCCGCCTCCACATGGGCGGAACCTAGATCCTGGGTGGGGACATCGCGCCTCTCACCACGTTGGGAACGGGCGATTTGGACCCGAAATCTCCACCTTACTGACCGGGAGTCTTTGAGCCCATTGAATAATTGGCAGTAATGTTTAGGGGAGCGATTCATGAGCCTGTTCGAGGGGGTGGATGTGTGTGTGTGTGTGTGTGTGTGTGTGTGTGTGTGTTTGCGGCAGGCAACGGAACCACCGTGGACAGGGGCAGGAAGGCCGCTGGTTGATGGCAACCAATGGACTCAAAAAGTGGTTCAAAGTGGTTCGAAGTGGTTCGCCCACTTGGCAGGGCGTTGAGCCGTGTGTTGAACTGTCGATCGTGGCTCCATTGTGGTGATGATAGTGGTGATGATGATGGTGTCTCTGTCTCACCATGGTTGCATTTGGCAATGATTTCGCCGAGGTTCTCCCCGAGACATCCGTGGGTGGCATGCACGTGATTCCACCTCCAACCGAGGCCATGTTTGCTGTTTGCTCGCTTTGCACTGTTTGCACCCGTCTTGGCCAAGTAGTCGCAATAGGCAGGTGTATTGCTGTCGGACCATCATTGTGCTGGAGGCATCCATGATATACTGCTTCGGAACTGCCTTAGAGATTCCACTTAGTGTGGATACTTGCATGGTAGTCAAATTGCTCCTATGGACAGTTGAATACAAGTTGACTTCACCAATTCGTGTTGCGATGATGCAGAAGAAAGTCACAATCAAAGAGGCAAGACGGCATTCCATGCATAAATTTTATCACACGTAGCTTCTGCTCAAAAGAAATTTATGGCTTATTGCTGCTTTGGTCTGGCAGTGACGGTGGTGGCATGAGTGTATAGCAGCTTTGAGTCTGATATATCTCTAGAGAAGACGACGATACTAAGTAGCCATGGGACAAATCATTCCCCTACCAAAACAAAACAAGATCAAAGGTTCCTTGTTTACAAGATAGCGCAGAAACAAACTACTCCAGTCTCTCACACCAGGGAGAAGATCACTGCACAATTGGCAATCAAACGTTATGGGGGAAATTAGATACAGACAGAACGGCAGCAAAATATGGTACAAAGGGCCTGGGGATGGAGTAGTATGTACGCGGTCATCCCAGGCTAAGCTTCAGAGTGGCAACAATCTAGTGACCGAAGGTGAACTCGGGGATGTTGATGGTGGTGACAGTCCAGGTCTTGCCGCCGTCGCTGGTGGACATGTCACCGGTCACACCGTTACCCTTAGCAAGGGTGTTGATGTAGTTGGGATCGGCAACATTGAGGATGATCTTGGTGTCAATCCAGGCTAGGGCAGACGTTCCGTTAGTTGTCTTCAGGTTCCATACAGCCGGGGGGGGTGACTTACAGTGAGCACCAACAGTGCCGCAGTTGTTCTCAGCGCATTCGACCGCACTGCCCCAGCCCTGGGCATGGCCATCGCTAGTCGACAGAGTGGAGACGGTCTTGCCGTTGATCTTGACAGTTTGGGTATAGTTGCCGCTGGCATCGTCAAACTTGTCTGTAGTTGCGGTGAGTTTCTGAGCAAGTCAATAATTCGCAGAGAGCCTTACAGTGCATGGTGACCTTGTCACCCTTGCTGCCGTTCTCCTGGCCTTCACCGTAGATGGGCATCTGGCTGTAGTCTAATAGGAAACGAATCAGTATTTTCGGCACGTTTGATTGTGAGATGAATCGAGGAATATACTCACCGCCAGTCTTCATCAGAGTGTAAGCGTACATGGTCCAATCCTTCTGCTGCCAGTTATCGGCGATGGACTGGATCAGGTCACCGTTGGAGGTACCCATACCAACCCAAAGGGAGGTGATGGCCTCGTTGGAGGTAGCGCCGCTGGGGCCGTTGGGGAGGACCAGAGTCGAAGTCGCCTCGCGGATCCACGAGTTGGAGGAGACGGGGCCGGTGCTGAAAGCAGGGCCCATGGCGGCGTTGACGGTGGTGGCACCGAGGGCGGCCACGGCCGCGAGAACTTGAGCGCGAGAGTACATGGTGATGGAGAAGTGGGAATTGAGTTGTGGATGCGGAAGATAATTTGGGGGGGAGAATGAAGGGAGCTTTATAGGTTCTGGAAGTGCTTGGGCCTGCGCCTTAGCATCTCCTGAGTGTCTGGCGACAGGAGGGTCTACTGGAGTCCCCTGTTTGACATTGTCTGGGAGAAAGACCCTCAGCCCTAGGATAGAGTAGTTGAAGAATGTGGGGTTAAGGGTCTGGATGCCCTGAATCGTCACCCAAACCCCGAAGGTAATCTACCTCAATCACGGTGACAGGCACTACTGCCGCAGACTCCTACTCAAATTTCCCCTGGCTGGCCCACCTCCCTCTCTCGGCGCTTCCTGCCGAGGGTTTCTAGCAAACAGGGTGATTACTCCGTGTTGGAACGGTCACGGTGACTTGATTTCACCGGGTTTGACCCTGACGCCCTGCTTCGAAAGAATTATGTAAGCGGCTTGAGGGGACCCCGAACTAATTATGGCTGAAACAACCGCCAGGGAAACGTGGTGCGATGGTTCGGCTACATCTGTGCATCTCTATCGCTTGCCTTAGTAGTAAATACTAAGTACCTACTCAGTAGTAGGGACGACCGGGTTTCACATCGAAGATTGGTGGAATAGTATCATCCCACTGCAGACAACCGTCCCGCCTTATTCACCTTTGCTCCTTGTCGAATCCAGCAAACCCATTTGCAATCCTGGCAAGAAGAAGCTATGATACGTGAGTTCGTCCGTTCAGGCGGCATTAATGGTAAAAACGATTTCCTGCGAGAGTCGGTGGCAAGGGCACGTTGGTACTTTTTCAACGATCGTCAGATGGGGCCTTCAGTCGGGAGTAGTAGATGTAAGTCTTGTTCACCACTGGTGGTGGTCGCATTGCATGGGGACTGTCAGAAGTCAACGTGGAGCAGAGATTGCACAAAGGTCTCGAAAACAGTATGATACTGAATAGCTAGAAGAGAGAGAGGGAGAGAGAGAGAGAAGGGAGAATCAAAACCATCCATCAGGGGCTGCAAGTCACATGACCGTAGCGGGCCCCAACCCGGCCACAAAGATGCGGGTATCACGGGTATCTTAACTAATCCGAGGCACGTCAACACAGCTGCTGAAGTCTCTAATGAATTGTGGGTGATCCTCCGCTGATTGAGATCACCTGTCATGGTGGCGGTGAGAGGAGTCTGAGATTTCACATTCCCTAACGCTAGCCTGTTCAATTTATCCTATTCATGTGGGCTCATGATGCCATAGAAGAGTAAGGCAGAGGCTTGCGGGATTTTTGTTAGGGCGCGGAGTTGGATAACCCCGGAAAACTTTGAACAGCCCCATCCGAGAGTAATTCCTCCCGGACGAATCCAGACAAAGGTGGCAAGCTCAAGCTTTTGCCCGGAATCTTGGCCTTGTATCGGTCGCTTTCATAGGTTCCCGGTCATTGAGAGGCCGGAGTCCCTGAATCGGTTGTCCATGAACCTCATAATCCTCACCGAACCGATGGTCGACAGGACTTTCCCGTCCCGAGTCGGAAGATCGTCGGCCAAGTCAAGTCCGAGGGTCTTCCAACGGCCTGTGTGAGAAGCAGATAATACTACTAAAAAAAGTATCAATTCTTGCCTGATGCTCGCTAATTTATATCGGTGTTCCCGACGCACGACAAGCAGTACATCTACATCTCATTCTCTTGAAGAGAAAGTCTGAAGCTCCATGCCAGGCATTCATCTTATGTAGGACCTAACTTCCCAGCAGCTCCAGAGTGAGGCGGCCAAGGGCCAGCTACTCGGATGGAGTCACCCACGAGATAAGGACCTGCTGGTGAAACCACCCTGTCAGCCCTCGTGCCCAGTACAAAACCACGCATCGGTTAGATCGGCTGGGCCGGCATTTTGTCTTCCCACATTCCCAGTATCTACGTCGTCGTTTGGGGATGTGGAACCAGGCCTCCAAAATGGGCTCCTACCCCACGAGCCATTTCAACCCCCAGAGTCCTCGTTCTTTCTCCCCCAGTCCTTCACTCATCAGCTGGAACATTGCACCGCTACCAAGAACATGGAATCCCAAAGAGTGAGCTTCCTGGATCGAAAATGTCGTGTGGCTTGGGGTTGGTTCTCCTTCTCCAGCAGCACTGGGCATTGCTACCTTGCTGTACAACTGCCTCACAAGTTCCACGGCCTCTTGGTCATTATGAAAATCTTCTTCGTCCTTGATATCGTCACCTACGTAAGCATATAGACCTCTCTGATCATCCGCTTCTATCGTTTCCGGCACGCTTTACTTGACACCTTCTATGACCCTGAAGAATCCTACCTCATCGCCACCGCCGCCCTTGATTTTGCAACCATCCTCTTCGGAATTGAAGTCTACGAAATCCCTGCTTGCGGTATGTGGCTTCGTGGGGTCCAGCTAGTCTGCTTCCGGGTCTACACAGCCATTGCCCATTAGTCTAGCTGTGGGAATGAAATGGCACCTCTATCGAATACGCATGGCCACTCGACAACCCTTCTGGCTCGTTCGCCTTCTGCCTTCGTTTCCAGCCATGCTGGGCGGCACGATTGCCTCCCTCCTCACTTCCGCTCAGCCCTCATACTACGCGAATCCCATGCTCATCGCCGGCACTGCAATGCAGGGATTTGGTTTCATGACCTCCGTATTCGTGCTGTCGGAGTACATCCATGGACTGCATCATCAGGGTCTACCCCCTGTGCGGCGTCGACCGCAAATGTTCATTGCGGTCGGACCTCCAGCCTTCCCCGCGGTGGCTCTGATGGGCATGGCTCAGACCGCGCCGGAGAAGCTCCCTACGCATCTCATCCCCATCGCCGGCCAAGTCAACACAGCAGATGTCCTGCTGGTAATGGCAGTGTTCATCTCCATCTTCCTCTGGATTATGGCCTTGTTCTTCTGGTCAATCGGCTGGCTCAGCATCCTCGACGCCCACCGTGAATGGAAGTCCGACATCACCTGGTGGGCGACGGTCTTCCCGAACACCGGATTCGCTCTCTCCATCATCAAGATCGGTGACCTACTTGACTCGTCGGCCATCAAGAGGGTTGGAACGGCGGCGACTCTCATTCAAATGATCTTGTGGCTAGGCTCGGCCAACATGCACATTTGGGCCTATTTCGCGCATCGGACGCTGTGGCCGAGCCAGGATGAGGGCTTTGGACCGGATGAGCACCACGATGAGGCGGTGCTGAATATGGAGGGTGAAGTCCGCTCGTATAAGGGCTCGTCAAACGCCTGATTGACGGGTCGTTTGAGTCATACTATACATGGTTTGCCTCTGATGTCCGATCTGGTCGACTCTCTTGCTATTCCTTTCCACCCATGTTGTTTTCTAGCCGACGGGCCTGTTGGTGCCTGGCTGGTCGGTCCACCGTACATTTGCACCACCCTCCGATCAATGCATGGTCATGATGTATATACCTTCCTGAAGACCTGCTGAATTGGTTATCTTCCTGTTCAGTTATATTCCTTTCTTTGCTTATTTCCGCAGTGTGTGCTATTGACCCGCACGGCGATAGTAAATATGTATCTTGATGATCGCATACAGTGTATACTTATTGCATACTAATACCTCCAACCGTCGAATATATTCTAGCAAATTAGGTGAACTACAATCCTGAACTCTGAGGTAAATACCCGACGTAACAATCGAGTCAATCAAGAGGCGGCCGTGCTCTCCCTCCTCAGCAATGCCTCCAAACCTCTGCTACCATCATCCCCTACCGATGCCATTTGCTACCGGTAGCGCCATGGGGTCCCACCAGCGCCTCGAGCCTCACCCAGAGGACAGACATCGTGGCAGCGAACAACAAGACGCTGACCAGCAGCGACATGTTCTTGAACGCCCCGGGGCTGGAACTACTCGAACTACGAATCAAGACTCCCCCGACCGGGGTGCCGATCATGGTCGCCATGCCACGGACCATGTACAGAACTCCATTGACCGAGGCAAAGTTCTGAGCTCCGAACAACTCGACCAGGCTGGCGGGGAAGAGCGAAACGTACGCACTCGCGAAGATCCCATACAGAACAGTAAACGTGATGAACAGGTCCTTGGATTCGGTGGTCACGCCCGAGATGGTCGACGGCAGCCAGAATGCGACCGTGGAGATAGCACTCAAGAGGGTGGTCAGGAAGAGCGCATTGAGTCGTCCCACGCGGTCGGCTAGGTAGCCTATGATCACCTTGCCAATTGCATTGCACGCATTACTGAGGGCAATGAAGTTCGCGCTGGCCGTGGTGCTGTATCCCAGGGTCTGTGCGTACGAGGCATAGAAGAACACGGGGGTGTAGTAGGCCGCCGCTTGAAAGACGGCCCCGAATGCCTGCGCGATGAATCGCCGCGATCGCGCCACCCGCCAGTCCACCAGGGGTACTTTCAGCATGCCGTGGACGCGGCTACTCCGGGCGGAATTCTCGATCTCAATCTGGGTGCGGCTAACGGGCTCCCAGGCCATGGCGCTGCTGGCGAGGGAGATGAGGGTGAAGGAGACGGCTCCAGTCAAGCGGAGGGTGTTTCGGAAGCCAAGATGCTCGACGCAGGCAGTTAGGGCTGGCGCCCACACGAGACCACCCACGCCGGTACCTGCCAGGATGATTCCCATGGCTAGACCCCGATGCTGCGTGAACCAGGTCGGAGCTATCGTCACGGCCACCATGTAGCACAGACAAGTGCCAACCCCGTTGAGCACGCCTTGTGCCAATTCAAAATGCCACAGAGACTGGCCGAAACTGGCCAGCACGAGGGACAGAGCAAACACAAATCCACCCACGAAGGAGACCAGACGAGGAGAGAAGGCTTTGGCCCACGCCACACTGAACGGCGCCCCAATGGTCATCAGCGAACACGAGATGGTGCCGATCAGGTCAATCTCAGCTGGGGTCGCCCCCGTGAACGGCGTCCCGGGTTGTTTCGATAGGTTTTCATAGAGCGCCTGATAGACACCCCAAGCGAAGTTCAGACCACAGCAGGTGAAGATAATGGTGAACGAGGAAACCACGATGAACATGAACTGTCTAATTCCATGGGATGGTTAGAGGAGATGGTGCCGTGCATAGCCTAACGAGAGAAGGCTTCGGTGCAGCGGACAACTGACTTCTTGGATGTCTGATGACCAGCATAGTTCGAAGCTGGCCGATGGGCGCTCCTTGCGCTCGACACAGTCGATAACTCAATCCCTTCAGGCTCAACTAGAGCATCTCCAGAGGCGTGTGGTGCAGGCATTGTCCTCCAGGTCGCAGGTTTGAAATACAATAGTGTGTTATAAACTTTGAATGTAGAATTGTATGTTAGCCTTCAAGGAGGCACAAGCTTTTTAGAGACTTGGTGCGGGGAAGAGGCGATGACTCAGGCGGCTACAACCGCGGGGAAAGACGGCGAGAAACGGCTATTCATGCATGCGCATCTCATCTCCGTCTTACAACTATTTGAATGTGGTTCTCATCATTAAATTCATATCTAAGGCAAATGGGGTAAGGGAATGATGCGTAGGGTGGGGCATCGAGCCTCTACCCCTGACCACGCAACAGTGCTCAATGCAGCCCTATCCCTGACTAGATTGCCCCACGAGATATAGAGGATGGGTTGAGACAAGTACAATGCGGTCTGCACCCGGTCTATGACACCATGCACACTCACCCATGCAACGCTTTTTCCGAACTACCTTCGGAGGGGTCTTCGGGGTGACGGTCGGGCGTGGCTTCGGTATTCGGAGTAGATTCGGGCGGAGGTCGGAGTGCCTCCGAGCTACAATCGTACTTATCAAGTTCTACGGAGGGGAGTGCACTACAAGATGACCTGACAGGTCATTTGAACGCAGGGACAGGTCTTCGTTGGGCTGGGCTATTGGGTGGATACCTCTGCTTGAATCCCTATGTGCCGATGCAAGACTACATGTACTAAGTAAAGAATCAGCCCACTAAACCAGTGGAACTAGTTCATCCAACTTTCGTAGGTAAGAGCTATAAGTAAGAAAGGATCGCTCAGCACGTCATAGTGGCAGCAACAGCCGAGGCCGAGCTGATTGATTGATTATCTTATCAGCTCCGATTGCCGAGCCGGACCCACCGTCAGGATTTTTCCTCCCCCTTGAGTCTTGACTGAACTGTATTTAATGCACTGCACTTAATTAACCTTGTCGATCATTCCTGCATGGCTTGAAAGCCCTTGCGTTCACTCTTTGTCATTTACTACCAGTTTCATCATTTGGTTTTTCATTTTGCGTCGCCAATGGAGGCAATCCGCTCATTCGCCTGCTCCCTGTGGGAGTCGGCCACGTTCTGGAAGACGACCGCGCTGGTCCTTGCATTGCTGAACCTGAAGACTCTCCCCTTGGTGTGGCATGTGAGTGTCACCGGCCTGAACATTCCTGCCCAGTTTCTTCCACTTTAGTCCAAGTTGGCTGACCCTATGCGTCTCTAATCTAGATCCGCGTCTATCGCTACTTCTTCAAGCATGGCTACCTCATCACCCCGGCCGCCGAGCAGCCGCCCCGACCCAGCACTGAGATCCTCGAGCCCCTGAGCATCTACTCGCGCGCCCCTGTGATGGAAATCGACTTCAACATGCACAAGTCCAACTCAACCTACTTCTCCGACCTGGATGTGTCGCGTACGGCGCTGATGTCCAACCTCGTCGTCAAGGGCGCCGCGCTGCTGGAGAAACGGCTGGAGACCCAAGGCAAGAAGGGTTTTCTGGGTTTCATCCTCGGCAGCGTCTACACCAACTTCAAGCGCGAGATTCCCGCCTACACTAAGTACGAGGTCAAGTCGCACATCGCCAGCTTCGATCAAAAGTGGGTGTACATCGTCACCTACTTCCTCAAGCCGAACACACGGCCCGCCAAGTCGGGGGCAACCGAGGACCCCGAGAAGCTCATGAAGCGGCTGTACGCGGTGTCCATCAGCAAGTACGTGCTCAAGAAGGGTCGGTACACGGTTCCTCCCAAGGATGCGTTCGAGGCGGCGGGCTACACTCCGTTCTTTGCTGCTGCGGAGACCAACGGACATGCTACGGGCGCTCAGAACGGCCATGCCAATGGGGAGGCCGTCCAGCGGAAGGCCGATGGCGCCGGAGACTCGGAGGAGTGGGAGCGGTTGAAGAAGGAGGTCGATCGGGGATTGACTGTCATTCAGCCCATTGTGGAGCAGGAGGAGAAGCTTTTGGAGGATTATGTCTATAAGATGAGTCGTCCTGGATTTGCATAAGCGAGGAGATGCATTTGTTGGGGGGTTGGAGTTGAACAAGAGGCGCATATTGGGCTGCATATAGAACATACTACCTACTAAATTAGAATTGATGATTCCTTAACTAAGACACCACCAGGAGAAGCATGATTACCTGGATGTCTGGATGCCTGGATGTCTGGATGTCTGGATGTCTGGATGTCTGGATGCTTCCAAGTTGAATACCCTGTGGCCTTTGAATGCCTTAAGTGCCTGATAGACTTGGCATCTTGGCACTTGCCCGGTAGGGGGTAATAGTTACCATTCTCTGAATAATATCTATATTCCAGTACAGTTTTTATACTTTTCTATTTTAGGTACTTGTTTATTTCCTAATTACTGATTATAGATTTCAGTTGAATATAATATATACCCTTATCTTAGAGCTCAGCACCTTATTTAAAGTTTGTTAAACTGTATAATATAATCAGTCGGAAAGGCTACTAAGCCTAAACCAGAAAGGCGCACAAATCTCCAGGCGATTCTCACCGGGTTTAACCTTTTTCCGGTTCTGCCAGGCACAATCCTGGGCTTGGGCTTGGGGCCAACCCCTCAGGCGGCATATGCAGTTAGTGCCTGTAGCCTCCCCTACGGGGGAGCCTACATCAACACCAGAACTCCTGACAATGTACAGTACATACTCGGTCTAACCATCTCAGAATCAGTCAATGATATTGCTTCATGCTTAGACAGGTCACACTTGGGCTTGATCACGGTTGCTCCAGGCCTCTAATGTGTGCCTGGTGCCAGGTGGGGCCTGAACTCGTGACTGGTGCCTGCAAAGATGCCTGCCCTGCCTGGAGGTGCCCGGAGGTGCCTGGTGGTACCTGGTGGTGCCTGGAATAAGATCCGGTTCTGCCAAGCCCGCCCGCTGCCTGGGACTCCCAGCCCTGGCCCTTATAAGAAGACCAAGAGCCCGTGGCTATATGTCACCACAACTACTCCCATATTGCAATCACATTCATTTCACTGCAATTATTCTATAGCCATGGCCGCTTCTCACACACAGCAAATCATGCTTCCGGGTTTTAACCTCCCGCTAAACCACACGCGCCAGGTAAGGCAGGGAGGGTATCCCATACCAGCCGCGCGTCGCCGATCTAACTTTGCTAGGGGAAATACTCTTGGGACAGAACTACTCTTCCCAACGCACTGGATCCCCAAGATATCTATCATGGCTACATTGGGTAGGTGCCAATTAAACATACAAGTGGTATAGACTTCTTCATACCTCAATCGACTAACACCCCGCCGCAGGAACCTTCTCGTTCACCGGGAGATCATCATGCTGCAGATCATGAACACCATCTCAGAAAAACCCGACTGGGATCGCAAGGTACAGTCCATCGCGCCGATCAGTCCACCTCATGCTTCGGCTAATTCTGAGCCAGGTATTCGATGATGAAATTACTGCGAAATGGCGCAAGGAAATCTCCGAATCGGGCCAAGACGTGACCCCCGCCATGATCGATTGGATCCTTGTTGAGATGAGATGGAAAGCGAAGGCATTGAAGCAAGAGGGGACATTCACTGTGTTCGATCATGTCGGGGTCGTGCGCTCAGACACGGCGATTCCCCAAGACCTTCAGAAGGCGCTGCGAGACGCCGTCGCTCCGTTAGAGAACATCCCCGTCGAAGCCAAGGACTACCACCCAGGCTCAGACGACAAGGTGCTCGATCTGGTCCATCCCTCGCTTTTCCCTCTCGTCTATGGTCGCACGCGCATTTTGCCCGATCGTACAATGACCGTCGACGACTGCCTCGAACATCAGGGCCAAGGAGAAGTGCTACCAGCGCCCACCGACGAAGAATCACAGGGACATGGCCGCGAGCCGTTCTGGCGGTGGCGGGCCTCCAACTACAAGGTCTTCAGCCAAAAGTTCCAATGGCTTCCGTGCGACGTGCAATTTGCCCCGGATGGTGGATGTCGCATCGCATCGTACATCAACAATCTGCATCCGGTCCATCACCGAGACCTGTACGGGGTCGTTGAGAAGATGATCTCGCATGCAATTCCGCAGTGGGACAAGAGCTTGACGAGAACCCGCCAATTCAACAATACCCGCATCCTCTATGACCGAGTGGAATATCTGGACCGTTCGACTCCGGAGCCTGAGTGGGATGAACATGGGCATGAGGATAACGATGACTATGACGACGAGTACGAGGAGCGCCGCAGTGAGTGGTGGCGCACGAGACCCATCAAGCTGCCTGAGCCCCTTTCCAGGTTCTCGCCACCCCAGGTCTCCTATGAGGGTGCCATGAATCTCCGCGAGAAGTTCGGCGAGACCGGCTTACAGGTCATCGTCAAGCTGGCCAACATTGAACTGAGCCCCGAGAAGCCCACATATGAGGGGGGTTCCTGGCATATTGAAGGTCAGCTAGTAAGTATCTTCCTGAAAACACGGTGAAAACCAAGTAGGTGCGCGGGGCTGACAAGCATAGAACGAACGCATCTGTGCAACGGCGATTTACTACTATGATAGCGAGAACATCACCGAAAGTCGCCTGGCTTTCCGCCACCGCGCCGAATCGATCGACGACACGCACTACGAGCAAGATCAGCATGAATTCATCCATGCGGTGTACGGGTTCGGCCCGGACGTGGATGGTCACAACGATGGCCACTTCACACAGGACCTGGGCAGCGTGTTGTGCAACGAGGGCCGCCTGCTCACCTTCCCCAATACCGTGCAGCACCGCGTGGCTCCCTTCGCGCTGGCCGATCCGACGAAGTCCGGTCATCGCAAAATCCTCGCTCTGTTTCTGATTGACCCCAACCGTCGAATCATCTCCACCGCCAATGTTCCCCCGCAGCAGGCTGAGTGGGCTGACGGCGAGGATTCGTTGTCCGGAAAGCTGATGACCCTGGAGGAGGCCAAGGAGTATCGGTTGGAACTGATGAAAGAGAGAAGCGTCCTACAGGATACGCAAAACCAGGCATTTGAGGTGGGCTCGTTCTCCTTGTGCGAGCACTAGGACTGGGGCTGGATCTGATGTCTACTGGTGATTATGTACTGTAACTTTAAATTAATGTACAAACAAACCGCCTTCCTTCCTTACACTTCTCCAGGTATTCATGTATAGATCGCCTGGGCTACCTGGATGACTCTGGCCGGAAACCGAGTCAGGCACTCATGGCCGTCCTCGGTGATGAGAATGGTATCAGAGTACTGGGTGCTCGCGACACCATCGATATGGATATGAGGCTCGAGCGAGACGATCATGCCGGGCAACAGAGTGCGATCCGACCGAGCATCGATGGAAAACAGCTCATGCGGGCCCAGTCCGATGGAATGGCCGATGCGCCCGGGGAGATACTCGCCATACCCTCTGCGGTCGTAGCCCTTCTTTGCCGTCTCATATAACTCACCGACCGCCGTGCCTGGCGTCAATCGCAGCGCAATCTCACCCCGGATGTCCAAAGTCGCGTGGAGGGCCTCTTTCTCCGACGCCGCCACGCTTCCTATACAAACCGTCCGCTCCAGCTCGGCATGCATCCCATTTGCCACCGTCCAGACAAAGACAGACACCGTCTCGCCCGCCTGCGGTACTCGCTGGACGGGGTTATCGCAACCGAACGACTGCCGCGGACCGGAGAGCACCCAGGCCGTCAACCCACTGGTGTAACCGCCCTCCAGGGATCCAAAGTCGCAGATCTCGACGTCCGGGTAGTGGGCAGCCCAGTCCTCGTGCATGGCCCGCATTGAGGCCAACACGACGTCCCGCTCGGTCGCACCCTGGAGCTGCAGGGCTGCCACGGCGGCCTCCATGCCGCGGTCGGCGAGCTGGGCCGCGATGCGGGCGCTGGCGATCTCGTCGGCGTCTTTAAGCTCGCGGCACTGGTGAATCAATGCGGTGCAGTCGGCGAGTTGCGCGGTCGGGAGGGCCTGGACGAGCTGGTGAAACTGCGTCACGGGGAGGAATTCTTGCTCGACTCCGATGCGTTTGCTGTTGCCATCGCCGAGGAGCGTGGTTAGGGCTGCCGGCCAGGTTGGGGCCAGCGTGGTAATGTTCGACCAGGTGCCGTACAGAAAGAGATTCGGGGTCCAGGTACTGGCCTCGGCGTGCTTCCCGCGAAGCACATGCACGAGGAGAATGGGATCCAGGTGGGGGGTGAGAATGACGAAGATGGGTTCGGAGTAGATGATCGGGTTGAAGCCGGACAGGTAGAAGGTGGACTCAGGCTTCATGCAGATGACAGCGTCGAGACTGTGCGCTACCATCTGGGCTTTGAGACGGTGGACTCGTGGGGGAATGTCGCTGGACTGGGGATTCGCCATCAACAGTGTCACAGTGGTGGAAAATGGTAAAAATGCCGAGGTCGAGGATCGAGGTTTATCTGGGTTGGAGCTGAAAAGTATATATATTTAGGTTTCATTATCATTGGAAAGTGCTTGGTTCGCTGCATCAGGGGGCAAATGTGGCAATTAATGAGACATATCCGGGCTTAGAGTTCTATAGCTCTTCTAGATGGCTGACCAGAGTACTGAGGCATAGATAGTGCCAGTGGTGGTGTGGTCTCGAATTCACTATTTGGCGAAGGGGGTTTGGGTCCCGGGAATAGCATCATGACTACTAGTAGGACTGTATAGGAATATCAGAGCAATATTCTGGACCCATTTCAACCAGTAGTCTCCATGGTGTAGTGGTTATCACGTGGGTCTCATATGCAAATATGACTTGGAAGTCGCACTTCCAGGACATCCCAAGGCCGGGAGTTCGATCCTCCCTGGGGACAGATCTTTTTACTTCCTCTTTTTGTATTTATTGTTACCATCCCTATCTTTGAGTGCCAATTATCACACTATCCATCCCGACTACTACTAGTAGAAACTCTCTTCCCTAGTCAGAACTCTCCCAGTCTACCCCCTCTTGGCATTGCTTGCGATGCCTTCGACCATGCTGGCCTCGCCTGCTTACTGCTTCCCACCACCACAATATAAATAAGAACATAAGGAATGACACCTTTAATCCTGTGCTCTTTCAGATCTTGCTCTCGACAAAATCCTGCTGCCTATGGAGTCATCGTGCACCTCCGCAACGCCACCGCACCTCTCTCTCAATCCCGACTGAGAGGGCGGGTTGTCATTAGGCCTGTGTAGACCCATATCTCAACGTCCCTGAATCGACGACTGCAAGATTCAATTGACACAGACATGCATCGGCGCTACCGGGAGGATCAGGATCCTCAACGTTCTGTCCTCGGACAGATGTCTGCAGCCATCGCCTGACCCTATTGACAACCACCCGCGAAACTCGATCCTCTCCACATTGAGGAACCAACGGAGAGGCGGCTGAATGAACATCCCCAGAAGAAAACAGCTAGACTTGACGAGCATTGACTCAAATGGCACATGCAAGAAGTACCGAGAGGTTCGACGGTCTGTGCCCGCCAACCCCCTCGAGTCGGCCCTCTCCGACGGAAGATTGCCCTTGGTCGCGTTACCAATTCGCCCACCCAGCGTCACACATTTGAAGCCCATCTGTCTCAGTTCGATCAAGCAAGCCCGAACAAATGTTTGTGAGCCTTTCTAACCTATCAGGCCTTCCCTCGCGCCACTGCGAAAGGAAGTGGCTCGGATGGATTCCGTATCTGTCCGTGCCCTGGAAGGGGGTCGACGCTCAGGTCACACCGAGTTCTGAGACATTCAATTAGAGCTATCGAGCAAGTCCAACAGGAAGACGGGGCCTAGACCTGACCAAGGCGCAATCCTCGACTCGCAGCAGTCGCAATTTAACAATGCACGAGAATCGTCAATCCATCACCCCCTAGGACTAGGGGCAATCATGGACTCGATTGCCTTCGAAGACCGACGTGATCTCTACATTGCAGTATTTAATAGTGCGTGTGACTGTAGGGGATAAACCATCGTCGGAGCTCATGCTGAGGCACTCGCTCCGCTGCTCAACGACTCACCACCTCAGCTTCTCAGACGCATCTTGCTAACCTTGAAACCTCGACAATGGCCTCCCCGCAACTGCTCTATTTCCATGCCCCCGAGGTTGGTCTTTCCTTCCGCGCGAAGCTCCTCGCCAAAGAGAGCCCCGATGTGGCCGAGCAACTGCTGTCCCAACTGCCGATGCAGAGCACGTTAGGGCACGTCGTCATCTCCGGGCAGGCTTTCTGGCTCCCTACCCGCATCGTGCACCTGGGACGGAACAACATGGTGAAGCGCCACCCGGGCGCCGTCTACCTTAACTCGGTCGGGGGCTCACTGTGCCTGACGTATGGCTCCATCACCGAGAGCGCGCTGGTGAACAAGGTGGCGGAAGTCTTGGAGGAGGACCTGCCGATCATCAGCCAGCTGGGCCGGCTCGTGTTCGACAAGACCGTCACCAGCGCGCGCCACACCCTCCTCACCATCCGTATCTCGCTCGTCCCCAGCAAGAGCGGCGTGACGGCGGAGTCGCGACCGGTGGACATGGCGGTGATGCTGACCTCGCGGCACGAGTGCACCTGGCGCGAGGCGGCGAGCATCATCTCGGCGCAGGTCGACCGGGTGTGGATCCACGAGCCAGAGGATATCAAGAAGATCAGCTGGGGCATCATCGACAGCGGGGCGGGCAGCGGCGAGCAGTATTTCTCGGTGATGGTCCACCTCAAGTCGTTCCTGCTGCACCTGGGCTGCGATGTCCTGTACCGGCTGCTGAAGATCTCCCAGTACGAGGAGATCGCCCTGCCGGTGCTCCGCCGCATGACGCGCGAGTTTCTCGAGCAGAACTTCAACACCTTCGAGATGCTCACCGACCTGGGGCTGAGCGACATGGGCGAGATCGGCGACGTGTATTTGCACGGCCTGGCCTCGTTGACCAGCAAGGACGACTACCGCAGTCTGACCGGCGTGCTGTTCACGTATGTCTGTCGCATGCATCGCTGGGTGCACTTCATCTTCCCGTGGAACATCGGCGTGGCGTTCCCGCACCGCAAGCCCGAGGAGATCATGACCATGTCGATGATTGTGAATGGGCTGCCGACTCCAGCGATCTCGGAGCAAAGCGTGGGAGGGGCTGTCGGCGGGAAGTATGATGCGATGATGCGCATGGCAGGGATGGTGGATGAGTCTACGGTTTGAAGGAGTGGAGGGGGGTTGTTTCACAGCCACAGTTCGAGTCAGTGGCTTGGGATTGATTACTTTGTGGATGTGAGGCTTGTCTGCAGGGTGCTGATTCTGGATCTGACGATGGCCTCGATACGGAAGATAAACTTCATCGGGCCCTGGTCGATCTTTACTTGTTTTTTTTGCAAGAGAAAGGCTAGATTGTGTACTAAACATTGATTAGAGTTCCGATGGAGCGTCCAGGCTGGTGATGATGTAGATAGGATACAGTACTCTAGCCCTGTCTTTCCGCTGCTGCAGCACCATTAGTATTTCAGATTGGAATCGCAGGAAATGACGACTATTGTGCCAGTGTTCTTTGCATGGACTCAGCCACCAACTGCCTCCACTGCCGCTTCGCTCGTAGAGTGGGGAGTTGAACCGCCGTGATGGGAATGCGAGCCGTTAATCTACCGGCGAGTGCGCAGGGCCAGCTGAATTCCTCCCCGTCAGTCAGTTTCCACCCTGAAAGAGCCATGGAGACGACAGAATCCCCCGAGTGGAGCATTCGTAGATCCATCAGTCCCGGCGTCTCCGACTGTCAGAGTTCGAGCTAAGCGAACTTGAAGCAGTATGCAGTCCCACAGTCCCAGGCCATCGGTAACTTCCGTTGCAACATTAGCAAGAATGCTTGGGCCGTAACAAGCTATACGAGAAGAACCAATGACCTATCTTACTAGCGACCGTCACTTAAAATTCTTGTAGAGGAAAATTTTCCAAGCGAGTCGATATAGGGGATTTTGTGGGGGTGTGATTGGCTGAGGACCCGAGTCGGCTCCACCGGTTCGTGACTCGAGATTGAAGCATAACCCTAAGCGTATGTTGAATGTTCTACGGGAACCTGGGCTGGTTGGTTGTATTGACCTGCAATAGCCTGTCTACTCAACTTAGGAAGGCAGCTGAGATCCAAATCGGTTCGTGCGGTCAAGTTTCACTGCCAGAAAACCGAGCATTGTTGATCGACAAACCACCTCAGCTTCCTTTGCACCTCGTGGGTTAGAGACTTCAACGCTAATGGAGCTGCTATCAGCTCAGCCCGGTGGTGGCTGAGAGGCGTCAAGCTAGGACGAAACGGAAGGACTGACACATAAGCTGAGGAGTACAACGTTGGTTCACTTTCAGCTCTGTTGTGGCTGGCGCAGTGGATCGTGCAAGAACTTTGCACGCGCCGAAGGGGTTCGATTCTAGTATTCTAATATAAGAGCCTGGTATTAGCCACATTGAAATCGCGGCCGGACAAGCTTGAAACACCATCGGAAAAGAAAACAAACAAAGAAAAGACACCTCGTTGTCTATTCTGCAACTTGCAAGTTCACCGACTGTCAGCCCTGTGTCATACCTCGACATCAATCATCAGAATGGCGGCATCTACAAACCACTCGCCGGCCAATGCCAGATTCAGAATCCTGATGCTTCATGGTGAGTTCTCTAGCAAGACCATCTTTGGCCGACCAGCTTATAACCGCAACCCAGGCTACGCACAAACAGCCCAGATCTTCCGAATTAAGACCCGACTCCTCCTGCAAGAGATTTCACAGTCCCTCTCCCCAATCCTCCTGAAGAGATACCCCGGGGGTCTTGAATTCCTCTTCCCCGATGGTCCTGTGAACCTGGACGCCGCTGGCGGCTCCGAGTTCGAGATCAAGCCAGCCAGCGTAGCCAGACTAGGCTGGTGGTTGAACCTCGACAACACCAGCCGCTATATCTTTCTCAACGACGCCTTCCATCACCTGGCCGACTTCCTGGGCGGGGAACCAATCCACGGGGTGATCGGCTTCTCGCAAGGCGGGGCCCTCGGTATGATGCTAGCCGCCATGTGTGAGGCTGTGAATGATTCACAACGAGCGCAGGCAGTTCGCGCACAGAATCTCCCCCTTGATTCCTTCCTCCAGTCCCTCCCAGGCCAGCAACCACTGCAATTCGCCCTCAGCTTCTGCGGCTTCCGGGGCACCATGGACTACTACAGCAGCCTGTACCAGCCACCCCTCCGCACACCGTCCTTCCATGCCATCGGGCTGTTCGACACGATGATCACTGCCGACGAGAGCCAGGACCTCGTCACATCCTTTGTCGCGCCGGACGTCCGCCACTTTTTCGGCGGCCATTTCATCCCCAGAGACGCGGAGAGTGTGGAGAGGGTCACCCAGTTTTTGCGGAGGATCTGCCTGGATCGTATGACGGCGGACGTGGATGCACCGGAGCCGAGTTCGACGGGGGACGCGGCTTCGTTGTCGAGTACGGCGAGTGTGAGACGTCGGTCGAAGAGGGTGGTACGCATTCGGAAACGACCGGCGGTGCAAATGTGCTGGGTGAGACGAAATCTTGGGCTGAAGTCGTGTTTGGCTTCTTGAAAGTCTTTGCAGGAATGGATGGCATCGAAATCTGCTGTTATATGATTTGTGAACAGTGGCGCCAGCAAGACGAATCGTGAGTGGCTTCATCAACAAGACGCATGGAATTGCGCTTCCGGCCACCCAGCCTTCTCCCTGGAAGAAGAGGGCCATGAGAAGCAGCTGATTCTTCCACCAGCTGTCTGTAACTTCGGATGAGATGAATTAGAGACGGGAGCATAGTTGACGTCGAGCTGGGATGCACGATTGCCTTCTTGCCTCAGGTTAATCAGCTATTCTTGCTGGGATTCGCGCGTATCAGAGCCCTGATGGTCCAGGCCTACCGAGCATGATATCACTTCTATAATATTGTATCTAATCGGAAAAGGAGAACTTGCTCACCCTAGTTCATTCAAATAACCTTCTTCCACCAATCCTCCGTGTATAATTTAATGGTTGCTTCATGCTGCAACTCCGTTCCGAAGAGCACCGGCCAACCCGCCATGCCCCTCAACAAGTCGTATTCTCCAAGTCTGTATCCCCACTGTTGCCCGAGAATAGGCTACGAAACTTCTCACAGTCTTCTGTGATCTCAATCCAAACTGCGGCCAGCTGGTAATTGTGGTCCCTCACGCTGCTCGCCTTTCTCTGTGCATTTACCGCACAAGCTATTCCAGTGTCGATTGCGACCATGACCGGACTCAACAAACACAATCATTCAGCTCTGTACACCGGTGTACGGTCTATCTTCTCCTCCGATCTTCCACAGTCTGGATGCTGATTTTACGTTGAACAGACCTGTATCCCCGGCCATCCGGCCGGGGTATGTATGCATCATGAGGGTTAACATACTTTCGTGGTGGCTTGCAGCCAGCATCATAGGGTCGGTACCACATCCGGGTTTGGGCGTGGCGTTGTGAAGCTGAGAGGCAAGATAGTGCAGCGCGATGAGTAATCCGTGTACGTTCGATGGGAGGAGGACGTCAGCCCATTGTGACTGGTCAGCAGTCGTGGATGTCGTGGGACACATTATCTTGGAGGAGTGCTGAAAGGCGATGCACGAGGCCAAGTGGGTTAAGAGGCAGTCACGAATATTAACTATGTACAACCAATCGAATGAATCAACACCAATTCCGCTAGGACTGCATTGGGTCCGACACCCCCTCCTACGGTACACACTTCTCAACTGTGCATCGTAAGCCCGTTCGAGCTCGACGTGGCTCTACTTCCCCAGCTCAACACAAACACTATGCCCGGTATACCCACTATGCTGCGTGCCCCACGGATCGAACAGCGTCTCGTCCGTCGAGAAACCCTCCGACCCGGGCGGGTTCCGCTCGCGTTTGCGGAGATCCGGGCTCGGATGCCGCCAGAGCTTGGTCGGGCTGCCGAGGTTGAACAGCGGTCGCAGGTGAGAGAGACAGGCGGCGACGATGCCCACCGCCGCTTCCATGCACGTCCACACGGCCACGGGGGCTTGGTTATCTGCGACCAACAATCAGCGACCGTGACACGGAGGGGCGGAAACTCATACAGGTAATATCCGGGCCTATTTCGGTCACGTGGATCATAACGACTAGACGCACGATGTCGAAGATCAAAGTCCTGAGGATGATTAGCGACTGCGAGATCGGTGAAGACAGAGTAGACCGACAGGATGCCGACTAAGAACACTCCCGAGAGTAATGCACGCTGTGTCTTGGAGATGGGCAACGCCCAGACACTCTTCAACGGCATCAGAAGAATGACCACATCCGTCACAATGTTGGGGATCTGCTGTCCGTAGTAGAAACTCGCCGCGTCCAGGCAGCGTCCAGGAATGGCACGGTGCCAAAATTTGGCGACAGGGACACACATGAGCACTCCTGTGATGCTAACAATGACCACCCAGAGCACCACGATGGTGGCGACGAGGTTCACGGCGAGGGACATGCTTCGGGCGGCGAAAAGGCGTTTGTAGGATGCTAGGATGGAGAGTTTGATGAAGGCGATGCAGAGCGGGTAGACGAAGCCGTTGGACCAGCCGATCTAAGGTTGTTAAGCGAGGATTCACTTTAGTTCGAAAGGAGCGACTGACTTGAAAATAGACGTCCAGGTTCTTCTGCGGGATCATGGTAATGTGTGAACCCAGACCGTTCCAGAGTACTGCGATCATACGAGGTCAGACTGGTCCAGAGCTCGGACACTGCAACGTACGGATGACCACCCCGATCGAACAGCCATATTTGAAGAGCTGGACTCGTGGTTAGCAAGGGCCCGGGGGCGGGTGGGAGAGGATGCCGTGCATACATACCAGCGCCACAATGATCAGATAATCGTCCAGGTACAGCCGCGTGCCATTGATCCTCCGGGCCAGCAGACGCAGCACCACCGCTACGGTGGACAGAACGAAGGCAAACGGCAGGGCGATGATGATGGATCGCCGGAGTTGCTGGTTGGGATGATCGAAATCACCGGGCGTGTCCCCGGCTGCGACTGGATGGAGAGACATGATGCGATGCGCTCGTATCGGCGATGGCTGCTACAGGTGCTGCTGTTCTGCAGATGCACTGCGAGGCGGAAGAGATTTGGAATCATGGGGGCAGCAGAGGGACGAGTTGATGAATGTTTTTGGGACGGCTGTTTTTGGGGGGGCCTTGAGCCAGGGGTTTGCGATGTATCGCGATCGGCAGATCCACCGCGATAAAGGTGCCCCGTCAACTGACGATACATCGGATTCTTAAGCCAGGGATACCCCGAGAATGGGCTGGATATCCCTGGAGGGTTTTGGTATCATGGAGTGCGATAGGGGGGGGGGGGACGGCCGGCATAGGGTGGGGAGCGTCTTTTGAGACGAGGAGCATCTCCGCAAGGGGATAATGGGGGGTGTTCATAGATTCCTCGTCAAGGGAGGAGCCCTTGCATTGTCAGGAGCCGGATCCATGAAGTGCACTTTGAGTTTGAGTTATTCGCGTGGCACAATCTCGAGCATGAGACCTGTCAGATTCCCGGCAGTTATACTCGTACTACTTACTGCCCTGGCAGTGTGTCGTGGGAGAGAAAAGGAGAGGTGGGGGAGGTGCTCATGTTCGAAAACCTGTAGCTCCAGCAGTCTCTTCCAGGTGATTCATGCCGTTGAGATAAGACATGGCAGGACTAGACACGGCAAGACAAGATGAGGCAAGACGAGACAAGGACGAGGCAAAACAAGAGGACTTGACCGGTTGAGATGCGAGGGGATACCCGTGATCAGCACCTGACTGCTGTTCTGCTTACCTCAGCAGACACAAACTATGCTACTTATGCTGTGCGATGACATAAGCAGTCACGGGGGTTCAGAGATCCCGCCTAACCAGAAAAGAGCATTCGATCAACAAGCCGAGGCATTCCAAGTTGTACTCCTTCAATCACACACTCTCTGTCTCTCTCTCTCGCTCTCACATTCGCTCTCGCTCCACTCCTCCCTCCTCTCTCGCTTACTCTTTGTCTGTCCTTGGTTCACCTGATCTTTCACCTTGTGCGACACCAAACACCGGATATCTGATACCCTCCACTCAACCAACCCACCATGGCGGATGTCACCACCACCGAAGGGAATTTTCGTCTCCCCGATGGGGCTGAAGTCTACCAAAAGACCTGGTCGGTGAGTTAAACTTGCAGCAGCCGGTGCCTGTAGTCTACAGTTTCAAGTCTCCAGTCCTCAGAGAGGCCGAATGGTTAACTAATGCTGCTCTCTCCGCCCGCCAGCCCTCCACTCCCCCCTTGGCCAAGCTCGTGCATTTCCACGGTTTCAGCGACCACATCAACAATTACTTCGACCTCTTCCCGGCCCTGGCTCGCCAAGGCATCCGCTGCACCGGCATCGATCAACGGGGCTGGGGCCGATCGGTGCACACCAAAGCCGACCGGGGCAATACCGGGCCCACCGCCGTCATTCTCGCCGACATGGCGGCCGTGATCCAAGCCCAGCAGAACACCGCTCCCGATGTTCCCGTCTTCATCAGCGGGCATTCCATGGGCGGAGGCCTCGTGGCCACGCTCGCCTCCACGCCCGAATACCAACCGCTGGTCGCCTCCCTGCGGGGCATCCTCCTCGAGGCCCCGTACATCGGCCTCACCCCGGAGCAAACGCCTGGGTCGCTCGTGGTGATGGCGGGTCGCCTGGCCGGCCGACTGCTGCCGCATTTCCAACTCACGCAGAAGCTGATGATCGAGAACCTGGTGCGCGATCCGACCGTACAGACGCAGATCAAGAACGACCCGCTGAACCACATGACGGGCACGCTGGAGATGTTCGCCAACATGCTGGATCGCGCGGCCGCCCTCACTGCGGGCAAGCTGGTGCTGTCCGAGGGGGTGCAGTCGGTGTTCGTGGCCCATGGCACGGGCGACCGATGTACCAGCCACGACCTCAGCCAGCGGTGGTTCGACCAGCAGACGGGCCGGGTGCCGCCGCGGCAGAAGCAATTCAAGTCCTACCCGGGTTGGAGCCATATTATGCACGCCGATCTGCCCGAGAACCGCCAGGTCTTCGCCAATGATGTGGCGGCTTGGATTCTGGAGAAGGCGCAGGAGCGGTCGGCGAGGCTGTGAGAGAGGAGGACCGGGTGCGGACTCGTTACTGTGTCGAGTATCCCGATGAGATGGGGGAGATACAATCCGGGGATGAGATTCTCCTCCTCCCCCTCCTGGCTATGATGTTTAATGATTTAATTAATGATTTACTTAATGAAAATCGGTCCCGAGCCACAGTGCTGGTCACGCAGGGCAGGTGGACAAACGGTTCGCATGAGACGGGGATGCAGGCTAGGGGAGAGATTCCGGAGCACGCAAGGTAGCAGCATTACTCCTAGATAGTAGTAGACTGTGTACATTTTGTCCCGTCCACGGGCGTGTAGGTTCTCCAGCAGCAAACATCCCTCTACCCCATGTTGGTCTCCGTAGTCTTCACTCTCCCGACCTGGTCCACCCACTCATCCTTGCTCCGACACCAGATCTCCATCCCCAACTGCCCACAGCGCGCCCGACTGTCGGCATCCAAGGTGCCGGTCTTGAGGATGATGATCTGGTCCGCGCCCCCGGGCTGGGAGGTGAAGGGGCTGCCGCAGTCGGCGCAGAACTGGCGACGCACTTCGGGGCCACGGTCGCTGGCCCCGAGGTACAGCTTGGGGGTGCCTGAGGTGTAGACCAGCGACGAGGCAGGGACGACAAGGTTGGAGGAGAAGGCCGATCCGGTATAGCGTTTGCAGCTGGTGCAGTGACAGAGGATGATCTAAACCCGAGGGTAAGTTTGGGGGTACATGAGTCCTGTCTGTATGTACAGTACAGTACGTGTACATACCTTGGGGAGGGGTTCAGTCGGGGGAAGATCGACGCGGTAGGTGATCTTCTGGCACAAGCAGCCGCCAGTTAGAGGGGATTGGGGTTGGGGTTGCGTAGTAACCATGGTGAGGATTTCGATTCTGAAGGTCGATTATTGATGCATTGGGGAGGGGAGAAGCTGAGCCTGCGGGCAGAAAGAAGCAGAAACATGAGAGAGAGAGAGACAGAAAGAGCAAGAGAGGGTTCACCGCCTAGGCGTGGCTGGGTGGCTGTTGCAATGGTGGTGGTGTATTACAGAGATTCCTGTAATATAAGCACTCCCCCCTCCCCTCTAAATTGAAGCAACTGACCACTGCGATTGCCAAGGAAGGGGAGAGGGAGTTGAGTTTTAGGCGCAATTATACCAGACCACTACTTGCTACTAACTTGGTGGCTGGACTGGACTGGACTGGACTGAACGGGACTGATGTGCCCTAAGTGACGCGGCCCTACTCACCTTACTTCGTGCCATCTTCCCTTCCCCTCCCACCCAAGCATGTCAACCAGTCCACTGGGTGGCTGTTCTGTAGGATTCAGCGTTGCATCGGAGTTCAGCCTCCCACGAGTGTCGCAACTGTCGGGACGTCCGCATTGATTTGATCCCTGTTCGGCTGAGCGGGATCCCTGGTCGATTCCCGTGGCCTGAAGAAGTCAAATTCAACCGCTCCAGACGTCGAACAGGCGCGAGCATTGGTGGTAGACACTCAGGGAGGCAAATGTCTGGCGCAGGCACAACAGCAAAGGCCACTGCTAGATAGCGTCAGGAAGCTGGGGGTGGGGGTTTGGGGAAGGAGGATCTCGCCAGAGTTGGCCTTCGTCGAACATGCAGTGTGCCGCCCTGTGCGGGCATGCCACATATCTACTACTTACCGCTGGTACGATCCATGATCTGCTCTTCGGACTGCAGCGCTAGCACAAACCGCAGCAGTTTCACGCTCGTATGTAGGTTTGCTCCGCTTGGCCTCGACCACGCATCGGGCGTGTTGCTCCCCGGCGACCGTGGCAGCCGTTGTCGCGTCGATTTGCGGACCTGCTCTGCGGCATCAGCTGACGTGATGCTGAGGTGGTTCATATAAATCCTTCCTCATTTGCCTGAGTGAGTTTCGGGGGTCCCAGCCGGCTCGAACAATCGATATACATGGTTACCATTGTCGCTAGTGGAACCTTGCAATCGTCAATCGACAAACTCAAGGTGGATCAGAAGATCCAAAGAAGTCTGCCATGCTTGCGAAGTGCTGTCGGGCTCTATCTCCTCTGTCATTATTCTCCGGCGACCTTCCGTTGAAAGATGATGCTCGACCACTCTACTCACAAAGAGTCCCGGGGATTTGGCTGGATAAGCGCCATGTGCAATGGAGAAGCACCCTTCCGGGGTCCCTGTCACGACCACCACCGTGCTAGCTCCCCAAGTGCAATCATAGGGATAGTCCAGGCAGAGACAGATGAGTTGATCCTCTTGAGCCCCTGGAGCCAGGGCCAAGATCAGCAGGAGGGGCTCAGAGTAGGGCAAAGCCAAGGAAGGGATGATATAAACCACTGGACCCGCCCTTCCTCACCGAAGAGAAAACTCTTTGCAGAGGTGGTTTATCTGGCAGCGACCTTTACCATGGGCACTTTCTGGACCGTGGAAGTCGTCCAAGTTCAAGTTGACTGTCCTTCGATTCTGCTACTTGGCTCGCCTTTTGCTTGGCGGTGGCTGAACAGGGTCGGTGTGGCTTGGGAGGTACAGTACAGTAAGTCAATGTGGCGTCGGTATACGATGTCCAACCTGCATCCATCTGCCTGGCCGACTCATGCTCTCCCTCCCCTCACTCAATCATGAAGGCTATCTCTGCATCAAGATACTTCTAGAGCATACCTATTACTGCGACAACGTTGATCGATCGCTCCGCAAGCCTAGCTGACCGCAGTATCTGGCGGCGATAACCGGATGGCGCAAGCAAGAAGGCCAACTTACTGCTGAGGCCTTTCCCCAGGAGACGTGCAGTAACTACAAGGTAGCCGCCCTCGTCACATCTTCAGCCAGCTTGGGCATCGAGGCCATCGAATCGTGGACGAATGACGACACGAATCCAAACCCTCCTCTCACCCCGACCCCAACAAGATGAGCTCACCACCAGCCGGACATTGCACAGCTTCGTATCGTCAACTTCAACCTGCAGTCACCTAAGCGAGATCGCAGATCCCTGTTCTTGTCCGCTGTACTGCTCGCTCAATGGTTGACACGACACATGAGCAGATTTGTCTGCGGGATCCTAGCTTGGCGTGCAACGCTGCCGACGTGATTACGAACTCGCCCATCGACGTGGCCGTTGGCCCGACCATCAACCGACCACTACCTTGCTCTGGTCAAGGTACTCGATCCCTGCTCTTGGTCGGTATGGGACCCCCCGGCCTTGATTTGCGCGCCTCCCGTCAATTCAGCGGATCCTGGTTGTCGTTCCGGGATCCGTTCACTACTTCACCACGAATCCACGTTGTGCTTGAGTGCGCCCGAGCCTGGTTAACGGCAGCTGCTATCTTGATTGGCATCCAAAGCACCCGTTCCTATCGGATACCAGCGTACAGTTGTGGCCCTATCCGCCGGGGAAAGCTGGCCATCATCCGCCTTGGCCGTAGCAACGTCAGCGATCGCCGACTTTTGCCCAAGGGCCATCGCGACGGAGCGATGAGGGGATTGGCAACGACCTGAAATTACGTGGTGCGTCTGTCTCGCCCTAGACCCCGTGTGTGTGAGCTGATGGGCAAGTATACACCCGCAAGAAGCGACATCCTGGCCCAAAGCCAGAGCTGAGGCACGGCATTCGCTATTACCCCGCGAAGTATGTCCCATCCCAAACTCCCCATCTATCGTTTCCCTGTGCTGATCTCCCGGGGGCGGAAGGGGAAGGGGCATCGGAAAATTACGTTCAGGCTATCCAGGATCCGATGGACTCATATAGAGCCAGATATAGTATGAATAGTCATCAGCCAAGCTCAACCACCACTGCTATCCACCAGATGGAAGACGGCCAGATGGAAGAGGGCCGGACGGTAGGTACATGCGAAGTCTCCGAATACTGGCGAAGAAGCAATCAGCAACGGGGACCGGTGTGTGTTTTTTTCTTCTTCTTTCTTTTTTCCTCTTCTCACAATCCACGAAGAAGGAGGCTCTCACTCATCCCCGCGTCCGTGAAGTTGGGAGGGGTTGTTCGACGATGAAAGGCCAGCAGTAGGACTGAGTTCTCTTCATCGAACTTTACTCTTCAAGTTCTCTGCCTTTTTCCACATTTTGAAGCAAAAATTGGAGTATCCTTGTAGTATTCTTGCAGTATCCTTGCCTTGGTACCTAAAGCAAGCGACGTTTTCAGTATGAATTCGAGCTTCATGGCCGCTCTCGTCGACGAAGTATCCGGCCGTATGAAAATACGTGCCGCACACTTGGACAGTGTCATAAAAATTGTGCTACTGGATGCAAGAGAAGCAACCACTCTGGCCCACGTGGAGGTAAGTCAGCAGGTAGTCTTTCTTCTTACTCAGTTGCTTCTTGCCTCCTTGCCTTCAAACATCGCTGACGAGCAGACTGCGTTGACAGGCCGAAATAGCCTTTATCATTGACACGAACACGAATGTAGTGAAAATACAGAGAGCGTTGCTGAGGGAATTCAACCAAGGCCTGTACGGTTATTTTCTTTTGTCCCAGAGCCAGCTTCAATTCCGAGCCCCCCGTGCCTTCAAGGCAACCGCTTCCATCACTTTAGTCCCATGGGACCAGATTGATGTCACAGCTAAGCTGAGCGAGCAGGTGATGATGGACATGGTGGAACTGGACAAGCTCCCCAACAGCAAGCCCCCCAGGATCACACGGGGTTGGCAACTTTCCGCCGAGGACTTGGTTCGCCAGTATCGTGATCAGGCGGGTGGAAGGATGGAGGATGAGGAGGAAGGGGGTGAGGAGGAAGAGGAGGAGGATGATAAGGGGGTTGTTGGGTGTCTGAAGAAGAGTTTGGTTGGCTTCTTAGAATACCTTGTCGGCGTGGTGCCTTTGAAAGATACGTTTATTCTCTCCTTTGCAGGCGCTCTTTTCCTTGTCTGGGCCTTTGTAACTAGGAGAAGGTAAACTGAAGTAACCAGATTGATTGGACTATTTTACTTGGATTCGAATCATGATAATGGCTATATTGTATCTTGGGAAAAACCCGTAAAGAGCATAGAAACTCATTCGAAGAAATAGTAAACCGACCTAAATACACCATCTGCCCTAAGCAGTTAAGATGGTTGACGATAATGCCGGGACCACGGATCAGTTCGGATACAGGCTCCAAACCTAATACTCTCACGAATCTCACTGAGGGAATTATCGATATCCGGATGCAAGTAGAAGATGGAATTGTCCTCCTCCTCGAGTCTCTCCTTGAGCACATAGGGCAGCATAGGGAACGGACTGGGGTGAGGGAAGAATCCAGCTTCTTTAAAGCGCCAAGCAAACTCATTCATCACCGGGGAATGCCTCACACCCTTGGAAATCCAGGTCGATAGGGCAGTGGTCGAGAACGTCCTGAGGATTAGAAACGCCCTGTCGGCTTGGCTGGCTTCTCGCCCGGAGCAGAGCCTTCCAGTAGTCCTGAAAGATGGGTTGGTACTCCTCCATCCGAAACCAGGCCGGCTCTAGACCAACCAGGCTGGGCTGGAGGCTCTGCTGGAAAGCGGGATTCCGCACACAGTTATGAATCCTGAAGCGGGCTTGCCGCTGTTCAACACGATAATCTGGCGTCGTCATCGAGCCGAAGATACTCCGCAACGCGTACACCCACTCAGTGCGCAGCAGCGGGCACCTATGCTTTTTTCCAATAAGCAACATGGGTGAACGGGACCTGAGGTACCGGTCTCGGAAAGCAAGGCGAATGAGGGTCTCCACCAGGCGCGCCGGAAAGAGCATCTTGATCTCATGGGGTAGGCCCCAGTCTTTGAGGCGCTTATCGCTCGAGACGATATAGGTAGTGTCGTCCCGAGCTGGCCGGCCCAGCCGGGGCGCTGGAAGGGGGAAACAGTAATCATCGTGGCAGAACACGTTTAAATCCACATGAATTTGTTCCCCTGGGGCTGGCTGTAGATGGAAAACATGAGTCGGTAACCACCACGCGGTCAAAAATCGCCCTTCCAAGCCATAGATGTAGTTGCATGGCGCTCCGTAGAGTTTCGTGTCGGGGTCCTCCTGGAGCTTCTTATCATTGACCCAGTGAGTACTATCGTCGAATTTTGGCGCCGCGCAATACCTGGATTGCCTTGGTAAGATTATCAACGCGATTTGCATCGATGACTAGGTCAATGGAGATGATCGGGTTCTTGCTTCCGAAAAACCGCCACATCACATCATTGATCACATAGGCAGCAATATCATGTTTCTCCGAAAACCCGAGAATATTCCCAACCAGGATGAGATCCACCGGCTGGCCGGTATACTCAGACGGTTCAGTCTCTTGCGCAGGCTCTGGCTTGGCTCGTCGCGTGGCTCTATTGAGCTGCCATCCCTCTGGCCTCGGTTTATCCCAGCCATCAAAATCGTCAAAGATGAAAACGGCAGGGTCGAGTTCGCCAGGCCCAAAGGCCCCCCCCCCAAATACTGGTGAGCCATTTTTCTTGTATCGAGGAAAGACTGGACAGACTGGTATAGATTGGAGGTGGTGAATTGAAGTAAACTGTCTGATGCTGGGTGCGTTTGTGATGATGGTCCCTAGGATGAGCTGTCTGTGCCTCTGTATTTATATCCCGCAAAAGGCGATCGAGATCAGACTGACTACACACTCTTTGCTCTCCATGAAAGAGTGGAGCCATCAGAGAAGAGATAATCACCACGTGTGGGGCATTGTCCTCTCCCTTCTTCGCGCGTGTTGATCTATCATGGCACTGCGATCTCGCCCTCTAGTCTTCGCAGACACAGAAAGGCAAGTGTGACGCCTTTGTTGTTGCTGCAAACATTGTTCTTGCAATGAAAATGAGGTCCAGTAGAGTTTATGGATCGGAACTAAGACCAAAAGCCCAAGAATCTTTTACCGTCGCACATCCAGACTGAAGGGGTGAGGTTCACTTTGCCATCATGTCGGGATTCATCTCTCGGCGACCTTTCAGCCCTTGTTCTTGGACCACAAAGATTGACTTGCCTGCATCACCCATAACACGTCTTTGGTGGAAGCCAACTCGGTGGTATCAGTCAAATGATGAGGCAGATAGACCCCCGCCCACTCGGTTAGAATACTGTGCCTAGCTTTGTCCCTTTATCTAGGGAGAATGCTGACATCGCGAGATCAGCTCCATGCAGCCAGGGCCGTATAAAGCGAATCAAGGTGTTTCCTGCCACATGATGGTTATAGCAACCGGCATAAATGCATCAGATGATAGATGATTCGAGTCTCTTGAAAGACAAGCTACTCCGTGAGGGTTATAATAGTCGGTATTGTCAGTCCGCTCATACTCATGGCTCACCAATTCACGAACCTGGTTAAATAAGTATCAATGCTCGACATTCTCATAGCTAGTTAGTTAGTTAACGAGGTTCTGGCCATCAGGTGATGATTAAGAAAGCGCCGTGCAGAACTTTTCTGCCTTACAATCTTGCTGCCTCACTGCCTCGCCGCCTCGCTTGCTTGGTAAGGTGGATGTCATGGCCTCATGATGGCAACCTCACCATATAGACTGAGTGCCCTCACCAGATTACTGGTTACGTACTATCTGAGTATATTACTAGTTGACTTGGCACCATCTGACTATACTTGATCGCCAGCTTAGCTCGGAGCTCTTCCATGTCGCATGCAGTCTTAATCGATTTATTGCCTCCACGAAGACACACAACCTATAACATGTGATCTTGAAACTTTCCCAACCTGAGAAACAGAGGCTCTTTGAAAACAGTAATCACCCTAAAAGTCCTGCGGTCTGGCATCTTGCAACAGCTCCGGATGGAGAAGATAGAATGGACTGAGTTCCTCCACATACCCACATGCTGGGTCACTCATAGAATATCCGATGAACTTTTGAGTAGCATGATCATAGGTCTTGACCACCTCCTGCGGGACTGCGAGATACTGGTTCTCCTCCTGTCTGAAATATCCTCTCACCGCAAAAGTCGCATACGCAATGCGACGTTCACCCTGGGTTGTATTGTTTCCACCTCCATGATAGATGGAGGAGAACATGATCAGAGCATCGCCCTTCTCCAGCTCGGCAACGACACAGTCCTCGGCACTGGGCGGCGTAGTTCTCTTGGTTCCCCTAGATATAAGTCAACACGAGGTCTGCCCAGGGTTCTATGGGCAGGTACAAGGTACCATAGATGACTCCCCAAGATGAATTGGGTCCCCCCGTTCTCTCGGGTGACCTTGCAGCCAGCTACCATCATCCCCAGTGCCGTCTCGCGGTTCTGGTCCCGCTCATCGTCCCACTTACTGATTTCGGGGAGAATGTTGTGGTTGATGTAAGAGTCTCGGTGCAACGGCTGGGCTTTGGCACCAGGTCCAACCTCAATGCCTGTACATGAAGTCACGTACGGCTTGGACACTGACTCCTTCTGTTGATCACCCCACCAGAACACGCTGCGCGTGGTGAGGAAGTACGCACAAATGGCCTGGAACAATGGGTTCATCACTTGGGTCTTGGTGTAGGTAGGACTCAACGCGATCATCGACGGTGCCCGCCGGGTTTCCTCTGCCACGGTCAGCATCGGCACGCTATAGCTCTTGAGAAGAATGTTATATAAGACGAGGAATTATACTCGGGAAAAAGCTGCCATTCCATTCAAGGTCACGGTTGAGTCTCTCTTGAATGTCCTGATTTACTTGATCGACGTCTTCGACCGAGACGAGCTCTTTCACGACCACACAGCCGTCGCGCTTGATTATGCTGAGGATCTCCTCCAGAGGGGTGTCTTTAGAGACTGACTGAACCCCGGGCTTGCTGTCCGTGATCTCTGTCATGTCGGACTTTGGTCGCGGAAATCTCGTGCTGATGTCTCGAAGTTGGGGTGGAGGCTAGGGCATCGGATCAGCCATTATATTTTCGTTGAATCTGTGAGCACAGTTTATCGCCATGAAGAAAAAACACCGCATAATACCGTCTCTTTCACCTTCGTGCTCATGCACGATTGGACTAAGTGTCGGAGCGGATTGAATTACGCATGTTTGATCAAGGCAAACACAGATGACTCACGGATTTTGAGGGACAAGCAAGCGCCTAACGCAAGTGAATCTTGGGCACCCAAAGACAGCGTTTTGCTTTGTTCAATGACGTACGTACAAATCCACAACTACTGCTCGTAAAATCGAGGTCGATCCTGCACGCCGAATCAGCCGCGCCAGCTCTAGATAAGGAAGCAGCTGTGTATCTCCACAGAAGCATCAACCTCTTTTCCCCATCCTCGATTTGACCATTGACCCCAAAAGACAAAGGGAAATGCAAAATTCCCAGGACTACGTCATTCCTCAAGGCTCCTTGATCCTAGTCACTGGAGCCAATGGCTACATCGCCTCTCATGCTGTCAACATCTTGCTCCAGAGGGGATACAAGGTCCGAGGCACAGTCAGAACGGCGAAGCCGTGGCTCGATAGACACTTTACGAACAATTATGGAGGAAGCCTCTTTGAAAGTATCACCTTACCGACCTTGGACGACCCGGCAGCGTGTCGTCGAGCAATGCAAGGTGTTTCTGGGGTCCTGCACATCGTATGTTTAGAAGACTGGCCTGGAGCCTGAATAGAGCTGAAAGTTCATTCATTTCATTGATTTAGGCTTCGGACATGTCATTCAGCAGTGACCCCAATGCAGTGATTCCGTGGGTGAAACGAGCAACAGTCAACCTCCTTGAAGCGGCAGCCAGTCAGCCATCGGTGAAGCGTTTCGTGCTCACCTCTTCTTCTACCGCCGCACTCCTTCCGACTCCTGGTGACGCTGGGATTCGAGTGGATGAGAGTAAGCTGCTCCCTCCCATAATTAAGTACAAGGACTGAGTAAATCAAGATACATGGAACGGGATCTCCGTCAAGGCAGCCTGGGATGCATCAACCTCCCCTGCGACAAGGGCTTATCACATTTATTCAGCAGCCAAGACCGAACAGGAGCATGAAAGCTGGCGATGGGTGAGAGAGCAGAAGCCCCGATTCGAGTTCAATGCCGTTGTTCCGAATTCAAACGTAAGTGCGTACAGAGCTGCGAGAACTGCTATATTTTCTGAAAAAGTACAGTTTGGCCGCATCCTCCACCCTCAGATTTCAGGGTCGAGTATGATTCGAGTGAGGAACATTCTTTGCGGGGACGGCTCGGTCATGAAAGAATTTCCACCGCGTCAGTGATATTTTCCCACCCACAAGACAGATTCTCACTAATCCTGATCCAAAGGACAGAATGGTATGTGAATGTCGAAGACACCGCACGGCTGCATGTCATTGCCCTGCTCTGCCCATCTGTCAAAGGAGAACGCATCTTCGCGTTTGCCTCAGAGTTCAATTGGACCGACGTGGTCGACATCCTTAGAAAACTCAGACCAGAAAATGCATTGATCCCTGACCCGCCTGCTAACGAAGGGCGCGACCTGAGCGACATTGTCCTCTCTCGTCGAGCACGGCAGTTGCTGCATGAATTCTACGGACAGCCTGACTGGGTCAGCCTGGAGGAGACAATCGCAGCTGGAATTGAAGATATGGCATAGCATAGACCTAGCTAGCTCGCCCATAGCGTAGCACCCATCATTCTTTCCCCAAGTGCTCAATGACCAATCCGTCAAACCGTACATCGAATGCCTCTGCCTCACTAGAGGGATTGGCAACATAGACGCCCACCCAACACTCCTCGACGCCCTGCGCAGCAAACACCCACACCAGTTCTCGGAGAATCTCCCTCTCCAGCGCGCCACTGTCCCCTCCCCTCAGCTGAATGACCTCCAAGTTCTGTCCTCGCCTCGCGATTTCCAAGGTGACCGTTTTGTACGCTCCCTCTTGCGTGATCACGCCCCCGGCACTGCAATCCGGCCAACGGTCTTTGCCCACCGTAGAAAGAATCTGTCGGCCTTCCATGAACTCCATCCCTGTCTTGACCCATTTTCGACTGCCGTCAGACTGCGGGATGACCAAGGCTAACCCTCCTTGCGCAAATGGCTCATCCAGGTCAGCCGTGATTGTGACCCGGGCCCGTCCGAATGCAACCAGAGTGAGAATCTGGTAGAGAATGGGGGCCGTGAAGACGCATGTGTCCGGCGGACTGTCCCATAGGTCAGTTGAGGGAGGCGCGCGTAGCGAGAAGCTGGAAGCAAGTTTGTCTGGGGATGGGAGTGAGGCAGGAGTGTTGGTGATGCGCCAGGGGGGCATTGTGTGCTGGCTGCTGGCGGCGATGGTTTGATCGATGGTTTGTTTGCTCGAGGAATGAGAGGCGCTCGTCCACTTGGAAACATAGAGCAATGGAGTCTCTCTATACTGTGTCTGACCGGATGCAAGCGGCTTTTAAATATATCCATCACAATTGTGAAGGGTGTGCAGAAGCTGCAGATGTTTGCTTGTCGGCCGAGGGGAAGGTCGACCGTGACGTGGCGGGTGGATTGCCAACAGCAGTCGATGGGGATATAAACTTAGGTGCTGATTCCTATAATCAGCGAGTATTGGGGTAAACTCGCTGCAACAATCATGGGTGTCACGCATCTCGTGCTGTTCCAATTCAAGTCCGGCCTGACTCAGGAGGTGATCAATCAGGTATGTATGTACAGTACGCTGTGCAGCTACCCGGGAGACGTGATGAAATGCAGGAATCTAACAAATGATTAATCCTATGATGGTGGTCTAGGCCTGTAAAGATGTTATTGCCCTAAAGCATCGATGCCTTCACCCAGAAACCGGAAAGCCTTATATTGTCTCCTTCAAGGGAGGCAAGGATCATTCACCCGAGGGTATGCAAGTGAGTAGTACCCTAAGTCCGAGGCCATGGTTTTACATTGTCGAGTCTGAACTCAAAACGCAGCATGGAGTTACACACGGATTTGTAGCCGAGTTCGAGTCGCCCGAGGACCGTGACTATTACGTCTCCAAGGATCCGATTCATTTGGGGTGGGGAAAGGAGCTCAAACCTCTGGTTGACAACGTCATTGTAGTGGACTTCACCGGGGATGTTTTGTAAAGGGACAGCTGTGACGCTGAAGGAAACCTGGAATTGTCGACTACAAAGCGACGTTCTAATGGAGCGATTATTACAGACAATGTCTCACTATTCATGATTCCTAGCTCACATACTATCACTTCCAAAGGCTTCTCTCACGAACTGTCCCTGCTCTCATTCATTAACATCTCGACTTTGTGTTGGAAATCCGCAAAGATAGCAATAGCCTTGTACTGTCTTTAGTCTCAAGAGCGCACTCAACTTGGTTTGAAACCTAGCACACTCACCTGATATAAACGAGTCTGTCCGCGCCCCCCATCGCTGGCTGCAAACTGCACACGGTAGCCTGCTTCATCGTCAATATAGCTTCGACGAGCCTGCTGTTCTGCCGTCGTAGCCTTCCTTTTGAACAAGGACTTTGACTCGAGTGATGCGACCGTCTCATTCATCGATGCCAGATTCTCCAAATCCTCGGGCGGGATTGTATGGGCGGCTACGCCACTGAGCTGCAGAATCTCGTTGATGGACATGCAGCTGCACGCCTTGACTCTAGTGGAGATATTATGCTGGGTGAAGTACTCTTGGACTTGAACACAGAGGTTCAGCAAGGGATCTTGGTCTTTGTATCTACTCACATTGTCAGTCCCAGCGTCAACTGTGATGGAACCACCGGAAACTCACGTCGGATCAAATCCTGCCTTGAGCTCATGCACGAAAGGAGAAATTGAGACACAGCCCGCTTCACCCGCGAGGACTGCTTGCTCCATCGTAAAGACGGTGGTGGCCAGCGTCTTGATGTCTTGTGCCTTCAGGGCATGGCAGGCCTTCAGCCCTTCGAAGGTGGCAGAGACCTTGATTACCACGCGCGAAAGATCGAAATGCGGGTCGACGTGTTTGAAGATCTCATGGTACCCTATTTTCCTCATTGTAAGTACAGATCTATGCGACTAGCTGGTTGCGCACGCGACTTACGCTGGCACGTCTGGATTACTTTCGTGGTTGAAAATGCATGGCAGGGATTGACCATGACATGGACGGCGCCAGTGATGTAGGGGATTACTCGGACAGCCAGTAGAACAGTCTATAATCAATCAGAGGGGCACTTGAAGTATCATTTATGATCAGCACTCACAGCGACCTCAACTCGGAGTTCTGCGAGGGTAATTCCGAAGTAACGGCCATGGATGTCTTCACAGATCTTGATTGCTTGGGAAACGATGTCTTTGTTTTCTTCTTTCTCGAGTTGAAAGTATGACTCGGCCTACAGATTGGTTTCATTAACTCCAGATGCCTTGCTATCGAGGTATATACGTACGGGATTAGAAGTCGCGTCAACCCAAGGCCCATCGGGCCCTCCGTTACGGGCCGCTGAGCAGTCGTCAACAATGAGTCTAAAGCATAGAGAACAATATTACCTTTAAGATCCAAACTATCCAAGTCGACCTGGGTTCTAGACCGAAGATGCACCAGAACGTTCACAGTAGTGTCGGTCATGCTGAATAATACTGCGCGTCCTTCAAAGTCTCAATCTGTGTTCCAGACAGTTTACTCGAATTCCCACTGGTAGCAGGCAAAGATGATGAAGTACTCCACTAGCCCCCATTATAGAGCTCTAACACTGGACATAGAATTGCAGACGCTTCGCCGCCGCCTCATCATGATGGCATATCAGCCTACAAAGAGTCTGTATGACGCGGCATTCAGTCTCAATCACGATTCGCAAAAAAACGTTTAGACCAACATCATATCTACCTCCTTCCAACTAACCCCTGGACCCCATTGATACCCCCCAGCCTCAATTCAAACGGACCACCCTCTCCAAGTCCTCCGCCAGTATCCGGTGAAAATGCGACCGAGGATGATAATTGTCCCACCAGACACACCCCTTGCCCATGCACCGCTCATCCCTGAACCCATACCCCATTGGGTCATCGAGGACGTCCGACATGGACGCGAACACATCGTAGATCACCATTGTCGTCTAATGTACAACAGACAAAATTCGACCGAGTCCGAATCAGCAGCAATACGATCAAACAACAAACCAAGCGATTGCTGTCTGCGCTGGCTGCACTCGCCGACAAACCGGGTTGCAAACTTACATCAGGGTTCGCCTGACGCCACCGGGTCACCATCTCCACCAGCTGAAGATTGAACGCCTTCACCGTAGTCAGATGGCGGGCTCGTCGCTTCTCATCGTAGGTCAGCATCTGCGGGGTACGGGTGATCGGAGGCACATTGAGCACCAGGAAGTGCCGGGCACCGCAATCATACAGCTCCTGCAGGAGGTGGGCATAGGTGTCAAGGGCTGCCGTGATCTGAAGGATCGGGTCTGGGGACAGGTAGCTGAATTGCACGCTATTGTCCATTGCGGTGTTTGCTTTGAGTTAGAATGCAAGGTCTGAAGACTTGGGAATCGGGCTAGCATGTAACACAAGCAGTGATATGAAGGGCAGAGCTTACTCGTTGATTCCGATCCAGATTGCAAATAGGGCTGCATCGGTGGTCCAGGCCGGGGTTGTTGGCGGCGCGGATGTTTCGGTTGCTGTCCTACTCGTGACGCAGTAATGCTGCCGGAACTGGTATGACACCTGGTACACTAGATCTCCGGGTTCGTTGGGAATCACCGTGTTGTCAATGGTGGCGCCATACACGGCCAAGTTGTAGCTGAGGGTCAGTGTGTGGTTGAAGCTGGTGGCCAGGTATCCTACCCAGTTGATCCCGTCGGCGGCCGTGCCGAGACCTGTTCGTATCGCACTCGAAGCGTCAGTGAATCGGGTTCCGCGGATAGCAAGCTCCCCGAGAGACAGATTCATCTCACCGAGAGAGGGATTGCCCATGGGGTGGCTGGGGGATGGCTGCATTGATGACACATTGAAACTGGTGGTGGTGTATGAATCGCCACTGCATATGCTCAGTCTCGAGACGATTAGGGCCCAGGGGTCGGAGAGATCTCCCTACAACGTGAACAGATAGCTAACATTGCTACCCAGAAGCTCGGATACTGGCATGGCCAGTCCATGCGAGAGAACATGTTGGAGTCTCATCTTGAATGCAGATTCTGTATCCTTCCGCCTTGAACGGGAGTTCGTCTGTATAACGTGGTACTGTGCACTATTTATTCGACTGCGCGAACCCGTCCTGCACACAGCTCAGAAATGGATATGGTAGTCAGCCCAGGCTCAAAGGTTTGTTCAGCGCTAAGGACACATGGTGACACAAATCTTCGTGATCTCTCCAGATCGGCGAGCTGGCATGAATCAACTCGACTGTAGCCATACTCAGAGATGACTTTGTGCGACCTCACAAATTTCGCGGGGTGACTGATGCAAGCGAGTCACAGTCAATGTTGAGCCATAGCTGACCTCTCTGAGTCTAGCATCTACGAAGGAAGAAGGACTTCCTGGGATGGTTATAGCAAGATCTGAGTCGTGTAATATCAAGGAAGAATGCGGAGAATAATAACCTTTCATGCATTGCAAACATACTAGCATAAGTAATAATGCCTCGTAAACTAACACGTTGCCACTTGGTAAGCAGACTTCCAATTCAAAAGCCTTCCATGGAGTCATATGCAAGAATGCTGCGATCAGCATAGCCCTCCCTGCTGCTTCGCTCTACGCATCACACTTCTTCGCATCTCGGACCAATTGCTCCGCCTTGGTCTGGAAGTCACAGAATATATGGATCGCCTAGAGGAAATATCAGATAAGATAGTCGAAAGCTCCAAGGTGCTAAAGACAACGTACCTGGCCCAGTTTTAGCTGTGCGCGACCTTCTTCAGCTCGAGCAAAGGCCGTACGATAACCTGCCTCGTCGTTGACGTAGGACGGATAGGTCACCTTAACTTGCAGTGTGCTCAGACCTTGAAACAATGACAAGCTTTGTACTTCGGCTTCGTTCTTCTGAGTAGTTTGCAATAACTTCAAGTCGTCTGGGACCAAAGTGAATGCTGCAACACCGGCCAACTGCAAGATCTCGTCTAACCCCATCGTAGCACACGCCTTGACCTTGGTCGGTAAAGACTCCTGCAGATACCACTGCTGGGCCTGAACACACAGAGGTAGCAATGAGTCCGAGCCCTTATAGCTTGGCTGGAAAATTGCCTTGAGCTCATGCACGAAGGGTGAGATGGAGACGCAACCAACTTCTCCGGCCAACACCGCCTGTTCCATGGTGAAGAGGGTAGTGGCCAGTGTCTGGATACGAGAATAGTGCAGCTCCCGACAAGCTTGAAGTCCCTCCCAGGTAGCTGCAATTTTCAAAACAAGGCGAGACGGATCGAAAGATGGGTCAATCTCATGAAACAAATGATGCAGTCCTGTAGACGAGTTAGCTGTCAGCGCAAGTCAGGGCAGGCGATATGTGACTCACTCTTTGCGGCTTCTACCGTTTTGCGTTGATAGTACGCATAGTTAGGATTGACCATGATATGGATATTTCCTGTTACAAATGGTCGAACTTGAATTGCCAGAAGTATAGCCTAGATTCTGTATCAGTTTCCGGTATATGATGACAATGCTCATACTTACCCCGATCTCGATAGTCAGTTCTTCCTGTGTAACTGTGGGATACTGGTCAAGTAGCTGAGTAGCAAGCTCGATAGCCTTGTCGAGCACGCTTCGTCTGCTGTCTTTAGAGAGCTCTGTATAGTACTCATACTGTGTCCAAATAGTCAGTGGGAAACCTGTAAAATTCGGCCACAATCTTACTTGATTTGACGTGCAATCAATGCATTGCTCAACCTCGCGTGCCGCTCCAGAAGACTTAGCTAGTATTCATCTTCACAAAACTCGTTAAGGGGGTCTATACCATCCATGTCAAATGTGTCCAAATCTACCTGAGTCTTCGAGCGCAGGTAGTCGAGTAGCTTGATCTGTGAATTCTCCATTGTGATTTTAATGAGACGTGGGTTCTGATCGTGCAACACTGGCGATGTTGATTAGATGCTTTGCTCTTCGACTGTGGAATATAATAGCAATGATATTTAGCCTTTAAATATAGATATCTTCACGATAGACTGCCAGTTTGTCGATCGTAGCTGAGATTACTTGCTATCAGCGAACCATAGCACTTGATTTTGACAATACTCCCAACTCCAAGGTGACACTGCTGCAGATTTCGTCACAGATCAATCTCATTGTCTGCACCTTCAGTCAGCGCCGAAATTCTGGATCCGGAATGAATAAGAACCGAGGATTGATAGCCCAGCGGAGGCTACAACAGGTCGACGCGTCCTGAGTAAACTGCAAAGTCAAAGGGAAGGTTGTAGATCGGTTATCAATGAAATCAAGCTCGCTCCTGGCGCTAAGTAGGTCTCTCCTTTGTGCAAACAGAATTGGATCTGTTCATAGCATGACGGAGTGGCAGAATGAATTCTTTTCTGTAACGTTTGTCGACTTTTGTTGCTGTACTTGCCCAATCTTTCTTCGAAGCTTAGCATTTCTGTTTACTCCTGTCTAGCGCGTTATTTCTCGAATATGTCGAATGAAGAAAGGCCTAGCCTTGGTCTGGCCCAGCTCCTGGAGCAGAAGGTGCAGCTATTCGCAGATGAAATCGCCATTGAACAAGGTGCTCAAAGCATCACCTTCTGCCGACTGCACGAAAAAGCTTTGACAATTGTCGGTAAGCTTCACGAGCACGGGGTCACGAAAGAGCAGCCCATTGGGATCCTGACCTCCAGAGGCATCGACCATATTCTGGCTCAGGTGGCCGTGGTGTATGCAGGAGCGACTTGTGTGCCCTTGGATGCTGACCTTCCGGATCACCATCTCGAACGACTACTGCTCCATCTGGGTACCTCTCTCGTTCTGTCCGATAGCTTCAACAGCCATCGACTTCCCAACTGGAGACACCTGCTTATCAACTGCCACGCTGGTAGTGGGGATGCGGTCGATGGCACTGTGGTGTCTGACAATAAGTCAAACTGCTGCTCGCATATCTTACACACATCAGGGTCAACCGGCCAGCCAAAGGCTGTGCAGGTGCTGGCCGCAGGCCTGATCAACCTCGTCTTCAACGAATTTGCCCCTATCGGCCGAGGACACCGGGTTGCTCATGTCTGTAATGTGGGGTTCGATGTATCATTGTGGGAGATCTGGTCTTCCCTCTTACATGGAGGGACGGTCGTTGTCTTCCAACGAGAAGAGTTCCTCGATCCCGTGATATTCGAGCGGCGATTGCAAGTTGATCGCATCGATGTGATGTGGCAGACGACCTCTCTTCTCGCCACTATCGCCCATACCTGCCCCCGTGCATACTCGCATGTGGACAGTTTACTGACCGGAGGCGAGGCCATCCATCTCCCTACCATTCGAACCATCTTCGCCAATGGTCCTCCGCGGAGATTGTTCAACGTCTATGGACCGACGGAATTGTCCGTCTTCACGACATACCATTTGGTGTCACCTGCAGATGTCGAGCAAGGAGAGATTCCCATTGGCAAGCCGCTCAGCAGCTATGACGCCTTTGTGGTTGACGAGGACCTGCAGCCGGTGGCACCAGGCAGCATTGGGGAACTGGTAGTGGGTGGGCCAGGAGTGGCAGCAGGATATTTTGGCCAGCCAGAAAAGACATCACAGGTCTTTGTGTCTGCACCCCAGCTTCATCAGCGATGTCAAACCATCCCTGGCTTGTTCTATCGTACAGGCGACCTGGTTCGGCAGAATGAGACTGGCCTGATCGTCTACCTTGGCCGTCGCGACAACGAGGTCAAAGTGCGCGGGCAGCGAGTAGACCTGGGATCGATCGAGGGAGCGCTGCTGGCAACACAACTCGTGGTTCGTGCAGTGGCTCTAAGAATTACGCTGGATGAATTAGACGGAGGATCTGCTTTACTCGCATGCGTGATTCCCTTCTCCCCCAGGATCACCCTCGACGCGATTCGCCAGTTATATGTCGAACAAGCGCCGCACCTGATGGTACCGCGAATCCAGGTGGTGAACCGAATCGCTCTCACGGGGAGTGGGAAGGTTGACCGAAAAGCGCTGGCGAGTGACTATCTCAAAACCCTCGAACAGATGTCACCGAGAGAGAACCACGCCGCTGAAAGTGCTGAGGAGCAGATGCGAGCCCTCTGGCAGGAATTACTGGGCCTCCCCAATGCCAGCTTCCATCCCGACGACGATTTCTTCTCTCTTGGTGGCACATCCCTTCATGCGGCACTTCTGGTTTCGCGGATCAAGAAATCTTTCTCTCGAGATGTTCGTGTCTCACGGCTCTTTGAGAACTCTTCTTTCCAGGGAATGTGTGCCCTCGTTCGCGATAATCAAGGCAATCGCAACAACTCGGAGGAGGCGCAGTGGCAACGCGACTGTCGTCTGGGGCTCGAGCTACGCCCTCTGTCTCGCTCGCTTCCAGACTGGCGCAGTGCCTCGGAGGGAGTCGTTTTTCTGACTGGAGCGACAGGGTTTGTCGGTGCATTTGTTCTGGCCGGGTTACTTTCCTTACCCCAGGTCCAGACGGTGGTGTGTCTGGTTCGCGCCTCTGATGCCGTTCATGGCCACCTGCGTATCCGCAAGGCTCTGCTCAAATATAGTCTCATGCTGGAGCCCGGCCAAGAGGCAAGGATCCTACCAATTGCGGGGGATATTGCCGAAGATTATCTGGGTCTGACTCCCCAGCAGTATTCGTGGCTGTCGCACTGGGCAAGCGTCGTGTTTCATCTTGGCGCGCATGTCAACTTTGTGCAGCCTTACTCGAGCCACCGAGCTGCAAATGTGCTCGGCACCTTGAACATGATCCGTTTCGCTAATACTGGGCGCACCAAGGCTCTCCACTATACCTCGAGTATCAGCGCCTACGGGCCCACCGGCATGGTGAACGGATATACTCACTTGGCTGAGGAGGAGCAACCATCTGCGCATATGTCGGCTCTCTCCTTTGCCATGGGGTATGCCCAGAGCCAGATGGTCGCTGAGGCGATTGCTTGGAATGCAATCTCGCAGGGGCTGCCGGTGGCGATCTATCGACTGGGGTTTGTCTTGGGGCATAGTGAGACAGGGACCATGAACCCGGATGACTTCCTGGCGCGGGTTATTGCAGCCAGCCTGCAGTCAGGCTGTTATCCCCTGTTGTCTGGACATCGCGAAGACATTGTCCCGGTGGACTGGGTCGTGTCAATTCTGTTGCATATCTCTTCGTCCTCGGAGCATATCCGTCAGGCATATAACGTGGTGCATCCAACGCCGGGTTCTGGCCTGGAGCTGTCGACGATCTTCACCCTCCTCAACCAGCTGCGAGGCCAGAGTCCCCTTCGTGGAGTCCCATACTCCGAGTGGGTTGACGTCCTATCACAGACGCAAGAAAGTCCCTTGCGGTCATTGCTGCCCTTGTTGGACGAGAAGGTCTGGGAAGGACGCAGTCTATGGGAGATGCAACAGGAGATGCCCGAGTTTGCCACAGATAGTCTGTGTAAAGCATTGGCCGATGCTCCAGAGTTGCTGCAATGTCCTTCCCCTGCCTCTCTTGTCGTTCGATACCTTCCCCACTGGTTGAAGGGCAATACTTTGTGATGGAGACATTGATCCTAATTATGAATATGTGTCTGTGTGTCTGTGTGTATAAATTGTTGAAATAGTTGTTGGATAACTGAATGCTCTGAACTCTTTGCCCACCAACTAGAAGCTCTCTACATTCAACCATATTCACTCTGGATATGTTATGTCACCCTGTAGACTGACCTCAGTTCCGACCCATCAAGCGAGACGGACTCTCAGAGTCCATCTCCTCTTCCTCTGCTGTAGGCAGTCTTCGACGCACTCGACACGGACTTCCATACGCCACCGAATAGGGAGGGATATCTCTCGTCACGATCGAGCCAGCCCCGATGGTTGATCCCTGTCCGATTGTCACGCCAGGTAGAATGACCGTATTGGCTCCGATCCAACAATCGTCCTGGATGAAGACTGGATGACCGAACTCGACCATCCTGCGGCGAGAGAGGACACTGGGGTCGTGGCTGGCAGCGATGATGCTCACATTCGACGCGATCTGGACTCTATCCCCGATGACTACCAGGCTGGTGTCGAGGACCGTGAGGCTTTGACTTATCAGCTTCATCGCTTTCTCTCTAGACTCAGAGTACAACACAATGCCCATACCCAAAGTTCACAAACGTCTCCCTTCCGATCGAGATATTACACCCGTAATCCGGTCGGAAAGGAGGCTCGACAAAGGTCTTGTCGCCCACCTTTCCGACCAGTCGTCGCAATAAATCCAGCCGCACTTCGCCTATCTGACCGAAAGGGATTGTCTTGGTGTCGAGGTTGTTGTAGTCGGCTGCAAGTCCACGGGCACGGTGACGGGCTTCGAGTAGGGCGGGCACGGTCGGATCGTAGCTGAAGAGAGGTTAGGGTTTATTTTGGTGCGAGTCAAGAGAGTCTGGACCTCATACAGCATTCCGGAGATCATCTTCTCATACTCTTCCCCAGACGGGGTTCCTTCGAGCTCGTTCGCAATGGCGAGGATCTCCGGGCGCTTCCCGGGCGCCGCGAGGCTGTAGTTGACCCGGGCGGACATGTTGGCGCTGACTGGTGAGAGATTGTTTGGACTCGAGGTTTTTGCCATTCAGTGCTCGTAGGGAGTGAGAGTCAAGTCTGATGAAACAATCTCCGACCGTAAAAGTTGTGTGTAGAGGCCAATATCGAAAGTAGGGTGATAGAGGAGGGTTGAAGGTGTACGCGGGCCATTCATTGTGCACTCACTTACTCCCTCACTCACTCCCTCACCATCACCCCCTGGGGCAGTCGACGTGTTCAGGACCAGGATCCCCTGGCTATTAACTGCAGCAGAAGATGATGCCAGGTGCATTGGTCTTATCGACTGGCCCAGAACTGCCGATTCGAAACACTGCAGTCAGCAAACACCTCGCACCACATTGGCATTTGCACGGTCGACTGCAGGACTGAGCAAAGCTGCCGATACACTACATTCGCCAGGACGAAGCTGGAACAAGCTGGCTGCGATACTGTTTCAGGGGCAGAGGCTAGACGAAGATGGTGACAAGCACTGAGGTCATAGAACATAGCTTTAGCTATTTGATGTACTAATTGTACCTCAAAGTAGACAGAACATCCATTCAGTCACTACTCGATACCAGATACTAAAAGTAAAGTACATACATACTGCTCACACTCTACACCAGCATGGAAGAAGAAGCCCTTCACCACCACATCATCCAACTCCCCACTACCCCCCAAGTAGATCCATCCAGCGTCAATCCAGCCGACATCGCTGAAGGATGGCTTGCAAGGTTGGACCTCTACTTGGCTGACAGCAGCGCTGTCCATCTCTCCGATCTGTTCCATGAAGACAGCTGGTGGCGTGACATGCTTGCCCTAGATTGGGATTTCCACACCATCCGGGGCCTGGAAAACGTTCAGAAGTACCTCGACCAGCACCAACCCCGAGTAAAACTGCAGGGCCCGCGCCTGCACGGCGAGGGCGGAGGAGAGCCTGCACTCGATACCCCCTTTCCTGGGTTCACCTGGATCACGGCCATGTTCGCCTTCGAATCCCGAGTGGGCCACGGGCGCGGTGTCTTCTACCTCACTCCGACCGGGGAGGGAAGTTGGAAAGCGTACTCGGTGTACACTGCCCTGCAAGGACTGCATGGTGTGGAGGAGAAGCTGGGTCTTCAACGGCCAGAGGGGACGATCGAGTCGATGTCTGGAGGCTTGGCTCAGGGTAACTGGCTGGAGCGGCGCCAGAGGGAGATGGACTTTGTCGACGACCACCCCACAGTTTTGATCGTTGGAGCAGGTAAGAAAGTATTGTGTGGTTCGTCTGGAACTATGGGTGCTGATGCTGACCTTGCCAGGCCAAGCAGGACTGAATCTGGCTGCTCGTCTGCAAACGCTGGGTCAATCATGTCTGATCGTGGAGAAGAATGATCGCGTGGGAGATAACTGGAGAAAACGTTATCGGGTTGGAGCCCATTCCCAAAGATCGCAAGAGTCATTTCAAGAGTCACTGACCTTTAGTACAGACCCTCACCACGCACGATCACATCGAAACCTGTCACTTGGCTCACCTCCCCTTTCCCAAGACTTGGCCGAAATATCTTCCCAAAGACAAGCTGGCGGACTGGCTGGAAGCCTACGCCACGGTTATGGAATTGAATGTCTGGACATACACCGAGATTAGAACCGCCGTCTACGTTGAGCAATCCCAGCAGTGGACAGTCTGCCTCATACGAAACGGGGTGGAGCGTATCCTTCATCCGCGACATCTCGCATGGTGCGCTGGACACTTGGGCTTGCCGAAAATCCCCAGCTTTCCAGGTCAAGCCGGATTCGAGGGGAAGATCTACCATGCGAGTCAGCATATCGATGCCAGACAGCTGGCACCGCAGGGTAAGACGGTGGTGGTGGTCGGGACTGGCAATAGTGGTCACGACATCGCCCAGGACTTTTACCAACAGGGAGCCTCGGTGACGATGCTCCAACGAGGGCCAACATATGTCCTGACCGAGAAGAACGGATTGCCCTTGCTGCCGGAGAACCATGGGATTGACGACAATCGGTGAGGACTAAGTCTCTTACTGCCCTCTCCCCTCCCCTCTTCCCCTTCTCCCCACGGCTGCAGGCTAATCCTAGTTATTCCTCCGGGTTTAGAACTCCTATTGAGGAGCAGGACATCCTGTCGGAGAGCCTACCCTGGCCCGTCACATTGGCACTCTGCGTGGATCTGACAAAACGCATCTCCGCTGCCGACGGAGCAATTCTTCGGGGACTCAGCGCGGTGGGTTTCAAACTGGACTTTGGCATTGACGGGGCCGGACTTTTGCGCTCGCTGGTGACCCGAGGAGGGGGATACTATATCGACTTTGGCTGCAGCCAGCTGCTGATTGACCGGAAGATCCACGTGCAGCACTGTGCGAGCGGTATTGCCTCTTTGGATGCAAAGGGCATGCTTCTCGCCGATGGGACTTATCTCCAAGCTGACATTGTGGTCCTGGCAACGGGGTACGCCAACATGCGCGACTCAATCCGCCACACCCTCGGCGACACGGTGGCCAACCAATGCAAGGACGTGTGGGACTTGGACGAGGAGGGGGAAATCAAGACGGTAAGCCAGTGCTTCTCTCCCCTACATCATCTTGCATATAGGATGCGTCGGACTGACCGAATCCCCGATTCGTTCTTCTTTTTTAGATCTGGAGACCGAATGGCCACCCCCATTTATGGCTCATGGGAGGAAGCCTATCACTGTGTCGAATCTACTCCCGATTTGTGGCACTGCAGGTTGCCGCCACTGAACTTGGGCTGACGGCGCAGTGAGGGTGCATTTGATTCGAGAGGGACTGTCTGGCTTGCGTGACACAGTTCGCCAGTTCTTTTTCTTTGTCTGCGACGTAATGTCCAATAGAAGTCTTTATGGAGCCGTAACTACTTGGTTCTGCGTCGCTATTACGCTAGAGGTTTTCGAGTACATCAATTAGTATGGTGCACGAATTCGTATACTAGACTGGAGGGGATGGAGTGAGGGCTATCGCTGGTCTTCGTAGCTGAGTCGTCGTCATTCTTTTCAGGCACCGGTTGATATTCAGATGCTAAGAGGAGTTCACTGCTGGCTTCTTATGCAGTCCCTAATCATCACTACCTTCCTCGCATGCTTAATAGATTGATAGGATTGATACTACATAGACCGTGAACTGTCGACATGGTCCGGAAACTCGTCCCCACGAAGCCACTGGGCTATCGGTGGCGGTCATCGAGCTTGTTCACTGTGACCGTCATCTCTGTCGCCATGTTCGCCGGTGAGTATTTGTTCTCATTCTGCACCTGGCCTCTCTAACCAAGGTAGATAGATACCTTTCTCTTCAGTTTCATCATCCCCATCCTACCAGACATTCTCCAGGATCGACTCCACCAGAGCCCGTCTCACACCCAGGTTCTAACCTCGATTCTCCTGTCTCTCAACGCACTGGTCTCGATTGCCATTGCTCCCTTCACAGGTCATCTGGCCGACGGCTCCAAGTCGAAGAATCAATGGATGGTTCTGTCATGGGTGACGAATGCTGTTGGAGCAGTCATCACAGCGTGGAGCACGACCTGTAAGTGTTCACCATAACCGTTCACGGCAGTACACTCACTATTCTGTCTCAAGTGGTCGGACTGTTCATCGGACGCCTCATCCAAACCTTCGCTGGGTCGGTGATCTGGATCGTCGGAATGGCCATTCTGGGAGATACGGTTGGGGCCAAAGACCTGGCCAAAGCACTGGGGTTTGCCATGCTCTTCGTGTCTGCGGGTCTTCTCTGTGGTCCGGCCGTGTCGGGATCGCTCTATCAATTTGTGTCCTACTCGATGACCTGGGCCAGTGTGTTTGCCGTGCTGCTGCTGGGCCTTGTACTACAGCTTCTCATCATCGGACCCTTCAACTACGACATGACTGCCATGCGAAACGCTACGAATCAGTCTTCGGTGTCTGATATGGAAGATACCCTGGTCAGAAGACCATTCCTTGGTTCTGAGTCCACACCCTCAGGTGCCCCCTATCAATCGGTCCAGGAATACACCTCTCTTCCGCCCCAGCCCCAGGATGCACAGGCCTCAACGCACAATGTCTACTGGATGATGCTCCGCAAGAAGCGGGTCTGCACCGCGCTCGTGGCCGACATCCTCTTCGCGATCGTGATCGCCAGCTTCGAGACCACGATCCCGATCCACATCAATGCCGTCTTCCACTGGGAATCTCTGCAGGCCGGACTACTCTTCCTCCTCCTGCAGGCGCCATCGCTCGTGCTAGTGGTGCCAGCGGGATGGCTCAAAGACCGAATCGGCATGCGATACCCGGTGACCATCGGGTTCCTGTGTCTAGCGCCCTCGCTGTGGCTACTCGGAGTGCCCGGACAAAAGCAGTTTCCGTGGGCCCGCGACGACGACACGAACCGGGCGATCTTCATCATCACGCTGCTGGGGATTGGGGTATGGCGGACGCTGCTCCTGGGGTTCGGGGCCGTGGAAGTGCTGCGTGAGTGGACTGGCTTGGTTCGCAACACACCCCTGCTAACAAACCCGCCTGCTAGACGGAGCCAACGAATTGGCGGCGCAGAGTCCAGGCGTCTTCGGGCCTCACGGCGGATACTCGCGGTCTTTCTCCATGTCCAACATCAGCTGGAAGCTGGGCATGTTCGTCCAGCCGCTGCTGTCGGGGACGTTGACGGAGCAAATGGGCTACTACGAGATGAATCTGGTCTTGGGTATGTCTTTTCGGTGTTCCCGGGTCTGTTTGAGTCCGGACTGACCATTTGCTTGCCAGCTGTGCTTTGTTTGGCGATGGGCGGAGCGACATTCTTCGCCTTGCGGGAATAAACTGGCCGACAATTTGGAATGGGGGGTGGGATTATACACTGGAGGGGAGGGGATGGGTTGGGCTAAGTGGGGATCTGTGGTCGATGGTCGTCTTGCAGTTGTGAAGGTGCCTGCAGATGTCAGTTGTAGGGTTGATTCCTAGCAAGCAAGGTGGTGATGGAATAGATCGATTCGCAACCTGACTGGAAGTCTGTCAGCCGTCCCTGGTTAAATATCGCTATTCCCTCAGTTTACATCTCTCTCAGCCTTATAGTCCGCGTGTCTTCGATTATCAACTATCACCACCTCCATCCCTTGCCTTGCCCTCCCACCCTGTTCCCTGCATGCGTCCACTGTCCATCGACATGAGCCAACCCCAACCCCAGTCCCAGGTGATTGCCCTCGCCGGCGGCACGGGCGATCTCGGCCATTACCTGCAGGAAGAACTGGGCAATAATCCTCGCTACAGCGTGGTGATCCTCACCCGCCAGGTGCAGCCCCATGATACCTCGCGCACATGACATATTCCGACCCTAACAGCCCGCAGAGCAACCCCCCCACCCCGCAAACCGCCAACACAACAATCCACTCGACCGACTACAGCCTGCCCTCGCTTCTATCCATCCTTACCAGCACTAACAGCACAACGCTGATCTCACTCCTCCGCTGCCCAGACCCAGATTATGTGCCCCTGCACACTACGCTCCTCGCCGCCTGTCGCCTCTCCCCGGCCTGCAAGCGCTTCATCCCCTCCGAATGGGCAGGCGACATCGAGGCCTACCCGGACCTGCCGCGCGCATACCGCCGCACCCGCGCCCCCTTCCGGGCTCTGCTTGCGCAGACCCAAGGGGTAGAATGGACGCTGTTCAACCACGGGTGGTGCATGGAGTATTTCCTGCCGGAGACGCGGTCCTTCCGGCGGTGCATGCCGGGCGAGTTCCCCATTGACCTGGGTGCGTGGAGGTATACCGTCCGCGGCACGGGCGAGGAGATGCAGTCTTGGACCTGTGCACGGGATATCGCCCGGGCGGTGGTGCGGTTGCTGGGGGTCAAGGCTTGGGTGAGTTCGTCCGTCTCTTGTTCTAGGGGTGTGTGTAGTGATCAGTGGGTTGAGTTAACCTGGGTGCTGGTAGGAGCCTGTGACGTACGTCGTTGGGGAGTGGGGAACATTCAATCAGATGGCCGGTTTGTTGGAGCGGGTTTATGGTATGTGTATCTGTTTCCATGTGAGGAAGGGGAAGGCTAATTGGTGGGTTAGGGCGGTCGTTTGAGAGAGCGTATCGGTCGAAGGCAAATATTGAAGATGATATCAAGAAATACGAGGATCAGCCTGATAGTCTGGAGTTGGCTATTGCAGAAGCGGAGGAATGGACCATCAGTGGTGCTACGGCCTGTCCTAAGGAGAAGACTCTGCAGCAGAGGGAGAAGTTCTTTTCCGATATCCAGTTCACCACGGTGGGGGAGCTCTTGAAGAAGGCAGAGGTGGAGGGGAGGGTCTGATCGCGCTGTTGGATATACTGTGTTCGGAGGTCTAAATGTCTACGGTCTGCATTACACCAGGAAGCTGAAAGAAAAGGGGGGTCCGGGGGTTCTCCCCCGGAGCACTTATGTCTCTGGTCTAGAGATTGAGAGTCATCCTCAAGCTCCATACCGCGTTCCGGGAGAGAACCCCCGGACCCCCCTTTCTTTTCAGCTTCCTGGTGCACCTCAGTATCTAGACCAGATATGCTCGTGTCGCAAAGGGTTCGTGCGAAATGGCAGACGTGGAGGCGGTTGTTTCCTTGGACAAGACCCGGCTTGGTTCTCTCTTCAGGACTCTTAACCTCTCAGCTCCAGATCATTATTTGGCTTTCTCCTCCATCCATACGATATCATAGCTCAATTCTTTCTTACCACTATGACCGGTATATCTTGCCCCGAGTGCGGGAGGAGTTGGCCAAGGAGAGACATGAATAGCGTCGATAGATGCACGACACTCTTGGCGCGGGGATTTGAGCACATTTGAGGTAGATTGGCACAGATTGGCACAGATTGAGACAGATTGAGACAGATTCAAGCAGAGTCAAGCGTATCCAGGCTGTGGACAGAATCAGGCAGCATCAGGCCACTATGTATGACTAAGCAGGCTCAGCCCCCTAGTGATCTTCACAGCTTCATTGAAAGACATAATCATAAACCATAGTATTTACACTATAAACATCGTATACACACTACTCTACCCACAGCATCCCGTCGTCCACTCATCCTGTTTTCCCGCCCCAACATCGGTAACAGTAGCAGTGGCCGTGGTGGCCGTGGTGGCTAATCTCGACGCTGGTCTGGCCACCACCACGCGATACTCGCCGCGGTCGCAAAACACCTTCCCCAGGAAAGCCCCCAGGAAAATGGAGATGATCATGTAGCCGTTGTAGAACATGGCAATCAGCATGATGAGATACGCGAGGCCGAACTGCAGCGTATGCAGCAGCGCCCGAATCAGCTGCTGCAGGGGACTGGCGCGGAAAGTGAGGATGGTCGGCCCATTCTCCAACGAGTCGCCGCAGAAGAACTGCATGCGCTCCGACGCCGTTTGCGCCGCGACGTGTCGTTGGAATTGTCGCTGCAGACGCTCCTCATACTGCTTGCCCAGCAGCCGGAGGAAGTCGAGGACTACCACCAGGAACGCGACTCCGATGCAGGAGACGGCGAATTGGCCAGCGGTGGAGATGTGCCACGAGGAGGTGAGGAAGCCTGGAGGGGGAAGTGGTTAGGGCTGGCTTGACTGTTACGGAGGATCTTCAAACAGGAATCGTACAGGCATCGATCGTGGTCCAGTTCCATAACATCTGCAGGGCGGATTAGTCATGGCTCGACCATGCAATGAATAGGCGCAAAACATACAGTCACCGAGCATGCGCTCGAATTGGAGCTGCTGGACATGTGCATGTCCATCATGGTGGTGGTGGTGTTATGGTGATGAAGGTGATGATGATGATGAATGGGAATAATACTTCCCCCCTAACCAGCCGGTCGAGGCCAGCGACTTATATGAGGCGAGAAATGAGCAGATTAAGACGCAAGATGCTTGGCAATGAGCAGATTTCGGTCTTGGCGACTCCACCGCGATGCCACACTCTGCTCATAAAAGGCCTATACCGAGCCACCCAGAACTGCACTCAGGCCAGATTCACTCAATTCCACCTCCGGCCATGGGCCATATTCAGGATTTCTCCCAGGGATCTGCCCTGGAGGAGCATTGGGGGTATGTCGCCCGCCAGATCCCCTGCACCAAAGATGCCGGCACCTGCGCCTATCTGGACGCCACCTACCATGGCCATGATGTCAGTATGCTCTACAGCTTCATTCTGTGGGCGGTGATTGTCGGAATCTTGTTCCTGTGGGCGCTGGGCGGCCGACTCATTCGTATCGATCGGGCCACTACTGTGCCCTCGCCAAAAACCACCCATCAGAGTGCAGCCTATCGGTTAAGCAGGACGATTCAAGCGGCCATCCGACGGCATCTGCTCCCTGAGGCCTGGCCCTGGGTGTTTGGACACACGACCCGACTGCAGGTGCTCATCTTCCTCATCCTCTCGGGGCACCTCCTGGTCTTCACCCTGGTTGGCATCACCTACAAGACGTGGACCACTCCCATCAGTGGCAGCACTCAATCCAACATTCGCAGCGGACTGGGCCCGTGGTCCGACCGGATTGGCGTGCTGGCCTTTGCGCTGACGCCGCTGTCCATCCTCCTCTCAAGTCGGGAGTCGTTGCTGTCGCTGATCACCGGCGTCCCTTACCACCACTTCAACTTCCTGCACCGCTGGCTGGGCTACGTGATCTACGTGCAAGCCGCCCTGCACACGCTGGGCTGGACCATCGTCGAGGGTCGTCTCTACCAGCCCCAGCCTACGCAATGGAACAGCTTCATTGCCCAGCCGTACATTATCTGGGGCATCGTGGCCATGATCCTGCTCTCCTTCCTGGTCTTCCACAGCACCAAACGCGGCATCCAGCTGACGGGGTACGAATTCTTCCGCAAGGCGCACTATGTGGTGGCGATGGTGTACATCGGGGCCTGCTGGGCGCACTGGTCGCACCTGTACTGCTGGATGCTGGCCTCGCTGGTGGTCTGGTTTCTGGACCGCGGTGCACGGCTTGTCCGTACCTTTGTGCTCCATCACCTAAACCTCCCCGCGACGACGAACTCATCCCAATGGGGGCTGCACATCCCCCACGCCTCGATCCAGCTGCACGCCAACCCGGACGATGGCGACATCCTCCGTCTCGACTTCCACCATAACCACGACCCCTGGCAGATCGGCCAGCACTTCTTCCTCTGCTTCCCGCAGCTGAGTGTCTTCCAGGCGCACCCACTCACCCCATGCAGCGTGCCCGACACCCTCCCCACGGGCCAACCACATACCTACATCATCCGCGCCCGGAAGGGCCTGACCCGGGAGCTGGCGCAAACCGCACGTACACAGCCCCCTCCGCAACCCGGCGCCAGCGAAACAACCACCATGACGAGCGCAGGCCCAACCACCCCGGTGATCCTCTGCGGACCCTACGGGCAGTCCATCACCGAGACCCGTGACGGAGTCTCCACCACCAGCAACAGCAACCTTCTCTGCATCGCCGGCGGCACGGGCATAACCTTTGTCCTGCCTCCAATCCTACAGCTCATCAGCCAGCCGGCCTCTCCCACGAGCTCAGACCACCTCATTGAACTAGTCTGGATCATTCGCCGGCAGGCCGACATGCAATGGATCGCGCCGGAGCTGGAGATCCTGCAGCGCGTGGCGTCAAGCGCAGCGCACAACCTGCGTGTGCGGATCTTCGTGACGCGCGAGACGGGGCCAGCCGAGAAGGAGGTCGATGCAGCGGACCCTCCGGGCTTGGAGGAGAAATCGCCCTGCTGCGGCGACGCGGACCTCCCGTTCACGGTGCATTACGCCGGTCCTGAGACGACAACGGCGACCTCGCATCCCGACCTCGACCTGCAGGTCGCCGAGTTCCTGGACCGTGTCGTGCAGGGGCCTACGCGCGTGCTGGCCAGCGGTCCCGCGGGCATCATCTCGACCCTGCGGCGGGCAGTGGCACGCCATAATAGGCCGGGGAAGGTGTGGCGGGGCGAGGAGCGGTGGGATGTCGAGCTGGTGCATGATGATCGCGTGGAATGGTAAATGGACATGTTTCTTGGCGTTTATGCTGAACTGTATATACTTGGTGGCTAGAATCGTGATGAGGAATGAGATACCCAATTTACACGATACCTCGATGCTGTTCCAGACTTCACAACTCCATTTCTCTGCGCGGGGCCGGTGGAGTTCGAACTCCACATGGTCCGTATAGTGTTTCACGCTAAATCTCGCCCCTGAGCGCATTATTATGCAAGCATTGCCAAGCAGTGGGTAATTGGTTGCGTGGTGTGGTCAAGTGCGCTGGGCTGGGAAACCAAGAAAGGATGCCAGCCCTAACACTGACTGTAAACTAATTCTAACCACGAGACACTCATACATTAACATCAACATAACAAACTCAATCAACTAAGTTGCAAAGCCAAGACATACAGTACATCACAGCCCCTCCAATATAGCATCCAACGCCTTCCCCCCCGCCACCTTGGGCACCATAGGCACTCCTCCCTGGACCAGCACCTCCAACAATGCCACTCCCTCCATTCCCAGCAACCAGGCTATACACTCTCCCAACTCCCCACGAGTGTCACATCGACGCGCCCGCGCCCCCATACTTTGCGCCAACTGCGCGAAATTCGGATTACGCTGACGGGCCTGCGTGACGCGGCCGTCGAACTCGGCCTCCTGCAACTCCTGAATCATGCCCTGCTCCTCATTGCGCAGCACCAGCACCTTGACGGCCACGCCATGCTGCACGGCCGTCAGCATCTCCTCGACCGTCATGCACAGCGACGCATCGCCATCAATGTCGACCACCGCGCACTCCGGGCGGGCCAGCTTGACCCCGATGGCCGCGGGCAAGCCAAAGCCCATCGTGCCCAGCCCGCCGGAACTGACCAGCGTTCCCGGCCGCCGCCACCGGTAGTACCGCGCCATCCACATCTGATGCTGCCCGACGCCGGTCGTGACGATCGTCGAATCCTTCCGGCCACTCGTCTGCGCATCCAGCTCCGCAACCACCTCCTGGGGCAGCAGCAACGATGGGCGCTTCTCCTCGGCCGGCGGCTGATATGCAAGGGGATACGTCTCCTTCCACGCCTGCACGCGCCGCAACCACTCTCCGCATCCCTCGGGGGTGTTCTCCTCCACCCGCCGCAGCAACAGCGCCAGCGTCACGGCGAGATCGCCCTCGACCGCCACGGTGGGCGCCACCACCTTCCCGATATGCGGCGCGTGGATATCGAAATGCACGATCCCGCCGCGTCCTTCGCGCGCTGCTTGCCGCGCCGCAGGCCCGAACCCCGCTGCGTCGCCCACCGCGCGCTCGTCCAGGCGCGCCCCCAGCGCCAGAATCAGGTCCGCATTCTGCACCGCCAGGTTGGCGGGCACCGTGCCGTACGTGCCCAGCATGCCGAGCGCGAGCGGGTGCAGCTCGTCGACGGCGCCCATGCCGAGCAGCGTGGTTGCCGTGGGAATGGGGACTGTCTCTGTTAGTCGTCGCAGCAGGACTGGGCCGTGCGCGGCGTTCAGCAGCCCGTGGCCAGCGATAAGGACCGGCTGCTTGGCCACGCGGAGCAGTCGGGTGACTGCGTCCAGGGTCTCTCCGAGGTTGTCTGCGGAGTCTGCTATCGCAGGCTGGTCGCCAACTAGCCCAGCCGCACCAGGCGTGAAGCGCGCCTTGGCGACATCTCTCGGGATAGCGAGGAGGGTCGGACCGGGTCGCCCGGTCGTAGCCTCATGAAAGGCCCTAGCGATGCAAGCCGGCAGATCGTCGACGTGCGCCGGCATGCCACACCATTTCGTGCAGGGCCGCGCCAGCGCCAGCGTGTCGATCTCCTGGAACGCGCCCGAGCCCTGCACGGCCGTGGCGACGTCGCCGCACACGGCCACCAGCGGCACCCCGTCGCGCAGCGCGTCTAGCAGCGGCGTCGCCAGGTTCGACGTGCCCGGCCCCGATGTCACGAGCACCACGCCCGGCTTGCCTGATGCGCGCGCATACCCCTCGGCCATGTGGCCGGCGCCTTGCTCGTGGTGGGCTAAGATGAATTTGAAGGGGGGGCCATCGTGCAGCGCGTCGAAGACGGGGAGGGCGGCGCCACCAGAGATGCCGACTACAGAGGCGTGGGGTTAGCAAACATGCGTGTTGCATAATACAAAGGGTAGGTAGAGGGGCTTACACGCGTGTTCGACGCCTCGACGGGCGAGCTCCGCGCAAATATACTCGCCACCGGTAGTTTCTGAAGATTCAGTGCGTGTCATGCTGTCGTAGACGAGTTTGGTCGTTGTTGCAAAACCTGGAGGCACATATGCGTCTTTTATATCCGACAAAGGGCGTCAGGAATGCACGACTCGATCAGTTTGGGCGACACGCAGTTGGGGCTTTCTCCGATGATGTGAGAAGGTTCATTCTTCTTAACGGAAGCAGAAGCGGATCGCCATTGTTGCATCGTCATTGGGGCCAGGAGGGTAATGGTGTGGTCGTCAAATCGGTCAGGCCGAATCCCCTCGCCATGCATCGAGTTGTATCGATCTATCAAGGATTTGAGGTGATAGATACAGTGACGCCTAAAACATTCCAGAGGCGATTTGCACCCAAAGGAGACACCGGCGGAATTCGCAAATCCGAAAGGGACATTCTTGCGGAACAAAAAGTGACCCGATGCGGGCCGACATGCATATGCAGCCCACCAAACAAGTAGCCCTAAGTCGTCATGCTCCGCCTCCTGCATTGTCATTGTAGTAGATATAGGAGCTCCCAGTCTATCACCGTGACCTTCTATCCCTCATACCCACGAACATCACAGAAGCACCACATCACCACCATGCCGAACACCAACACCAACACCAACACGCTGTACCAATACAGCCTCATCAGCGCCCTCCTGCAGGGCATCTGCACCGACGGGCTCTCAGCCTCCTCGTTAACTCACCACGGCACACACGGCATCGGCACCCTAGCAGAGCTAGACGGCGAGATGATCATGCTCGACGACGAAGCGTACCACTTCCGCACGACCTCCTCCTCCTCCCTCTCAGACATACAAGTGCGCCGCCTGGACACCACCGATCGAATCCCCTTCGCAATGCTCACCAACTTCCAGCCCACGCATCACTATAACATCACAACCCCCTTAACCATCAATGCCTTACGCACGCAGACCCTGGCCCCGCTCCTCACCACAAAGAAGAACCACTTCCTCTCCGTGCGCATCGACGCCCACTTCTCCGCCCTCACCCTCCGCATCATTCCCCGCCGCACCGCTCCCCACGAGACCCTAGCTGACCTCGCCGACCGCCAGGTCGTTACCTCGCTGGAGGCAACAACCGGCTCGCTGTTCGGGTTCTGGTCGCCAAGGTATGTAGCGGGTATAGGCGTGGCGGGGTTCCATCTGCATTATGTGGCCGAGGATCGGAGGACGGGTGGCCATGTGCTGGATTTCACGGCCGAGGTGGGCGGGACGGTGGATGTTGCGATCATTGACAGGGTCGAGGTCGAGTTGCCCGATACGAAGGAGTTCGGGGAGGTGGCGGTTGAGGTGCCGGTTGGGGATGCTGTGCAGAGGGCCGAGGGGGGTGGCGAGTAGCACTTTGAATGGTTGGATTATAGGTTCTGGTGGTCCTTTGGAAGGTGAATGTGTTGTCTCGCTGCTTAATGCTTTGCGTGGATTGGTAGGTTGAGCTACGGTTTGAGGTGATGTGTGATTGAGCTGAGATGGGATGGGATGTAGGGCTATATTCACGGGTTGGAGGGAGGAATGCACTTACTCGACAAGGAGGTGGTGTTTTGAGCTATTCTATAGCATAACATGATTATCTCATTCCTGATCTGGTCTACAAAATGAAGATCTTGGGGCAAAATGAAATGGAAAGGCAAAAAGTGAGTGCATCATCCGTGAATCGAACACGGGCCTCATCGATGGCAACGATGAATTCTACCACTAGACCAATGATGCTGATTGATGTGTTTTCAGCAGAGTTTTTGTCTTGTAATGTAATTTTAACAAGCTCCCTAGCAATTAAGAACAAAGAACGTCATCTTATACTCAGTCGTCTGTTACTTCAATGATTCTTTATATACTAACTAGTACTACCCAAAGTCTCACCGCTACGCTACAAGCTGCAGGCGACAGCTCGGCCCAGAGCAGTCAGAATGAAAGCTCTCAGTCAAGTGCAAAAGGATTGTCATTAGTTGCATACCTACTATAAATATCTAGCCGCTCGTGTATTCACTCACATCATGACAGTCATCAATCTCGTCCATTACATCCACTCAATACCCTCCACAACAAAGAAACAACCAAAAACAAATTGTATGCAACTTGCCCGAAATCCCAGTCATCCCTCCTCAAAGAACCACCTCACCCTGACGTCCCCCGTCAACTCAAATCATCGTTCAAGCCCAGCAGGTAATCGACCCGCCGCTCAAGTCGACAGGCTTGACAGCCGAAGGATCGCGATCGAGGTCGGCGTAGGTCTGCTGGGGGTTGAGGTAGGCAATGGTGGCACCGTTGTTGACGATGATGCAGCTCGCCCACTGCGGGAAGTTGGTCAGCTGCGCCGACGAGGCGAGCACACGGCCCCCGGAGCCGACGGAGGTGCCGCCATAGAGAGTCTGAATGCCGCGAGACACCCCATCGCCGGGGATGGCCACACCGGCGTTGGCCCCGGTCTGGTCGTTGGCGAGGGAGACAGTCACGGTGGATGCCCGGCTTTCGATGTCCACAGGCGCAGGCGCGGCCGAGACGGCGGCGATCAGGAGAGAGGCAATGATGGTGGTGAAGGACTTCATGGTGAAGGAGGGAGTAGCTGGGAGAGTATCGAGGAAGAAGTAGTAGCAGTGGAAGAGTAGAAGAGAGACTTGCGTGGTCTGGAAGACTGGATCGGACGGATTGGAATGCTGTGAATGCTGATGAGAATAGCTGGATCTCGAGGAGCAGAGACGACCCATTTATACCTTTTCATCGCCCTGATTCAAGGCCATCTATCACCAACGCTGGTACAGATCCTCAATCTAATCTGTCCAACGCACATCGTCTCTTCCAATCTCATGAGGCCTCCCTCCCCAGCCACCCCTTCGTATCGCAACAGACAAGGTCTCGGACTTCATGATGTCGGTATACGAGAGCTCTGCGGCTGCTGTGAATGGCGCACAACAGGGCACAGGCGATGTCACAACTGAGACGTCACCCCACCTCGCACAACAGCAGTTCATGCCCGCTCGCATCCGGCTGGCCATGTTTCGTAGGACAAAAGCAACGCAGCAACTCAAGTTAACTCCCGCCAGCAGATGCACACGCACACGTGACTGCTACGCCGGCGGCCTGACATCACAGTCCGGCCCTCGATCCAACACCCCAGACTTCTCGGAGGATCTGCAGTCTGCGGCATAAAAGCTCCGACCGTCAACTAAGGTCGTGGTAGGGCGTTCGGGGAGATCGGAAAAGAGGCCATCAACATGGAAAGCCTTGCGGATGCGGGGATTTAGGATTAGAATAGATTAGAGTTAGAACCAACATAGTACCCGTTAGTACTGCGTAGTAACGGTAAAGTATTAAACATATTGAATAGTCGTTAATAATCTTGAAAAAGTTGCTGGGAAGGATCGAATCGGGGTGCAATACAGGGCACCTCCGCCTGCATTCATTGAACTCAACCGCACCGAACCCGGGAAGGAAACCCAATCACTGATCTCCGGCCAAGCCCGCTCCCTCGTATTTCTTGTACTCCAAGGACCTGGCTCGGTGGATAAAAATAACCCTATCGTTTGGGTAGACCTCGTATGATGTCTGTCTTACTCGCTGACTGAATGTTGCCCGGGACAAGAGGCTCAAAGCGGCGATGACCCGACCAAAGAAGGGCTGTTGCTCTGTGCGCCCTAATCCATTGCCTTGGATACCATGTCTCAGAACGCGATGATCTGGCAGCAACAACCACAGGAAGTACCGATGTATGCTCATCTTCCCCACGATGATGCCGGAAAAAGGAGGTGAAATAGGCTGCCATGCATTAGGGCCGATGTGCGCATCCCCGCTGACAGCCGCCATTTCCGGGACTGTGGGGAAATCGTATGAAGAGATGATTATTCAACTCGTCACCGCACCTCACTATTACAAACATTCCGAGTGCGTAGTATTGGACATATCCCAATATTAGCAGTAACGTCTCAGCGAACGGGCCGCGGGCGCATGCAGTGCAGTCACGAGGCCGTCGAGGAAACTATCTTCTCGACTATTGAAGCCGGAACGAGCGAATTGTCTGACTTAGGCTTGGCATTCTCTCGCCAGTGCTGTCTCAACTGAGGCTGCCGGACATCGTATAGCCGGCATCTCTGGTGCAGACTCGAGGCTGACACCGGCAGGTCATCCTCGTACATGCAACTGCCTGCTTACACGCTCTCCATTCTGTAGCCCGTGCTTCCTTCTTGTTCACCAGGGTAACAAGGCGTGAAGCCTGAGGGATGTCATATGCTGCGTAGGCAATCAGTATCAGGCCGTCCATGCTGAGACAGTTGACTCACACTTGAACTTTCGCGCTGGGACTTTATTTCGAACATCGCCTGCATGTCCTCCAGGGAGCGACCGGCAGTCCCCGGCAGCAGAAACTAGACCCACACGACTGCGCCGACATGAAGCCACCGTAGATGAAACCAACTCGAGCACTAAGATTAGCCCCGTCGACGTTGAACAAGCACGGAAAGGTTAAGGTAACTATCCAGCGAAAAGACCAGGTCGTACCGGTCGACATGGCCATCAGTTTGCTGCGGTTGGGGCTGATCGAGATTCACGATGTGACCACTCACACTGCCGGTCCCAGAGCCAGAATTGAACGCAACCATGAAGATGTAGACCATGGCCACGATGAGTCGACCCAAGCCCATAGTCTTGGCCGATGCCGTCCCGACCCCACCGACAATGAACAACACAGCACAGACCAAGGAGGGGAAACAAGCAACATCGTCCGTCGACCGAAGCGCTCAACGCAGTATTGGTTTAGTTAGACCGTGCCATAGGAATCGGATATGAACCACTCTCCGTCCGATATTTGCTAGCATATTCCGCGATAACACCCAGTAGCAGTCCGAGCCCCACATCGAACTAATGTACGGAGACTAATGCGCCACGGAAACGGGGAGGTGCGCAGTCAGCAACGTACAGAAGAACTAGACACAAGCCTGAACCGCGTACACTATGAGCGTATTAGCATTTATTTATGGTCAAATCGGCCTCGAGAGGTGTTATAGCTCAGTATTACCAAGTACCAGAGAACATACTCATGAGCAATCTCTCAACGAGCAACAAGCCGAGGCTAGTAGCAGCAACCTGGAAGATGGCATCCGCAGTTACAAAGGCGATGGAGACGAATACTCTCCCCATCGCCCGATCCGATCGTCGACCAAGTAGGATGAGACCGCACCCACAAGCTCTCCAACATTAATGATGCTAGTATGGAGTGACTGGATGCTAGAGCCCAGGACATAGCTATCGGTCGCGCGGTTCTGGTGTCCGTACGCTATGGTGAAAGGGTCCATATCAAGAATGCCTATATGCCGCTTCATGGTTAGCCCAACTAAAAATTGCTGAGACAGTGCTGAACTATGGAAGGACTGTTCTTGATCGAGGGCTCCCTCTCCCCTTACTACCTACCAGAATAATAGGTTGAGTCGAACCCAAACTGGAAGGCAAGAATTGTGATAAATAGGCTGATTGCGATTGCTCGCCATTCTCCTCGAATATCAAACATGTCCAGGATATGAGTTGCCATCTTTGTAGGTAGTTCTCCAGCAGGGAATCATTCAGTCTGGAGCTTTCGGATTGCTCGGCCCGATCACGATGGATGACGCAAATGCTCAATGGGCCACTTTCTGGCAGTTGGGTGCTCCCGCTGGAGATAAAGCAGCATGTATGGATTACATGGGTAAGGTATCAACAGGCGAAGTTTTAGAGGCAAATGCTGCGCTAGGATGGCTGGTCTTTCCGTTGGTGGTGGACAATTTGACAATCTCCCGAAGGCAGAGACGCTGGAATGTTCATCTCAACCACAGCGAGAGGAAGAAAGCTTCGGACGATCCAGCGAGCCGTCATGAAGAAACCATAGCTGTCTTGATCGGAGACACAGACCTTGAGGTTAGTCATAGCCTAAAAAGGGTTCTGCCGCTCAACATACTGGCCTGTATTTGACGTACAGGGTACACTGCATCGATCTTCAGTCAACCGCCTAGACCGCTTCGAGCAGCTGTACGATCAGCCAGCGACTGAAGGGCTATCTAAAGAATTTTGCAACGAGTTCTATGCAGCGTATGATTTGCGTTCGGAAATGAGCAAGGCGAGCCTGCACGAGCAGGCCTATTGTTTCTTATCGGACATAGTTCGGCTACCCCGTCCAGCGTTCCAGGGAAGAATTGATGGGTTGGGAGTCCCCAAAGCCAAATGATTCGGACACCGTGAGAATCCGACTAACTAGGATACACTCGTTCCGTATGGAGGCCGCTAGTCCGTTTTCCAGTTTGAACCATGGCAAAGCCCATCACTGTGTTGATCTCAAACACATTTATGACTGCTTTGCTGAAGGACTGCGTAGAGTAGATAAATTGTTACCTCCGGGAGCAGTGCAAAACGTCGACCTAGTTGATCGCGTTCAGAGTGACTGGTTGAATTTTATCACTGGCTCACACTCAGCCAAATATCGACCCAGCTGGACCACTGTGTACCAGCCGGACCGTACTGCGATCACAGTTGGCATGGCATCAAATGAAGTTTGGGTGAGTAGGAAGTCACGACTTAGCCTTATCGACAGGTATTCGCAGGAGGCACAAAGGCCTGCGAACATTCTGAGCGGCGGCGGACTTTTGTTCTAGATAGAAAGAGTAGATTTCACTCGAAAGGCCGACTGTGGGAAGTTGTCGAGCTTTCAACAGGAGTCTTCAGTCAGATCAAGACTGAGAACCAAAACAATTCCCAAGAGATGAGAGACAATTTCGCCTCTCCCATCACATGTCTTCAGAGAGGCAGGCAAAATAGCGCGAATTGTGTCTCTTCAATGTCTATGGCTTTGTGTGTGTCCACAATCCCATGAAGCCCGGAGTCCAGCGATAACGTAGCATTTCGGGGTCGAGATGAGTCTGTAGCTCCTGAAGTGCCGATATATTGGTATCGCGAGTTCGATCATGTCTTGGTAGTGGATTTCCATGCTGGGATTTAACGTTCGTTGAAAATCCATGTTGGTCGCAAGCACAAACTTATCCAAAACCTGGAGGTTGATTGCACAGTTGCGCAGGATTAAATTGTCCGATTTTTGGCCCAGTTTCTGCGCCAGGATAAGGAAGATGAAGGAAGGCTGCAAGAAGTATATCCCAAAATATCGATACATGAAGTTTAGTCGAGGGTTAATTCGAAGAATGTGGCGTGCAACCTGACTAGACGATCAGCCGTGGCGGACATTGCATCGACTTAGCCAAGTACCGGCGGAATAGCGACATACGTTAGCGCAGGAGACAGCGTGTTCCCCTGCCGCGAGGAAGTCAGTGAATGCCTGCCACTCAAGATCTTGATACATTGGGACCACATCCATGTGACCGTGCAGAAGCACAAACATGCAATGGTACATTTGTAAGCCGTAATAGGCGACAGGAGGGGTTGTGGAACTTGAATTCAATCCATAGTCTCGTTCTGCAATTCTACAGAAGCCAGGCTCGACCAGTAATTTGAAAGAGTCGAGTCACAGCCCCAGATTTCGACTATAGCTTTGCGACTCGTATCCAGCAAAGCTTGATTAGTATTGAATGTTGGATGATCATATAGAAACGCTATTCGAGTGTGTCACCTAATATGCTGTTTCAGGACCAGCACGTGTTACTGGGAATTCTGGCATTAGACATGCGATACCTTGATAGGGGCAAGAATGTACCAAGCATATCCAGACTACGGATCCAATATCTTGCCGCCTTGTGTTCAAGGACCTCGTTGCCAGCAGGCGACAACAGTGTCAATTGATTCCAGGCCGCATCTGAGCACGAAGTCGGCGGTGAAGAGCACTCTTGGTCAGTGAGATGTGGGCGCCCTTTGAAGGATAATGCGGCATGTCGATCGATAATATAGGTCGCCCACCTCAATCTGTGGGCTGTCAGTACGGCTTAACTCAAATTTAGTCAAATGCGTGCCTTTTCCTTTCTTCTTCATCATTCTCATCCATGCACTGATCATCCCTGTGCAGCTTCACTTTATGGACGATAAGAAACAGGAAGACCAACCAATACTGTGAACTCGATTGCAGTGACTTTTCACTAGGAGTAATGGGGTAGTCTGGAGCATCCTGCGCCGCGTCTCAGCATCACAAATACGCCCCACGCGTGCCTATCATGATGTTTGACTGGACTTAATTAGTGATGGATGCAGTAGATGGTAGTATGCGAGTCGGTCTCCTGCCCCGCTTTCTGGGTGGTCGCGTGAAGGTGCAGCGAATGGCTAAACCTGCTACTGTCTCAGTAGGGGCCTGGCAGCACTTAACATGCGGGGAAGTAAACAATTGCAACGCGCACACCCTCAAAACAGGGGCGTACACTTGAGCTTGTGACCATGGCACTAATCGCAGGCAAAAACTGCCCTGGTCTCCTTCTAGCAATAAGTCAACTCAGGTAGTACTTCTGATAGCGTCAGGGGATTGCGGAAATGGGAAAGGATGGAGATACGGACTGTACTAGAAGCGGAAAGAGCCGACCTCGGAGCAACAGGAAATGCGGCAGAAAACAGCACTCACCGCCTTCCCTTTCACCGCTCTCCAGGCTCCCTCTGCTTCTTATCGTCTTCGCTGCCTTATCGCCGTCGCTGTTCGTGCTCCGGGCCTCACTCCCGTCTCATTGCCTGACTACCAGTCACTCTCTTAAGGTCTTTCTTACTTTCCCTTGGCCATGGAATCACCTATGCATCTCCCCTGACTGGCCGCCCATCTTGAGCTGGTCGTTCAACCCACTAGTGCTGTGTAAGGCCGCAGTTTCATCAAGTCACACTGTGCAACAGTGCCACCAACGGCCACCACCATCATCGTGCGGCTGATCCCACCGCTAGTTAGAGATTATATTGATCTCACCACTGCCCCTGAAAGCAGCAATCTGTTTCTTTGCCTAATCACCGCCAGCAGCCGTCACCATGCTCGCCGCGGTTCTGACCTTGATGGTCATGTCCCTGTCGCTGCCACTATGGCAGCGGTACCAGCCCCTCTCTCATCTCTATTCCACCATGAACCCCAGCCCAACTCACCAAAAGGCTCAGCTGCACGAAGTCGCAGACTTGATGCTGGAGATCTACCAGACCCTCGTTGACATGCGATACCTTGATCCTATGAGTATCCAGATGGGACCACACAACCTCACAGCACTCAACCCGCAGTTCCAAGAGTTGGACATCGACCCCGCGGTCCAGTATCTGTACAGCATCCTGCCCTACATCGACACATCACTCGATGGCACCGCAGACTTTCTTCACGGCGGCGAGTTTGCCGACTTTTTGCGACCCCGAGCAGGTGAATCAGGGCCGCGATCCCTTCTACGGGTCGCCAAGCGAATCGGATTTCGACGACGAAGACGGTCCCTACATGCGCCCGTGGGTCACGCCACTCACCCAGCTGGGGAACCACGGGAGCGTGATCGTCTACGATGCGCGTCGGCACCTCATATGGATCATCGACCAGGAGGGCTGGGCGACGACCGACCTGGCGCTGCAGGAGGTCGAGGCCAAGGACCCCCAATCGCCGAACCGGAACAGTTTCGAGCACATCCCGCACCGTCCGGCTGGGGATGCTCTTCGCGATATTGTGCGCTGGTATCGCGGGCTCGACGAAATTCCTCCACGATGGGAGTTTGCGTGGTATGACTGGTCGGTCGAACCGTATGGCGTGCCCGTGCGGGCTCTGTACGAGAAGAATGGATGGCCGGATGAGTTTGATGGGGATGCATTCGAAGTCGATTACACGCGGGCGTACGCTCGTCTTGAGGTTGACGAGTTCTCGCAGGAGCCGATTGTCGACGTGGAGCGCCGTCGTGATGCCGTCGAGTATGCTGAGGGCTCCATCACGCATTGGATTGAATCGCTGGCCCGGGCGCAGACTAAGGAAGAGCAGTGGGAGGCGCGGTGGGCTATCTGGGGCAGTGAGCGCGCACATGCCAATGCTGAAGACCATCTGGTGCTGGCGGAGCGGTTAGCGAAAGCGCTGTGCCCGGGCGAAGTGTGTATGCGGTCCCAGGATCGTCCGCTGTGGGAGCTGCAGTGGTTGCGCGAGGAGGTCGAGATACTGGAGTCTGAGGTTCGCGCGATCGGAACAGAGTGGACTGCTGTGTATGGCGAAGTGGAGGACGACATCCCCCGTGAGCAGTGGGAGATGGAGCGATATGCGGCGGAAAGACAACTGGCCGTCTACCAGAACGCGTACGAGGCCGCCCGCTTGGACGCGGAGCGGCTTTGTCCCGGTCAGACCTTCCAGTCAGTCACTGGAAGGGAAAAATGGGAGTGGACGGTGAAAATGGACCGACACCATTTGCTTGACGGTATGATGGTCTGTCGTGAGCTGGCGGCTGCCAAAGCATTTCTGGATCAGCTCCCCGATGACGTTCCAGCCGTTCGATCGAGTGTTATCGAATTTATCGAACATGATGTGTCCTGGCTCAAAACCTCGGGCTTGGACTTGCCTGAAATCAAAAGGATACTGGCTGGTCTTCCGGCCTGAGAGGTAGTGAATACCATTTATTTCTTTGGTTTGAGGACGTGATCTCTGAGCGTAGGCGTGCGCCCCGGCATAATAATCGGTCCCATTTTCTGTTCTACACAACAGATAAAATATTGGGCATCTACGAACCAATCTTCTGGAGGTCGGCAGCAAGAGAGATCATGAATATGTAGCACTTTACTGTAGGGGAGTGTTTCGAACTACCAGCACCCAAAATGTATTATTAAATTAATGATCCATAGTGCGGCCACTCATGGCCAGCGATGTCAACAATCCAATCCAGAACAAATCCCGAAAAGGTCCAGTCCCAGTCCCAACACCTGCGCTCACTCAAGCAATCAATCGACCTGTTGGTTTTACATCTACCAACACACCGATCCCTCATAACGGCACTCCGACAGGGGCTTCTCCAGATTCTCGGGGTCACACAGCCACGCCATAATGGACAGATACTCCGCCATGATCTCCACCGTCTCCTTGTCATTCAATGCCAGCGTGTTCCTAATGACCTCCAGCTCCAAGATATTGTCTGGCAAGAGAGTAGGAAGCCAGATGAGCCCGAGATCGTATCCACCACGGAAGTCAACCATGCGGATGGGATCCGTCTCCTGCTCGGAGTACTGCTCCAAGCGCCAGTTGAAAACCTGATTGAAGGCCGCCTGTTCGATGAAGGTCGCGTCGTCGGTGCCCGCAGCAACATCCAGCTCCCGGAGGCGGCTCAGAACACGACTGAAGGGGGCATGAGTATATAGACTGGCCACATCCTGGTCCTCCGTGAGACGTGTCAGTAGAGAGCGGACCGTTTCACGGGGATCGACGGTGACGCGCTCGACGAAGAACCCGATCATTGGCCCGTCGATCTCCAGCGGGTTGGGGTGCTGGATGAGGGTCTCGTCGTTCTCCGCACCGGGCCAGAATCGCCCGGACGCGGCGACGTTGAACACCGCTTCGGAGACGCCCGTCCGATGCGCGTTGAGTAAGACACACGCGCACTTGCCGACAACGGGAACGGGGATGTTTGACGCGCTGCGCATTTCCGCCAGCCGGGGCAGGTGGATGTACTTCTTGGTCGAGCCGCTGATGAACGGGTCCAGCCCCTTGGCCCGGACTTCGTTCCATGTGGACAGGCGCGGCCAAGGCACATCCTGCGCAGCTGAGACGCCCTTCAGACGCTTGACGTGGAAGTCGACGGCATCATCGGCGGCTTGGCTGTAAATGTACTTCTGGTAGTCGGAGATGAACCGGCCATAGTTGCGGAAGTCCATGCGCGGAAGACCATGGTTGGCAAGGAGGTCCTTGAAGTCCTGCAGCCAGCGGAAGATGGTCACCGCGTCGTAGATGCCGTGGTGGCAGTGTAGGACTACACCCGCACGAGATGAGTGGCGATCCTTGACGATGGTCGCCTTCAGGAAGGGACCGGGCAGCACGACGCAGCCTTCCCAAGGGTTGTCGGCCTTGTATGCAGACAACGCAGCAATGTGATCCACTTCATTGTCATGGGCAATGTGCAGCTTCATCCATCTGGCGGTCGGGCGCATGACCATCCAGATCATCCGGTCCTTGTCGTACTGTGCGACGGTGCTGCGCAGAAGCGGATGGCGATGCAGCCACAGGTGGAGAATAGCCTCGAGGTACTCCGCGCTCAGGTCGGGCGCGGCAATCCAAGAGGTTCGGATCTTGAAGGCGCTGGGACTGAGGGTATCTTTCAAGAACCAGGTCTGGGTGTCGGTAACATGCATTGTGTCCTCAACGTCGTCCCAGCCAAATCCAAGTGGGCGAAGGGTCGATTCGCCTACCTGCTGTACCCGAGCTGGATCGAGGTAAGTGTGCTGAGCGTCGTTGGTAGGCGCCTGAACGACCGGCGCTTTCATGCTGGCTATGCTGCGATCGGCCAGAAACTGGGCTTGCTTCCGAATCGTGTCGTGCTCGATCAGGTCTTTGCGTGTCACCCGTCCAAGCCGCTTGGTGGCGGTATGCAAGTACTGGATCATCATCATGCTGTCGGCGAAGGTTCGGATAGGAGCGTCGAGATCGAGCTGGTCCGCTTTGACTCCGGTAATGGACGCCCAGATGGCAGCGGCTTGAGAAACGAAGTCTCCAGAGGTAGGATCCATGGTGGTCTGCTGCTCCAGGTATTCAACCACCAAGGTTTTCAGATTCGGCTTCAAAACCTTGCCGGTGGTGGTAGTGGGGTAACGCTCTTGCTTCAAGTCATCCTGCAGCTCGAGAATCATGGTGGGAGCAAACGAGCGTCCGAGCTCTTCCTGCACCTTAGCCTGCAGCGTGCTTGAGGACACATCGACGGATTTGTCGCGACGGATCACAGCCATCGGCACTTCACCGGCCACGGGATCGGGAATCCCTACGACATAAGCCTCCTGAAATCGAGGTTAGCATGGATTTCGTAGGCCAGAAAGCGAATCTACTTACCCTGACTCCAGGGAGTTTGGTCAAGCACTGCTCGATCTTGACAGGCGAGATGTTCTCGCCACCGCGGATGATCAGGTCTTTGTATCTGCCCAGGAGGTAGACATTACCGTCTTTGTCCATATAACCTTGATCACCGGTCGCAGACCAGTTCACACCGTCCTCAGTGTAGCAAGTGCTGTTGTCTTCTGCACTTGCATCGAGATATCCTCCAAAAATAGGATAACCACCCTGATGCAACTCCCCGAGCTGGCCTCGACGGATGGGAACCCGGCTATCAGGCGCGCAGATCTTGACTTTGGCGCCGGCTCGTGGGGGACCCAAGCACACCTCTCCTTGGATCTTCTGGTGCGATGCGGCCTCGTAGAAATTCAGCAGGGTAGCCACGCCTTCTGTGGTTCCGTATCCTGCGATGGCCCGACTCGCGCCAAGCGACAGACAGAGCTCGACGATGCTGGGCGACAACGAAGCGCCACCCAGCACGATCTGGTATAGAGACTCGAGCGGATCGCTTTCCGGGGTGATCTGAGCGGCGATGGCCTGAACCATGGACGGCACACACGCCGTGTGGACTTTCGGTCCGAGGCGGATGGCTTCCAAGGAAGCGGCGGGGTCGAAGGTCGGGCTGGGATAGACAACCGTCGCTCCACTGAACCAGGTTCCAAGCGTCATCACAATTGCGAAAATGTGGAAACTGGGTAGATGCCCGCAGAGAAGATCGCCGGGTTCGATGCTCAAGGTGTTCACGACCATCAGGCCCGGTGTGGCGATCGAGAGCGTGGTATGCGGACAGCCCTTCGGCAGGGATGTGGTTCCACTGGTGAAGAGAATGAGAACAGTCTTGTCGGTGTTTGTGGGTGAAGGAGGAAGGATGGACTCGTCCGATGCGTTGGCCATCAGTTGTGGTAATGTTGTCCAGCTTTCTGGGACGGGTTCGTCGCTTGCGGCTCTGGTGATGCCCTTCAAGATAGGCTGGAATCCCCCCTCTTGCAGTGCGGCATCTAAAGGCGTGGTCATGGGCGCCGCCGAAACAAAAACCGCGGCAGGGTCCAGCTTTCGCAACAAATGAAGAGTATCTGCGCGCTGACCGAGCATCCGAGGATCCAACGGGGCAAATTGACATTCGAGGCGAGCTGCAGCCCAGAACAAAACAGCCCACTCAGCTTCGTTCAAGAGGAAGGCTGCAATGCGACTGCCGCTGCCGATGCCTGCCTGTGCTAAAGAGGCAGCCAAGCGCACACCCCGGGCGTGCAGCTCTGAAAAGGTCCAGCGCAAAGGCTTCTGCACCTTGACTCCGGCAGACTCATGTTCCTCGCTTTGTCGCAGTGCGACAACGGCGTCGTGGTGCGGGAATCGCTCTGCAGTCTGTCTCAACAGGCCGAAAAGATGTCTGTCTGGCGGTTGCTGTGAATCGTCTGCGGCCTCGGCCACGATTTTCCTTGCCATGATGAGAGGCTAAGGTTTGAGTCTGTGAGGGAGTATACGAAAATACAAAGAAAGAAGGGAAGAAAGGAAGCAAATAAAAGGCTTTGGAGCACGAAGGCAGCGATCGCACTGGTCTTATACATTCAAGCGCAAGATCCGTCTCCATCGAGCTGGTTGACTGAGACCAGAGTTGTCAATAGTACCACCGCAAATCCACACTATCAGGAGTCCACGACTCTGGACCTCCCCTACCCTCCAATCTCTCAATCATAGCCCCTCTATAATCCAGACCTCTCTTTGGTTGAAAGTGGTTCGTATTCTTGCGGTGCGTTCCACTACAGCCATCCATGGAGCTGGTAGTTGGGGTCCCGCCGCGGCGATCCGTGCCGATCTGGCCGATCGCTTAACAGGCTCGATGCTGCAGCCACAAATGTTGTCCAAAGGTCTAAATAAATCCTCCGAGTAATTAACGGTGCATATGACAGAATAACCACTCTGGCGGTGCTGGCGCTGAACGTCTAACGGCATTAGTGAATCAATAGTCGACCCCGAGTGAATCTCAGGCCGCGATACTCATCTAGCGGGGCGGGCCAGCACCACGGAGGGTTTTTGCTGGCCCATCAACGCGAATTTGCCTCTCTCCATGTGAAAGTCACTACTCCGTTACGATCCAGGGGCGGGTGGATCAGTCTGGCCAGGAGATAGCGATTTCTATTTTCTGCTGCGATCGTGATGAGTGGGTTTGACTCCCAGTGCTGTTACAGAGATTGCGATCGGAGAACAAGAGACTTTGATGACATGGCATGCTATCATAGCCAGAATGATGATACCAATCAAAGAGCCTGCTCAGTTACATCTACTGAAACTCTATTTTGGTCAGTCGATTTGAGTTCAATATTCTTCAATAAAAAAACAAACCCACCCGACCCTCGAGGCCCTGTAGCGGAGCCTGCGCTGTGTTGTGGACAAATGCGAATACTCTGCTAGACTAGAGTTTAGCATTTGCCATCGAACGTGCCCATCATAGTGGATGTAAGGCAGAACTTTACTGAGAGGAGAAATTATGGGATGAAACCTGTAGTCGATAGTGCCACGAGAGGGTGGGACAACACTGAGTGCCCACATAAGCAACTTTTTTCCGTGGGATTCGCAGAAGTGATGATCATCGAGACGCTTAGTGAACAATCAGGAGGGACCTGTCAGTGCTCAGCTCCCGATTGTCCATATATAGGGGCCTGCCCGAGCCCTGAGGGTGGCCTGTGAGACATCAGCCCCCTCAAAGATCCTCCCTCAGATCGTGCTTTCTCACACTAATCGTCACAATGTATCTGGAGACCCCATCTCAGCAAGCTCCGCGCAAAGCGAAGATTCTGATGCTTCACGGTGAGTACTCTTGATTCGCTTGCAAGCTCTTTAGAGCGGGACTGAGCAACGACGACCATAGGCACCGGGCAATCCGCACACACCTTCCAAACCAAGATGCGCTATCTTCACGATCCGATCGCTCGAGCTGTCTTTGCGACTTCCTCCATCACACACGAATACCTCTACCCGGGGGTTGTGGAGTTCGTCTATCTAGATGGACCGATCCCTGCATCCGAGATCGATGCATGCGACGAAAGCTACATGAAGCCCAACCGACTTCCCGACAGCTGGCTCTGGGGCTACGGCGACCCAGAGACCTCCGAGCTCAAGGGACTCGAGCACACCTGGAAGCATCTAGCTATCGTTCTGAACGAGCATGGCCCTTTCGTCGGGGTGATTGGCTTCTCGGCTGGGGCTGCGTGGTCCGTCATTCTGACCGCATTGCTAGAGCAGAACAACAAGATGAACCCTCACTTTCAAGTAATTATGGCCAGTTTTTCATCCAACTCAGACCACTGCTCTAACGCGTTTCCAAACTAGGTTAAGCATCCGCCGATGCAGTTCTGCATTGCATTTTCCGCATTCATGTTCGAGCACCAGACGTACGAGTGGATCTATTCGCGCAAGATCCAGACGCCGGTGATGCACTTCATCGCTGCGCTAGACACCTGGGTCACGGAACGACAATCGCTGAAGCTGGTTGATCAGTGCGCCAATGCGCAAGTGGAGTACTTCCAGGGGTCGCACTACATCCCTCGAGGGCCCCAGATCAAGGAATTGGTCACCAAGTTCATCCGGAAGACGACCGGATGGGCCCTCGAGCGAGACCAGGTCGACCCAGAATGGATTGACGTATAGCGTCCTTCGCGACATCATCCTGTGATTTCTCGATGGCATGGACCCGTGTGGAGATGGAAAACATACATGACTCGTCTGAAGTCATGGGTCTAGTCTTGTCTTGGCGTTCTCTGATTGTTAGCTCGGTGTTCCTGGTTACCAAGTACCCCTTCTGGCGTTTTTCCGTTTTTAATTCTTTGTATAGCGAACCTAATGCATTGTGCTGCCGGCGGTTGTCCCGAGTTATCTGCGGCATTCCCTGCAGATGTCAATCAGATTGTAATCACCCTGCCAATGACGCGTTACCTTTGTTGGGCTCAGAGATAGCGTCTGAGCTACGCAGCCGATGAGGCCTAAGGGATTCCTGCTCCACTCCAGGAGTTCAGGGATGGGCAGGCACCGTAGGATCAGTACAGGATTTAGCTCAGGGAGGGGTCTATCGGTGGATTCCCAATTGCCGAGTCCGCGACTGCAGCAACGAACCTCATCGCGGTGGGCTGCAAGCACCAAGGCTAGCATTTCCGCACCCTATCCACCGCAATGAAACGCGGACCTCCACCGGTTGCAGCTAGGTCCTTATCAAGGCAGTGCACGAGTCGATCGAGGCTTGCTGTTCCAAGGTTCGTGCCTGTCATTCCGGCTTTTGGCAGAGATGCCTATTAGGGCAGGGATCGTCAAGCCCTGCCGGAAGGCTCTCCGTTCGTCCGGGGTTAATGACATGACAGCATTAGTTGGAACTCTCCTGATATGTTGAGGGCGCCAATGCTGACTTGGAGCATAATTATCAATACGGGTTCTATCATGCGAGCGCTACACATCTAGGCAGATTCAAGTCACAGCAGGACGAACGTGGGAAGCTCAGCAAGAGTGTTTGTCGATCAACGCCGATCGGCGGGGCGGAGATCCACCCGCTGGAGATCGGCGCTGGGATGGATCTGGCTATCAAGATTGCCATCGACGGCGAATTTCGGGTTTCCATGCTGATGGATCTGGCTTGGCTGACGGGAGGCGATGGAGCTTACAGCTGGTTTCTGGATACTGCCCGATGAGGGTACTTATGCGGTCCCTTCCCTGACGAATTACGGTTCGTAGAGGTTAGAATGATGTGAACAAGACGCAATGAAAAAGGGGCAGACGCTGATGGGTCAAATTCAACGAATCTAAATGTACTGGATTACTGGTTCGTAGCTGTCAACAAGGTTTTCTATGGCTATCTCCTCGGGTTAGGTCTACCAACTATGGAATAGACACCGTAAAAAATTCCCCCCTCAAAGCATTCAACGTATCTTATCGCATCGTGAAAACCGAACTCCAAGCCAGAAATTTCAAGCCCGGAAAATAATTCCGTTGCTCGCCTAAAGCACGTCATTTGCCGAAGCACCAGGCTCCTGCATCGCCTCGTCCCCGTCTTCCTCCTTGACGATGGTGGTGCCGTCCTTGGCTGCGATGTCTTCATCCCCACTATCGTGAAGTGTCTCGTCCTCTTCCGCTTTGACCTTGGCCTCATCCTTCATCTTCTTTGTGACGCGCTTCTTCTTCGGTGTTGCTTTCGCCGGCGAATCCTGGTTGCTTGCGCGCTTGGTGCCCATGCTGAAGGTGATACCGCCATTCTTGAGGTTTCGGCGGAATTTCTCGAGGCGCTCCTTAATGGCGCGGGCAGTCGGCTTTTCTTCGCCGTCGGCTACGAGAGTTATTGGGTTAGCTGGAGATAGCCATCGGTTGTAGTGGGATTGAGTGTTAGAGGAACATACGCCAGATAGCTGCCATTTTGTCGACGTCGATGGTGAGATTGTGGCTCTCGAAAAAAGTCTCCCAGAGCTAGGATCCGGTCGTTAATTTCGCTTAGTTTAAAACAAGGCTCACAAGACATACGATGCTCATGTTTTCAGGTGTCCAACGCATTTTGCTTTGCGTGTTTCGGTTGGATTGTGCTATTGGCTGCATGTTGATGGTTGTAGATGAGTGGAGTCAGAATTCTGGGATGAAGCTCAGAGTGGATAATAGTGGGGTAGAGAAGAGAGTGGATGAAGAGGGTAGTTGGAAAGAGTAGAAGAAAGGAGTAGAAGTGATGCTTTTATAGTTCATCTGCGGCTGGAAGAGTGAAGTGAGATAGTGTGCAGTTCACACTCCTCTCACCTCCAGCAGTGTTATGAGGGAGCTTTGTCTGAGAGTCACTGCCACATTAACTCAATCTTCTTTCCTTTAACCATTCAATTCAAGCTCTCCTATGTTACATTTCTCTATGGCTTCTTCAGAGAACCAAATGTAACGTAGGCATGCAACCCGTGTGTTTATCCTAAATATTCTAGGTGCTTGAGGGGGTTCTTGGAAAGGTGCTCGAGAAGATATTCACCTTAACATACAGGCTTCGCATATCTTGTTGATCTCTAAAGGTGATAACTGGAGGCTAAAGTAACCTGCGTACATCACTATCCCCAGATATTTCACGTGTAGAAATCCCATCAAGCCACATAAGTTGAATGGCCTGAAAATGAAAAAGCATTGAAAAAAGTCCAACCGACCTAGCTCTAGGCAGCAGTCCCAAAGCCACAAGCGATACAGCGCGTCCGAAAACAAAGGTGCGGCCCATGACAAGAAGTCGAGCTCTACCGTGAGCTTTGATTCCTAGACACACATGTTGTCACTCTCATCGCTCGATTCATCCTTAATAGCAAACTTCTCATCGTCCTCAATGTCATCATCGTCCTCATCTTCCTTGACCTCAGTTTTGGCAGCACCCTTGCTCTTCTTAGTCGGAGTCTTCGGCTTAGCGATACGGCTGGCCTTGCGCTTGGCGGGTGTAACAGCCTTGCTGGGCGTACCGCCACTGGCATCTGTCGCAGCTTTCTTGCGGGGTGTACCAGCGGGGGTGTTGGGGTTACTGGCGCCGTCGCTGACCTGCTTTCTCAACTTGTCGATCTGCTGCTGCACTGCTCGGACAGTACAGCCTATTATCATATTAGAGACCGAGTGCGAGAAGTTGGAAAGGTTGTAGTCGTTCTTACCAGATCCCATGTACTCCGCAAGGGCAGTGTAATCGAGCTTCATATTCTGACTTCTAGTCTGGGTCAGGACACCGAGAAACAGCTGTCGAGAGCGAGAACAAGATCAGTCCGCTGTTATGAGGTAAAGAGAGAAAGCAGGGGCATGGACGCGTACCTTGGCGTTCGCCTCTGCGGTCCAGGCAATAGGCATTTTGTATGATAAAATTGGTGTTGCTAGTTGGATTAGCCAGTTGAGCGGTAGGCAAGTGGAGTTGTTGTGATGGGTTGATGGTTGATGGTATGAGTCAAGCTGATGAAAGACAAGGTAAGAGTGTCCGTGAAGATAGATAGAAGTTGTTGTCAAAAGAGGCGGAGAGGGTAGAGAGAGGATGTAGACTGAGGAGAGAAGTTCACTCTTATATCGAGAGGTTGCTGCGAGGGTTCCGTTAGAAGATCTAACAGTTGTAGTGAAGGAAACACTACCGCAGGATGAGCGGAATCTTACTGCCCGGTAGAGAGATATGGATCATTCACTCTGGTAGTTACCTTTCCATCATGTTGAGCTGACTGGCTTGAGCTACTGACTTACTCTACTAATCTTTTCTCCCTGCCCAATCCATCCTTGATCATAGATAATGATAGGTGATGTTGTTGATGGATGGATGTTGATGGCACTATCCCAATCGAGACATGTTTCTGCCTCAAAGATCAGGCATATTCCCCGCAACGCGCCTTCCCGATTGAGGAATTGTCTCCATCCCCCGCGCGTATCCACAAGCTTGAGCTTCTCCCATTTATCTGCCCTTACCTCAACTCCCTTTCTTCATACTATCGCGATATATCAGACTCCTTTCAGTGTGGCCTCTTCTACTGTGGCTTTTATTTCTAGCTCATACCGATAATGACAGCTCTAACAGCCTCAGCGCAATCTTGCCTCCGATGCAAAGGTGAGGCACTCAGCCGCCAAAGAGTCATCCGTCACTGACACCATGAGCACCTCTAGACCGTCACCTTCGATGTGAGAAACGACTCACTCGAAGATTTGCATTGTTCGATTGACTGATAGTTCAGGCTCCGGAGGTACCCCTTGTCGGTCGTGTCAGACAACCAGAGCCCGGTGCGACCCTGCTCCTCCAAAGATCCGTTTCCGCCAAATTCCTCGCCGCAAGCAAACGTTCGATTTCGCACCAGACCAGCCCTGGGAACAGTCAAGGAAGAGACCTACGTCACAAGCCAGACTTATATTAAGCATCTGCGACCGATACTCACTGCTCAGGCCGCTTGACATATGTCGACATGACTTCCCGCGTAGGCCAGAAGAAAGCCGCCTCCGAGGAGACCACAGCTGCAAGCGAAGGCTGTAATGGGCTGCTGGTCAAGACAAGGGCTTCGTGTCGTGTAAGTCGGACAGACCAATTTTGTCCACCATCTTCGTCACTTTCCGAGCACAAACAGCACGACGAACGGGCTTCATCTATGCAAGCCTCGAAGATTACTCGGCACGACAACAATACATTTCGATCGTCTTCGTACACGGCAGAGCATGCGAGCAGTGGCATTCAACACATGAAGCGGGCACTGGGCCTATCAGAGAGGAGCAGATATCTACCGGGTTCTCTGCATGGGGGGCCGACATCGAATTCCGATACTGCTTACCTGAGCCTCGAGGAGGCCTTTCTGCTTCGGCACTTCGCACAGAATCTAGCTCAGTGGGTAAGAGTACCGAACAATTACTGTTGAAGCCCATTAAGCGACTCACCGGCATAGTTTGATTCCAATGACCGAGATCGCCACTTTGCTCTTCATGTCCCTGAACGAGCCATGTTTTGCTCGGTACTGCGATACGCGATATACACGGCCTCAGCCGGACTTTTGACCCGCTTAGCATCCTGTGGCAAGCCAGTAGAGTCTCTTGGGATTCCGAAAGAGGTTCAATTACTTCTGAATGCCGAAACAGCGATCCGCTATCATGACATTTGCATCTCGTATTTGATTGAGATATCGCATGACCCCGACGAAGAATACAGCGAAGACTTTCTCACAGTTGCCACGATCCTCCGATTCTATGAGCGGATTGAAGGTGAGGTCTTTCAGGATGTGGTCTCCTGGTAGCGATATGCTGACACTGCCTTGACTTAGCTCCGTCAATATGTGATTCAGGAACATACCTCAATGCCATCCAGTTTAATGTGAACACACAGCGAGATGAATCGTTCTATGCTTGGTACACGAATCCATAGCCCAAGTCGGGATCATAATGTACTTGCCTGTCCTTCTGTTTCGTTGCGCCATTCGGCCGTTCTCAGTGCTCTCCGGCAGGAAATATGGAGTGCTTTCCTCTACCAACGCCCCTTCAGGCTACCAGTATCTCCAAACCAATGACTTTGTTTGGGCCAACAGGATCCTTGTGTGGGTGGCTGGTCTTCTAACGTTCTGCTTTGGTGACAGCCACTGTTCGGGCGCAGAAGAGCGGACGCAGCGCTGGTCAGCTCTAAAGTCCGTCGAGCAGCGCTGTAAGGAGGCAACGCCACCAGCCTTTAGACAAATACACTATCGAGAACCTGGGCCGACAGCCGGAGAGTATTTTCCCGAGAACTGGCACATGAACAGCTGGCAGGTTGTGGGGGCCCAGCACTTCGAGCTTGGACGGATCCTCTTGGCGGTATCTGATCCCCGACGGGCATCGCGACTGGGAATTGGCGCTTCTGCACGAAACAAAACTCTAGCGGATGAGTTGCAAGACTGCGCTTGGCGTCTGTGTGGATTGGCTGTGCCTAATTTGCCTTGCCCAGCTGCCCTAGTCACGCCATGGTAGGAATTGCCATATGTGGAGAGTATATCACCAACCCAGACGAGCAGAATGCATTGATTCGGTTATTGACTGGCTCGAAAGGGATTATGCATGGCCAACAGAACGGCATGGGATAGCTCCAGCTGAGGGACCCCACTTGCTGTAACGATAGTATGCCCCGCCTTGTCCACTTACCCCAGATGCTCGAGATCTTGCTCGGATCTTTGAGTGCGCTGCATAATCGCGTCTGCGTCAGCGGGGTTCATTGAATTAAATATCAGAGAACTATCAGCAGCGATGTCGTGTCGCCAAATTACCCAAAAAGGAAACTTTTAAGATACTGTAGGCGCAAGGTGGCTCCAGCGCAGTGGCACATGCCCTCATCCATCAAACAAAACAGTCTCTTCATCAGAAGAACATTGTGGTACACAGATAGCATTCTGGTAGAAACCAGAGACTAAATTGGAATTATAGTCCGCCTTGACCCATCTGAAGTGATGTATTGACTTTCAGAGCAGATGTCTATGAAGTTGTGACTCGTGAAAGACCCTTGAACGAGTTCTACGACACCATTGCAATAAAAATTATAGCACTCTCATCATTTTGGCAGGGGATCTCCACGAGGCTCATCGCCAAGCGCCAATTCTGCGCACTGGACCGAACTCGCTCTCCTTCGGCGACACCCAGGCTATCAAGGACATTTATGGACATAGCACGCCATGTGTGAAGGACCTGAACGACGTGATCCTCGGAGGAAGCCATACCCATCTCTTTGACGTGGTTGATAAGAGTGGCCATGCCCACCAGCGTAAGACTCTCTCCGCTGCTTTTGCCATCAAAAACCTCGAGTTGTGGGAGTTCAAGGTCGTACAGACTACGAAGCGGCTTCTCAAAGCCATCGATGCCCATTGCACGGCTCCCATGCCACCTGGACAAGCCATGCCCGACCCGGTCGATGTCACGCTGGACTTCAACAAATGGGTGCACCTGTTCACCATCGAACCCATTAACAACATCGCCCTGTCGTCAACCATGGACCTCCTAGACAAAGGCACGGACGTCGTGACAGCCCAGAAGCGGGGCGGCACGCTGTACGAGGCTCGAATGAAGCAGGAGTGAGAACAATGATGTCATGCACTCAGTGTTTCGGACGGAATCTCCCCGAGGTTAAGCCTTTTTTTTTGGCTAGCGAGGAGTAATATTGGCTGACTTATTTGTACTCAATGGGACAGGTTTCCCTTTTTGGTGCTTGTCGGATGGGGTATAAAACCTCCGGCTCCAGAGTATTACCAATCAGGGACATGGGATACACTCCGACTCCCCGTCTCCTCTTCACTTCACCCCTAGGTCTTCAGACTGCCCCAGCGGCCATACCCGACTCTGCATGCGGGGAAAGTCAAGCCGTCAATTGCCGGGTCGGAGATGGATTGCCTTGAAAGACGATTCATCCTCAAACAAGGAGAAAGCCATCCGCGATGAGTTTGTCAATGACAACTCTCTGGAACTGCTGTCGACCGAGGTCAAGTATGACAATGGTCAGCTGCGGGATCTCATGCGGTCTCCGTACGTGTTTGGCGCAGCTTGGCTGACTTCCATCGGTGGTTTCTCGTTCGGTTACGGTAGGTTGCTTGACTGATCCGGGGAAAAGATGCTGGTGATCGCCCGCTGACTGAAAGTGGCTCCCGACTCTAGACCAAGGTGTCATCACAATCATTCCGGAGATGAACCAGTTCCGACAGCAATTCCCCCGAGTGCTCGCCCGACAACGCTCACTACGGCTTCAACACCGCCCTCATGACTGCGATGTTGGAACTCAGCGCCTTCATTGGCTGTCTGTTCTTCCCTCCCGTCGCGGATCGCATCTGCATCTCTCGCAAGTGGGATCTGACGGTTGCCGCCGTCTTCTTCGTCGTCGGAGCCATCATCCAAGCCGCTGCACCCGATTATGCTACTTTGGTCGCGGGCCGGTTCATCGGAAGTATCGGTTGCATTACGAAGCGATTATTTTTAGCATGCTGATATTCTATGACCCGATGAGTACCCGCTGTGAATCCGTGTCAAATAGTGAAAAATTCCTTAATTTCCTACTTTACCGTGCTGAGCTGACCTAAGGATACACCCGTCTCCCAGAGGTGTCCTTTGTCCCGGTGCCAGTCGTTTCGGTATATCTTTAAGCTGTCTGAAAGCAAAAAGCATCAACCAAAGAGCTAGTTGAACGGTTTTAGCAAGCTGGATTCCAAGTAGCGCTAAATTCCACTAACTACCTAAGAGCCTCCTGCTCTTTCACAAGACATACCGAGAAATCCTAAATCTAAAATGCAGTTTCCTCCTTATATGTTGTCAACCCAAATAACGGACTGTCTCTTATAAATAGCTCCTTGATACATGATAATTTAGCCAAAGGATACTCCTAGCAGGACTGAACAGTCTTACCTTCGAGTCCCAAAAACCGAGTAGTTTGGTTGACTCACCATGGATCCACTGCCACCTCCCCGACATAATCCTTCACTCGGTGATGAAGGAGAGGTTACCCCAAGGCCAGGCACTCCACATCCGGGCATAGGTTTCGATTCCACAAGGGAAGAACCGACAGAGGAGGTAGATGTTGCAAATGATCCAGACTTCCGTCCGGGGACCTATATACCGGTGATTGTAGTTTTCCACCTCGATCGAACACCCTCACTGCACGTGAGTGAGCTGATGACACTATTGCGCGCCCGCGCAGCTGTCGTGCATGCGTGGCATGTCGGGCAGCTAGCTACCTTGATCGAGCAAGCCCGGAATAACCTCCACGGGATCATCCTAGCGGACGGACGCCTCATGGATCCAGCCTATGTGGACATGTGGCTATCGATCTACCCGCTCATCGGGGCTCGGAAGCATGCCTGGCCGTTTATCCTCTCCGGGAACTTTGTGTGGGGTGCCTTGCGTAATCCCGAAGCCTTTGGGGTGATGGTGGAGACCATCTTTGGTGTGCCATGGGCGATCTCCAGCACCACCGCGGAACGCATGCCTGTTGTGGTCCGAAACTGCTTTGGGGAGCAATTCTACCACTACGCGGGGTGGCTGACGTGTGTCCCCAAGGAAGACCAGATCGCCATCCACGACGCTCGTAGCCCTGACAATCCTCCGCAGACTACGCTCCTGTTGACCTCGCGTTTTACCAACACCTCAGTGGCCCTGCATGCGGAGCAAAACGCTGAGACAGACATGCCGATGCCGATAGTAGGCTGGATTGGACTCGTCAACGATGCGGTGGAGGAATCCAAATACATTATCCGGCTTTGCCAGCTCGAGTACGGATTCATGACCACTCCGCCTCGGTTCTTCCCGGACTATACCGTCACCTTCGAGGTAAACCCTGAGGCTGTTTCCCCGGAACCTACTGATAATGGTTCTCCAGAACTTGAGGCTGTTGCTTCGGAACCTGCTGATGATGATTCTCATGAACCTTCAACATAAACAGCCAGGAACACCAGTTTCATTTCATTAACTTACCTGAACTTTTATCTGTTTACCCGTGTAACATTATGCTCGTAACTCGTCTGTTGCCCGTAAGGTAAGGGTGTAAGTGGTGAGTATGTCTGAGAAGCACACAGACAAGCATTCTAACGTACACACTCTTCTATCACCACGAGGAAGAAAGAAGAGGAGACTCAGGGAAGGAGAGAAGACAATAAAGAGACACACGTGAGAGCCGTGTTTGCCTGGTTTCGGTTGTTTGCTTGTTTGTGTCTCTTTCACTTCAATCTACACTTTCTTTCTCTTCTTCCCTTCCATAACTTTCCATTCCACACTCAACAATTTCTCCTATCCTACACTCCGTTCACTCCCCCTCTTCTTCTTGCTTATTATTACTTTTGCCCCTATATTATGCGCGTACCCCGCGGCATTCCCTTTTACGGACCTTGGCTGCAGACACTTGCAGGCTAACCGGACTTCCCAGCCTAATCGGTCCATATCGGCTCGAATCGCCTTGGGCCTTGGTAATTCTCACACCTGTGATCCCCGGATTTCCCCCTTCGATGTACTCCTACTGACCAACTATGATGGCAGATGACCAGCCCAAGAACTGGTTTCGTTCGGTGGTTCATGTCCCGAACCCCAAGTTACCAAGTCTTCCCAACAAGCTTTAGCCAGTCAAGCCCGTGCGAATGGCCTGATCTACCTACATCCTTCGGTGGCTTAGCAAACGCAACCATGAAGGGCTCGGACTTGCTTTTACTCGAAACAATCCCACTTGAAGTCTTGAAGATATTCTTTAATGTCGACCAATTATCCTGTTTGGCCAGAATGAAGTAATCAACAGAGCACAAGTGCCGGCTACCCCAGTGTATTGCACGCGAAACCCCACACAGCAGGGATGACCCTGCATCGACTACCTTGGAGAATGCTGAGGGACAAATGCGGGGTTCTTTCAGGCTACGGACGTCCCTCGCTCGGACTTCTGCCGCCCTGGCCGTCATGCTGGTCATTGTGGGGCGAGTGGGACAACCCCGGATTGCAGAAAAACGGCATGTGGAGACAGACACCCGGTGGCTGAGGGGGAGTACTGAGCCAGCCCATGCCGGATTGCCATTGACTCCTCACTTTCCCAGGGTATTTGGCAGTGCTAAAGCCTACAGATGGCCGTCAACAAGCTGTTTGTTTCTTGTTTCTTCGCCGACATTTACCCGCTTGTCAGGCAATATCGGAATTGTCGGAATACTTGCTAGAATTGACAAATCCGCCCCCCCCCCCCCGCTTTTGTGCTTGATTGAGGTGGTCGAAAAGGGAACATAAATACCTCCTTGACATCGCACCAAAATGAATCAGCAGCAGCAGCAGCAGGTAGCATTGAGACAGCAGAATGTACAGCCTAGGGTCGTGGGTCGCCCTGTTGGGCGCTCTGTCGCTCAGCTCCGCTGCACCGACGGAGCAGAACATTACCAGTGATACATACTTCTACGGCGACTCACCCCCGGTTTACCCCTCTCGTATGTTGATCCAGATATTCTTTTGTCGCTTCATTGATTACTAATGTTGGTCCTTTAGCGGAGGGCACCGGTACTGGTTCCTGGGCCGCAGCATACGAAAAAGCAAAGAGCTTCGTCGCTCAGCTCACAGACGAGGAGAAGGTCAATTTCACGGCAGGCTACAGTACCAGCAATGGCTGCTCCGGAAACATCCCGGCCGTCTCCCGCTTGGGCTTTCCTGGGCTCTGTGTCTCGGATGCTGGCAATGGCTTGGTACGTGGACCCAAACAGGGTTGAAGTTGCCTCTGCTCATACTTGGCGCAGCGTGGAACGGACTTCGTGAATGGCTGGTCAAGTGGGATTCATGTCGGTGCAAGGTATGGGCTAGTCTTCTCTAGCAGCTCTCCGGGGTTACTACACCGATCGATACTGATGCGTCGAGTCTCAGTTGGAACAAAACCCTTGCTCACCAACGAGCGCTCTACATGGGGCAGGAGTTCCATCGGAAGGGTGTCAATGTTCTGCTGGGCCCAGTAGTCGGCCCGATTGGTCGTATCGCGGAAGGTGGTCGGAACTGGGAGGGCTTCTCCACCGATCCCTATCACAGTGGTGTACTGGTCTACGAGACCGTTCAAGGTGTACAGGAAGCTGGTGTTGGAGTCTCTGTGAAGGTATTTATATGCTACCCTACTCGCCTACAGGAACGCGAGTCGATGTTAACTGCGATCTCAACAGCACTATATCGCAAATGAGCAAGAGACCAACAGAAACCCTTCGACAGAGAACGGAGTCACGGTTGCCTCAGTATCTTCTAACATCGACGACAAGACGATCCATGAACTCTATCTCTGGCCATTCCAAGATGCGGTCCTGGCGGGAAGTGTCTCAGTCATGTGCTCGTACAACCGAGTCAACAACTCCTATGGCTGCCAGAACAGCAAAACACTGAACGGGCTACTGAAGACGGAGTTGGGCTTCCAAGGTAAGACACCGACTCTTCAACCACACACAGATACTAATCACTAAAAGGCTATGTTGTCACTGACTGGGGTGCCCAACACGCCGGAATCGCCGGGGCCAACGCCGGTCTGGACATGGTCATGCCACGCAGCACCACCTGGAACTCCAACCTCACGACGGCCGTTGCCAACGGCAGTATGGAGGCATCCAGGCTTGATGATATGGTTACTAGGTGAGCCTACTCACCTCGTGCTAGCTGTCCTAGCACTGACTCAGTCAGGATTGTTGCATCCTGGTACCAATTGAACCAGGACACCGACTTCCCATCCCCAGGCATCGGCATGCCTGCCGACGTCTACGCCGAGCATGAAGTCATCATCGGGACATCCGCCGATGAAAAGGATACTTTACTACAGAGCGCAATCGAGGGACACGTACTCGTCAAGAACAAGAACTCCGCTCTCCCGCTCCAGTCGCCACGTCTTGTCTCCGTTTACGGCTACGACGCAAAAGGCCCCGACTCCACAGGCCCGACCTCCACGTTCTCGGCTGTCATTCCCGCCACCCAGAACTACACACTCTGGGTCGGTGGCGGCTCTGGATCCAACAATCCTGCCTACATCACCGCCCCGCTCGACGCCATCCAGGCACAGGCCCGCGCAGACAGCACCGCCGTCCAATGGGATACCACATCGTCCGACCCCGACGTCGACCCCGCTTCGGAAGCCTGCCTGGTCTTCATCAACAGCTACGCCTCCGAAGGCGACGACCGAACCGGCCTAGTCGACGCCGACAGCGACACCCTCGTGACGAATGTAGCTAGCAAGTGCAACAATACAATCGTCGTGATCCACAACGCAGGCATCCGGCTGGTATACAACTGGATCGACCACGCGAACGTCACGGCCGTAATCCTGGCGCACCTGCCGGGCCAAGACACCGGCACGGCCATCGCAGATCTGCTGTACGGACGCGCCAACCCATCCGGCCGCCTGCCCTACACGGTGGCCAAGCAGGCGGCCGACTACGGGGCGCTGCTGCACCCGGCGCAGCCCGTCGCGCCCTACGGCCTGTTCCCGCAGGACGACTTCACCGACGGCGTCTACATCGACTACCGCGCATTCGACCGCGACAACATCGTTCCGCAGTTCGAGTTCGGCTTCGGCCTGTCCTACACCACCTTCGACTACGCCGAGCTGAACATCCAGCGCTCCGCCGTCGAGGCCACGCAGTTCCCGCCCGCTGCCACCATCCAAGAAGGAGGCAACCCGCGGCTCTGGGACGTACTCGCCAATGTCACGGCCCAGGTGCGCAATGCCGGCGCCATGGACGGGGCCGAGGTCGCGCAGCTGTACGTTGGCATCCCCGGTGGGCCCGTTCGCCAGCTGCGCGGATTCGACAAGGTGCATGTGCCCGTTGGCGAGACAGTCTCTGTCACTTTTCCCTTGACAAGACGCGATCTGAGTACCTGGAACGTGGAGGCGCAGGACTGGGAGCTGCAGCAGGGAGAATACAAGGTGTATGTGGGCCGGTCGAGCCGGGATTTGCCTCTGACGGGCGAGTTGTCTATTTAAGCTGGTGGTCGGCACTGCGCAGGGTAGTTCAGGGTAGTGGTAAGCACGATTCAGTCTAACAAACTTATATTCTTGGTTTATTATCCTGGGATGTGTATCTAGCAGTTTTATCTACATACATACATGCAAACAGCGCCATAGCAAAGTCGTAAATCGTAAATCATCACCAACTAAATGACTCCTCAACATATCGTATCCCCTTGTAACCTCGCTTCAGGGCCAAGTGCACGGCTGCCCGGGTCTGGTCCGCCAATGCAACCGGGCCGCAGACCAGGACAGCCACGGAAGACTCACTCAGCTGAGCTGCATGTGCATGGGCGAGCACGAGACTTTCAACATTTGGTCGTCCCTGGGCTATATCAAGATCGTCCATGGATTCGACCCGATCATGTTCGTGAGGGTTCCGCTTCTCAGTCGAGTAGAAGGAGGCGCGGAAGTCGTCGCGAGTCAACGCGGGTGCTAACTCGCGGGCGGCAATCTGTCGAATGAACGAGGCCTGCCGGGCTACCCAAACCAGTTGCATATCCCGAGTTTGACTGGCCGCTTGCTCGGGGTCCTCCACGGTCCGCAGTATGTGCTCATGGATGTACGGAATGATTGCTGCAATGCCTGTCCCGCCGGCCACAAGGAGCACCGACTCGTAGTTCCATAGAGGAAACTGGTCGCCGTAAGGACCTTCCAGCAGGATTGTCTTGTCAATACTCAGCGTCGGAGACCGCATGCACTGATCACGAAGCTGACGCGTCCACCCGTCGTACGGCCGGACCCAGAAGACAAGCTTCAAGCCGCGCGGGGCGTCACGCTTCAGCTGTAGCTCCTCGGCCGTGTGCGTGGACTCTGACGAAGAATCAGACAGAAGAGGCACCTGTGTTACATCAATGGAGTGGTCACCCTTGGCTAGGGGTGGGGTGGGAGATGCGTCCTTGTAGTCTGCCTCGTAGAACCAATGACCAAGGGTGAAAGGGTGGCTTTCCCAGCCCGTCAGCCGAAACGGCTGGTAGAGGTAGTAGTACTGTCCCGGTGTTGGGCACAGACGCTTAGAGCCAGGAGCGACCTCGAGACGAATCACGTCCGCAGAATGGTCGTAGCTGGCTAAGCTTTTCGTGTACAGTATCCTATTACCAGCGTTGACTCGCACGTGAATGTTGCAGTAAAGCAACCGGACGAGACGAAGAACTCGGTCCATGACCCACATGGCCACGGCCGGCCAGAGATAGGTCCAGTATCCGTGGTCTGAGAAGATGATAGTATGGCTGGTAGCAGAGTTGAGATTAGTGCGGGTTGAATCACGCTGGTTTCGAGTACTCACTAGAAGCAACCAACCAGCAGTCCAACAGAAAAAACGATGTGCAACAAGAGGAAGATTTCATAAGCTCGGTGGCGGAGCCACTGAATCGCGAGTGGTAAGATTAGGACCATAAGGACTGTTGCCTGCTTTAATGTCAGCCTCGCTATCGGACGGTCTGCAATGGTCATTACGCACCCCTGTGCCCCATAGTAGATATGGCTTTTGCAGCTTCTTCAGCAGTCTACCTTCTATAGCGATTGTAAGCTATTTTCGTGTGAGCCTTCCGAGAAACACGACTTACTCTCGTACATGATGAAGAGGTAAAGGAAAGTATGAGCGATCGCCTGGGCAGTCGCAATCCAGGCGACGTGGCGATGAAATAGGTTGAACGTTGCAAAGCTCCACCCGGTGGCCCATATGAAGATGTTGTTGCGGCCAGCGAAAAGCCAGAGCAGTGGTAGATTAGCGAAAGATAGGATGCCTGTTCTGTCCGCCGCATACCGAAGCAGCTGCGATTGTTTATCAGGCCAGCTGCAATAACTGGGTCAGTCATCCGCAGTCGCACCCGTTCTGCTCCCGGGGTCTTACTAGATGTTATTCGGTATCAGTCGATAGCTGACAGTACAGACGACCATGCTTAGGACCCAGAAGAAAAACACAATAACAGCTTCTAATCGTGTTGGAAAGGTCCACCAAAGCAATTTGCGGCCCTGGGACTGCAGAGGGTGAGGCACGACGAGGTGCATCTGTACCCAGTGATAGATCTTCTGGAAAGGCACACAAAGTCTGCGAAGGCCTGGACTAGACCTATAGCTGGTTTGTACCACTTCAGAGTGGATGACATGATGTACCAGTCGCTGAACAATCCCCAAGCCGAGTATGCCGAGCCAGAACCCATATCCAACCAATCTAGTAATGGTAAGAGACCCTTCTCTGGGTTGAGGTGAACGCACAGAATCCTCTTACCCATAAGCGTAATGTGTCCAAGTTTGGAATTCCCAAGTATCCTGCCGAGAGGCGCGGTTAGAGGTTGGCGGGAAGAACGAGAATTCCACGTACAATAGTTTGAAATACGATATCATAATAGGAGGGCGCGAGGAGAACAGGTGTATTGAGGAGATGCTTTCTTGGTATCTCCAAGTATTTGACGACTGGCATGCGACGAAGAGCGTCACGGGTGAGGTTCTCGGCGACTTGTTCGCGCGGAATCAGATCGAGGTGACTAAACTGTCGACACAACTTTGCCAGTTGGGCGATGCCAGCTTCTCTCTCGAAGGGGAGACAGTAGAGATCGGAGGCAGCGTAGATGGAGGTGACCTCTAGCGGGTTCTGACACCGGGTCTCCCAGAAACCCACGTCTGGGTCTGCGGCGAAGGTGAGGTATCCATAAGCGGTGTATATCGCAGTAACGCAACGTTCGTTCTCGGGGAGGAATTTAGATGCGACGAGCGAGGTATATAAGGAGAAGAAGAGGATCAGCCCACTGAGTGCCAACATGACTGAGGGCAGGGAGGGGTAAGAGGAAAGGAGGAAGGAGAGAAGAGGTGGAACTAAAACTGAAGGGTGGAAACTCCAGTCAACCCTCGCTCAGGTTGTGGGGCGGACATGCCAGTGTGAGGTGACTTTCACACGAGATCGCTCTGCGCCCGGCGATTCGCGTATCCGAGACCCGCCGTGACAGAAACAGGGCGAGAAAGAGAGGGGAGAAAGATGGAGTAGTCTGAGGTGTTCTTCGTTGAGTGGCGGATACCAAGGTCAGGTCTGATGCTATGTCCTGAGCAACAGAAAAGAAAAGAAAAGAAAAGAAGAAAAAGTAATAGGGAGCAGGTTAGGCAGCCCAGTTCGTTCCTCTGTGATGGATGGATGGATGGAGAGAGATGGGAATGCCGACTTCGCATTTATCTAATCTGATCGGGCCATCTGATAGCGCCAAAATCTCTGATTGGGTACGAGCCCGTCTGCTACAGCCATGACATTAATCAAGCACGTGATATTCTTTGATTCTGCTGGGGCTCACCGCATCTGCCTACACAATATCAATATCAATGCTCAATCACGGAACCAGATCCGAAGCTTCCGCACTTCCCCGGTATCAGTTCCGCTGGCCACCCCGGAATTCCTTCCTTCTCCTACTTTCCCCCGGGCAAGTCACCCAACGCGTTTCTTTTCCACCCTCTATCGTATGATTCTTGCATTTGCTTATGCCTAATCCTTCTAATTCTTCTTCTTCTTTTCAGCGTCAGCGCTCAGCAGATGACTCCGCAGCGCCCCACAAACGGCGCAAAATCGCCATCGCATGCGACGAATGCCGGGCCCGAAGGACTCGATGCGATGGCATTCATCCCGGTAGATATGTTGGATTAGGATGATCATCCGCATTATTGCTAACTTGCTTGGCGACGTAGTATGCGGACCGTGTATAAAAAGGGTAAATCGAGGGGCCCAGTGTGTCTTTTCCGGAGAAAAAAAGCGAGCTACGCAAGAGTGAGTCTGCCTTGTGTCTCCCGATGCAGCCCGCCACTGTTCGCTGACATTGGTCTGTGAAAGCTATATCAAAGATCTAGAGAACCGGCTGAAGCTTCACGAAAGTCCTAGCGGTGCGCGGATAGATGCTGCTCAATCATCGAGATCAGGCTCTCCACAGGTAAGTACACATCTTGGTTCGACGGGGGTCTGTCACTTGCAAGATGCTGACAGGGTCAAGGACTCTATTAGCTCTCAAGTCCAGGTACCACGTTCATTACAAACTCCAAAGTCCATCACATTCGCTTCTCCCCACGCAAATCTTGGACAACATCGACCAACTGCCTCAGGCGACAATGGCAATGAATCCTCTTCGCCATGCCTCGTCTGCCAACAAGCCCCGGAAACAGCATCAATGTGCGTTCATAGAATCACAGTTCCTCGACGTCCGGCTTCTGAGTCGCGAGAGTGTGGGGATGGCGTCAACGCGATGATGGGCGAGGTGGAGGAAGAGCGCCCAACACAAGGCTTCTTTGGCAGCTCCAGCGCTGCCAGCTTCATCCGACAGATCAGAACGGCCATTGACCAGAGGGTGCTGTCGCCCTATCGTCAAACATCAGACTCAGTCCTTGGTGTTACATCGCCGTCCGGTATCATGTCCTCGAGAAAAGAACGATCATCAGGGTTTTCCAACTACGTTCTTCCACCCCGAAAGACAGCTGATAGCCTCATGGAAATATACTGGACTTTTGTGTTCCCTCTCTACCCGCTCGTCGATAGTATTACTCTGCGAGACGAATACGCCAGATTATGGACTGGGGAGTCTTCTCACTCGGATGAGAACATGCTGATGTGTACTTTCAATGTGATCTTTGCTCTAGCCTGTCAGCTAGCCGACTTTATCCCTCCGGAGGAGCGAGAGGCGTCGGCTGATACATTTTTCTCCCGTGCAAAAGACCTTCTCCAATTCAGTCTCTGGAATACAGGGTCCGCGGGGTTGATTCAATGTTTACTACTCATGGCCCAATATCTTCAGAGCACAGATTCGGCTCACCAATGTTGGATTGTCACTGGATTAGCCATTCGGAATGCGCAGAGCTTGGGACTACATCTTTCACAGACCAGTGCTCGACTACAGAACCCCCAGGAGAAGCAGCTTGCTCGCAAAATATGGCACGGATGTGTGTTGATGGACCGGTAATTTCAAAGTGTGGTTTTCTACCTCGCAGGAACTAATACAGTGTTAGAGTGATTTCCATGACCTTCGGGCGCCCCTCAATGATCTCCAAAGCTGCAGGAGGCTCTGTACCACTGCCAGCCGCTGTGGACGAAGAGTACATACCCTCCGCCTCAGGTACTGACGTTGGCCAACCAGCCGACCGTCCCTCCGTGATGGCATTCTACGCGAAATCTCTAGAACTCTACGAGATCATGAACGACATCCTCCTCAGTTTCTACAACCCTAATCCTGATGAAAATCCTGAAGACGTGTATGACTTCTACTTCGACAAGCAAACCGAGGGGGAGTATACCATATTCGAGTTGGACCGAGCGCTGACAAAGTGGTCTCGAAACCTGCCGGAGCACTTACGAGGCGACGTCTCTCACGCATACGGCGACAACGTGTTTTACCATCAGAGCATTGTCCTGCGCGCACGGTAAGCCAACCTTCCACTCGTCAGAAGATGCAGTGCTAAAACGTAACCTCTAGTTTCCTTCACGTCCGCATGCTGCTTTTCCGACCCATCCTATCCAAGTACTGCACTGCTCGAGATATCGGGGTCTCCGACCCCCTCACCTCTCTGCAAGACTCATTCCCGCAGCGGATCGCCCTTCAATGCTCCACCATCTGCGTCAAGGTAGCGCAGGAGGTCATCGGCCTGATCTACGGGCACATTCCCGCCGACGCAACAGCCGGCCCGCTTCCTGCATGGTGGTATAATATTCTCTGTAAGCATCAACTCACTCACCTTCATCTCCCCGATCTCTCATACATTCCCTTTTCCTCCATCTCCATTAAGCTCAACACTGATTCCACGCAGACGTCTACACAGCCGCCACCGTCCTCATCGCTGGGCGCCTCTGCCCCGCCATCCTCGAGGAAGTCACCGAGCCCGCCATCGGCCAATCCTGGCACCACGCTCTGGAGATCCTTCGCAAGTACCACAGCTACAGCACCTCTGCACGCCGGTGCGTCGCGGCTCTGGAGATCTTGTACGAGCGCGTCGTGTCGGAGGGTAGCCCGACGGGTCAGGAGCAGTCCGCCCAGAATCTCCCGATGGGGACGACCGGGTCGAATGGGTTAGGGGATTTGTCGCTCGGAGAGGGGGTGAACTCTGCGTTTCTGGAGGGAGTTGATATGCTGGATTTCCAAGATATGTCGTGGTTAAACAGTGTGCCGAGTAGTCTGTTTTGAGGCCTACTCAATCCTAAACTACCTATTTTTAAGCTTTTATCAATCTCACTCAGGTCTCTACCGAAATCCCTCTTGCTCGATCCTGACAGTTTCGCCTCGCAATGACTACGACCAATTTAACAGTAAGCTATCGAAAGATTCCTCAAATCTGTATCCGCCAAGAGAGATGTCTAGATCCCCGAACCACCTTATGACTGGTCCGACTCACCGCGCAACACCAAATATGTCTTCGGACCGAACAGCCAGTGGACTACGTTGGGCAGATGCTGTGATCTGCGGGATATGGCAAGGAAGGGCTATGCGAGTCTTTCTTTACGGCGAACGATGGCCGTCTTCACTTCTGCAATGAGATGATGGCTGAAACTTTCTGTTGATACTTCATGAGAAAGAGGATCAGCTTAAATGCAAGAAACCGAAGATGGTCAAGCCAGCTGAGGAGGTCATAGAGGAGGCGGGTCGAATGGTTCAATCTCCAGATGCTGGTTAATTATGCAACAGAAGCTTTCCCGCATTTTGCTTAGTCCTCTTAAGAACACACACCGCTCGGATGTTGAATTGAATACTTTGATAGACCCTTACTTCTTCGAGGTAATAATATCTATCAATTCCTCTCGATCAGCATCACTCTCCACCAATCCCCGAAACATCCCACCCTCTTTCACCAACAACTCCCTCGGCGATCCAAACTCCACCACGCGCCCGGCGTCCATTACTGCCACACGATCAAAATCCGCGATCGTTCGGATCCGATGAGCAATCACTAGCAACGTCGTGCGTTCGCGCCCGAACCCTGCCCGGATCGACTGCTGAATCAATTCATCCGTCGCGCGATCCACAGCGGACGTCGCCTCGTCCAGCACCAGGATCGCGGGACGCGAGAGCATCGCTCGCGCTAAACATAGCAGCTGACGCTGGCCGTGCGAGAAATTCGACCCGCCCTCCGCCACGGCCGCGTGAAGTGTGGTGACGGTCGTAGTGCTCTGCGGATCAAGACAGTTCGACGATGACCAATGGACATGGCGCAGGGCCTGGAGGATGGTCCCGTCGTCGTGTTCGTCGAAAGGGTCGAGGTTCGAGCGGATGGTGCCCGTGAACAGGACTGGGTTTTGCGGGATCATGGCCAGGCGGTTGCGGAGGGTGGCGAGTCGAATAGTCGAGATGTCGAGCCCGTCGATCGTGATGCTACCTTCGCGGGCTTCGAGGAAGCGGAAGAGGGTCAGCGCAAGGGTGGACTTGCCGGCTCCGGTCCGTCCGACGATGCCGACGCGTTGGCCGGATGTGACGTGGAAGTTGATATCTTGGAGGACAGCGGGTGAGTCCGGGAAGTAGCCCGCGCTGAGGCGGGTAAAGGAAATGCTGCCTTGTTTCGGCCAAGATGGCGGTGCCTCTTTCCCCTTGGTATCTTCCGTGAGGATGTCGCTGTACTCCAGAATGCGCTCCACGCCGTTGAGGTCCATTTCTAGGGTGGAGTAGGCGCGGCTCAAGGAGACAAGGGCGAAGGAAAGGTGATTGGTGAAGACGAGTGCAAAGCCCGCCATGGAGCCCGTCACGCCGGGGCGGTTCACTACGGCAAGGGCAGTCACAGTAGAGAAGACTGCCCCCAAGACATTGATGCGGAAGGTGAACCATCGATTGAAGAGGTATAGATGCCAGGATGCTTGCGCCTGGCGGTCGAGCTTGGTGTGAAATAGCTCAAAGTAGCGCTTTGTTTGACCAAAGGCGCGGATCGTGGCCAAACCCTGCAGGCAAGAGGCGATTTGCTCATAAATCGGACTGCGGGAGATACTCTCGAGCCGTTTGATCTCACGTGCGGCAGCCAGGTACCGCTGCGTATACCATAGGGCTGCTGCAGCTAGCAATAAAGCGAACACGATTAAGATCGGCCGTACTAGTACTCCACCCATGATAACTCCAATGCAGTCCATGCCCGCATTCAGTACGGCTGTCAGGTCGAACCCTAGTCGAGAATCCACCAGGTAGAAGTCGGCCGTGAACCGGTTGAGAAGTCTCCCTGACGGCACTTTGTCGAGCCAAAGCAAGGGTGCGCGAAGAACAACGAACAGCAATTGCCGGAAGAGTCGGGATGCCGCATTTAATGAAGTCTGGAGTGCAATATAAGCGCGCAGTGAGCCGGCAAGACATGACAAGGCAGCAATGATGGTATATATGCCGAGGAAGTATACCGTGTCATTGTCACCTGGGTCTCTGGTGTTGCCATCCCTGCTCCATATATTGATCCACCAATACTAGTGATGAGTTGTCAGTATCAAAGCGCGTGACGGAACCAGATCACTTACCTGAGCAAGCTGTAGTATGTTGTACGTCACGTAGCATCCTGCCAGAACAGCCCAGGATGACCATCCGCCGCTTGTCTGGATGTATCTTTGGAACAACCACCATTGAAGGGCTCCCTCGGCTCTTGACTCGTCATCAACGAACGCCTTGGGCGAATTGGAATTGTCAGTACTATTTTCACTATTGCCCTGGTAGTGGGTCTTGTCATCAAGCTTTTCGTCGTCCTGCTCGTCCATCGATAAGCGTTCCTGTGGCGATGAACTATGCGAGGCTTCAGTATGAGAGCGAACCAATGAGCAGGCGTGCTTGACTGTTCCATTCTCAAGCTCGGCCAGGTAGTCAGCCTTGGATATGCAAAGATCCACATTGTGAGTGACCAGGATTCTCGTCCGTCCCTCACCAAGCTTCCCTGTAATGGCATGTTTAAAGAGGTGACGTGCTGTATGCACATCCACTGCGCTAAAGATGTCATCCATAAGAAGGATTCCAGCGCGCGAGTACAGGGCCCGCGCTAGACCTACTCGCACCTTTTGCCCTCCGCTTAGATTGACTCCACTGGGTCCAATTTCGGTAAAATCCCTGTCATCCAAGAGGTTGAGGTCTTGAACGAGGGCACATGCGGACAGCACGCGTTGATACCTTGCATGACTTAATGGCAACCCGAATAGAATGTTCTCTCGAATACTTCCAGCCTCTATCCACGGAGTCTGAGCTACATATGCCATTGCTGAAGTGAGAGTCCAATCCGTGGGGTTAAGGTTCTGGTTGTATATTGCCTGAGATGTTGGAGGAATAGGGCGTCGGACCGTACCAGACACGACCTCGCATTCGCCTAGAATGGCAGAAAGAAGGAGAGTCTTTCCTGATCCAGTGCGGCCGGACACCACACTCAAGCCTTTCATGGGAAAGCTGAGTGTCACATTTTGCAGTATGCTAGACACAGTAGTGGTGGATCTGAAGTAGGAAAGACTGGCGTTTTCGAATTCAATCCGGCGAAAAGGCGTCGTGGTTCCCAACCCTTCAGCTAGATTGAAGAATCTCGCAATTCGTCCTAGACTCACTTTTGCACCAACGAGGCCGGAGAGTAGTTCAGGAATGAGCCCTAGGATAAATTGAATATACCCAAGGGTCGATAAAGCTGGAAAGGCGACTGATGATGTGAGCGGGCCTTGCTTCCAGCTGTACACGCTTAGGGAGACGGCTGACACCATAACTGGACCAAGCAGGTGGATTGAGAGGTTGACTACATGCCAGAAGAAAGCCGCCTTCTGAGCTTCTACCTCGCGGTCACGAAGGAAATTCACCCTGCGTTCCCATTTCACCTCAAGCCCCGCAAATTTCACTTGCCGAATGCCTTGCAAAACTTCAGTTAGGGTCGCGATCTTTTTGTCGCGAGTGAGCATGAGGTCTTTCTCAACAGATGAGTACTTGGACAAACAGAGAGAATGAAGCGGATAGAAGAGAGCTAGGCAAGTCAGTCCTGCGAGCAAGCTTTGCCATCCGAGGAGGTGAGCCAGGAATGTACAAGCCACCGCCAGCTTCAGTGCTTGAAGAATGTGCGAATATAGAAAACCCGCAACAATGGCAATACGAGACGCATCTATAGCCAAAAGGTTAATCACGTTCTGTGTACTATCCCCGGAAGGCTTATCATCGGCCTCGTCGGCCGAATTCTGCGAACTCAAACGCATTGACTTGCCAAAAGTGACTGAAGAGAGCTGTGTCGTCAGTGGCACTGAGATCCAATTCATGGCGGTCCAAAGAAGCCAATTCTCAAGCCAGGAAGAGACACCAATACTTATACCAAGTAGCAAGGCCCACATATTGAGCGCGTCGTGTTCCGCGCTATGTTTGTCCAAAAGCTGTAGCATTTCACGGAGAGCTAGCTGCGGAGCAAAAGCTAGAATCGCTAGCGGCACGGAGAGCAGAACCTGATGGAGCATCTCCTTCCAATACAGTGATGATAATATTTTTACCATCTTTGACGGGTTTATCTCAGAGAAGGACAATCTATCTTGCACGTCGAGAAAGTCAGTTTGCAAACTAGTTGCTCGCATTTTGTCGCTCAGTTCCGGAAGATCATCCAGGCCAATTGATGTATTAGAGGCGGACCGCGAAACAAGCTTAGTTGCCCATTGAAATGACAGTCGTCCAAGTACAGAAGATGCCTCTTCCTCATCGATTGGCCTACCGTTCCGATATAGGGGGGCACCGCGCGGGTAAGACAAGGAGATGAGAACAACGACGTCGCCAAGGACGTAAATCGACCATGCAAGAGGTGGTGTGGGTTGTCCGAGCCCTGCCTCGTCTCTCGCAACTGTGTTTTCCAAGGCTAGGCCCCCAATCATCAAGCAACCAGCTACTCCTCCCTTTAAGGCCCAGAAGTACCGTACCATCGGCGATGTTTCGCTTGTGAGAAAGGTCCATTGCGCGAGAAGCAAAAGCTAAGTCAGCCACATTAGTGCTGGTACGTCTAGAATGACACTCATGGCATCCTACCCACGACACGAACTGTATCCATGATTGTACTCTACTGGCTAGAGTCTTTGCGAATATGGCTCGCAGTAGGGAAGCAACACAGACACACGCATTTGTGGCCAGCAGGAGGTATGGTCGAGAGTTGGTGCGCAAGGCCACCAGAAATCCCGATGGGGTGCTATAAGAAGCTCCTACTCTCTGATAGCCGTCAAGGAGCGCGTTTGGCGGACATCCCTTAAAAGCACACTGGAGGGTATGCCTTGTAGCGGGTAGGCATGTTGCGATGACCCAGCCTGCAATGAGAACGTTTGAAATCAGACAGATAATTTCAAAAAGCGACATGGTGCAGTTCTAGGCATCATGGCTTTCATTGGGAACCATTTGTCAAACCAAGGTGAACCAGTGGCTGGCATTCCAACACGCGAGGCCGAGCAAAGAGGGAGGGATGGGGATAAACAAGCAGCAAGCAAGCAAGCAGTCATCCAGCATCGGAACGCGGTCCACTGCGAGGAAAGCAAGTCATCTCGAAGACCGAGCTTCCCCGCAGCCGAAGGATTTGGCGATAACTTCGAAATTACCACTACTGCTGTAGTGACCGTGTAGTGAGACAGTCGGAGTGGCTAATCGATCTCTCCAGTTGCCCGCGGTGGGGAGTGGAATTGCCTCGTCGGGTAATGCCGGAGCCCGCTCTACCGCCCGGCAGATACCTTCTTTTTTGGCCTCAGGCATAAACATGGGCTTCTTGTGTATCTAGTAGTCATATCCCGTCGTCTGTTTACCTCGTCTATTTGCCTACGTACGGTCGACTCCTTCAAAGGACCAAAGCTGCCCATCATAGGCATGCAATGCGCATGCATGAAAACCAAACATTTTTTCCCAAGACACACTTCCAAGCACCTTACCGAGCGTCCCTCGCTGGCTCTGAGTAGGTACCACTAATCACCTCACCAAGCAAGCGAGGCAGCTACTAAAACCAATCAGCACGGAGAATCTTTGACTGCTCATGTTACCAGTACATAGAGCTTTAAATCAATCAGCACACAGTTGAGTTGTCCTCCGAAGAGCATGACCTAGCAAAGGGCTCCGCGCTCATGCGCGTCACGATCAATGAGTTGTTCAGTACTGAGATGCTGGTAGTGCAGCAGTTGGAAGCTTCCGCGCCGTCGGACACAGATCATCCCGGACGAACGATGGTCTTGCCCATGACCAACAAGAGCAGAGGAAGACAGCATTGAATGTTGTCACTGGAAGGAAGTGCCAAGGGCCGATCAACGCGGAAAGTTCCCCGTTTTGCCCATGATCTGGGGTGAAAATGCGGGGAAGTTGGAGGGCCAAGCAGCACGGAAATTATCACGGAAAATTTATTCGGTCATCATTCACCCGATGACATGCATGTACTGTACTGAGGTCGTTGTGCTCAAAAGAAATGCGCATCGTCATGCCACCCACCGATTATAAAAGCAGGCCAGCAGACAGCGAGGGGCTGGGCCCTGTAAAACCGTGGTAGAGGTCACTATCCCGCGCATCAAGCAACAACAGAAACTCCCACGATGCGTCGGACACTAGCCCTCGGCGTGGTGTCGACTTGGATCACCCTCGCCTCTGCCACACTACGAACTGACCAGAATGGCAGCACAATCACCCTAGCCAACGACCGACTCACCGCGGTCTTCGCGACCAACAAAGGCCGGATCGTCGACCTCTCCCTCGATAACCAGGACCTGCTGGGCCCTCAATCAGGGGACACCGGCACCGGGCCCTACCTCGACTGCTACTGCATCCCGTCGGGCTTCTACACCCCGGGCTCCACGAGCCCTAGCATGGAGGTCGTCGAGGGCACCGATGCCACCGGCACGAGGTACGCCGGCGTGGTCATGAACGAGACCTATCCGCCGACGGGCCAGCAGTTCCAGCAGTACTGGTTCCTGCGCGACGGCGAGACCGGCCTGCACACCTTCAGCCGGCTCGCCTATTACAACAAGACTACGCCGTTCTTACGCAACCTGCAGGAGTTCCGAACCCTCTTCCGGCCCAACACGGCGTTGTGGACGCACCTGACATCCAGTGAGATTCAGACCGCGCCGCTTCCGGGCAAAGACGCTATCAGCAGCGAGGTCGTCGTCCAGGACGCCACCTGGTCGTTCAATAACACGCCCAGCGATGCCTACTATACTCAGTTCTCGGAGTACTTTACCAAGTATACTTTCTCGAATGGTCAGTGGCCTGGTGTCTTCATGGGTTGGATTGGGTATGGCTAATACAGCGAAGATTGGCGTGATAACTCGGTTCATGGCATGTATGCCGATGGGACTACGTCGAATGGGACAGCATACGGCGCGTGGTTGGTGATGAACACAAAGGTGAGAAATTATTTGGTATTGAGGACCATATGTAGCTGACGCGGATGATTCTTAGGATACATACTACGGTGTACGTGCGATGGATAGTCAAGCTCGTAACTCACGCTGACCATTTTAGGGACCTCTGCACTCAGATCTTACCGTTGATGGCATCGTATACAATTACCTTGTGTCTAACCACCATGGAGAAGGAACCCCAAACATCACCTACGGGTTTGATCGCACGTTCGGTCCTCAATACTATCACTTTAACGGCGGGAAGGGATCCAAATCATCCCTGGAAGAGCTGAGGTCTGATGCAGAATCCTTGGCAAACCCTAGCTGGAATCTGAAGTTCTACGACTCGATTGCCAAGCACGTGGTTGGGTATGCGCCCTCGAGTGTACGGGGTAAGGTGCAGGGACACATCAAGCTGCCTAAAGTAGCCACCCGACCGATCGCCGTGCTCACAGTTGACGGACAGTATTTCCAGGACAATTCCGTGGATCCTTCTGCATACCAGTACTGGACTGAGATTGATAAGAACGGCCACTTCAATATTGACCACGTCAAGGAGGGCAAGTACAGGCTGACCGTGTATGCGGACGGGGTCTTTGGTGACTATGAACGCGACGGTGTACGAGTGCAGGCTGGCAGAACCACGAAGGTCCAAGAGACATGGGTCGAAGAATCGGCAGGCACCGAGGTCTGGCGGTTAGGCACCCCAGACAAGTCTTCGGGAGAATTCCGCCGCGGTGTGGCTAGAGACGAAACTCACCCCTTGCACCCCCCGCAGTATCTGATCTACTGGGGCGCTTATGACTGGCAGCAGGATTTCCCTAACGGAGTCAATTACACTATCGGTAGCAGTGACCCTGCCACTGACTTCAACACGGTGCAATGGTCAGTGTTCGGCCCGACCCCCAACAACCCCGATGTTGAGTATGACACCACGCACGATTGGACAATCAACTTCAGCTTGAATAAGAAGCAGCTGCGGAAGCGGAAGAAGGCCACCTTAACCATCCAACTCGCGGGCGCCAAGACTGCGTCTGGTAACACTGATGTTTGGAATCCGGAAGAGCCATACAACAATCTCTCATTGGAGAGCTATATCAACGGGCAGAAGGAGCCACTGAGCTTGGTGATCGGATTCAATCAGTCGAGTAGCTGCATTGTTCGATCTGCCGTAAGTTGCTATCAGGTTCGTTCACGGATGGAGTTTCCGGCCGATTGGCTGGTGGACGGCAATAATGAGTTGACGTTGCACCTGCCGTACAATGCCACGGATACCGAGACTGCGATCCTACCCGGGACGGTATATGTGCAGTATGATGCCTTGAGACTGGAGGTGTCATAAAGATCAGTGCCTAGCATTGTGGAGACAAACCCGTTAGCTCGTTCTTGTTTGCACCAGCTCAGTGTACCTCCACTTTAGAAACCAGAAATCAAGTCAGGCTCAATTTTGGTTCTATTTTGTTTCAGCCTGAGGCATCCAGACCTCGAGCGTCACGTCCCGGTTGCACGTTGCACGTTGCACAAGCGCTCAAGATAGACACAGTCAGAATCATTGATAACAAATCGTTTCAATAGAGTGCAGCACGCACACAAGTATGAGATATTCAGCTTATGGATATAATTGATCCGCTGGAGGGAAAGAGGAACTAAGAAAGGCCCGAGGATAAATCATTACCTCGAGGATGGGCTGATGAGTGATCGACCCTTCAATCCTTCCCGATGCGGTAATAGCCTCGGCTCCGGCGCAAACCCGGGGAAAACGGCCATCAGTAATCTTGCACTCTTGATTGGCATATAAACTGCTAACGGCTGCATTTTTTCCCCGCAATTTTACTCCTGTCTGCTTAGAGCTCACTGCTTACTGTACCTACAGCTAGCAGTCCTTGGAAAATATCTCAGGTCTGTTGAGTGACGAGATCCCGGCTGTTTCATCCCTTTCCATGCCACTTTCCCGAGCTATGTCCCAGACCTTCACCCGCGCCGAGGTTGCGCAGCACAACACCGAAGACTCGGTCTGGTGTATTATCGACCACCGCGTCTATGACCTCACCGACTTTCTCGACGCACACCCCGGTGGTAGTGTGGTTCTGAACCAAGTCGCCGGCCAGGACGCCACCACAGACTTCTTCAACCTCCATCGCCAGGAGGTGCTGGAGAGGTACAGTCGTCTGTGTATCGGCACTGTGGCCGGAGAAACCCCCGAGGTTGTGACCCCTGAACCGGGCAGTCTCAGTCAGGTCCCATACGCCGAACCCCTGTGGCTGCGGCCCGCCTTCAAGAGCCCTTACTACAATGACAGCCATCGGCGCCTGCAGAAGGCGCTGCGCGAGTTCACCGATCGCTACGTTACGCCGGAGGCGCAGGAGAAGGAGCGGGATGGGACATACATCAGTCAGGAGTTGATCGATCGCATGGCGGAGACTAACATCCTGGCCATGCGGTTGGGGCCGGGCAAGCATCTGCATGGACGGAAGCTGCTCGGTGGTGTCGTCGATGGCAAGGAATTCGACTACCTGCACGACTTGGTTGTGTCGCAGGAGTTGGTCAGAGCCAATGCTCGCGGTGAGTTTTCTGTGCTTGTGGTGCCGGAGAGTTCGGGCTCTGACACTGAGTAGGCTTTCAGGATGGAAACATGGCAGGCATGGCCATCAGTTTGACTGCCGTCCAGCAATGGCTGCGCAACGAGCCCCTTCGCCAGCAAATCACAGATGAAGTCTTGTCTGGAAGAAAGAAGATGTGTCTTGCCATCACAGAAGCCTTTGCAGGCAGTGATGTGGCTGGTCTACGCACTACAGCTAAGAAGACCCCCGACGGCAAGTACTACATTGTGAATGGAACCAAGTATGGTACCCTCTCCCTGTACTGGGCTCAAATCACTGATCTTCTTTTCTCTCTTCTTCAGGAAATGGATCACGAACGGCATGTTCTCCGACTACTTCGTCACCGGTTGCCGGACAGAGAAAGGCTTCTCGGTGCTCCTGATCCCTCGCGGGGAGGGGGTCGAGACGAAACAGATCAAGACATCTTACTCGACCACAGCCGCCACGGCGTTTGTGCAGTTTGAGAACGTCAAGGTGCCTGTTGACAATCTCCTGGGCGAGGAGCACAAGGGCTTCATTGTGATCATGAGCAACTTCAACCACGAGCGCTTTATGATGGCCAGCAGCGTAGTTCGCATGTGCACGACTATCGTCGAGGAGTGTCTGAAATGGTGCAATCAGCGCATCGTCTTCGGCAAGAAGCTGATCGAGCAGCCAGTGATGCGGCAAAAGTAAGTCCGTCATCAGCTGTTCACATTGACTATTACTGATTCATTGAATCGCAGACTTGCTCGCATGATTTCCCTCTGCGAAGCCAACCAATCGTGGCTCGAGTCCATCGCTTACCAGATGTGCAACATGAGCTACGCAGAGCAGTCTGCTCATCTGGGCGGTCCCATCGGCTTGCTTAAATCCCATGCCACGCGGTCAGCCCAGGAGATTGCCGAACAGGCTACTAACATCTTCGGAGGACGCGGTCTGACCCAAACCGGCATGGGCAAGGTGATTGAAATGTTCCATCGGACCTACAAGTTCGACGCTATCTTAGGTGGTACGGAGGAAATTCTGGCTGATCTTGGTGTGCGGCAAGCGATGAAGAGGTTCCCCAAGGCCATGCTATAGTTCTTAATCTGCTACCTAGAACTGAATGCAGGCATTCATAGAGTAACGCGCAGACAACCTCCGAACATCCATACTATTCTTGGATGGATTATAATGATCCATGACATATTTCACAATTCGTGTAGCTGCATTCCCAAGGTTACAATTGCGTGGACAGCCCAGTGATCTCAGCGCCTTCGTACAGGCGGTCAATCTGGCTGGATTGGCGGGCTCTTTGAGCGGTATGGTGCCCACAGCGTGTATTGCCTTGGGGATGCGGTGGCCATGGGAAACTGAAAGACCGGGAGGTCAGGGGGTTCTTCCCGGATTTTCTTTATTCTGGTATTAAGATTGAGAGTGCTGGGAAGCTGAAGGAAAGGGGGCCCCGGGGGTTCTTCCCCGGAAGACAGTTTATACACCTGGTTGACTCTATTGGTAGGTCTGTTGGAGGAGTTTAATTTTCAAATTGTACTCGGCGGGTTAAGTGGGTTGCCTGCCTATGTGTTTATATAGTATCGGCGAACGCGGGTTGAGGCAGCAGGCAAAATTGTGGGGAAAAGGGATAACAGAATCAACGAGAAATGCAGTATAGCTTCAAGAAATATTTTCAATCAATATACTCACATTCATTCACATTCACTATGTGTATATGAGGTTCGAAGTTCTTCAGTTTGTTGTTTGTTGTCAGAGCATCTTATGACTAATCGTCTCGGTGGACCAGGCAGCGATAGGCATACGTCGACAAGCCGATAAGGAGCACCCCGGCCCCAGACAATTTGCGCCACTCTGGGACTTTTGACTTTCCCACCTCATCCATCTTGACCGACCGAACTCTTGAATCACACCCGAACTATGGCAGATGTTTTGAATCCGGATAACGTCCTGGAGCTTGCCGCGAACGCACTCCGCCAGGATGGAGACGCGTCGTCCAGCATCAAGACGCCCTACGAGGCTGTTGCGCTGATCGGCCATGCCTGTATGGCAGCCGTGGGCTTTCGACTGGTCGGGCTCGGAGAAGACCACAATATCGGTAAGTGGCACTTTCGCTCTTTATCGTCTCTGCCCAAACACACGTTACTGACTACGAGGTCATCCCTACAGATGGCCCGTCCGACAGTGCCCGCCTACCGGCCGAATGGAACGCGAACAGCGCCTTCGAATTCCGCTACGCTCACTCCCAGTCCTCGATGCAATACCTCCTCAAAGTCAGCCGACTGGGCAGTAAAGCGGTGGTGCTCGCGCTGGCCTTGGGCGACGACAAAACCACCTCGTTTGATCTTCCTGTGCAAGACTACATCTCCGCCTCCGCCCTCCCCCTGTCCTCGACCGCAGATCTCCCTTCCGCCCTCCAGGATACGTTCATATCGCCTCCACGTGTCCAAGACCTGATCAACCTGTTCAAGATCAATGTCATCCAGAAACTGGCCCCGGGGCTGTACAAGGAAGGATACGAGGAGACCCGTCAGCTGCGGGAGGTGCAACAGGAGCGACCGCCACGACACGATCCGCTACGAGACGACTCCCTCCCCCAACCTGCTCGCCCCTATCCGTTCGACGACCCTCTCGCAGCGCGTCCGGGTCGACCGGTCCCGGCAGGCGACTTTCCTCCACCAGGATTCGAGGATGAGTTCGAAATTCAGAGACCGCCTCGAGGGTATCCCGGGATGGGAGGTCGGAACCCGTTGAGTATCGGCGATCGAGATCTATATCCGACGGGTCTGGGACCTCATGATCCGATCTATGGGGGCATTGGACCTGGGCTGGGGGGCGGCGGTGGCGGAGGTGGGATGCATCCGACCTTCGATGATCCCCTCTTTGGAGGACGTGGGGGAGGTGGAGGGAGGGGCGGATACGATCCTCAGGCTCCGCCGGGAGCCCGATATGATCCTGTTGGACCTGGGGATGGAGCACCATTTGGACAGGGGCGGGGATCCTTTGGCGGACGCGGAGGCTTTGGCGGAGGCTTTGGCGGAGGCTTCGGCGGATTTGGCGGTGACATCATCTAGCCCAATGGATGCAGGATGACTTAATGACCAAAATGCCACGACTGAATTGGGATATGGGAACTTGTATTTAATGTGACTCTGATTGATGATTGATGGACTATTTAATAGCATTTGATTGATTGCTATATTGTGTTTGTGTTGTTTTAGTTTTTTAAGGGGAAGCTCCTACAGTAGTAGCTTGTAGACTATTGTGGTCACTTTGTGAATTGTTGCATTGTCAATAATAATAATCTTTGGGTGTGAAGTAAGTGTGGCGCAGGCGGGGGGGAAGAAAAAGAGGCTGAAGAGGGGGGAAAATTCCTGGGGCAGAAACAAGAAAAGGTGGGCGGTGTGGCTGTTCTGCTGCTGTTCTGCTGCCCGTCCACCCTGGCAATATTGCTACCATCACCACCACTTCCATCATCTCTCTCTAGCCTCCCACTCCCATTCCCATTCCCCCTCCCACTACAACTACCACCACCACCACCACCACCAACTGGACCCCCTCACCACCCCCCCACCCTTTTAAGCTACTTTCACAATAAATATTCTCTTTCATCTCTCTATTGCTATCGTCTGGTCTTTCTTCTAGCGACAGCTTCTCCTGTCGCACCCCTTCTCCTGCTGTTGCCCCAATTTAGGTCTCGTTTCGCCCCGTCTCGCCTACTCCCTCTCCCACCCTCGAAAGAAAAGAACCGCCGGAGCTCACGAGACCTCCCCCTCCCCCATTTCACGTCCCTCGCCGCTTGAGATCGCGTCAAATTCGCTCCGTATCACCTTCGTCACTCCTGTCAGTGGCCTTTTCAATGGATAACAATATGGAAATTGATACCGCGCGGTCGCCCGAGCCTCACCACCTTTCCCCGACGACCGACCCGGGTTCCATACCCACTCTCGACGGATGGATCGAGAGCTTGATGACCTGCAAGCAACTGGCAGAGGAAGATGTTCGGAGACTGTGTGATCGGGTGTGTCCTTCCTTCCCCCGGATATACAGCTCCGCGTGTCCACGGATTCCTAATCATGGTTTTGTTTTCCCCCACATAGGCGAGAGAGGTATTGCAGGATGAGTCCAACGTGCAGCCCGTGGTATGTGTCCTTTGATGATGATTCGACTTTTTGTTCCTGTCCCCCACGGGAGTACAATGTTCGCGACCGATCGGGCTGACCGGTGTCTGCCCGTCCGCAGAAATGTCCTGTGACTGTGTGCGGTGACATCCACGGCCAGTTCCACGATCTGATGGAACTTTTCCGCATCGGTGGTCCCAACCCCGACACGAACTACCTCTTCATGGGTAAGTGGGCATGCGGGCTGTGGCTTCGCCTCGAGGGTGTGTCTCTCTGGCTAACGCGCGTCTTCCCCTTATTCCTCCTGCAGGTGACTACGTCGACCGTGGTTACTACTCCGTCGAGACCGTCACACTCCTTGTTTGCCTGAAAATCCGCTACCCGCAGCGTATCACCATCCTCCGCGGAAACCACGAGTCCCGCCAGATCACACAAGTCTATGGCTTCTACGACGAGTGCTTGCGCAAATATGGCAACGCCAACGTGTGGAAATACTTCACCGATCTCTTTGACTACCTCCCCCTCACCGCACTCATTGAGAACCAGATTTTCTGCCTGCACGGCGGTCTGAGTCCGTCGATCGACACCCTGGACAACATCCGCTCCCTGGATCGAATCCAGGAGGTGCCGCACGAAGGCCCCATGTGTGACTTGCTGTGGAGTGACCCCGACGACCGATGCGGCTGGGGCATCTCCCCCCGTGGTGCGGGCTACACATTCGGACAGGATATCTCGGAGGCGTTTAATCACAACAATGGCTTGACTCTGGTCGCACGGGCGCATCAGCTGGTAATGGAGGGATATAACTGGTCGCAGGATAGAAACGTGGTCACGATTTTCTCAGGTATTTTCTTGTCTTCCCGCTCGACCCGGGATGGCCGGCATGCACGGACGCAGCTAATCTCTACTCTTTTCTCCTTCCAGCTCCTAATTACTGCTACCGCTGCGGTAACCAAGCCGCAATCATGGAAATCGACGAGCACCTTAAGTATACTTTGTATGTTGCCCACCATCCTATACCCTCTTTCTCATCGGGCTCCGCCGCTAATGTTAATGCTCCGCTGCCAGCTTACAATTCGACCCCTGCCCGCGCGCCGGAGAACCCATGGTCTCGCGGCGCACTCCGGATTACTTCCTGTGATCGGGGCTTCTTTTCTTGTGATAGACATTTTACTTCCTCTCCCCGCTGGCAAAGTTAAGATTTTTCCGTTCGACCCTTCGAGAGGGCTCGGGGATAGTTGGTGAGAAGATCAAACCCTCGGGGGAAAACCCTCGGGGGATTACAGCCGGGCCCGCGGTCTGTCTCAGTCTAAAGTAATTGTATGTCCGTATTTCCTGGCCGTGTTGATACCAATTCATGAAAATAAAAGACCGTGAGAGATTCGTTACTGCTGCTGTTGTTGTTGTTGCAGCTGCTGCTGTGGAGTGGTGGTTGGGGGTGGGGTGTCTCCTAAGATAGAGGCGTAGTGTAGAAGAGAGGCCCGAGGGGCACTTGGTCGTAGTTCAGCTGCATGGTCTCAGGGGACATATCCCGTGACGACTGCTTCTTGCGCGTAGGTGTTGATCTCTGCAGATCGAGTAGGCATAATAGATAAAAACAGCTAGAAGACGCGTTCACCATCAGATCTCCCAAGTACTATTCACATTCATAATCATAAACACAATAGCTCCTATATATACAAGATATGTGCAAAACACACCACATCCCACGAATACCCACTCCACCTTCTAACAATCTACCTCACTATATACAGTCCGAAAGACCTTCCCCCTTCCGACCTTCCCACCTCAGCAATCCAATCCAAGACTACCGACAAACACACCAAGCTAAGCTAAATCAAATCACCCCCTCCTCCGGGCCGCAGCCTGCGCCAACGCAGCCTGCACCTCCGCCGCATGCTCCGAGAAATGATCAACGAGATTATCCCACATCTTCGGCTCATGCTCATGCCTCTTGGCACTCGACCACGCGAACTCCGTGATCGTGAACGGTCGGCTCGACTCGAACATGAACGCCATCGAGGCCAGCGAGATCTGCATGGTCGGGGGCGCGGTGGTGGTCGCGGCTTGGAATTCCTCGTAGGCGACGCCGTGGGGGACCACTTCTTTTATTAGTATATATACCTGAAGATGGGGAGGGGGGCGGGAACTTACTCCCGCACTCGAACGAGATGCTACCCGGCTGGAAGGCGTCGGAGCGGCCGCCGTAGTCGCCGTAGATGAGACCCATGAGTTCCGAGGCGGCGTTGCGGTGGTAGTATGGTGGGCGATAGGTGTCTAGTATTCATTAGTATGGAAGAAAGTGAAACGTCGGTGGTATTGTTGAGGGATAGGCTGTGCATACGGGAGGCGACGTCCCAGCGCGGAGAGAAGATAAGTAGATCGGCCAGCGGGGCCGTGAGATCGCGCGACTTGGCCGTCAGCACACAGAAGATGGACGGGTCGATGTGATCGACGGAGATGGAGCCGACGTTGACGAATTTGGTGAGGTCGTATTTGTAGGGTACCTTTTGGATGATGGTTAGTTTTGATGCGCTTCGCGATTGATTGAGGGATCAGTATAGGGGAAGCACGTACATAATTCCCATGCCACGCGACCACGTCAAACGGGCTGTGGTTCTGCTTGCTCTTGAAGAATTTCCCGCCGAGCTTGTAGACGATCTCCCACGATTCCTGTGAAATCTCGTACTTGGCCGTGGGCACGAGGAAGTCGCGGGCGTTGGCCAGGCCGTTGGCGCCCAGGGGCCCCAGCTCGGGCAGCTCAAACTGACTGCCCCAGATCTCGAGGATGTAGCCTCGAGACGGCCCATCGGGCAGCTCGACGCGGAAGCGGATCCCGCGCTGGATAACGACGAGCTCGCCCGGCTGCACGAATAACGGGCCGAACTCGGTCTGGATATCGAGGGCCCCCTGCTGCGGGATGATCAGCATCTCGCCGTCGGAGTTCACGAAGGCTTTCTTGGTCATGTTGGCGTTGGCGACGTAGACGTGCGTCGCCAGGCCTTCGCGCAGCGTGGGCTCCCCGGAGCCAGCGACGGTCTTAAGGCCGCCGACGAAGTCCACTTGCTCGTCGCTGGGGATGTCGAACGGGAACCAGGCGAGCTGGGTGGGCGAGACGTGTACGCGAGGGTTCATGGGGAGGAAGTTCGCCTCGGTGTCGTTGTTGTCGGGGAGGTCAGTCTGTATCGCGTGTCAGCTCGAACTCATGAAAGATACGGGCGCTGCGCTTCACGTACAAATCCTTGGTGGGCAACGGCCGGGCGAGCGCGGTATAGCCATGCTTTCTTATTGCAGTGTCTGGGGGCGATGAAGGCGCTGGCCGTGATCTGTTCTGCGTACAGCCCGAACCGGACATTGCGCGGGCTGTTCTGGCCCTGTGGAATGGTGCCTGGGACAGCCTCCGAGACGAACCTGTTACGACGACGTCCGCATCAGCCTGGTGAATCGCTGGTGCAGGAGTGTACTTGGACTTACGCGTTGCCAAACCCGGCTTGATACTACGGGGCGCATTAGCATTTGGATAGTACGTTGTATCGGGGTAGAGACAAACCTCATAAGGATCGTTTCGTCTCGTGCTGAAAGACGGAATAGTGCCATCCTTTTGCGTCTCGGCCCAGTGAAAGATCTTCTGGTACTCTTGGGGGTCTGATAACTCGCTTGTGGAAGGCATGTTCACAGTGACCTATCGAGTGAAGGATACAGAGACCAATGACGAAGAAAACTTGAGAAAAAGGTTTATTGTATTATGAAATCGACGACGGATTGCTGGACTGTCAGGTACAGTTCCCCGGCGTCGAGCCATCCTGATATACTTCAGTCTGTGGGGTCAAAGCCATCGACAAACGAACATGAACGAATTATTGAGACCATCGGTCATTCGGGAATCCGGATATGATGCTGGCATGGTGGCTGACTTGCCTGAGCGCAAGGAGATGGGGTATTGGAGGGCAGAAGCAGGCAGAACACGAGTTCGGCATGTCGTGAGGGAAGATGGTTGCCGAAGAAGATGGGGTTGAGAGGAAAGACGGAGATGGTTTGTGGAGTGACCCCACATGACTCAGTTCTGAGTAACGGTGGGGGATGCCCTCAATCGGTTCTCTCTCGCATGGAGAATTGCCGGTCTGCCACTGCTATTCATTCTTTGTACATACTTGCACCCGTTACTGCTCACTACATGTACTTCTGACCCCAATTTGAGACACATCGTCATCAGTTCAGGAGACTAATCTTCCCCGCCGAGACGCCAAATACGATAGGCATATACACTCTCATGCCCGCCTCTCGCAACACCTGCATGTGCTTAACGCGGCGTCGAGCAGCAAATTGCTCTTCGGTAATCTGCTTGCTTTCTCCAAAAGGCCCGAATGCAAAGCGGCGTCCTTCTGACCATGGCTCTCTGCCATTTACAAAACTTATCCAACGGTCCCTCATCTCTTGACCCACTGCTTCAGCGGCACGGTTGAAAGACAGATCAACGCCCCCAAACAAGAAAAGGAGGTCGACGGCATGGTGCGCTCGGCTGGATGCCTGCCAGGGGTTGACCTGGTCGACAACATACTTGTAGACCTGTTTACTTGCAGCCTGGAGCTTGTCGGACACGATTTCCACAGGAAGGGAGTAACGAGTGTCGTGCAACAAATCCAGAGCTCCCAGTTTACTAGCCGTCGGGCGATCGGCAACGACCTGATACAGGTTGCGCAGCTTGGATCCCCACTGGGGATCTCGCTCAAAGGCACCAGCAATTGTGGCAGCATCGAGCGTTTCAATGCCGTTGCGCCAAATGACTGACTACGCAACTTGTCAGTTAACGATCCAACACCCCCGATATAAACCGTACCTCGTATTCTGTGTCTCCAATCATGACCTCCTCGACAAGCTCGGGCTTGGTTTCCCAGTTCTGGAATTCCTCATTGTCTTGGAGCCAGAATGAATTCACCTTACAATCTTCCAACGCTCGGACGAGAGCTGGCACTGAAGCCTGCCGAAGGGAAGGCTGGCCCAGCTCTCTGACTTTGGCTTCCAGAGATGCGATTAGCCCGTGGCCTTTCTCCAACGGTAGGGGGTTGGAGAGGTAAAGTGACCCCGACGCGAGAACAGCCCTCTTCACCGGAGTGCCAGTGAGTAGATGAGCATGCACATAAACCGCTCCCGCACTCTCTCCAGCGAGCGTGATGTTTTCCTGTTTCGTTATATGGTCAACAAGAACATCTCGAGAGCCGTCGGATGTTGCTTTGGGTGACTCACCGGGTCACCCCCAAAGGCAGCAATATTGTTCCGCACCCATTCAATGGCCAATTTCTGGTCTTTGAGGGCCAGGTTCTTCTCTTCTCCATCCCCGAAGCTGAAGATATTGAGTCGATAGTGGAACGAGACGAAGATAATGGGCTGGCCGCTCTTGATGGAGTCTGCCACAAGCTTGATGGGATCTGGAGCCCATATTGTTAGTGTCATACAGAATAGAGTCCGGCAAGGTAGAGATACCGCAGATCTTAGATGCAGCCGAGCAGAATGTCACTGCCTGGGACCCTCCTGTTGGAACGAGTCAGAATCACGCTCACAGCCACAGAGAATAGTCATTATACCATAGATCCAGAGAAAAACAGGCAACGGTCCCTGCGTCGCAGCCGACGGAGGACTGGTGATGTCGAGGTTCAGGCACTCGAACTCATCCTCAGGTTCTCTCTCGATCACGAAATCTTGGGGGATGCGTAGCAGATGGCGTACATCGACATCGACTTGAGGACATCTTGGTCTGAGCTTGTTTCAGCCGTGAACAATATTGAACCAGAGGGGCAAAGAGTACCCGTATCGAGTGGCATCGACAGCGGCGCCTTCGAAGCTATTCAGCGGCTGTGCTCGCTCGAACCGCGCTGGGATGTTGGCATATTTGATACCGCGGTATTCGTGGACGACAATCCCATTTGATTCTCGCTCGATTCCCTTGAAAGTGGCTTGAAGGCCGGGGTGGTGAACTTGGGGAGATGTCATGAGGACGGCCATCGACTCAGGATCTCAAGAGTAGTTGTAAATAGTAGTTCTAGATCGATAGGGATGTGAATACTATGGAGTGGAGGGTAGACGGCTGAGGAATGATGAAGCTGTGGCTCACCATGTCTGGTGGTCAGACCAGGAATAAAGTATTATAGTGTGCAGCAAGTACCTTGCGCCTCATCTGTCCTTCTCCATCAGTCCGGCTGTTGGTGGTAGAGTTGAATCCCGATTGTTTGCACTCAAGGTTGAGTTGGTGGGCCATCAGCTGCGGGGAGATCCACCACTGACTGACTGACTGACTGCACTTTCCCCCCGCTCCTCTACTCTCGTCTAGTATCTATTGCACCACGCAGAACCACCATCCAGGAGTAAGAGCAACACTGGCATCCAAACCCAATTTATTCTTTTCATTTTACCAATCAATAAAGTGCAACCCAGCCGTCTGTAGAGCTAATTCGTTTATAGTCATACTCCAGTACAAAAGCAACTCCGTGAACGCCACCATTTGAACTCCCACCCCCCAGTCATTACTCTCTTGACGAAGTCTTCTCGACAGTGGAAGAGGCCTCATTCTTCGCAGATTCACGCAGGAAAAGGAACGTAGGAATCCCAGACACCCCCGCCATCAAAGCGAGCGCCCAGGTCATTGTACTCCACCCCGCATCACTCTTGATAAAGCCCGCGAAAAATGGCCCAATGATCGTGCCCACAGCGTACGCCATATTGATGACTCCATACGCGAAAGCAATCGCCCCTCCTTCTCCAAAGATCCCGGGCGTCTCGGCCTCCTTGTCTTGCACATAGTACGTCGCTTCCACCATGACAGGAGACATAATCAGGCATACACAAGTTCCAACCAACAGAAGCAGCGCACACATGAGCACCTTATCTTCCATCGTGTCGTCAGTCACGAATCGGAGACATGCGAGACTCGGTATAGCGGCAAAGAACCCGCCTGCTGCCATGTACCGTCGACTTTGGCCCCAATGGTCGATAATATAACCTACTCCTGGGTCGAAGATTTGGGGTACAGAGATGGCAATGAAGATGAGCCCTTGGCCGCTCTGGCCCCAGCCGAAAGTCTGCTCGACAAACAGAGGCAGCACGCTGTCAAAGGAAGTCAGAACAAGGGAGATGATGAAGTAAGCCCACATGGACGTCATCATGCGGCCTGAGGCTAGAAGCGTATACATGGTGCTCGGCCGCTTCTTGCTGGTTTCATCATCGGTTGAGGTGGAGGACTCGCGTTCGGTTTCATGGCAACCCTTTTGGGCATCTCTCGAGCCATCAGAGGTCGCTGGGGAAGCGCCATTCTCCAAACCGGTGTCACTTCCTTGGTTCTCTGGGGGAACAATCTGTACGCCGTCCGCCTGAAGCCATTTGAGTGCATGTTTCCTCTCGATCATGACCAGTCGAAGGATGACATCCAGCGCAATTATGCCAAATGCCAGACCGAAGACAGCATAGTATCCCCCATTGCCATAGAGTACCCCTCCCAGCAGCGGTCCGGTCACCGTCCCTATGGTCATTGCCATTCCAAGATATCCCAGCGATTGGCCAAGGCCTTCTTTGCCGACGGTGTCCACCAGAAGCGCAGTACCAACAGTCCACACAACTGCTGCAGACGCTCCTTGAAAGAGACGCCCGACAATCCACAACGCGAGGTTTGTCCCGAAGCAGAGGAGCCCCGTAGCGGCAGCGAGAAGCACCAGGCCTCCCACGAACGGCCACCAGCGCGACTGAAACTTATCGGCCAAATACCCAGAAATGGCTACAGAAAGATCAGTAAAGTACACTTCGGATGGTTGATGGAGGGACAACTTACGCGAAACGGTTAGCTGAGTTACTCCGTAAAGAGCTAGCAAGGTCGATTGCCATGATTGTACTGAAGGATACAGTCAGTCAACTTAGGTCAACCTTCGCACGGGAAGATCGCATTTACCATCAGCGTCCGACATCCCAACTCGGTCACGTAGAGCTGTTGGCGCCACCGGAACAATCTGCGAGGAAAGTCAATACAATGGCCGAGGAAGCCCGTCACAATGCCCCAAAGCCCAAACATACCAACCCATACATAAGAACATCCTGTCAAATGGCTGATGATCAGCACATGCACCATTGAACATCGCCTGCTTCATTGGGGTTATGTACTGTACCGTGAAGACGGCAAAGCAAACCACGAAGCTAACAAACGCATCGGAGGTCCTCCACTTGAGAAACCTCGGCGGTTTTTGCTGCCCTTGATTTGGCCGCAAGCCACACAAGTCCCACGCCATCCTGTTGATGTCTGTTCTCTATTTGAGACAAACATCTAACCCAAATCTCCTCGGGTTCGTTAGCGTAGAACAGGTCCAATCTTTTTTTCGCGTTGGATGTGCACGATGGAAGCGAGAAAAGCAAGAGTGAAACAGATGCAAGAAAAGGAGAATCTAAAGCAAAGGCCACGGACTTCTAGTCTCATGGCGATCAATCAAGGAGCGACTGCAAGGGGGAGGCTTGAGAATATGATGGCGGGCGGAATCCACGACGCTCGGCCTGTAAGGAATGCCCGCAATATAATCAGGATATGGCCATCGCCCACCACCACTACGGGGCCAAGGTTGGTTCTCCTTGAGCCAAGTTGCTTGTAAGCTTGGCATAAGAATACGCGCTGACGCGTTCGAAAATGATATGATAAAAAGCTATTCGTGATCTCATTCCATAGCATTGGCCCTGCTCGTGCACTTTGCGAAGGGGATTCAGAGTCTATACATCTCGCTGCGGCTTCGAATACCATCGAATACACAGGTATTGTCCAAGGGGACATACTGCCTTGTCATAACCTTGAGGGCCTCCTGTGCGACTAGACCGCCCGTGAGAGCAGATACATTGTGTAATTCTCCGCCTTGCGTACGCCGGAGCTCCTGAGTCGCCTGTATGATTCGCTGTCTTGTTCCCTCGTCGACGGCCGCCGAGGCCTCCGAAGTAAGGGACCGCATCACCCGATCCACTCCTGCCTCCCACGCGAGCGTGGAATCCAGCGCATCTTCGCTCTGCTTGTCGGTCTGGATATCTGTGATGATGCTATCGAGAACATCATACCCAAGGAACACCGAGATCAGAGATTCGGGATCACTCAGGGCGTTTCGAATAGCCTTGAGAGTGTGCACCTCGCCATCCAATTGCGGGAGGTCACGGCCATGGATGACCTTGATATGAGCTGCATTCTTACAGAAAGTTTCAATGTCCTTGTCTGCGATCTTGGCAGGTCGAGGACTATGGAGTGCTTCTAGCCTCCGGACATTCTCAATCACCTCTGCTGTATCTTTCCGTGCTTTAGTTTTGTAGATGTTCTGCAGCGAGATGTAGTCCGCTGACTGCGCCTTCATGTCGGGCAACGAGCCAGGCAGCGGTAACACGCTGTGTTTGTTATAGAACTCACGAATAGCTGACGCAATGAGCCAGAAATTCGCCGACGTAGAGGTCAGCTTGGTGCATTCGTCCATCTCGAAGATCTCGCGGATTGAGCTTCGCAGAGTAAATGGGTTCAGTGACTTCAAAACTGCGGCCACAGCTTCATCATAATTCTCTTCACCCCCTTCGGGGTTATCTGTTCGTGCACCTGACCGAACCAGGTCTCTGAACGCAGTTTTCTCCTTGTAGTTAGAGGGGACGTTTCCGTCATGGGTTTCCTTCCACTTCTCTAGGTAGTGAAGCAAGAGTAGGATGTAAGGTACATGGCCATGTTGATGATCGTCCATGGTTTCCAGATTGCTAATGCTAGTCAGAGATGCTGCCAACTCCGGCCAGGGATTCAGGAGCCGCAGGTCCTGCGTGCTTTCGGGGTCTGGGTGTGTCTCTACTATGGGGAAGGCAGCTGGAAGCTGGAGAGAGAATGTTGAGTAGAAACCAACTGAGCGCGTATAGAGGACGGGGATGCCAAGGGCCTTGGCCGCACTGCGCAGTTCGCTCAGCATCGCTCTGTTGACCGGGCCTGAGACCAGTACCAATTTGAACTGTGGTAGGAATTCTGGGTCTTGCAGGAGCTCTGCGACCGGCTATCATTTGATGAGCATTAGCACTATGACACATGAGTGACTCTGAATCTTCTTACAGGTTCAATATACCTTAGATTCGAAGTTGCCGTCTACGTCGGGGTTTAGTTCTCTCAGCAACCGACAAGTCTCTTGGGCTCTTGACTTCCCTAGGCTGTCTTCTTCAAGGAAGAAGTTGACGCCAAGATCGGGCTCGGTCACGACCGCCGGATCGACGATGGTGAAGCCACCAATTCCAGGGAGGACGAGGTTCTTGAGCGTCTCCACGCCAACTACGCCCGAGACGCCTGTGCTCTGTTTACCCCATGGGCCATCGGAGTTGACGAGCAGAACTCGTGCTTCTTCGAGAGCTTGTTGCCCGCTGGCAGCCCACAGACGCAGTTGACGGTCATATTTTCTTTCCTTGGACGATGGCCCTACCAAGGCGCCGGGGAAAGCTTCAACCATGAGGGGCTATCTTCGATAAGCGGGACTATTATGTCCAGAGAATGCGGGGTATGAGTGGGAGGACTGAAGAGATATTCGATAGCCCGAGCTGCGTCAATCAAGCGTCGGTGCTTTCGACGACTCAGCACCGATCTTGAGGGGTCTGTTGCTTGGTTATGAGTGAGGTATAGCTGAAGGGTAGCTGAAGTAGCTAAGGGCAGCTAGCTGATGACACTGCAGTGCTGAAGCACTTGTTCCGCGGGCGACACGTGAGAAGCGCACGGACCGGGCCTGCTTTATGGCTGGCCTTGCCACCTGAGGCAGAAAAGTACTATGACGACAATCCCCCCCCCGCCGGGACACAAAGTCAACCGTAACAATAACAGTCCAATTCTATAGGAAACGTGATCTCAACGCCCATTCCCAGCATCCTCCTCGACCTCGGAGGAGTCAATTGGAAGTTATGGCGGGGATAGTCCCTCGTGGCTGTTTCCATCTCCTGTGAGTGGTCCCAATTGGCAGCTAAATAAGTTCCCTGGAAACACCGTTTGAGGTCCTTTCCTCCCTCCAAAACTCCCCTTCTCTTCTTCTTCTTCTTCTTCTCCCCCCCCCACCGCGGGCACCACTGGTCCGTAGTTCGTATTTTTCCCGATCTGGCAGGTTCAAGCCCCTCCACTGCTCCGGACACTCTAGTAATATATTAATATCAAGACCATTGCAGAACCCGGTCGGCTTTCTCTCCCTCCTCGCTGCTGCTCGCTTATTCTCGCCATCCATCTCGACGACTGTCATCCCGTCTTGCCCCGCGTCCTCTCTCCTCGCCCGTCCAATTCAAGTCTTATCGTCGCAACTCCACCATGGCTAGCGTCATCGAAGCCGCGAAGCGTGCAGCCGGAAAGGCCGCCGTAGAGAACCACTACCCCAAAGACGCCAAATACGTCGGCATTGGCAGCGGTTCCACCATCGTCTACGTCGTCGAGGCCATCAAGGAGTCGGGGGTCGACACATCCGCGACCAAGTACGTGCCCACGGGCTTCCACTCCAAGCAGCTCATCCTGTCGGCGGGGCTGGTGGCCGTGGACTTCGATTCCCTGCCCGAAGGCACGGTGCTGGATGTGGCCTTCGATGGCGCGGACGAGGTGGACGATGACCTCAACCTGATCAAGGGCGGTGGTGCCTGTCTGTTCCAGGAGAAGATCGTGGCCCTGCAGGCCAAGGAGTTCATCTGTGTTGCGGGTTCGGACCTCCCTACTCAGTCTCACCCATGAAGCCAAAACACTAATTGTCACTCTCCTTACCGCTGCGCAGACTCCCGTAAACTCCAATCGCGCCTGCTCTCCAACTGGAAGTACATCCCGATCGAAGTCGCGCCGATCGCCGCCGCTCGCGTTCTTACGGCCCTGAGGGAGATCGGCAGCATCCAGCCGGCTCTCCGGCTGAACGCCGACCCCAAGCAGGGCCCGCTGAAGACGGACCAGGCCTTCTACATCATCGACGCTCCCTTCCCGACCCTCCTGACGAAGACAGATGTGGCCGCTGGAAAGGAAGGCAGCGGTAGGGGCGGCGTGTGGGAAGTCGAAGCGCTGTCGCAAACCATCAAGCAGATCCCCGGCGTCCTCGATGTCGGCATCTTCTCGGGCCTAACGGGCCCTCAGGCCCGCGCTCTCGGCGGTGTTGGCGGCCAAAAGCCCATCGCCGCCTACTTCGGTATGGCCGACGGCTCTGTGTCCGTCCGGAAGGCTGCCGCATAATCGGGCTCCCGGAGCCATGTATGACGTTTTTCTTTGGACTCACTCGAGAAGATATAAAATGATACCATTTGAACATTAGCATCGTTGACTCTATCGCGCCTTCTAATCTCCAGTAATCGTACGGTTGGCATAGACACAAAACGTCGTCCAAGGGGGGTTCGGCGTTCAGCGTGCAGTCATCACAGGATATAGATTTCATGATTTGGTTTCTATAGCATAAATTATTTAGCGCCCTTGCCCTTCGCTTCCGTCTCACCCAGTTCGCGCACGAAGATCTTGACCGTCCCCTCGGCAACATCCTCCTTGCCGTCCTCAAAGCCGGGACTGATAGCGATGGCCAGATACTTGCCATTGCCGCTGAAGTCCACGGCCGCGACACTGGACGGGAGTTTCTGGTACTGGCGGATCCTCCTCTTGGCCATGCCGTCCCACAGCGCGACGACGCCGTCGCCGCCGCCCGAGGCAAAGGTCCCGTGGACGGGGTGGAACGCGAGCGCGTTGACGGGGTAGACGACGTCGACGTCGTCGGCGGTCTGGCGATGGCACTTAAAGGCGTACTTGCGGGCCTGCGACTCTGGGGAGGGGTCGAACCACTCGACGGCGACGCGGCCCTCGATGCTGGAGGAGGCGTAGCCGGCGTCGTCGGGCATGCAGGCGACGCAGCGGGTCATGAACTTCAGACTGCTCTCGCGGCGCTGCCAGGGCTCGACCTCGACTCGGTTGGGGCCGGAGCCCTCCGACTGCGCGGTGAGGAGGGCCAGGGCCTTCAGATCGTAGATGTGGAGGGCGCGCGAGGCCATGGCGACGACGAGTTTCGTGGCGGTCAGCGACATGGAGAACGGCTTGGAGGGCAGGGGGATGACGGCGGGGGCGGTGGCGGGGTCGTTAAGGAGGTGCACATGCAGCGTGCAGTCCCACGAGGCCGAAATTACGAGGTTGTGGTCCTTGCTGTAGACGACGCTGCGTACGCCGGCTTCGTGCGTGCTGAGCACCGTCTGCGATGACGAGGCGATATCGATCCTGTCCGCCGTCGTCAGTCAGTCAGTCAGTCGTCGGTCGGTCACTGGAGCTTCAGCAAGCTCCCTATCATATCTCCGTCGCCTAGAGAGCTCGTAGCACCACAACCACCGTAGGCAAGCGCACTCACTTTCTAACATCCCAATCCAGCCCAGCCGTGTAGATCTCATCCTCCGTTGCGCCAAAACACACATCCAGCACCGGCGCGCGGTGCTCAAACTTTTGTAGCAGCTTTCCCTCCCCTACGGCCCCATTCTCGTCGCGAAGATCGTACAGATAGACATTCTTATCCCATGAAGACACAACGATGCGCGTGGAGTCGGGGTTGGGCGAGAACTTAATCGCGGATATAGCATCCGTGGGCGGGGAAGCGACGACGAATTGATCTGCGAGCTGATTAGCGCGGAGCACCACATGAGAATCAAGACCAAGATCTCACTAGACGCCATTGTGATTCTCTGAAGCAACAAGCTCGATGTGCAAACAACGAACCAACCGTTGTTGATCGTCTCGGCGTCATCGAAGCTCCGGGCCCTTCACACCCGTTTTCTGCCGCCTCCCACCGCCGCGTGGAATATTCTCCCCCGCCATTATCGGCGTTACGATGTATGTCATTGAATCGTTGCACTTAAAACAGAATCATCACCGAGGAAGAACGCATCATGCCGTTCGCACAGCTTGTGATTGGGCCCCCGGGGGCAGGAAAGTCGACGTACTGCAATGGCATGCAACAGTTCCTCGGGGCCATCGGGCGTAAGTGCTCGATTGTGAACCTGGACCCCGCCAACGATCAGACGTCGTATCCGTGTGCGCTGGACGTTCGCGACCTTGTGACGCTGGAGGAGATCATGAGCGAGGACCAACTGGGGCCGAACGGCGGGGTGTTGTACGCGCTGGAGGAGCTGGAGGAGAATTTCGATTTCCTCGAGGAGGGGCTGAAGGAGCTCGGAGGTATGCGGATGCATTCCGGTCTGTCCAACTATCGCGATACTAACATGCTATCCCTAATCTCAAAGACGACTACGTTCTATTCGACTGTCCCGGCCAAGTCGAGATCTTCACACACCACTCCTCCCTCCGTAATATATTCTTCAAGATCCAGAAACTGGGGTATAGAGTATGCGCCGCGCAACCCGCTCTCCGTCCCTCGTCTCTCATAGTCCGTCCGACTGACACATGAAACCCAAACTACGCAGATGATAGTCATCCACCTGATCGACTCCTACAGCCTCACGCTCCCCTCGATGTATATCTCGGCGCTCCTCCTCTCCCTTCGCGCGATGCTGCAGATGGACCTGCCGCACCTGAACGTGCTCACGAAGATCGACAACATGTCCAACTACGCCCCGCTCCCGTTCAACCTCGACTACTACACCGAGGTGCAAGACCTCAACTACCTGCTCCCGCACCTAGAGGCGGAGTCGTCCCGTCTGTCGCACGAGAAGTTCGGCCCGCTCAACCAGGCCATCATCGACCTGGTGGAGGAGTTCGGGCTCGTGGCCTTCGAGACGTTAGCCGTGGAGGACAAGAAGAGTATGATGAACCTGCTGCATGCCATCGACCGCGCCAGCGGGTATGTGTTTGGTCCGGCCGAGGGGGCCAACGATACTATCTGGCAGGTGGCTGTTCGGGAGGGGCTGGGGCAGATGGACGTCCGCGATGTGCAAGAGCGGTGGCTGGACGCTAAGGAGCAGTACGATGAGCAGGAGCGCAAGGAGCTTGAAGCTGAGGCGAAGGCGCGAGAGCAGCAGGCGGCGGCGGCGGCCGGGGAGGGAGGGAACCAACCCGTGGGAGGGCACAATCACTATGACAATGATGACGACGACGAATACGGCGACATGGGCCGCGGCTCGATGCCGGACAGCGGGGTGCAAGTGATACGAAAGTCATGACAAGCAAATAACGTTCTGTTTCTTCGAAAATTTCTATAAAGTGTATAATAGGGTATCTCTAATAACAACGCCAAAATCGAACACCACGCCTCACCAGAGTAGTATGTAGTACACTCACTATTCATCCCCACTCAAATCCTCATCCATAACCCCATCGACCTCCTCATTCGCATCCCCATCCCCCAAACCGACCGAACCAGACCCAGACCCAGACCCAGACTCAAACCCAACCAACGCCCCCAGCACCCCCAACGCATCCTCCCCACCACCACGCACCTTCAAAACCTCCCTCCTAGCACGCCGAATGGCCTCCTCCTCAGCCTTCCGCATCGTCCCAGACACACGAATAACCCGAAAAACGCACCGCCTCGTCATCGCCGCATAGCGCCCACCACCACCACCACCAGGCCCCAACTCCGGTACAGCCTGCAAACACGACAACGCCATCCAGACCAACCGGAACGAGGCGCGGGGACACCGAATTATCGCTGTTGAGGTCGCGGGGGAGAGGTATTTGACTATTACACGACCCGGTCGTTCCAAGTTAGCGTAAACTCTTCTCGAGATTGGAGATCTGCAGCGGTTATAGCACGTCCGTTTCCCTCGTCCAACTAGAGACCAAGCGGGAGGAATATAAGAGGAGGGAGGAAGGAAGGAGGAAGGGGAAAGCTCACCACTAACACCACCAGCTCCCGCGCCGCCGAGGCGTCCGACGCCCCAGTCGCCGAAGAGCTCTGCGACTTGCTCGCGGACGAGTTTCGCGAGGAGGCTTGGGGTCAGTGCGTCCGAGGTGGGCGCGTGGATGTGGAGTTGGGCGGAGTTTGCGGTGAGTTTTCGGGACTGCGACTGAGGCTGCGACTTGGGGCCTGTCGTGGGCCAGGTGGTTGGGTCTGGGTAGAGGATGTCCACGAGGAGGTAGCGGTGTTTGATGCGGACCATTTTGTGGGAGTTTTATGGGATGATAGTCGCTTTGGTGGTAGTTGTTGTGGCGGTGTCGGAGAGTGGAGGGAGGAATTCCGAGTGGATTGCTTCGCGTATTTGATTTCAGTTTGTTTCTTGCGAGGTTGGTGTTGATTGTTTGCTGTTGTAAGGATTCTGTATCTTCAGATGATTTTCTTGATCGATTGACGCTGCGGCGGTGATTTTCTGCCATTCATGTGGGGCATCTCCGTCTCTGTCTCCGCCAGGCTAAGCTGCCGCGATGGAGATTCATCTCTTGTTACAAGCACCATACTAATCTAGTTATAGTTCATGCTACAATCTACAAAACACAAAAATAACATGTACGATTGATTATTCTAATGAAATGCACCCTGTCTGAATCATCGCGTAAAATTCATCAACCTTATCAGCTAGTCATGCCACACGTGCCACTACAGATTGTAAGTTGGAATAGAAGAGGTATGAAGTGAACCAAGCCAATGCAGAAAAGAGAAATAAGAAAGCCATCATAACTCCGACGTCAGCTGGGACGGATTTTATGACTCGGTCATGAAATGCAAGTGTATTAAAATGGGGCTGTAGGAAATTAGACGTTGACCTCAACACGGCCTTCGGAGCCACCCTTCTGGAGGGCGGGGAGGAGGTAGGTGATGTCATCCCAGGGGTGACGGTAGAGACCGGTGCGCAGTCTCTTCTGGTCGAGGTAGTGGGCAATGAGACCGATGGAACGACCCAGAACGAAGAGACCGTTGAGGACACCCATCTTCATGTAGTCCTCGGTCTCCTCGGGGGAGAAGGCACCGCAGTGGCGCATGAGATCAACGAAGCAGACAGCAATGCAGCCGTCGACGTTGAGGATCAGGTTGTCCTTCTTGGAGGTGGTGACGGACTCGACAGCAAGGGCGTAGTCGAGGAGCTTGGTGCTGGGGAAGTTCTTCTTAACATACTCCTTGACCAGCTCGACACGGAGATCGGGGTTGTTGCGGGACTTGATACGGTGACCAATACCGGGGACTAGGTACGGTTAGTGAGCGCGTCAAAAAAAAATCGAGATAGAGGGGCAACGTACTCAGCTTGTTCTCCTTGCGCATGGTGTCGACGAAGTCACGGGGGCTCATGCCCTTGTCGAAGGCCTTGGTGAACTCCTCAGCAGCGCCGTCCAGGGCACCACCGAAGCGGGAACCAATGGTCAGGAGACCAGAGACCAGGGCACTGATCAGGTCCTTACCAGCACGGGTGGTGATAATGGTGTTCATGGCACCCGAGACGGCGGGACCGTGATCAGCAGTAAGCATGAGAACCATCTCCAAGAACTTGCTGGCGTAGGTAGGCAGGCGGCGACGGAACCAAAGAAGGGACATCACACCACCGATACCAATGTCCTCCTTGAAGACATCGGAGATGGGCATACCCGCGTACAGGAGCTCCTGGCCACGGTCGTCGGAGATGGTGGAGATGAAAGCAGCGGGCTTACGGATGAGACCGAGCTCCTGAGCCCAGGAGTAGTCGATGGGAATCTTGGGGGGGACGGGCTCCTTCTGGGGCACGATGACACCCTTCTGGACCTCCTCATTGTAGACCCGAGCCAGAGTCTGGGGAAGCTCCTCGAAGGTTTCGGGAACGTGGATACCGGCCTCACGCATGGCGCGGTTCTTGGCAACAGCGGTCTCCAGGTCGGAGTTGGCGGAGGCACCGGCGTGACCGAACTGAACCTCGGTCTTGAACATGCTGGCGCAGGTACCGATGGCCCAGGCGACAATGGGCTTGGTGATGGTGCCGTTCTTGACGGCCTCGATGACACGGTACTCCTCGACACCACCGACCTCACCGAGGAGGACGAGGATCTTGCACTCAGGCTCGGCCTGGTAGCGGAGAAGGTGGTCGATGAAAGTGGTACCGGGGTAACGGTCACCACCGATGGCAACACCCTCGTAGACACCGTCGGTGTTCTGGGCAATGATGTTGTTCAATTCGTTGGACATACCACCGGACTTGGAGACGTAACCGACGGAACCCTTGCGGTAGAGCTTGGACGCAACGATGTTGTCCATCATACCACCAGTGTTACCGATCTTGAAAGCACCGGGCTTGATACCACCGACGGTAGCAGGGCCGATGATGGTGATGCCCTTCTCCTTGGCAGTGACGAGGATCTCACGAGCACGCTACGACACCGTTAGCCCCAATGGCTGAGCTACTGCGGGGAGGAAAACAACGTACTCTCTCGGGGACACCCTCAGCAATGATGGCAATGCTCTTGATCTGGGGGCACTCCATGAGCTCCATGGTAGAGCTGTAGACGGAGCGGGAAGAAGCGAAGTTGACGACGGTGTCAACATCGGGGTGCTTGGCCATGGCCTTGGAGACATCCTGGTAGACGGGGAGGAGGGTCTCGCTGGTGCCCCAGTACATCTTGCTGACGAACTGGCCACCGAAAGTGTAGATGATACCGGCGACGGAGGGAGTGCTACGCTTGCAGATGAAGTCGAAGTCCAGCATACCCTGGACAGCCCGGGGCTGCATACCACTGTGGCCATTGTCAATGACAAGCGACGGATGAACATCCAGCCGGTGGAACTTACTATACAAAGCATCTCGTCTTGTTGTGGAAGAGGGTGTGGTTGAGGGGAGAGAGCACACGGCTGGGGGGGTCGAAGCGGGTGATGTTGTCGTTGGCGGAAGCGCCGTTGGCAGTGTTGATCAAAGGAGCACCGTTAGGCATGATGGCTGATACTCTGTTCAATTCGAATGTCTGTCAGCACCGTGGGATAGTGGGTGGGTGAGATGGTGCGAGGTTGAGGGCAAGTAGCGGGCAGCACTGCTGCATTGAAGACAATGGAGGAGGGAGTGGGAATGCTTACCTGTCAACAGAGCTTGGACTGATGGGGAAATAGAATTAAGGAAGAGGAAAAGGATATTAATATGTAGGTATGGGTGGTATAGAGGAGGGAGGAGTGGGATGGAGGAAGAGAAGTCACACCGAATGTCGCGACCTGACGGAGGAAGAGAAGAAGGATGGGGAGGTGAACAAAAGGGAAGGGAACAGGGGAGAGAGTAATGCAATCAAGGGGATGGAGAAACGAGAATCGGCGAGGCAGATGAATGGACTGATGGGAAGAGGCGGATGATGAGTGAAAAACAAAAAAATGCCAGAGATAAAAAAAAATTAAAATCCCAAAAAAATATAATCAGAGGAGGGGGACGATATCGGGAGCTTGATGGGGGGGGAGAGGAGAAGCATTATGGGGCTACAGGTGCGGTATGGCCATTACTTACCATACCGCTGGTGGTATGAATGGGGTGGAAGACTGGTATCGTCCCGTATTGGGAATCCGACTCGAACCGTTCACTCCGTTAACTCTGTCTGTAGTGCCAGTGCCAGCCAGGCTCAAACATCCGCTGCCGTTGTTCACTTGGGAAAACCGGGTTGCGCAGGATTAAGGTCATACACTACTTGAATAAGCATTCGACAGAGCCCGATGGCTTCGAGAATGCGACTCTGTTATCATTGACATCCGGGGTTGGAATGCCAGGGAGCTTCCTCGGAGTAGGAACGGAGTACGGAGTTTATGTCTTCAGTATCAATCTGCTAACAGTGGCTTGTATCAGGATCTTGACTCCCGCAGTAATCCCGCTCGCGAACAACAACAAAGTACGGAGTATCCGGTGGTGGTCAGTCGGTCAGTCAGTATCTGATGTACTCGTGAATCTTCTATCCCGCAGGATGGAAGCGAGACTCGCCAAAAGCATGGATGGGTGGTTGCCTGCGTTGATTGGAACATCGGATTGTCTTTGAAAGTGCACCGCCCGCCATGAGGGAATCGCCCGATACCCCTTCCGTATTCCGAAACTCCCCTTCATCAGGTCCTTTGGACGCTTGGAAGCTGGTTGGGGTTAGAGCGGAGTGGATCCGGGATCCGCACGCAAGCAAGCTGGAGGTCCGACTCAACTTCAATGAAGTTCGCCAGCCAGGGACATGGTCTGGTCTGGTCTGGTCTGGTCTGATCTGACTGCCTGACTGCCTGACTGACTATGCACGAGGCCTGTACGTTGGCCGGGATCATTGCGTTTTCGCTCCCTCACCGAAAGAGTGTTGACCAAGGTTGTCGACCAGCAGCGGTATGAGGTGGATGTGGGGGATTGAAGGATGTGGGATGATAGTCTCGGAATCTGATCGCAAGAGGACCTGCCTAGTTGGCACGGCACTCGATAGCTAACTACGAGTAACTAAGTCCTAATTGTGTACTACCCACCCTGCACACTGGACAGTACATTGTTCATTGTTTGTTTGTGTTGGCCCCTCTTCTCTCTTCTCTTGTCTTATCTATCGGAGCGAGTGGCAGCCTCAGGTACCGACCGCCGATTAAAGAATATGGGGAACAAACCAGGGGGAGAGTGGATTACATCATCGTACAGCATATCCATAGATCAATTCTGGTTATCAATTTAATTTTAATCAGTTCAGTCTATACACATCTCCCGGCATTCATCAGCAGCATCATCTGGTCACGCTGCTGCAACTGCTTCCGGTTTCGTATGAGACTATGGCCAACAAATTGACCACGTACCCAACAAATGCTCAAAACGAGGCCAAGGGCTGGCCATGAACAAACCTAAGGGGGTGATGGTATTGAGGCTACAGCGTAGGGCAGATACTGCGACTAAAATACCCAGACTGACCCTCCCGAGGATCCCCAACGCCCGCCAATCCAGGATGACAGGCTGGGTCTTCGTCCGGCCCGCTTTTTGTTACGGAGGCTCCACCGCATCTCAAATTTCTCAACAACTCCCCCTGGTTGTAGTCTGGTATTCCTGGTATCGGACCTGATAGCTACTGGTATCACCGTGTTTTACTGTCATTCTGGCTCCCATTCGAGACGATCATTCCATTCCATTCACTCCATTTACTGATCCATCCAATTCTTACTCTGCCTGCCCGCCGGTCCAGAAAAATTTCCCTACCCACCACCCACTTCCTCCCCCCCGTTTATTATTCCACTCGCGCCTTTTCATCGGACGTTGCATACTCATTATTATCACCGAATCGACTAATCGGCGCCCGTCTCAACTTCCGTTTAGATCCTTTTTTTCCTCCTTCTGCCTCCCCTGCCGACTTCTTTTTACTCTCTTCCTCTTTTGTCCATTCCTCCCCCTCAACCCACCCCTCCTCTACCTCCGATCTATTTCCAGTGACATCTCGCATCTGGTAATAATTCCTTCCTACCTACGAAAAATATCTCTTGTCTTCTCTCCCCCTCCTCCCTCTCTCTGAACTCTCCCTCTTTCTCCTTCAATTACCAGGTATATTCTTAATCCGGGGTTTACTTCCCATATACATCCCCCCCTCCTCCGTCTCTTCCACCGTTGTTGTTATTCTCCTCCTCTTACACTCCTCTTTCAGTTTAATTCTATCCTCCTTCTCCTCCTCTTACGATCATCATGTCCGCCAAATCGATTCTCGAGGCTGATGGCAAGGCCATCCTCAACTACCACCTCACTCGTGCCCCCGTTATCAAGCCGACTCCTCTCCCTCCTTCCTCCACGCACAATGCTCCTCCCAAGCTCGCCTCCCTTTACTTCCCCGAAGATGCTTCCGTCAAGGATGTCCTCGACCAGGCTGAGATCCTCTACCCGTGGCTGTTGGTCCCTGGATCCAAGTTCGTGGCCAAGCCCGATCAATTGATCAAGCGACGTGGAAAGAGTGGCCTGTTGGCCCTGAACAAGACCTGGGCTGAGGCTCGGGAATGGATTGAGGCTCGTGCTGGCAAGGAGATCCAGGTTGAGACCGTCACTGGCTACCTCCGTCAGTTCCTGGTTGAGCCTTTCGTGCCTCACCCCCAGGAGACTGAGTACTACATCAACATCCACTCCGTGCGTGAGGTAAGGCAATCGCATTCCACTGCTCGCTGGCCACCCAGAGTACTAATGAACAACCACAACAGGGTGACTGGATCCTCTTCACCCACGAGGGTGGTGTCGATGTTGGTGATGTTGATGCTAAGGCGGAGAAGCTCCTCATCCCCGTCAACCTCAAGAACTACCCCTCCAACGAGGAGATCGCTGCTACTCTCCTGAACAAGGTTCCCCAGGGTGTCCACAACGTTCTCGTGGACTTCATCTCCCGCCTCTATGCCGTCTACGTTGACTGCCAATTCACCTACCTCGAGATCAACCCCCTGGTTGTTATCCCCAACGCGGATGCCACCTCCGCTGAGGTTCACTTCCTCGACTTGGCTGCCAAGCTCGACCAGACCGCTGAGTTCGAGTGTGGTACCAAATGGGCCATTGCCCGCAGCCCCGCCAACCTGGGTATGCCCGTCATCAAGAGCGAGAAGGTCAACGTCGATGCTGGCCCTCCCATGGAGTTCCCCGCTCCTTTCGGCCGTGAGCTGAGCAAGGAGGAGAAGTTCATCTCCGACATGGACGCCAAGACCGGTGCTTCCCTCAAGTTGACCGTCCTCAACGCCAACGGCCGTGTCTGGACCCTGGTCGCTGGTGGTGGTGCCTCCGTCGTGTACGCCGATGCCATTGCCTCGGCTGGTTTCGTCAGCGAGCTCGCCAACTACGGTGAGTACTCCGGTGCTCCCACCGAGACGCAGACCTTCAACTACGCCCGCACCATCCTCGACCTGATGCTGCGTGCCCCCACCCACCCCGAGGGCAAGGTCCTCTTCATCGGTGGTGGTATTGCCAACTTCACCAACGTTGCTTCCACCTTCAAGGGTGTCATCCGCGCTCTCCGCGAGGTTGCCCCCGTCCTCAACGAGCACAAGGTCCAGATCTGGGTCCGTCGTGCCGGTCCCAACTACCAGGAGGGTCTTAAGAACATCAAGGCCGTGGGTGAGGAGCTTGGCCTCAACATGCACGTCTACGGTCCCGAGATGCACGTCAGCGGTATCGTTCCCCTTGCCCTGCTCGGCAAGAAGACCGACATCAAGGAGTTCGGATCCGCGTAAGCGGCAAAGGAGGGTCTTTTCTGCTGATTCCCCTTTCTATTTTTTAATTTAATCTTCCTACGAGATTTTATTTTCTGAATGCATGGCATGATACGGTTGTTTTACGTCATTCTGTTATTATTTTCCTCCCCCTTTTTTTTCTCTTTTTTTTTTCTTGACGGCACTCACACACACCCATGGATTCCCCGGCTTTGCTTTGAGTTCAAGTGCAAGGGAAAGACGGGACTTGATCCGTTCTGGAGTTGAAATACTGCTTAGACTTGTGATAGTCGTTAATACAACGATACGATTCTGTTGTCGAGACTTTGACTCGGATTCTCCTGCGTATTCCAATCTTTTTTCCCTCGTATGCGCGATTTAGAGCAAATATCCCCTCAGAATGTAAACGCAAGAACCAAACAAAGCATGCAGCCCACCAACGCATGCAGAGATGACTTGTCGACCCTACAGACAGACAAGTGGACAAAGGGAACCTCCAAACAACGTGCATGCGGCGGTATGTATGTGTTGTCCGTCCTTGCTCTTCAGTTAACAATCAAGAGAGTAAAAAGTATATACCTCCAAAGCGGTGTGCATGCACAGGATCTCATACTTAATGCATGTGCGTATGCGCTGTATGTACATACATACATATCCTACCAACAAACCCCAGCAGCATACATGGCAGACCTACATGGGGGGGAGGGGGGGCGGGGGGAGGGTAACAAAAACCCGGTGTCGTAAATAACATACAAGACCCGTATGTAACGCGCCAGACAGACGTCAAAATAAACTCCCCAGAAGCCAGCCCTCCGAGGGAGATCGAAGATAAGATCAGATCCGAAAGGCTGATCCACATGGCTACGATCTAGATGATCGGGGAGGGGGGAGGGGTTGGTTCTCCTGCAAAGGGGAGATCAAGATCTAGATAACAGGGGGTTACGGTTAGTACGGAGTGGTGGGAAAAGATTTTCAGTAGGGAAGCCCAGGGAGGGATGGGGTTCCGTACGTCCGAGGCGGAGCGCGGATGGATGGAAGCTGACTGACTGACTGCCACTTGCTGTTACTTTGGATTTAGTGCTGGTTGGTTAGGGTGGGTTTTGTTTGGTTTGCATGGTTCTTTTAGGGGAGAGTATATAAAGTCGACGGTCCTGTTGAGGGGGATATGGGAGGTTTGAGCTTTTTGGATTGCTTGGGTGATTGGGTGTAGTAGCGTTTATGTGTGTGCTTTGGTGGGTGGAGGGCTTGATGATGGTTTCGGTGGTAGTGCCTCTTGTGCTTGCTTTCTGCGAAGCTAGTTACCATAGAATCATTCGATGCTATTCACTTCTTTGTCCTTCCCAGGTGTGGTTTATCGATGTGGCTTTCTGAGAAAGATACAGCTAGTACCTTATAGTCTATTTGCTATGGTAGTTAGTGTAGGCGAGTCGATAACATTTCGAGATATATATATTCATCCGCGCAGGGACAACATAAAACAACCCGAAAGAACCATAATTTCAAATGATCATTAGGCTTAAGCCTTATGAGAAGGAGCCATGACTACTAGAATGACTTGAAACAATCGTGAGGATGAAATATGTTCCTGGACAGCACGCATTTGATTGCACAATTGCATCGGCTATCTTATATCATGGGAAAGTCATCATCACACTTCAGTTCAAAACCTCCACGCGCACCACGGCAACGCTCAAGGAGAACAACAGTGATAGCAGTAACCTACAAGGAATGCTCAGCTCGGGGTCATTATAAAAAAAGCAAGCTCGTTACACCCTATCTCGAGAGGACCTACTCCAGTTTTCCAAGCATGTATGTTCGAGTAAGCTAGCCCAAAGTGAACCGAACAGCAGCATAGGTACTGGATCAAAACATATTCAGGCCCTTCAACTCGCTTACTATGTCAACTAATTACCTCATCGGCTTAGCTGATTCATTGCTGCCCCAGCAATTTAATCAAACCGCGTATCCATGGCATCGTGTCCATACAATAGACTTCCACGGCAGATTGCATATATATCATTGGGAGTCGTCCTTACTGCCGGAACCGTATCCTTGATCATCAACCATGCTTCTAGCTCATGAGCTATAGAGTCGCCTGTCGCTAGACCCCACCATACACGAGACATGAACGTAATCAAAGAGAGGAGATTATCATATCATATTACATACTCCCATCGTGCCAAAAACTCGAGGCACGATGATACCGAGCAAAGTAGTGACAGGTGGGAAATACATCGTGTGGTATGCAAGACAGTCATTTCACGCTTTCGACAATAAACGCACAGCAGGACATTGGAATAGACCCCAACGCTAACACTAGGAGAGAAGGACCAGAAGACCCCATCTCCGTAGCTCGTCGGAATCTGGTTTTTATAGTGGGGCTTTTCAAGGAAGAGCTGGATGGCAGAAGCTCATGATTTTGCGAACAGAGGTATAATACACGTTATAGGCGGCTTTGAGAATCCGAAAAACAAAAGGCAACAAGCGTTGAACAAGATTTGGCTAGTCCAATTTACTCGTTGATCTTGGCGAGGATCCTAGTGGACCAGAATTAGAATCAAAGTTCACAACACGCGCAACGGGTGGAAAGGGATACGTACTCGGAATCGCGGAAGAGGGTGTACTCCTCCTCACCAACCTTGATGGGGCTACCACCGAACTATATCACAATGCCTTGTTAGCCGTGCTCGATAGGGCCATCTTTCGAAATGGAGAACGTCCGTCGACCCATTTATGACGAAACCAGGGCGAGAGTTCAAGACGTACCTGGGGGATGAGGACACGGTCACCGACAGTGACGCCCATGGGGATGCGCTGGCCGTTGCGGTCAACGGCACCGGGGCCGACGGCGAGAACATTGGCCTCGTTCTGCTCCTTGACGCTGCTCTCGGGGAGGAAGATACCGGAGGCGGTCTTGGCCTCGGGCTTGACACGCTGGACCAGAACGCGGTCCAGGAGGGGAGCAAGGTTCTTGACGTTGCGGAGGAAAGACTAGAAGCAGAGATAGGGGATTAGCACTGGCCTACAGAGATCCAAGTGGATGATGTTGATGATCGGAGGGATTGGCGAGTCAATGGAAACAGGCGGAAAAGTTCATTCGGAGCTCCATGCGTCGGAAACAGAGGCAAGTGACATACCATTGTGATTGTGATGTGATTGAGAGTGCTAAGCACGAGAGGCAGCGAGAAATTCAGAGGGGAGCGATGGAGGATGAAAGTGAGTCAAGGCGTGAAGAGCAGAAGAGGAAGAGGAAGCGGCCGGGGAAAGGAAGTTCTGATCTGGAGTCGCGAGAAATTTCCAGAATGCCAAGACCAACAAGCTTCCATCAACTTTCTGCCGAGGGTATCACCACGACTCAACTGGCACAAAATGACTGCATTTCTTCATTTTCAACAGTCCTCAGACCCCTATTCTGTATATCGAAGAACATAGCATAGCTTCGCGTGTGAAAAACACCTAGTATACGTGCTATTACCCCAGCATCTCCAGATTGGCACATCACCCGCTCCCTTCCCGAGCTGGCCGGACCGACGCCGGCCTGTCATTCGGCTTTGCTTAATTAATGGATTGCATGCCCCCGAGAATTTTCTAACTCCATCCTGCCATCCCAAATGCTACTTCCACAAAGGCGTTATCATAACAAGGTGACCAATACTTTGAGACACATCCCATAACTCTACCATCTTCTTCCCCGTCCACGGCCTCCACCACCAAAGCCACCACCTCCATAACCCATCTGGGGTTGGCCACCACCTTGACCTCCAAAACCAGGTTGGCCCTGCTGTCCGCCGCCTGCGCCGGATTGTCCGCCCATCATCGCCTGGGCATGTTGCATGAATGTCATGGGGTCCATTGACGTGGGATCCAGGCCTTGCGCAATCATGCCTGTAAGTATACCCTGCATCATTTCTGGCGACATGTCCGGCAGACCGGGCATACCGGCCATTGGAGGTGCCGCGCTGCTTGGGGGAACGCCTGGACCACCTGGACCACCAGCCATCGGCGGCATAATGCCTAGGAAAGCTTGCATATCGTCCAATTGTTTCTTCTGGTCAAGGATGTCCTTCCGCAACTCCTGTTGTTTCAACACGTAACTGGCCCACGTGAACTCGTCGAACCCGTAATTGAAGTAGTCTGTGATATCGGATCCTGGCCGCCGCCATGGCTTATCGTCTTCCGGAAAGTCCGAGTCCATATCAGTCAGAAGGATCGGTTTGCCTGTCGTGGGGTGCACGGGGTTGGCGTGAACGTCGATCGTGGACGCGTGCACTGGAGGGTACGCCGAGCCCGGCTTTTGAGGGACGGCAGGTCTTGCGCTGACAGGTACTGGAGTGACGGATTCGACTTTCGGCGTGAGGGAGGGCGTTGAGGGTTTTGGGGCAGGAGGAGATTCTACAGATGAGGGTCGTTGCGAATCCGCGCGTAGATTGGCATGACGAGGATGAGGGCTGTTGAAAGATTAGACAGGCCGCAGGAGGTTGATTCAGAGCTCAAACTCACGCTTCTGGAGGTGGCGCATCGGCGGGCGCCTCGGTGATAATGTTGAAGTCATCCTAGAGAGAGAGTCAGAGGGCCGAAAGGAGGGCAAAACCAGTGCTTGCTGTAATCATACATCATCTTCATCCACTTCTATCTCTTCTTCCTCGTATTCCTCTTGGTCATTGTCCGCAGGGGGATTCTGAGCACCATTCTGGTGCTGAGGGGTCGGAACCGTATCGGCGGGATCGTAGAAATCGTCGTCTTCGTCGTCCATCATCTTGAATAGTGGTAGGAGGAATGGAGTGGACGGATGTAACGAGGCGTAGCGGAAATGCGATCCTGTTTACGGCGATCTTGCGGAGATCGCACGGGCGGGCGGCGAGTTTGACCTGTTTGCTCCTGCTTTGTTCGCTCGCTCTCTCACAGTTCAACTTTGAACGGAACGTCCAACTTCAAAGGAACCCTGGTCAAGTGATCGAGGATCGAAGGAATTAAGCTACGGAGTGGTATTTGCTTGACCCCTCAAGGTTCAATCGTGCCATTGACAGTGTTGGCTTACAATTATCCAATCGTTCCAATCCGGAGCTCTTTGAAATCACGTGCTAGTACGTCAGTTGTTTGCATGTGAGCAGAAACGACAAGCCACTGCACTCGACTCTCGATAATACTCCATTCTCTTGTGCACAAAATGTCGAACTCTGAACAGCCCAGTCATAGCTCGACTCCGAGGTCATTCACAAGCCAAACAGTCTCGGCAGAAGACTTGCTCAAGTCGCAGACGGTTGGTCTCGTTCATCTCTCCGATTTTCGCAAGCGCCGCGCAGAAGTTCTAGAGCAGAAGGAGCGAGAAGCACATGATAAGTCGCTTGGAAGAGGCTCATCCGGTGTTTCTAGAAGTGCCACTCCTTCTGCGGGCGATGTGACTGACGGGTGAGTCAAGGCGCAATTCTTCGTTGATGTCCGATGAGCTGATCGCAAAGCACCAGTAATTCAACCTCCCGAAGCGATGCCCCCCCTAAAAAGAAAAAGAAGAAGCCCCTGGTGAAGAGCAAGCTTTCATTCCACAACGATGATGAGGAAGAGGAGGAGATCGATAGTGCTGCCGGTACTCCACGCGACTCCAGTATTCCACGCTCCGCCTCGAGGACTCCCGTTGACGACTTTGCGCCACCATCACGGCGCATCACACCGAACCCGAATGCACCACCCCCACCGAAGGCAATGACAAAGGCTGCATTGAAGGCGGAGGCGGAGGCACGGGATGCTCTCCGTAGGGAGTTCCTGGCAATGCAGGAAGCCGTGAAAAACACGGAGATATTGATCCCCTTTATCTTCTATGATGGGACGAACATCCCAGCCGGGACAGTCAGAGTCAAGAAAGGCGATCCAGTCTGGCTGTTTCTTGACAGATGCCGGAAGGTCGGAGCTGAGCTGGGTGTTGGTGGTAACAGCGGAGCCTCGAAAGCTCGCAAGGACAATCGTCGTGAGTGGGCCAGAATTAGTGTCGACGACTTAATGCTAGTCAAGGGAGAGGTTATTGTCCCACACGTGAGTCATGCTAGTTCGCCGGGTTATAAAAGTTCATTGGCTGATTGATGTAGCACTACGAGCTTTACTACTTCATCGCCAACAGTGTCCCCAGCTTCTCGAGCGCTGGTGGTCTGTTGTTCGATTATTCTAACAAGCCGCCGTCGGCTCCCAAATCCGACGATCCTCTCTCGAGGCCGAACAGCGAACAGCTGGAAGGAGCTGATAAGGATCCGACACTAACCAAGGTGGTCGATAGACGCTGGTACGAGCGCAACAAGCATATTTTCCCTGCGAGCTTGTGGCGGGAATATGAACCCGGAGCAGAGTTTGAGGAGAAGATGCGGACTACCAGGCGTGATGCGTCCGGGAACACATTCTTCTTCTGAAGTGATGGTGCAGCCAAGATCCTAGATCTATAGATGATATGCCAAGGCGCGAAATGTTATGTATGCTAAGATACCCGTATAAACCCGTCCGATGGTATATAATTGAAGTTGAGACGCTTTACAGTTATTTGGATATCCTTATATGCGGGCTGTGCTCTGCTCTGTTTCTACCTCCGCGTGCTTCCCGTATCCAGTTGTCCGTAGCCTCAACGAAGACACTTCACTCCCCGTCCGACTATTACCTCTGCGAGGCTCGCACACTGTCGAATATGGACTTTTACCTTCGGTGCAACTCCCTCAAGTGTCGAACCCAGCTTAAAGAAAGAGCGGTCGTCACTACCTGCTCGTAAGTCTACCAGCGTGCTCTCAGCGCCTCCGACTTGTCACATCACTCTCCGCAACTAACAGTCCCATCAAGACATATCTTCTGTCTTCAATGTGCGAGCAATCTAGGTCTTTCGCAGCCTACATCGGTCGAACGTCGCTGCCCAGCATGCCAAACCATTCTCATCAACCCAGACGACGCGGTTGCGACAAGCCTGAACCCGTCAGAAGACTACAAGACGAGCGTACTCAGTGGCCTGGACCCGAACACGATAATGGAATGCGCTGGACGAGCTCTGCTGTTCTGGGCCTACCAGACAACTCAGGAAATGTGAGGATCCCGTTGTTGAAGAACCCACGTCTGGTGTACCCTCTCTGACAGCCCGCCAGCTTCTACCAGGAGTTCCTCGGAAAGACCCTCACAGAGAAATACGCAAACCTGAACACGCAGATGGACAAGATCATTCAAAACGCGAACTCGGAGATCTCAGCCCTACAAGCACGTCTATCAGGTTCGAACTCAACCCCCGCATGCCCCTAGCCACGACTCCTGAAGCTCCTGCAAATGAGACACCTCAGTGTCAAAAGATTATTAACGGGCTCCCTCACAGACATGCAAACAACACAAGACGAACTCCGCAAGAAAAACCAAGAGCTCGTGGACATGTATCGCGAAAAATGCAATCGGTTCACGCAGATCACGAACCTGTACAACCTGCTGAAGTCGCGCGCCATGAAATCGCAGATGCAGACCGCGGCGTCGGACTCGGTCACCCAGACGCTGAGCTCGCTCGCTCCGCCTGCCTCGCGCCGTGGTGATCCACCCTTTGCTGCTGCTGCTGCTGCTACGAGCCACCCCGTTCACGCAGAAACGGGGTCTTCGATCCCACCACAGACTCCACTGCATCGGTATCCCGTCGATCGCGAAGGCGTGGAACAGCTCCACCGACACCAACGGAGCGGGACAGGGAGCTCAAAAGGGGCAAAGCAGAAGGCAGACGCAGCGGCCATGCCACCGCCGCCTGGCCGTCTACTCGGGGATCCAAGAAGCTGTATGTCTTGCAGCCATCCACACTGATCAACACCAGCCTGACTATTACCTAGACGATGCCTCGACAACATCGACCACGAACCAGCACCGAACACGACTGGGCGGCTCCACCACTCGACCGTCAACAGGCGCCTCACAGCTCCCACACGACAGCGTGATGCTCGCGCGATTCGGAGCAGACGGCGGTCCGAACAACCCCTTCGTCAGTGCGCGGGACTCGGTCTCGAGGGGCGATGCACATCTGCGTCATGCGGGTCCGCCGACATGTCCCGGGGAGCCTCCAGGCGTGAGGTCGTATTTCGACAGTACGATCATATAGCTTCCATTACTTGGTGAAGAAGCCTGCTGGAAGGATCCGGGGTGGTCGGAACAAGCTTGTGTGACGTGTTTTCTGCCCGCGCTTACTTATTGATCTCTGTTGCTGTTTTGCTTTTGCTTGTGCCGCGCGAATTAATCTAGAATTTAAGCCAACTTCACTATGTATGGAATCGGTATATTGTCTTCGTGTATATACATACTTCTCTAGGGACGCTGATAGACGTATAGCCAAGGGAGGTATGCAGTTCCTGCGTATACAGAGGTCAGACTTTCAACGTAAGCATGCGATGCAGCTTGACAGTCAACACTTTATGCGATATTCATGTTACACAAAAAGGGAAGGAGGCGATCCGCTACTTTGCCGACTCCATGAGTACAAACAGGCTTGCTCGATAAGTTCCACCATGTCGGTGTGGCTGAGGAGGACCGCGTTATCGAGGAAGATGTAGGCCCGAGGGTCCTGGGTATTGACGTTGAAGACGCAGAGTGATTTAACCAGTTAGCCCGATCGCCACGGGGGGATCATACACGAGGAACTGAGTACGAGATGGAATGAGTGATTCTGGCTAAGTCTTGAGCGCCTGGTTTGGGGAATTCTCTGCGTGCATGGATACCGGCCATACAACCGAGAAACAGATGGTTTTGCATGCACGCAGCCGATTTTCCCTGTATAACTTCATAGTATGGGTCTGAGCGTTCCGTGTGCGTTCGGGTTTCGATAAAGTACCTACATAGCTAGCTGCACTTGTGCGGGCTCGATTAGGTTGAAGGAATTCAAAGATGAATGAATGAAATGTCTCTTTCCGTCTACCATCGCGGATCTGGATAGTTTTCAGCGAAGAAAACCGAAGATAAAACTAGAATACATCATGAAACAAATTCAGACGCCCTTTGCGTAAATGCAGTATACTAAGATTGACATCTGCTCGCAATCGCACAGATCCACCCTGCGACAACTTCAGGAGACGACGGTATCACCAATGTGTGAATAATTGAAAACCTGGACAGCGATTCACAAAAAGCAATAAAGGACGTCAGAGATGATAACAAATTTCTGTGTATCATGACCTCTCCGCTGGGGGAACCGGTTGATGAGCTACTGTTGTGACAGATCAAGATATATACGCCTTCATAATCCCTTGCAAGCAGAAGAACCTTTTCGCGAAGGGGTGAGTTGACGTTACTAGTGCCGTCAGAAATCCTGGGCTTGTGTCCTGGTAAAAAGAGCTGGGTAGTGGCTTGCGGATTGGTGATTATGAGTGCAGTTGTACGAGGTATGATTATATCCACTTCTGGAAGAAAGACATGACCTGAAATATCGACTGAGTGGTCTTGAGGGTCGAAATATTGTAGGAAAGTGAAACGCTCGCTATCTTCGAGGTGACGAACAATGTCTGGATGAGACTTGAGCAGTTTGGTTGATAGCGACAACCTCAGACCGCGTGAAAGATTGCGTGGAATGGGCGTTGGCTCACTAGACTCTACCGAGACAAAGCTTTGAGCCGCAGGCAGCCGAACATTTTGATAAGTTGACTGGCTTTCTTCAATTGTTGTGTTCATAGAGGGTGAGCTGAAGTAAGGACTAAGTGCTACTTCTGCTCTCGTTGGCTTCGGTGCCAGTCCTCTAACTTGCATGAACGTTGCCAAGCAGCCCAAGCTCGAAGGAGGAGGCAATGGCAGACCATCACATTTCGTATCTCTTGAGGACACAATGGCCAGCTCTTTGACTGAGGTTTTCCCTTTGCCAACACTCCAACCGTTATTCGATCGACACTTTTGGGGTGAGCACGGAGCCTTATTGAGCGATGTAATTCCGGATGAAACCTGCGTGCTACCAGGAAACATGTAGCCGTTGTCCGGTCTGAGAGTTTGCAATGAACAGTCCTTTGTTGGCACGGGTGTGTTCGTCACATCATAACGCCTCATATGAGAATCATGGTCAATGCCCTGTTGATAGACATTTTGAGGATAATTCGCCAGTGGAGCAACACTTTCCGTCACAGACAATCTTGGAGGCTCTCCATTTGACGAGCTAAGAGCCGGAAACTCTATCCCAAGCCGTCCCATACGGTTGCAGTCCGTATGCGTCTCATCTCGGCCTTTGAACTTTCCCAGAATTACGCTGTCGCTAGGTGGAGGAGTTTTGATTGCAAAGCCCTCTTCGTAAGGGAAGCAATCAGGTGTTGCAATTTGATCGGTGATCCCAGCGTAAGTCACTCGAGAGAGACTATGGCTTGATCCCGTGCTCGTCGCCGAGATCAGACTGGCAGCGTTTTCAGTAGAGCCATCTTGCACATAAGGGAAAGCGAACTCGCGATCATCTTCTAATGACGAAAAGCAAGATAGACTTGTGTGATCGGGCATCTCAATATCGCCCTCATCCGCTGGTGAAGTGTATATTTGTGGAGATTTTGCGAGAACAGAGCTGTTGTGCGCGCATAAGATAGTCTCGAACGGATCCGGAGTGAGACTACCGACCCTTCCCTCCCCTGCAATACACATATCTTCTAAATCTCGATTTTTTTGTTTTTCAGGTACACTTGAGACGGATCTGATCTTGCTAGCCGTGGAATAACATTGCTCGTCGTCAGAGAACTGTTCATTTTCGCCAGAGTGAAGGTAAGGAGAGCTCGAACGTGAAGCCCGGGCCTGTGGAAGTCAGCAAGTGGTCATGGAGAAGACGGTTGGCCAACGCCTTACCTCTTTCAAACCCAATTCTGTGCGAAGTAACCCTTCGAGGTCTTCCAGGGGGCGAATTCTATTGGTTCTTGCGTTCTGTATTAGAAGCAATGCATCCCTTGTACAATCAATTCTTTCTTCTTTCATGCCCTTGCCGGAAGGGTCGATGCCGTTCACCAAGCCTCCCACTAAGATCACGTCACGATCGCTTATTCTATCCTCCTCCAATGGAACCAGATGGTAATCATGCTGGGTGTAACAGACGCGGTTCTTGAGAGGAGGCAGTTGTAGTTCTTGGTCGTTGGTAAGTATGGGAGGCTCTACCCTGAGCTTGTCGTAGCGATCCCATGAGGGCAGGATACTCCCCCAGTGGCCTTCGATGTCGGACGGTTCAATCTTCCGAAGGACAGATGCGAGGAATAATGCACTTTCTTTCCTGAGATCTAGCTTTTCGTGGTGCAAGCTTTGTTCGACAGACGTTTGCACTCGGGCGATGTGATCCCGGAACTGAGAAAGAGTATGTAGAGGAAGATCCGGGATTTCCTCTAAGCTCTCTTGTACATGCGCGAGGGGATCCACATCTGAGTCGCTACTTGCTATTCCATAGAAACGAGCATACTGTAACAATGAGAAGGTAGTAGGATTATCCATGAAGGTAGAGAAAGAAAAGACTCGATGGTAGTGGTTAAATTAGACGGTTTTCGAAGAAAGAAAGTGTTGAGGAAGGTGGTACCTAGCCACATGCCCCGCAAACGCTGATAGTAAACAACAGAACTTATGGCCCATGTAATGCTTGGGCTTCAATAACATAGTGATCCCGCTAATTCATGATGATAAATATGTAAATCATGCTCTAGCCCCTGTCTTCCCAAACTGCAAGAAGAACCAGCTCTCACAGCCTTTTGCTTGAGAGGCATGAAACAGCCAACAAAGCAACGCTATGGCTCCATACAAACACTCTAAAATTACATCAACCGTGATCTTGTTCAGTCATTGTAATTAGACTGATGGGAGCCATCTTTGTTCACAGGAGGAAGGTTGTAATGAGCGATGTACTCTTCCTCCTGTGATCGTCCCGCTGGGTCCAGGACCGGGCGCTCGGCATGAGAGGCAACTCGGACTGCATGGCGACGATGAGGGGCAAATCCATAAGAAGCCGAATGATTCTAGCCAATCTATTAGTGATGTGATCGAGTTACCTGTACTGTGGGGAATTGTCGCTTACCTTGGTCCGATTGTCCCAAATAGCCACGTCATTCTTGTTCCATTGGAAGCGAGCATGCATCTCTTGTGTTGTCGCAATCACCTCTGTAAGATACCGAATGATAGCATCACTCTCAACCTTGGGAATCCCGACGATTTTAGTCACAAATCCAGGATTAAAGAAAACACTATTCCAGCCAGTGACAGGGTTCGTCCTAATCAGAGGATGCTCCGTTGTGACAGGCTCGCGACGAACAGTTCGCCCGAGCGCTTTAGAGTCTGATGCTTGCATTTCAGCAGAATGAAGAGCTGTCAATCCCTTGAGGTATGTTTGCATGTGAGGAGAAAGTGCATCGTATGCTGCATATTGAGATGTCCAGAGAGTGTCTCCGCCACCTCCTCGCGGAGGGCCTGTTAGCACCTTGAGGGATGTGTACGACGGAGGTTGAACTTCATATGTGACCTAGTTTCCATTAGAAAAGTGAGACTCATAAATTGAATATCGTATTCCACATACATCTGAATGCCACAAGAAGCTGGGTGTGAACATCGCCCGCTGATCGGTAGCATTGTCACCTGCGTAGACGACATGGATATCTTCCAGTCCTTCCTTCTTCGGCACAGCCGTGGTGGCATGCTAACCATGGTCAGACCATTGATAAGCGGGGCATGCATAGAGATCGTCTTCATACCTTGTGCAACTTTCCAAAATGTCTACCCAAATCCCGTTGAGCATCAATGTCCAGGTCGTCTTGACCGCGGAAGAAGACTACGCCACGAACAGCAACCAAGCGGGCTAGGTCGTCCTTTTGCGCGTCTGTCAATTTGGCAAGGTTGACCCCATGGACTTCAGTACCGATCTTGGGAGTGTAGTCGAAGACATCTGTCGCGTCTTGGAGAAGGTGCCGGAAGTTGGGGTCGCCATGTAGACCTCGATCTTCATGGGGAATCACTGCCAACGGCGCCCAGTGAACATCTGGAAACGATGGTAGCAGGTCTTGATATGCATAGTTTTCATGATCCTCCACAGTCGTTCGTCCCGGTTGATAGCCGAATTTGTTGCCAGTGACGTCCTGCTTTTTGTTGATAGAGAAGGAACCCAGGTCCTGGGCGAGGGGAGCGTCCACAAACGAGGGCGCCATATCAGGTGGTAGCTTGACAATAGAAGGAAAAAGCTTCGTATGTCAATGGTCTATGGATAGAGGCCAAAGAGCATACAAAGGCGAAGGCGAGAGGCTGTTGCAATGGAACCAGAAGGGATTATAGATCAAGCCTGGGACTGGTTGCTGATTTATAGACATTGAGTAGAATCAATCCCCGGCCTGATTGTCAGCGAGCGTGCTCGGTACAGTAAGACTCATCCTCAAAGCAAGCTGATGTTGCAGACAGCGAATTGCACCATCGATGGCCGAAATCACCCAAGTGGTCGGAGCCTGTAAGACAGGTGTTCAAGGATCAACCACGGGACCATGGGTTCCAGAAAAGACTCCGAACCCCCCGGGCGCCACAGAATTGGCGGTGATCGCGTCATCGCAAGCAGAGAACTGTGGCGAAGGACATAGTTCCGGCTTGCAACCGGATGGATGGGATAGTACGACTCCATCCACAGTCGGACATTGAGCAGGCAAAGGACATGCCTTGCGTCGCCAAATGGCAGCGTCACACCGAAATTTTGAGGCGTCAACTCTGTTTCATGTCGTGCTGAAGAAAGAAGAGCAGGGGCTGTTCTAGAATCAGGGGGCGGCGTTCGGGGACTCTCCCGCCTCGTAGATCGTAGATCCTAGTGCTGGTACGGAGTAGACTCAGTAGAGTACTCGGTATGAGCCAACAGTCAATCTCTCGGATGATGCAACCAACCCTCAGAACTTGCGGTCGGTAGCAAGAGCTCATGGAGAAGAGCTATGATTGATTAGCTACCTATGTCATGGTGACAAACCCCAATTCGCAGCTGATTGAGACAGATTGATAAGAAAAAACGGGTGAATGAGGCTAGATTTAGAAGATGTGGACCCGGGGATGAGGTGCGATCACGCCAGTTCGCCGCCCTCTTGCGTTTCTATCCACACCGCCCGGCCTTAACTTGACCTCCGTCGAACCTCATCGTTCTTTGACTAAGACAACACACGTAGTTCAGCCCATTCCAATTTCATCCCGCCATTGAGTTGCAAAGCCTTGAGTCTGAAGATAAGAAATCTTGCATTTCATAATAATAATATATTGGCGCGCCCGTGGCCCTAAATGTCATCACAGAACAAACTCCTTGTTATAACCATGCTAACCCAAACAAACAAAAGTGCCCGCCTTCCTTGCTTTTCACCCTCGCCAAGAACATTATAGTGTACAATGAAAGAGCAAAGTCTCAGCGCCGACGGTTTAAGTATGTTTTGAACAAAGCTCTTTCCCTCACAGATTGAGCCTGCCGTCGGCAATCGAGGGAGGGCCCAGGACCACTTCCTGCACCTGCTCGGTCACTCCGCCGAGGCGTCCAGCGACGCCCAATATACCAGCCTCCACATCGCCAAGAACCGTAGCCAAATCGTTGACGATGGATTTCGGAGTTCCGGACGCCGTACCCTCGCGACTGCGGGATGCCACAAAGTCATGAATCTGTCGTTCCAGAGTAGCCTCCACCCCGTGGAGATGGTCCTCAATCTCCCTTAGGCTTCGGGTGTAGCGGTCGAGAACATCTCCCATCTCATCAGAACGTTGAGAGAAATAATCTACCAGATTCACCGGCACCCCGTTCACACTGGTGGCGGTGGCAGGATCACCCTCAACATCATCTGGAAGGGCCAAGGTGTTCTTGCGCGTCGAGCGGAGGGTCTGTCCATCGGCCTTTTGGTTCTGGGGGGTCCACCAACCAGCACCACCAGTCGACTGATACTGCAGGGGTAGCTTCAGGGTATCAATGGCGCGGAAGGCCACTTGCGCCTCGGCCGCATCGCGCGACACAAGGCTGCGCAGCTGATCGATTTCCCTGGCATCATTTTCCAGGGCATGCTGCATGGTCTCGAGCTTCCCCTGAACAAAATCCACATCGTGTGGGATGGTCTGTCCCTGCGTCACAATGGTGGGAATCATATTTGAGACTTCGTTGCATAATTTAATCTGGCCGAGCACGTAATTGTCGAACTTCTCTAGCTCCGACTTGATCTCATCGGCACAGCTTTCATACTTAGTTGTAGGAAGGATGTTGCTGACATCGACCTTGACCCCGGGGATCACCGTAGTGCCTCCAAGCTGTGCTGGTTGTTGTGTAGTGGTGCTTTGGCCTCCAAACAAACCAAGTGTGGGTTTCTGAGCTTGAGGTTGCTGTGCGGTGTTCTGAGTGGCGGCGCCGCTATAACAGATTCGTCGTTAGCACATTCTTGGCCCAAAGCAGTATTCGAAAAGCAGGGAGAAACTCACAACAGACCTCCGCCAGCAGGAGTTGGGGTGGTTGTAGTAGTGCCGCCAAAGAGCGGCTTGGGCTGAGTTTGAGTAGTCGAGGCACCTCCTAGATTGCCGAACAGTCCTCCGCCGGTATTTCCGCTTTGTGCCGTGTTGGTGGTACCTGTGGTTCCCCCAAACAGCCCGCCAGTTTGGGGTTGTGAGGTAGCAGTAGCCGCCGTGTTGCCAAATAAGCCGCCTCCAGTAGCACCGGCTGTTTGCTGTTGATTGCTGAACATATTCGATCCGGAAGGCTGAGGTTGCTGTGTAGTCCCACTGCCCAAGTTCCCGAAGAGTCCACCGCTAGCTGGCTTTGCTTGCGACGCCGTATTTCCTAGGTTGCCAAATAAGCCTCCGGAAGTGCTCGTCGTTCCCGGCGTAGTTGCAGAGGTAGTTTGTGTGTTGGAGGCGCCGCCACTAGTTGTGCGTCTCAATGTTAGCCCCGAGTCTTTGGGCGACTGTGATAGGATGAGAGTTCGAGGGGAGCGCCGACAGTCAAATCGGAAAGTGCGTTCGCGTGAAGATGGATGGAAAGCTCTTACAAGAGGTTGGATGAACCTGTATTGAGGGACAGGCCCGCGGAGTTACCTGCAGGCTTTGTGGAAAACATCGCGAACTGAAAAAAAGGCAGCAATGAGTGAATTATAAATACTCAAACTAAGCACGAACAAAGAGACAAAGCCACTTGAGGCGCTTTGTACCTGCCAAACCTGCGCCGCAATCAATAGAGACTCGAGTGATATTTGGGGTGGGAAACAGTCAACTGAGCGGTGGTTGCTCGGGCACTAAGCTCACTTTCGGCAGGTTTCTCCGTGTTCCCGTGACCCTCACATGCCCCAGCTCACCATTGGCTTATCGGTTTCTGATGTGATCTGATAACAATGTCACTTGCGCATAAGGTAACTAACCACGGCATGCTTCTTCTGCTGCAGCAATATCCATTTCCTTCTGGTATACAGATTGAGAGTGCTTGAGGGATAGTCTACAAGTTTCTCCTGTTCACTACTGATTTGAAGCTTCACTGGGTCAATAGTTCCTCAGTTTGTACCACACTGTAGCCATTGAAGGAATTGCGTCGAACCCGGGCCTTTCCATGCCTAGATCAACAAGTGTTTGAGCTTGTCTAATTCGCTCATTCTAAAACTATCTCGCTTTGACAGTCACTGAGATCTGAGTTACTTAGCTGCGAGACCACCTGTTTGCCCCGTCCCAGGTGTTCTGTCAGATCATTTCCCCCGATTTGGACCAAGGTGACCTCGAAGCTTGCAATGGAACACATAGTTGAGCGAGATATCAAGGCATCACAGCCCATATGTGTTGCTACAACACACCAGGTCAAGAATGAGGCATGTATCTCCCAAATGGATGCATGCTCAACCAGCCAGAACGAAAGTGGCCAGGCGGACGATACACCTCAAGCAGCCCAAAAGATATCTGACTCAAACATCATAAAAAGCGCTGAATGGTATGCTTTCATCGCAGTCTCTAGCTTAATCTCACAGCTAACTGGCTTTCACAGGTCCGCTGATGGGACGACCTTGTTGACGGACTCTGCAGACCACCACATACGGACCTATATCTTGTCAGTACCCTTTCCCTTATTAAACAAAACCATAATCTGACAGCTCATGTTTAGACCACCAGACCTGCTTGAAGAGAGACCGTCGCCTCTGCGCTTGTCACCATATTCGGCATTGGCTTCTGCAGAACCGATTTATGCTATGGCTATGTATCCTTTCTTTTCCCTCCAGGACCCTTCCACCACCTTATTTCTTTCCTCCGTACGAGACCATCCAATCCGACTCGCATCTGCTCTGGCTCCATCACTCATGGCTTCTTATTCGTTGGTAAATCCCATGACGGAGGCTTTCATTACACCCCACTCCATGATTTATCCCTCCAGTCTCGGAGGAACACACTTTCTCACAGGGTCTGATAGCCTCATCTGCCTTTTTGATGTTTCCCGACCAGGAAATGATGGGCCCGTGACCACGATGCCCACTATACCAAGTAAGCGCAAGCAGGTTGTGGGCGGTGGCGTTGGCATGAAGGGAATCGTCTCGGCAATGGCCGTGGATCCCACAGCTCAGGGTATACTGGCTGCAGGAACGTTTACCCGGCACATCGGACTCTATGACTCGCACGGAAGTGGGCAGTCTCTAGGGACGTTCAGCATTGCAAAGACGGAGGCGGATCCTCATATCGGAGGACGTGGGGTAACGCAACTGCTATGGAGCCCATGCGGAAGGTATCTATATGTTGCCGAGCGCAAAAGTGATGGAGTCCTGGTGTATGATATCAGGGTGACTGGCCAACTGCTCGGATGGCTGCAGGGGCGCAAAGCTCTCACCAATCAACGCATGAAGATCGACGTGGTGGCTGCTGACCAGGGAGGCTCGCATGAGATCTGGGCGGGAGGCACTGATGGCTGCATGCGCGTTTGGCGGAACCCTACCCATACCCCTGGAGCCCAGGAACCGCAGTGGGAGTGGAAAGTCCATGAAGGTGAGTTTGCATTGCTGTTTATCAAAGTCTGTTGTGCCACTCGATGCTAATTTCATGCAGAGTCAGTAAGCAGTACTGTTCTGCATCCTTGCGGCAATGTGGCCGCGACAACTTCGGGGCAGAGGTTCTTCCCAGACGAACTGGAAGAGGGCACTTCGCCTCCAAATTCACAGAGTGACAGGAGTCTCAAAGTTTGGTATATGCCTTTTCTCAGTGGAAGTGGCATCTCCGACTGAATTGGTTGGACGAAGCCAGGAGCTAACCAGAAACTCGAAGCAAAGACTCCTATTCTAGCACCGAAGAGTGAAATTGGGCGATTCTGAAGTATCCAAGGGAAAGGCTCCAATTGATCGTTTGAGATATTAACAATATCCCAGGCTACGGTCGCCTGACTTCTATCAGCGTGGGCTGAACAATTAGGATCTTTCTAATTTTGGCTCGCCTGGAATAACATTGAATAATATGAACAGCCATATCAATGTGTATTCCACAAGTTGTTAATATCACGTCCAATCACGTCTAGCGAGACTGACCCAACCGGATTCCACGATAAATGAGTGGGAAGAATAATCTTACAGCACAGGCAGACGACGTGATATTCACTCCCTGGCCACCCAGGATTCTCTCCACGAGCAATAGTTCACGGCCTCTTCTTCCTTTCTCATATAAAAATCCTTCCCCCCGCCCTCTTCCTCCCACTCCCCTCAGCCATACTCTTTCATTTCACCCACCTTTCCCTCGATTCTCCACGTCCACATTCAAGATTCCTATTTACGCAAGTACTTCCATCTTGAAATTGGATCTCTATCATCACATCATCTCTCCCTTTTAAAGCTTCTACTCTGTTAGGAGCGTAAGACCTTTTCACTTTTCCTCGAAACACCCTCGATCTCCAAGCCTCTTGCACCGCTACATTCACACACCTCCCTAGAACAAACACCACACATCTTTGAAGCACCGAAGAAAAGTCGTTGCTTACTGCAACGTATCTTCAAGATGGTTGGTTCTGGCTTGCTCAAACGCTTTAGACAGCATATGAGCTCTAGCTCTAGCAGAAAGCGTCGCAGCCATTTCGTTGATGAAAATCATAACAACGCAGTCCAAGACTCCAACGAGATTCATCTACTGCAGTAAGCCTCTGCTAACTCTCTAGGATAGATATTTTGATGCTAACCGTCCAAGAACCGATGGCCCTAGTGACTACTACATTGACCCTCGCCTACTTGAAGGCACTCAGAGACACACCGAGAACGTCGCGATCGGTGACCGCGTTGAAGTTGCTGCACCTGAGGATGAGGTGCCCAATACCGCAGGGAATCACTTCAATAACTTCTATGAAGACAACTCGACGGAATACGACTCTTTTCCTGATAATACCAGTTTTGATGTTCCGCAGTACCCCGATCTCACTGCCTTCAATCTCCCAAACAATGCTTTCTCTAACCGTGTTCTGTCAAACCCTGGATTAGATGATACTGGATCAGAGAATGCTGGATGGAACGGTACCAATCGAAGTAACTGTGATAAGACCGCGAACACTCATGATGCCCAGCCTGTTACCTTTGGTGAGGCTTTCGAGTCTCTCGCCAGCCTTGAGTCAAAGTGCTTCGGTACTTATTTCCATACTGCAGTGGAAAAATCCGCAGCAACGGACGCTACCAATGGATGCTTTGACATTGACAAGTTTCTGATGAATGACAACCGCCACTACCAAACAGCCAACGGTGTCACGCAGACTTCTGAAGATCTGCTTGGGCATTATTCGGCCTATGCGAACCAAAACCCGGTCGCTGATGGTTTATCCAATGCTGCGAGAGCTGTTGCCTATCAGCAGCCGGCCAATAATGGGATGAATGGGCATTTGAACGCCGTCCCTCAGCTTTCTGGCGTGTCCGTCTCAGAGAGTGATGGCAGTAACCCGCATATACGTCGCCGCATGCTGGCCTCTATATCGTCCAACATTACTCCTTCCGAGGCTACCCCAGCTCCTGCTGGGCCTACCCAACTCTGTTCCCCTCCTCAGGAAATCGACCGCGTCTTCGGAAATGGACTATTGAGGAACGCTGTCAGCACTTCGATGAAGCGGAAGGCCTCGGACGCTGGTCCCTCTGATCCTGTGCTTCAAAGGTATGTGACTTCTATCGATAGTGTATCCAGGAGAAATAGTACATGAGCTGACTTTCCATCATCATTCAGTGGTTCAGACGCCGTTGCTGATGGGTCAAATGCAGTCGATGATGGCTTCAATATCAGTGCTGGCCCTAGAGCCAAGAAGGCGAAGATTTTGAAGAAACCCAAAGCCAAGGCGGGCCAATCCAAGTCTCGTAGGGGTAAGGGCAAAGGTAGACAGAGGGTTGTGGTGAAAGAAGAGGAAGAAGGATCAGAGTCAGAGGTCGAGCTCGGCCCAGAGCCGCAACGAATCAAGGTCGATGATTTCTGGGACTCGTTGAAGGAGTCCAAGGGCATTCGGCCTCATATATTCCCGGATATTGATGAGTTGCTGAATCCGACCAGCGATACTGCACAGACTACCACCTATTCTTCGGCACAGGAAGCGAGGGCCGCCAGCGAGGTGGTCACTGATGTTCGAGATGATCTTACCCTCCCCCATACCGAGGCGGCAAAAAAGGCCATCGTTGTAGCGCTAGTTGATGCCATGCTCAACGTTGAATACGCGCAGGATGGCGCGAAGGCTTTCAAGGCGTGGAGAAAGGCAAGGGTGACGCCCATAATGGCGGAAAGGGCAGCGTGGGAGCTCCTGGTAAGACCAACGGCGAGTGCTTGATCCTTGTAACTCTGCTGACGGACCAACTCACAGGAGGGGCTGATCTCGCGGAACACTGACGGTCCCGCACTTCTCAGCTACGAATACCAGAAATGGATTTACGAGCCCAAATGGATGACGTTCAAGGACCGACTTTCAAAGATCATGGAGGGACTCATTTACCACAAGACCATGTGTAAGCACATTATTGACGCTTCGTACGTCAAAGGCCTTATTGAGGACCCACCTGGAAGCGTAAATCGTGTTCGCACCAACGTCACAGTCAACGGCAAAAAGGCTGCCATCATCGCGGCCGGGAAGAAAATCATGGACAAGATCGACAAGAAGAAGGCCAAGAGCGAGCAGACCGAGAAAACTGGCGACGACGAAACCGATGTTTCTGCACCCGTGGACAAGAATGACCAGTATGACGCTGACGATGAGTTCACTGCGGATGAGAATGCTATGAATGAGAATGAAACCCAGCCCACCTTGCCTACTTCCGAGGCCGCGAGTCCTTCCCCTACGATGGACCAGGATTTCATTCCAAACCAAGACGATGCCACTTCACGAGTCCCCGCGCAGAACGTCACTTCTGATATCTCGGCTCAAGATGGACTGCCATTCGGAGATGGCAATCCTTTCATGGGGGCGCCCCTGTGCAATCCCGAATCACTTATGATTCCCAACCCAGGTTCTACTATGGCTGGGACTGCAAACGAATTTCTCGGCAATGTTCCCCGCGGTAACCACACTCTAACGCACGTCAGCCCGTATAGCCAGCGGACAACTTTCACAGCTTCAAGGAACCCGGGTATGGCGAGACAAGATCATATGCCACGGCATAATGTCCAAAACCAGATGATCGCAAACCAGGCGAACGCGCGCGCGTATCCTTACCAGCGGATGGCTCAGCATTCCACCCCGTCCATCGACCGTCAGCAGAATTCGACGCTCCGAAATATGTCGGACTCCATCAACTCAAACGCTGAGGCGCAGGAACAGCTCAATGATTATCCCCTGTCTGATTTTGGTGTAGATAGCCCGGGCATTGTGAACTGGGATGAATTCGATTTGAGATGGCCCGAATTTGACTCTATTCCCCAGGAAGCCGAAACTGCAGCAGAAGCACGCTCTAGAAAGCGCAAGATGGATGAGGCCGACAACGAGGACGACTCCCATCGCTCCAAGCGCGCTCGTTGAATTGCATTTTGGCTTCAACTTCCCTACTTTGCCTGTATTTGTTTTGCACTTGGGTGGTTTTCCCTTTTGCCTTTGCCTTCCATCGTTTGAGTTCTGCTTTTTTGTTGGTTTTGTTATTTCGTCTCTTTCGACAGCACTGTCAGTCCTGTGGTAAGTTGTCAGCGATGGGCCGACTCTAAACTCTACATCCCACTCAGGAGCTTGGTCACTGAATACGAACCATGGGACAGACAGGGCTCCGCACCGGGGAACGATGATAAGGATCTACGATTGGACAGTTTGGTTTTGCTTTTTGTGTTATCCTTTCGTGTCTTGGACACATTCTGCGAGATACAGACGATAAGGCTATTCGATTGGAAGAACGATCTACTACGGATACAGACTCAAGGTTTTCGGATGTGAGAACGGCCAAGCATTCCTACTCTTTTCACCTGCTTATACGGACGATCATCGAATATCTCTACTACCAAACAGATGATCTCCCCCTTGGAAATGACCGATTTCAGGATTACCGGGCCGACAGCAACATACATTTCGAATTTCTTTTGGGCGATGGCCAGGGCGAGGGCGAGGGCGAGGATAGAGGAGATCGACCCATCTACATCATCATTCGGCGTCAAGCCGCGGAGATCTCCTCTGACCATGGGAAGACGCGCATGGTTAGCATATTGCATGGGCTGGCATGGCGAATGGCGAGAATTAGGGAAGAAGGTATCGTGACGATGATTTGTTTTTGATGCGTTATTCTTTCTATTTGCTTTTCCATCTACCTAATCCAATTTCCGGGGTTTTATTTTGCGCGTTCTTTCCAGACATACATGGCTGATGTTTTTGAGATTCTTGTCTTGTCTTTTTGCGCCATGCTTCAGATTTACAATCCAATCAATGCATTTCGCGCACTTCGCGCATATCTACATCCGTTGCCATCCCCCGTTCCTAACGTAGGATAATCACACCAACCCATCCAGCCTATACGGCCAAGACCAACCAACCCGACAAACCGTCATCCTAAGCAGAGTTGGGAACAATCCCAAACTGCTCGAACGGAAAATCCTCCAACGAAGAAAGCAAAACCCCCCACCCATCGCCCAACTGCCCGGGGCGCCCATTCTCCCGCAGCGGCGAACCTTCGCGCTCCGCCACAAGCTCCTGCGCCTCCTTCTCCGCGGCATTCTTCTCCTCCTCCTTATGACTCCCCGTCAAACCCGCGAGCACCTCCTCCTCACGCCCACGATACGCCTCCAAAAGACCCGGATGCGGCACCCAGACGACACGCATGCCCGCGCGCCGCCCGGCCTCAACACCGGGCACCGCATCCTCGAAAACAAGACACTCGGCGGGCGTGATTTCCTTCTCGCCCCGCGCCCGCAAGCCCTGGTTGATCGTCTCCAGTGCCAGCAGGTAGATGTCCGGGAGCGGCTTGCCGCGTCCCTTGCCGATGCGCGGGTCGTCGCCCAGTACCTGCTGGTTCTTTGGGAATGCGGCGAATAGCTCTGGCAGGTGCGAGGACTTCAGCGTGAAGTTCTTGGCGTGCGAGGAGGTTGCGAGCGCTAGGTGTACCGGGTGGGATGTGGACTGCGTTGATACGAGGGCGGAGAGCAGGGCTTCGACGCCTGGTAGGGGCTGCGTTTCGGGGAAGCGCGCGAGTTGCAGGGCCGTGAGTTTGCGTGCGTATTCTTCTGCGCCGATGGGGAGTTGGGCCCAGTCGTGGAAGATGCGGCCGGCCTATTTTCGGTTGTTGGCGGGTAGGGTTAGTGGTACTGTGGGGGAGTCTTGGGATGGTATGTGATTTGGGCGTGCGTACCTCTGGCGCGGGACGGCCCTGCAATTGGGCCTTAATCGACCACGGGAGTAACGGCTTGCCATATTCCTGCAGGATCGTGTTGGTGACCGAGGTGTAGATGTCCTCGGAGTCGATTAGGAGGCCGTCCATGTCGAAGAGACATGCCCGCACGCGGGGTAAACTAGGCGAGAGGAAGGGCTCGAGTTAGTCAATGGCTGATTGATCCAGGCAAAAAGGGGCACGTACTCCGGAGTCGAGTTGGACATGGTTGACTTGATGTGTTATGGGGGTCTAGAAGGCAGCAATGTGAGGACAACAAGGGAATTGGGCTGCAGTTCTTAGATATCTCCGCACTTGCGAGATTGATTTGATTATCGGCTATCGATAGAGGGGAAACCAACACATGTCGGTGCCTAAGGCTGCTGTGTCGGCCTTACCCCCGCCGACTTGCCGACCGCCGCCGTCGCCGCCGCGGGACCGCGACGAGCTTCCAGCTGCAAGCTTGCGTCGGGAATAGAAGTGGTAGAGACCAACAAGGAAACCAGGGTGGAGCTTTGAGAGTGGAATAATGTCAAACGATGCGAAACAGCGAGCTGGCGCCAGCGCCAGCGACAGCGAAGACGAAGAGGACGTCTTCCACGACGCCCGCTTCCCCGCCGACGAAGAAACGGCAAGTATAGCACCACCCACATCCCAGATCCTCAAACACTAACGCGGACGTTCTCAAAGAGACTTCTAGAGGAATCCCGCTCCATAAAAGCCGAAGCCAACAAGCTTTTCTCAGCCGCTAGCTACGACGAAGCCATCACCTGTTACGATCGAGCCCTTGCCTCATGTCCCAACTATCTCGATTACGAAGTCGCCGTGCTGCGGAGCAACATGGCCGCATGCTATCTGAAACTAGAAGACTGGAAGGCCTCCGTTGATTCGGCGACGGCGTGTATTGATCGGTTGGACAAGGTGCTTCCTCCGACGCCGGCGGCTGCGGCGGACAGTCAGAAGGGGAACAACGGAGCGGAGACGGCTGCGGAGGAAGCTGTCGTGGAGATCACTGGGGACAATGAGGATGCAGAGGAGGAACAACTGAAGCGCTTGCAGCAACTGGACCAGACAAAGCGCGATGTCATGCGGATTCGCGCGAAAGCGCTTATGCGACGGGCGCGGGCTAGGATGCAGCTGGGCGGGTGGGCGAATCTGCAAGGCGCGGAAGAGGACTACAAAGAGCTGGCGGCCATGGATAATCTCCCACCGGACGACAGGCGCGTGGTGCAGAAAGGTCTCCGGGAACTGCCTGCCAAGATCAACCAGGCGCGGGAGAAGGACATGGCGGAGATGATGGGCAAGCTGAAAGATGTAGGACGGCCCTGTCAATGCTCTTTTTATGATCGGTACTGACTGAGTGTAGTTGGGAAACGGTATTCTGAAACCGTTCGGTCTCTCGACTGAGAACTTCAAGTTCGTGCAGGATCCGAAGACTGGCGGGTATAGCATGAACTTCCAATCTGGTTGATGATCTTTGGGAACCACTGGTACAGTACATAATTACGCCATGCAATTTGGAGTTGGGATGCATTCTTCGCGTGGTAGCGATAGACTCGAATTATTTAGCATGTCATATTATTTTATTTGTTGCCGAATGATATACCCACATAGAGACAGTCACTAACTATTGCATATGCATGAACATGGTAGCGATCTTCGAAAGATCATCCAGAGATACTCTGCTGGGAAGATCAAAGACTGTGGATCTACGTTGACTTTTCCCACCGAACGGTTGGGTTACCTGCTGGGTTGGGGGCTCCTCAGAGCTGGGGCCATATACTCGGGCAGTAAAGCCGTCCTTGATGTCTCCATCGACAACTGCAGGCCACGGCTCGCTGCCATGGCAAAACTTGAGCAAATCCTCTGCCATCGCAACTCCCACCTTTTGTTGTGCAGGCGACAGGTATTCGCGAAAGTTTTGGAAAAGATACGCAAGGTCTAGAATGTGGCCGGCTCGGCCTTTCCATGCGCCATCCCATGGGTTTCCTTCGTTGAAGTAATAGACGAATGCCCGTCCCTTCCAGCCTTGTGCGGATGCTAACGTTGGGGCGTACATCCAAACATCATTTAGGAAGTCGAGGATGGCAAGGAAGGCTTCACCGTCATTCATTTCAGTGGCGATACCGTACTCGGCCAGGATCTGTTCTGAGACTTCTGGCTGCGAGGGAAGAACGGCCGCGAGAGCTTTCAGGAACCGCTCAGCGCATCCATTTCTGAGATCGGACCTAATGGCATGAATGATATTGGCCTGCGAGATCCTTAGCATAGACAACAGTAGGAATACGCGGCCACAATCACTTACATCAATCTGGGCATCGCCGACCATCAATTCCTGACACCAATCCTTGCCCTTAGGAAAGTGGTTAGTCCTATCCGCTAGCTGTGCATAAGTCATCGCTGGTGGGACAAAGTCCCCGTCGACTGCAAACCGAGGAATTATAGATGGAGGAATCTTTTCAACCAGTTCTTCACCAGATGTGTTCAGCAAAGTATTGAGCCTTTGCTCTGAAGACATGTCCGCCAAGCCCAGAGCTGCCACCGCTCGCTGGTAACTCTGCTCATGAATCTCGTACGGTAGGCTGGACGAGAAGAATCGATTCCCGCTCATCATGATGGCTCTTCTGAAAAGAGGCTTTTCGGACTCGAGTTGACACGCGACAGAAGCTGTGATGCTTAGACATCTGTCGCATAATTGTGTCAGAATCAGAAGACATACCAGCTCCAGCGCTCATTCCAGCAAGCGTGATGTTATCGGGATCGCCTCCAAAATCACCGATGTGCCTATGCACCCATTCCACAGCCGTCCTCTGATCTCTGAGGCCATTATTCGCTTTGTACCCGGCGGCCCGCAGCTCCTCGGAGGTCATAAACCCCAACATGCCAAGGCGGTAACTTTGGTAGTCAGCACGGTGTCTCCACGAGAAGGGATACGTACTTGATGGACACTGCGACGATGGGCAAACCCTTCAGAACAGACAACTCGACCAATCGCTCAAGATCATACTGTGGCCAAGAATTCGCGCCGATTGAGAGCCCACCGCCATGGATAAAAACAAAGACTGGCAGGTGAGAGTCGGTTGTGGTATCATTGGGCACGGCGATGTTCAAATTAAGACAATCGACATCTGACTGTGGCAAAGGTTTCCTTGGCAGTGGATGCTGGATGATGCTAAGCTCCAGGTCGCATCCAAATTGCGGGGAAAGCGCCGTGGGACTTGAAAACGCAGCGCTTATCAGCTCAGAGTGACATTGACTCCATTGCACTCAGATGACTTACCCATCTTTCGTCGCGTCAAGCACATCTCCGTCCCGGGTTTCGACGAGCTGTGCCTCTGCGAACCTGTCTCTGAGAGTGGCGTACTTGATGCCTAGAAATTGAGTAACCCGATTGCTGTCTTTCCCTCGGATTTTGCCCAGGTATTGAGTCAGGAGTAAAGTCATGTTGCATGAATGAGGGTTTGGAAGATAATAGGAGGACCGAGAGCGGTGTCTGAGCTTCTCAATCATGGAAGTAACGAAGCCTCCCCGCACGGAAATCCCCCGTCCCGCATTCTTCTCTTCTTCTCCACTTGCTGGCCGGTCACGGCTTCAATTTGTCCATAATCGAGACATCTGTAAATAACTATAATTACACCGGTCAAAGTCCCGAGGGTCCAGGAGATTCTGCCTGCTGAGCCATTTCCTTTCGAGGTACTCAGGTCTGAGCCTATGAACTCGTCGCCCTCTTCGGCTGTGTAGCACCGCTAGCTTCTCCCAACAGCTGAGCGCAAATATCCCGAGCTTGTGGTTCGGAGATAGGATCTAGAAAGCATTCTTTGAAATCGCGGTATAGCAACATACACTGACTTACTGCAGGCTCTAGTCAAACTCGAGGAATCGCAGATATAGCCTTCGTTTAAAGGGCTCACTTACATTTTGCATCAGATGGGAAGACAACCGGAACTGAATAGATTGAGATCTCAATTCATTTGAGGCTCTCGACATATCTCTCCGTGGATCTCAGGTCCCTGGCACAGGGCAGTTGTAGAGACCGTTTGATTGATTATATTGTGGAGGATCTTGAGAATCCCTGTACCTGTCACACTCGAACTGGGAGTTCATATTGAAAAGGTCATGGATCTGAATGTGTTGCAACATCTTTTCAGTGTTATATAACCCAGAAGTATCACGGGTCGAACCCATGATTCAACAGGCAGGGTGCTTGTCAGGTGAAGAAAGAGCGATGGAGCTGAGGGTCCATCAACCCTGGTATATGGATCGGCTGCCTCTCAACTTCTTTCGATGCACTTCCTCATACAAAAGTACCACTTGACCCACGAAAATACCTATCCTTTTACCTCCATGTCGTCCCCCTATTCTTATCAATCTGTCATTCCTATGTCTTACTCTGTTAAAATGTCACTCGGGAACCCAATCTCACCCGAAGACGACCCAATGTCATGGGAAGAGGAAAGCCCACCATTGACCGTGACCAAGGCACACAACTATACCCATCGATACCCAGCGCAGCCATAGTGAGCCTATTCTCCCCCATCACATTGAGCCCCATCACATTGAGCTGGGATCCTAATCCCAGGAAGCTATCCCTATCGCGTTGGACAAATCCTCCAGCTACGTGCAGCCACACCACGCGCCGATCAAGTCTCCGTCATGAACGCCAAGATCCTCAAAGCGTTCCATCAAGACGACGGAATGGCGTGTATACTGGAAGTGCAGGTGACGCCGCCGTTGGGGAAGATGAGCAACCCGATGATGCTGAAACTGTTCGACCGACGGTATGCGGCGGTGGCGCGAACGTGGAGGCTGGGGTACGGCAGGGACCCGGCGAACTGGGCCACCTGGGTTGAGCAGGAGTACCTCGAGTATCGCTGCAAGGAAAAAAGCCTGATCACGATGCAGATCCTCACCCAGAACGAGCCTCCGCGCTGGGAGCACTTGAGCTGGGAGCCCGCGCAGCGCGAGATCTACTTCGAGGACATCATGCGCCGCCACCTGGAGACCGAGGCCGACGCCTGGCTGCGTCTCAACCCGCTGCAATGCGACATGATCCCGCAGTTCTACGGCCGCATCTCGGTCACCTGGGATGCCATGTCGGATGACGGCCAGTCTACCGCCACTGGGCTGTGCCACGGGCTTCTTCACGAGGAGGTCTCCGGATTCAGCCTGGTCAAACTGCGTGAAATGGTGCCGCAATCGTCTTGGCAGACGTACTGCAATCAGGTTCTCAAGGTGCTGCAGGAGATCAATGAGTTGGACGTGCGAACCGAGGGGCTCAGTCTGCTGGATTTCGCCCTGCATCGTATCGTGAACGGAGACTCGGACGAGGAGGAGGACTACGACCTGAAGGACAACAATGATCTCGTGGTCGTTCTTATTAATCTTAAATCCTGTAGGATTCGCGAGTACGAGCAAAGTGAGCATGAATTCAGACGGCTCCTCGCGTTGGAGGACGAAGAATTCTCCATTGGACAGCAATTGGAACTCCTCACTCGCGGTGCGTGGACCTATCGTCGTTCGGATTATTACCGCAAGCTGGATCGTGACTTTCCCGATATCAAGTTGGAACAAGAAGCCGAGATCGAAGAAGAAGAACCGGAGCTACCCATTTATTACACGACTAGAGGAGGCACGCCGGTCAATCGTTAGGATGTAGAGCAGAGCAGAGTGGGTCACATGTTTCGAACGTGTTGGAAGTCATTCGTTGACTAGTTATAGCCTGGTATACTAGATAGCACCACTTAGCTGAAATGCCAAACCTCGATAGCATAAATTATCGTCGCCAAATGCCGCACCAGCGAACCCGAAAAGGTAACAGTATTACAAAATGACGGAGACCATCAAGAGAACGCGGTCATTAGAAGGAGCCGAAGAAAGCTGCACAGTCCACACTACACGGCCGTCGAGTTGACAGTAATGTTCATGAAGCTTGAACCCAGTTTTGCCTGGGCAGCCTGGATCAACGCCTCGACAGCACCGTCAAAGTTCGAGAAGATGTTCCCGACGATCGACTCGCCGCACGCGCGCTCCTGTGAGCCAGACGACGAGTCAGAGCTGGTGTCTCTCTTCCTCTTGAAGTTGATGCCAGGCTTGATCTCAACACAGTTGTACTGCGACTCGGCGGCGCGCAGCTGGCAAATCTCGGCGGACTTGCAGTCGCCGGTGCAGGAGGCGACGTCCCAGCCGCGGCTCTTGCGGGCGTAGTAGTCCTGGAAGACGGCATCATCGCTCTTGAAGAGGGCAGTGACGTTATGCCAGAAGGCCGGGGTGAGCTCGGCGGCACTGTCGGTGACGGGCGGGTTGAGAAGGGCACCGTAGGCTTCCTTGACGGAGTAGTACTTCTCCCAGACGGGCTTGTCCTGGTACGTGGGGCTGGACATGTTGGTAATGTAGACGGTGAAGTCGAGGATGCCGAAGGTGACCGGGTCGACAGAGTAGACGCGGAAGGTCGGATTGCCTGAGGTCGGGGTTAGCGCGGGAGCGATGTACGACATCATTGTGGCTGTGTTGGCCGTCTGGTCGGTGTAGCTCGAGTACGCGATCTCGAACTCGTCCTTGTGGGTGTGGCCGTAGAAGACGGCGGCGATAGTCGCTTCGTAGCGCTGGATGATCTGGTTGAAGTAGTTCGAGGCGTCGTGGAAGGTGTCGCCTGAGCCCATGGGCATGTGCCCCATTAGCCAGACGCGCTCACCGGCGGTCTCGGCGGCCGCCAGCTCACTGACCAGCCAGGCGAGCTGGCCATTGGGGTCAGTTTGCATGGTCTTCTCGTAGAGCCAGAAGTTCTCCTTGTAATAGAAGTTGGTGTTGAACGAGATGATGCGCAGGTTGCCGCCAGAGTACTTGACCGAGTAGGAGCCATAGTCGTTCGCGGTGCTTGCGGCGGTAGCTCCGATCCATTGGCTCCAATCGGAAGAAAGAGTGTCGTAGGCCCATTGGCTGGAGATTGTTGTGTCGATATCCGAGGTAGGGAATGAATTCACAGGAGCAGTATCGTGGTTACCGGTAACGCCATATACGAGGTTGAGGTAGTTGGGCATCCGAGACTTGTAGGCGTCATTCAGATCGTTGGTCACCTCCGTCTCATTGACCAGCCACACGGCACCTTCAACAACATCACCAGTGAAGATGGTGAACGGGGCGTCGGGGACAAGCTCCTTGATAGCCGCGTACATGCTTTCCTCCAGGGTAAGAGGAGCGTCGCAGTTGTGATTTCCATACTCTCCTGCGGGATAATTGGTAGATCCAGGCTCATCTGATGTGGTGTAGGGACGACAGCAAATGTTTTTGGTGCAGTTATAGCTAGGGAAAGCTTTGTGTCAGGAAAATAGAAACGCTGAATGGTTGGAATGGAGACATACTTGGCGCCAGTCTCATAAGACAGGTCAACATGAATATCACTGATGTGAACAATTTGCAGAGGGGTTTGTCCACTCGGAGCAGGACGAGACGCGTTCGCAGGTTTAGCAGAGGGGAAATCAACAGTATACTCAGCAACGGCTGGATAGTCGCAAAGCCCAAAGATGGTGGTGCAAAAGAGAACTGCTGTCTTGGAAGGGATCTGCATATTGCGGAGGTCATGGGCTAGGATAGGTCCTTCTCGGGAAATGGCGCCTTCGCAGACATCGTGGTCATCCACCTTGTTATGGTCAGTAGAGCATGTTGAATTCAGAAAGGAATCACCTACCTTGGCCAGCTTGCACACTTCGGTGATTACATCTACAAAGTCATCGTTGCCCAGGTGAGCAAGGGTCTGAAGCACAACAAGCAAAGCCTGAATGAGGGGTCAGCAATATGAATCCAAGAACATCAGAGGATATGCCTAGCCGGCCAATACTGACCTCACAGGCTGCGCATGTTGCAGCATCTTCGATATCTGTCAAGATATCGCTCACTGTCGTCCGCTTTTCAATCCCAGTAGATGAAGCAGAGGCGCAAAGCAGCCCTGCAAAACAAAGTAATTGTGTGATCTTCATCATGCACGGAAAGGTGAAGCTTGAATATTCTCGAAAAGCAAGAGGCTTGCTCGGCTTTTATTGCTCGAGGCTAGCATCATATTTCCCATTCCAACCATCTAGTATACTGAGGTGCGTTCACATGCTACATCATTTTCCGGCAAAACATGTCCATGGTCTGACACGTTCCTCCGCGTTGAGCAATGATTGCCTATCAGTTGGAAAGCAGAGTGGAGATTGTGGTAAAATGAAGCTTTGAAAACAGTGAGCATGCCGAGACATTCTTCAGAATGATTGGGCAGGAGTTATTCGTTAGTAGAAGAAGATAATGAGATTAATCTATTTCGCCGGGCGCTAAGAACATTGTTCGGCTGAAGGATTGTGGATTGTTCAATAAATCGGCCGATGACTTCCGCCTTGGGCTAGATGGTTCATTTCATTTCGAGCGCGAGGAGTTTTCAATGTTTGAAATTGATTTCGCGTGCAATAGTTATTCGCATCGGGCTTGCCATCTTCGGAGTCTGTTTCAGCTTTATCTCACGATATGCTCAGCCGTCCACCGACTGCGCGAGAGCCTGGAACCTTTGCAGTATCGCTGCCTCTTCCTCTGGTGTTAATTGAATCCTTTCTGCAATATATAGTCCGTCTCTCAGTCGGGCATTGACAATGGCTTTTTTCGTCTTTGATTTGGCCAGTCCTTCGATTGTTTTTGCAATGCCGTGGAACGGATATGCCACCAATCCAATCCCAGCTACAACCGTAACCACAGTCAGCATTGGATTAAACCCACACGAATGGGTGACCAGAGCACGCGCAAAAGGAGGTTATCCACGTACCAGAAGGAACCCTAGTAGCTAGCCCGATCGTGCCTTTGGCAAGCCCTTTAACAGCACCCAGCACTCCTTCCTCTTTAGCTCCCTTGATGGGCTGTGTAAAGAGCCCCGTGAAGCCGTCCGCCATTCCATCCACGAAGTTTCGGCCACCCATCACAGCTCCTGTTCTCCAATCTTTGACAGTGCCGTAGTCCTTAGGTTGCTCTCCGTACAATCGAGGAACCTGTCGGAATCCCTCCGCAGTGGCGTGCGGGATATCGACCACCACTCCCTTAAAATAAGAACTGGTAAACTTGCCGAATTCCTTCAATGTAACCCCGGCTATGTTGCCAGCGGTGGCCAGAGAGCCAGGTAACGTCTCTTTGACTATTCGACCGTCCGCAGGATATTGAGTGTTGCTTTCGCTGGTGCTTGAGTGGTCAATTGATGCAGTCGAGCTCGAAGCACGGGGATTATTTCTGTTCGCGGAATTTGACGAAGGCCTTGGTGAGCGGCTGCGCTTGTATTCCATGTAAGGCTTGTAGAGCATTCCACCACTCGATTTGAGCATGTCGTAGCCTGTGCTCGTAGAGGCAGATAACAGTCCGGTGAGCGGATCCCAACGACGGTTTTCTATGAAAATTGGGTTGACTTCATGACTGGAGCAAGAGTAACGTTAGCATGTGTGCTGCTCGAGATCATCGTCAAATTCAGAGAGTGTATGGTCAAGCTTAGGCAAACCTTCTAATGTCTTTCGCATTGATTAAGGACTTTTCAATCAGTATCTGAGCGACTGGCTTGCAGAGATGAATTTTCTGCTTGGACTTGATGATTGTCCATGCCGCCGCTTGGTTAGGCATCACGCGACACCGCATTCGCTCTAGGGGCAGATGGCGATGGAATGATTGAACAGCGGCAGTGACGCCGGACTCAGTTCTCATCTTAGCGGAAATCTGTTGAGCTGCTGCGGCTGCCTGTGGTGTCAGGCAGAATGATATGGCATCTGCTAAGTCTTGCGAGTTGAGGCGACTATATGGGATCGGTCTAGCGCCGGCGCCAGCACGTGCTACCATGTTGCCCCAGAAGGGTTGACTATAAACCATCCAATTAGTCTTCAAAGAATACCAGCTGGCAACTCGAGTGACTCACTCCCCGAAGAACGGAACGATCGCGGTTGGTCGTCCATGAGCAAGCCCGCATGCTGTCGTTCCTGCGCCACCGTGGTGTACCACCGCAGCGACGTGCTGAAACAGCCATTCGTGAGGACAATCATCAATGTAGAAAATATTCTGGTTTGGGTCTCCTCCTAATTTACTCCATCCGCGTGAGATGATGGCACGCACATCGGCACCTGCGACTGCATCGAGAATCGTCTTTGTTAATTTCTGGGGGTTGTCAACGACAATACTGCCGAAGCCGATGTAGATGGGAGCCGGGCCAGACTGCAAGAAGTCCAGCAATTCCCTTGGCGGCTTGTATGATGGAGTGTTTCTGAAAAAGAATCCACAAATATCTGTACCACTTATTATGGATTGCCTTCACACATAACAGCATCTGCTCGCTTATCCACATACCAATGTGACTCGGCCAATCTCGTGGCTTAGGTACTAGCGCCGGAGACCAGCAATATGTGAAAGGTATCTTCAGAGTCTCTGCAAGACTAGGTCCCTCCGATAATGGGATTGGTTCCAGATCAATTCCAGCTCGCCAACGATTGATCACATCGCCTAGCCTACAATGCGTGACAGTGTCAGCAGCTTTTTTTCTCAATATAAGTTTGTACGAACACGCATACCCCTGCCAGGTTAACCATTCGACAACGCCATATGAAACCCAATTTGCAGTTGTAGGGTTCATGTCTGAGGCGCGTAGATTTGCAAGAGGATGCGGGAAAGCCATGGTACTGCTCCACGGCATGGTGAACATCAAGTGGACAGGGATGCTCAGTGCTTGTGCACAGTGTATATGGGCGAAGCTGGGCGGGTTGGCGATAATCGCATCGGCAACAAATGGTACCTGTGTGACAGGGTCGTCCTCGATACATGACCTCCAACAGCCGTCAAGCATCTCGGCCACCATAGCCCTTTTCTTCTGCACCTCGCCAGCCCGTAAACTTTTCATCTTGGGAATGAGCCCGGGGTTCTTGACCATGAACGCCATCAGCTCAGCTGGGTCGCCCCCGATTGGATAGAACTCCAGGCCCGACTGTGTGACAAAGGTTCTGAACACATCATGAGTGGCGATACGAACACGGTGCCCGACCTTCTGCAGCTCATTCCCCAGCGCAATGAACGGCTGGACATCTCCGCGGCTACCCACTATCTGAATGACAACGTTCAACTTGATATTGCAGTTCACCGGTTCAGACTGCTTTGGGCGTTCCTCAAAGTACTCTGGTGGTGGATTGTGTATGTCCTCTTGCTGGGCTTCGATTATTTGGGCAAGGGTTCTGGCGAAGGAAGAGTCAAGGTCGACGTCGATACGCCCATCAGCTAAACTATAATGAGCCATCTGTATTTGAAAGAAGTTTTTCAAGAGCTAAGCTGTCTTTGTAGACTCACCTTGCACGTCTGCCGTATCAATGGCGAGGCCGCCGTCGACGCCATCGGCATAGAGAGAGTAGGGTGGCAGGCCATGTTCCTCGGGTGTGCCTGCGTCATGCGATTTCTCTCTAGCAGGTTTCTGCATGATAACAAGAGCTTGAAGTACAAGCCCTTTGAAGAGTGCTCATTGTGTTGGACTTTTACGAAAAGGGTTGATAGAATATATAAGAGCCTGGAAAGGTGAGGAGCAACAAGGTTTGAGTAACTTGGAGATCCGTATACGCACTTCACTAGTGGTCGAAGCTCGTACTCGTATGCCATGCCGTGCCCGGACTAGCCAATGTGGGGAACACAAAAATAGTGCCCGGCGATCCATCCTCCGATGCTGATTTGTGGAGCAACACATAATTTCGGCCTTTCAGCCATCAACTTTCATCCTCCGCCATTTGCTGATCTTTCTGACTATATCAAAATTTCGACGGCATATAGATTGCAGTGAAGAATCTCCTCAATAACTGGCCTGTTGCGATTTACCTCTTTACCCATGCTGAGGCTTCTGAACTGCTCCCTCCTGGACTTTCTTTACAGGTTCGTGGACCTAGTATAGTGATTATACTCAATATGACGGGCAAAGTGAGCAACATATTGGCCTACCGCATTCATGCAATTGATTTCTATGGAGTGTGCTGAGCAAACATTATGAGGAAATACTTGCTGGTTGAACGGAACCCGGGCAAGCATCATCCCAGTCGTACTGTTGTAGTAGACGTACTTGCGATGAGCCTTGAGGACGTTAACACGGACAGGCTTGGGGCTGTGCTCGGCCGACAACATAATTGGAGACTCAGACAGCGCAGTATTGCCATTGTGGCACAGAGCAATGTTCTCCAGCTAGGTGCCGTTATTGCTGAATTGAGAAACCGTTCTGGTGGTGTCGACTGCTCCAGATGTATGCAGCCAAGGCCTGCGCAACGGCAGACGCAAACGCAAGAACCACGGATTATTGTGCTGTGATAGATACGCTGAGAACTCTCAAGGACGCAGGATGATGATGTCCTGGAAGACTCAAACGAGACACAGTTATATAAGTTCACCTCACTGTGAATAAAGTTGGGGCCTGACTCTGCGTCATCGACAAGAAAACCAATAAGCTCGAGCCCTCCTCTTGACAGTTGTTACACAAGCATTCCTGCTTACTTCAAAAATTCCTGCTCCACACTGTGGAAGGTGAAGTATACTTTGTAAGACTATGCAAGAGCCAGAGTTTCTGAAACCCGCAAGGTGGCGACTAGAAATGAAGGCAGCAATTGGGAGAGCATGCTAATTAGTTTGACTTAGTTTGATCGGATGGGCTCTCTCGTCTCTGGTTGAATTGATTTGAACAGACGCCAATTGCTGATAGTGAATCAGAAGATGACACCCCCGTCCCAAGAGGGTATATTGGTCGTAATCCAGATTCGACCATGTCAGTAGAAGGAACTATGAGTGAATGGTCCGCGGACCGTTCGCTAGTAGACTTTACTTGAGGCTTGTATAGATCCCGACGAATACCTCTCATCGACCGGCACGTGCCCAGTTGCTAAGTGTTGGCGGCTTATTGACAGAAATCATAGTGAGTATGTAGTTAGTGTTTCTGGTCATATCGTACTCTATCTTAAGAACTCAATAGTAGCGTTTTAAAGGCATGTCGCATTTTCGGGGCTCGTTTGCCAGCGATTCACATTCTGTCTTTGTGAAGGACTGGGGTGTGAGCTCTGAGCGGAGTGGGATGATCTGTACATAGCTTACGCTTTCAGTGCTAGTTATACCTTACTAGGTTAGTACCTAGTACCTGTTACTGCCAGATGCCAGCCCTGGCATGGAGTTGGCCTGAGGAATGTGGGCTATGCCAGGTTAGGCTAGCGCCGGATACTGGGCCGCGGCGGCGCGGACTCAGCGTGCATCATCCATCAGGCTGTCCACCTCACGACTGCAACCGACGTTCATACACCAAGAGCTCACTGGGCACGCCTGTGGCTTTACTTTGTTCGGCTGCGATGATAAAAGATGAGTCCCGACTAGTACACTGGTATTATAAACTCATAAAACCGATCTAATGATCCCTGTTATCTTTCCTTGTCCTACGTACCTTCCGCCCCTCTTCCCCCTGACACCGTGGGAGTCAGGTACTCTTCCCCGCTCACGACGGCTTACTTCCGACGATCTCGCTGTGAAACCACATTGACCAGCTGGGTATTGCGGCTCCTATTCAGCTATTGAATAATGTCTATGCTTTCGGAAGCTGCATCAGCAGTGACAACGTCGGTATCGTCTGCACAGCCTCTAAGCACCTCTCCGACGGTCACCGCCACATCCGTACTGTCCACCTCACCGCGCGAGCTCCTCTCTCTACCCCTTCGAGGTCTCTCCAAAGTAGAGACGCTTGCGTTTTCGATAATACCTAAACAAGTCGCGAGAATGGCTGGACTTCAGAACATGGCGACGCACATCTGGGGCACAGCCCCGGCTACCGGTTCGGGAGGCGACACAGTGGTTCTCGCAACGCAGGCAGCGGCGGAAGTTATCAGAGAGGGCATAGCAGATGCTGCTGTGCAAGCCGACTCTAGCCACCATATATCCGACATTGTACAGGCTATTGTAAGATTTAGTGGGTTTTTCTCGTATCTGACCGGCCGGTGGTCACTCGCCTGTTTCACTGTAGTAAGTATACCAATAACTTTGTCCCTTGGGGATTCTGTGACGCAAACCATCTGATTGTTTGAAGTCCCTTATTTTGAATAGAATCACAATATATGCATCCACTCGTCGGCGTCTCCAACTAGACTGGAGCAGAAGGTTCGCTCTACGCATAATACCTATTGTTCTTTTCATCGCCCAAATACACGCCCTGCTTCGTGCTCTTCGGTGCCAAACATCTCCGGACTACTCAGCCATTCGATATGGAAAACGAAATACTCCGCAGGTGCTTGATTATGCCGGGAATGGGGGCTTTCTCTACACTCTTAGCTCGACGCTGCTTCCCTGGGAGACAGATGAGCAGTCTTGCCGTGCAGTACACATGGGTCGCCCTGTTAACGGGTCAGACATATCATACGGCTCATTCTCGCTCCTCTGGCCGGCTTTTCTTCGGTTGTGCATAAGTCACTTTGTGGAAACGCTTTGCTGCGCATTGCAAGGCAGGTCAGTCGGAACAGAGGCAGGCATGTCTCTCTTCGAGCACTCCCTTGCCTTCGCCGAGGCAGAATCCGCGATAAGCCAGTCGCTTGGCATCGGCATCTTCGGTCTCTCCAAACATAGTGCTGGCAAAGAAGGCAAACTAGGAGGCGGTCAATCGGTTCTACAGTCACTGAGCAAAGGGCAGGTCCTGGAGCGAATGAACATTTCCCCGGAATTGCTGCTCATCACTTTGATTTCCTGCTGTAATAGCTTAACCTCCAACATTCTTGATGTTTTCGGAAAACAAAGTCAGTATCGCCTTGTGAACACGACGTTTTGGGGGCTTTGTTTCATGTCGGCCATAGCATGGGTCACGTTCGGTGACGCCTCCAATGGCACTGAAAGCCTACCCTTGAGGATTCCAACCGTTTGCCTCGTGGGATTTGTGCCCCATTTGTTCATACTGCTAGGAATTTTCGTCTGTGTGTTCATTTATGCCCTGGCTCTCGTCATCACAGCCTTCACGCTACCTCTTGACAGTTCTCAAGATCTGTCCTTGAAAGAAAGGCTCTTGTTGGCGCACGAGAATATGCAAGGGGCCCATCAGATCCAGAGCATTCGTTTCAATCGACACGATGACTTCTACACCACTTCGTTGAGGATTGGCTATGGCGCCTTAACTGCTGCCAGACAGGCAGTCTTCTTGAATGAAGGGCGGGGGGTAGTTGCGCAGAGAATGACGTGGCTGGAAAGGGACAGGCTGCGCGAAATAGAGTCCCTTCAGCGCAAAGGCTCAAGGGGGCAAGGCCGTGACTCTGAATACGGTGATCTCCGGAAGAGTGAGGAGTTATTGGAACTTGCGATGGAAGCGACTGCTGAGTGGGAGTGGGAATCCGGATATGCTCGGGAGAAGAAAATTGAGACTAGCGTATCGCAATCCGCTAGGTCTCAGGACGAATCTGAGGGCGTCGGCGCACTGCGGGGTGCTGTCCGGTGCTACCAGTCGATCTCGTTCGTCCGTGCTATTTTCTACTTCTTGCTTAAGTGGACCGCTTATGGTCTCGACAAACTACTTAGCAAGGTCGGTATTAATAGGCGACCGCAGTGGCTAAAAACGCTGGTCAGGGCTCAGCAAAAGAAGAAAGACCGGGGAAGGAAGAACAACCTGGAGAAGCTAGACTTCTGGATAATGTCGGAGGATGGTGTGCTGAAGGTACCTACCAATTCCGACTTTGATGTGGAGAATGAGATGCGCCGACGAGAGAGGATCGACGCTGCCCGCTGGGGAGAGTCGGATGAGCGGCGGCTCGACGAGAAACTCTATGACTGGTGGAGAGCTGGCGGGGCCTGGGGCAATCAAGACCAAAGTCCTGATTACGCACCTTCTGTTGAAGATTGGGATGATACGACGAGCGTTGTGTCAATGGCCACGACCAGTGATTCTGACTGGGAGGCCTACGAGTCTGACGGACGCCGTACCCCTACCCAAGAGGACCCGTTTCCAGGCCGTTGGTCTCGCGAAGACACTCCTGTGCAGGAGCCACTCGTTGATATTGGTGCTTTTGCCCGCCTACTGGATCCACGCGATCAAGAAAGCAGGCAAGAGGCTCGCATACTTGCGGCACATCTTGCTGCAGGCCGTGAAGGTCGTATCATGACTCGTCGCCGATTCCAACAACAGGTTGAGCGCGACAGGGCTCGGGTTTTGCTTACCTCGCGATTCTCACAACTTGGCCAACAGAATTCCGGTGACGACAAGCGCAAACCCACGCCAGAGGAGGAGTCCGAAATTTTGGAGAGGCTGATTCTTCTTCAGAGGTCCGAGTCATTTAACAAACCCTCAGATGAGCAGACATGGGAGTCAGGGGCATCAGGCCTTGGTCCCAGTGGACCGCCCTGTGTTATCTGTCAAACCAGCCCGCGGTCTATCATAACATGGCCCTGTCGGTGTTTGTGCATCTGCGAGGATTGCCGCGTGAGCCTGGCGATGAACAACTTCGGTAGTTGTGTTACTTGCCGTCGGGACGTTGGAGGATTTGTTCGATTATGGGTTCCATAGGCTCCCTCCAGGTCTGTTGCTGGCTTCTCCAGTTGGTCTGTCTCGTGCCGCTTTCTTTAGCCTTCTTTGTAACTACTTGCACTATAGGTCGTCTTTTTAAAACGGTGCCCGAGGCCCGGCTGTTCTATTTCCGCGCACCAGACTTAATGGTAGAGTTGAATCGAGCATCTTTGAATTCTTGTTCATGTGTACAGACTACGTGCGCTGATTGCGGCATACGACCACACTAGTCATCAGAACTATGTTCTTCCTAACTATCTTCCACAGAGTACTCTTTTGATATAGCAACATGATACAGTTATGCATTTCAGACTGTCTAGAAGGCTTCCTGTCGCTGCGAATGCAATGGGTGGGGAGGGGATGCTTGTCCCTGTGAACAAGAAAACATACAACCCTCTAGGGTGCACCTCACTCAGACAAATAATGAATGCCATGTCTTCTCATGATGGACTTTTCTCCAGGACTATTCACTCACGTCTTCTAGATTCTCACCGCTTTCAGATATAGCAACACATGGTGTTTATATTCCTATATTCTTGTACTCCTTTGATCTTCTTATCCTCTTTCCTTCTTTTTAGTAAATCTTTCTCATCCCACTTGATATCTGGTTTCCGGATCAAGATCCTCGACTCCTGGTGTTCAGACGAGGGCAGACCCTCAAGAGGCATATTTGAAAGAAGTAAGTCAGGCAGTGAGCAGAGTAGTTCAGAGGTGTGCAGTTTCTCATCGCTTTCTCTTCCTGATTAGGCTGTTCCCAAGCGATAACTTACGAGTGATCACGACGACTAAACGATACGCGCAGTACGGTCCTGCGACAATACGACGATGTGTTTATTCCCTTACCTCTGCGGAGGAGCTCCGTCTCCTACTTCATCATTCTTCTCACACACTGAATCCGACGGTTACTTTTCCAACGCCGACATGATGTCCCCAAGCACCTCATCCGAGGAGCCCAGCTCTGAGGCCCCCGTGCCACGCACTGGTCACCGCGGCGAGAGGATGCGCCTTTGGCCTCCTATCACCGATCTCGAGGACGAGGACGCAACCCAGAGTGAGAACAACGGCCTCGCTCGGCGTCGCTCCGCCAGCGAATCCAACGGCGACGGAATGGAAATCGACTCCGAGCCCACCGAGTCTACCAAGTCCACAGACATGCCTCAAAGAGGCGCTGGTCTCACCAGCACCGACAGCAACTCGGAGGGTCGTATCCCAGTTAGTGAGTTGATTCCTCTATTTTCTTCCATCTGTGTTGTCTCTCCTCCATTTGTGTTATACCAAGCCTATCCCATATATCCTCACCACCGCCACCACCACCCCTTCCCTCAAGACCCAGGCCCCCAATGTCAAAGCCAAAGCTAACCACAGCCCTTTCACTCCGGACCAGATAACGCCCGAGTCCTCCGTCGCGCGCGAGCCCCCCTGCGCAACAGCCGCACCTACACCCGCCTAGGGCGCCCCGAAACCCATCCCACCGCCCGCCCCGTGTCGCTGCGCACCTATAAGCCCTACGATTCCAGCGACTCGGACTCCGACCCTCCGCCGGTCCGCAGCTTCTTCAGCGCCTACGCCAGAGACGACAACCCGCGTCCCCTGGCCCGTCGCGCCGTCTACCCGAGCATCCAGACCATGCACCCGAACCTGTTTGCCGTGGAGCCTCTGACTGAGGACCCGGATCGCGCTTACTGGGCCGACTCCTCTGATAACGAGTCTGGTCCTGCTACCTGGAGTGAGGTTGAGTGGACTGATGACGAAGAGGAGGCTAAGAAGAAGGAAGTCGAAGTGACTAAAAAGAGGAAGCTTGAGGAGGAGGATGAAGAGGAAGAGGAGGAGGAGGAGGAGGGGGAAGCGGGTCAGGAGAGTGTCTAAGCTGCAGCTACCGCTGATGATGACAACGATGCGACGAGGTGGACACTTGTTCGGACCCTGCTTGGCTTTTGTTTCTCCTGGTGTATGTGCAGGGGTTGGAATCCTCTCTTCTGGGATGGACCTACAACGTGCAACTTTCTGGAAAGTGGAAAGGAGAGGAGGAGTCGATTAGGTGCTCACGGATGAATCACTTTCTCGGTCTATTGATGTGTTGCTGAATTGGTTGTCATCTGGTTTCACTTCTGGCTATCTAGATGCGCGATTTGTTGGCATGTGATGTGGTTTGTTTGCTTAGCTCTGGACATGATCTGCGATACATACACGCATGAGATGGGGGGACATGTACGTTCGGGGAGGCTTTTGTTTTTCTCGGTTTGTTCTTTGCGGATACACGAGTGCAAGTACATACAACATGAAAATGGGTTTATTATGCCTACTTCTTCTGTTCGTTCCTTTGGTTTGATCTTTCTCGTGGAGTAGTCTTGGATGGGTTGTTAGTTTGTCTTCATGCGTATGTGTAGTGTAAAGCGTCAGCCGCTGTGGGCATCTCTGATTTCCGTTCGATGATAACAATCTTGATTGATGGATGTAATATGTCCAGTATGGGGTATAAAAGATCTAGACCTTTCCTTAGGATTGTCTAAGATACAGCTTGACGACCGCTTCCAAGATGTGAAACTATGATCAAAGAGTGTGGTTAGTATCACTACTTCGGTAGGACAGTAGTAATATCTGACTATCGGAAACACCATTGCTGATTTATCAATCATTCGAAAGACCCTGGCAGCAGGATTGCTGATCGACATACGCGATGTGCGGCAAAGATAGAATTCTTACTCACTCCCCTGGATCACCAAACGTACCAAAGAATAACCACTTCAGCAATACACATGTACTTCAAGCTCACAATGATTGAATTAATTATCGATACGTAAGGCAAAGTTCAACCCTACAAAGGCTCCGCAAAATAAGAACTCAAATTCCCATCGTGACCGAGAAACCGAAACGAGATACAAAAAGAGCGCAGTGGGGGTGGACTACAGACAACACGAGTGATAGTCACAGACACTAGGAACATGAACAAAAATGACGTTGAAAGACCAATGCTTTCCCTTCCGCCAATGGTAGGTCCTCTCCTGTCTCGAAATTATGAACCCTCGTGTCGCTTGGACATAGATCCCGGAATTCCAGTATCAAAGAGTGTGTAGATGGCACGTCAACGAGGGTAGGTTACGTCCGCGTCCCCGCACCACAATGCTTATAGGATGTAAGCGGCCGCTGCGGCGGCGAGGGCTGCACCGACCAGGTTGGCTTCAGCGTGGGAGCCGGCGCCTGTGGCCAGAGGGGTGCTCGGGGAGGCCTGCGACGAGGAGCCGGCGGGCCCGCTGGATGATGCTTGGATGATCGATGAGGAGCCCCGGCTTGCCGTGGTGGAGGCGCCAGGCGTGGACTTGGGCACGGTGGGTGTCACGGCCGAGGAGACAGTGGGCAGACTCACCGCTCCTGTGTTGGTGGGCTCGGCTTTACTGTTTGTGTCGGAGGCGGAAGGCTGCGCGGCGGTTGTGGTTTCGGCGCCAGCGACGGGGGGGATGGTTATAGGGTGGCCTGCTGCCGAGCATTGGCGGATGACTTCGCTGGACACGGCTGTACGATGATTAGGAGGGTATCCTTGGGAAAGTCTTGAGGGAGATGTGGAAGGATGCTGTTCATACCGCTTTGATCAGCAGCATTGCAGGCCTTTTGCACACATGGAGTCACGACCTGCACCACCTGGGGCTTCTGGCAATGACAGCCAAAGTCCAGCAGGCTCGAGCATCCGTCTTTCTGGAATGCATCGATGAAGCAGTTCAACTGGGATCGTTAGCTTTGGCCTAAACTCTTAGAAGAAGGCGACGACCGCATACAGAACATTGGGGAAGGTTGGGAAGCTGCGCGCTGGCGAGGCTGCTGGCAAGCAGAATGATCAACGCACGGTAATGGTACATGTTGGTGGATGTATATGGTTTGGATGAAGCGAGTAGACAAGATGACTTGGGCTGTAGTCTAAAGGAGTGTGAGGAAAGAGAAGTCAAAACGAGTGGTGGCTACTGAACATATAAAGCAGACGCGGAAACGAACCCCCACGGGTCCAGCGTTCGCTCTTATAAGCTCATGAGCTCACCTCTCACAGAGCCTTGGAACGCACATCACATGTCACTCCGGAATTGCTATCTATACTTACAGTCGTGCCTCAAAACAAGGCACACGGGTCGTGTGGGCGCAAGATTGAGCCTATTAAAGGACAGCACAACCCTCTGAGACATGCGGACATACCTTCCGATGTGATGCAAGAGAGGGTAATTGGAGAGGAGAAATACTAACTAGGGAAGGCAATCTTGGAGCAGTGCGTAACCATTGCATTTCGGGGCTAAAGCCCGTTCGTGCAGCTTGCCCTACGTTCCTGTCAAGCATGAACATGGAAGAGACATCCCACATATGCTTGTGTCGGCAGTGGGTGTGTAACTGTCGCATTCGTCAAAGGAGACGTCGCAGCTACATCCACTTTTTAAAAGTTGATCTGGATTTAGACCATGATGGTATGACTGATTCGAAACAGTTCCATCGCACTAAACCCGAGTCAGTTGATGCGCACTAAACAGCTGGATGCCACTCATATCCCAACTTTCATGCAAAGCTCATAGATAATGGCAAGGAGATTTATCCCTGAGGTTAAAACCAACGGCTCCGCATCGGGGCAGCGGGTGGCGTGGCGTGGCAAGGCCAGTGATGAGATGTAGGACATAACCAATTGCAGGAACCAAATCAACCCTTGGGTCCCGAACCCCGGCTTGAATGTCATGACAGGAGACGGACGGGTCATTTGAATGAAATGATGTGACACGCCCAGCCTGCTGTGTGACCATCTTACGCGGCTGTGGAGTTGACACCGAGCGAGTTCCCGGGGCAGGAGAAGGCAAACCAAGGAATCCGGAAGGCACAAGCCATCTGACAGGGACATCTCGGAAATTGCAACTTACCACGGTACCATCTCGTTGCGACGAGGCAGAAACCACATTTGTGGACGAAACTTGCCGAATCAGGGGTTGGGGAAGGGTAGAGGTGGATAATTGTATCGCGCATATATAATCAATTCAAACCATAACAGCTAATCGAAAGGGTATGCGTAGCATGGCCGAAACGCCTTTCCCAAAAATCAAACCATACTCCAAGCTCTCTCTGTAACCCCTGTAACCAACATATCTCATATACAAGCACGCATTCCTTGCTCAAGACAACAGCTCGTCGATATAGGCTCGTTGCTTTGAATCATTGCCCTCTTTCAAGAGTACCGCAAGAACCTCGATTGGGGGATTGAGATTGAGCATGTTAGCACGCCTCCAACGTTTGAGCCGGGCAATGCCAATGCAGGGCTACACAGAGCGGTTAGTCGTCAAGCTCGACGGAGAAAGGAACGGTCGGGAGCTCAGGAAAAGTGCGCAAGGGTAACCACATACCCCGTACTGACTAGAAAGGTCAAAATGCCGTAAGATCTTCTCATGGGTTGTCAGATCACTCTGGTGGACTGTTCCAACGAATTCCCGATTAGCACTCTCAACCCAGACGGCCAGGATCTAGTACCCGTACCTCGAGGCCCTCGTCTTTTCGCTTCTTCTTGCTTCCAGTATTTCGCCAGATCCCTTTCCGTGATATTGCTTGCTTTCTGGTCCTCCTCTGACACCGGCTGTTCGATCTCTGTTCGGGCTTGTTGTCTAACGGCAAGTTCTGCCACATGAGGCTGTGACGGTTCTGTGGGGGTCACTTGTACCTCCTCTGGTTCGGAAGCACTCTCAACGGACGGCTTTTCAGGAAGAGAAGAGACGAGCGGTTCGAGATCCTTTGCTTTTTGAGATCGTGTCGTGGGAGTCGCAGATGGCTTGGTGACTCTAGATTTGGAGCCAAAAGACAGGGTCGACTGGCCGGAGCGGGTGGCGGCAGTGTTGCCTCCTCGACGGCGAGCAGGAGGCATCTTGTAGCTTTAGCTTGCGATTCTGAACCTGTAGATGAAGCACAAATATTGTTATATGTGGTGTGGTTTGAGGCTGCAAGGCACTAGAGACTGGTTATGAAGGTGGAAGACTCGAAGCTTTTGGGTCGGTCTGGGCCAGGGTGTGGGGGAACGATGTCATTGTGTGTGTGTGTGTCGCACATGGCAACCGTCGGCATTCGCCCAAAAGGGTTATATTGGCACATCACCTCCCGTTTGCAAGCATCCCAAAGTTCATATGCTGAACACGAACTATGAAACCAGCAATTCATTCACTTTTGTCCACTGGTCTGTGCTCCGTGAATTGAGGATTCATCTTGCTGATTGATAGGCTCGCTGAAAAGAGATCTTTCCTCCTGTACTGTCTGCATTTTCTGTGCAAGAAAGGCATCCATACTTGCTCGTTCCTCGCGCCTGCAACAAATCTCTCGCATTTGATTTCAATGATGGCTGCGTGATCCAGAGAGAACTTATCCTAGAATACTCCTTGACATGTGGCTTCTCTAAGGCTGTCCCAAAGGCCTCGAAGTGTTCCTACTTAAATCCCCAATCCATCAGCCTTGAAGTGAACCAAGAACTGGAGAATCCAATGCACATCACGCCAAATTCCAATGAGGCCAGACCCCGAATCGTGGGCCGCTCGAAGGATAATTATTTAGGGTAATGCGTGTGTGTTCAAGGCAGGCAAGGTAGTTACTCCTCAGCGGTACTGCTCGGTGGCCTGCGACGCATCTACAAAATAGAGACGCTCTGAGATAAAGTATTATCACGGGTTTTGCATACTCAAGCAGCGATCATTCCAGCCGCGGCACAGCTCGATCAGGGGCTGCAAAGATATCAAGGTAGGACGACCAGTATGACTCAAAAGTGATCCGATAACATCTGCCAAATGCGATGATCGAGATACGTAGGTTGACACAGTGCGACGCTTAAGACAAATGTACATTCCCATATCTCCAATATATCGGATACTGCCAATTTTCTCTTACGATCCTCTCTGCGTCACACTGAGATGGAAATGCTGTTATTGGTCGAGTTGTATATGAACAACATCACCCTCGCCATATACCTCCAAAATTCTCTTCTACCTCCCCCTACTATATTATCTGAGGAAGAGTGCATCACTACGAGGGACCGAGAGTCTAATGCACGAGACAAGGGTGGTCTTAAATCGGCCTGATCGTGGGCTTCCGGCACATGCGATGCTCGAAAGGTTGCCAGTATTACCGTTGCCTACTCGTGTTGCAGTGCAAGGTATTCTCATGGAGCCGCATGAATGGCTCGAGGTTAATAGGCTTGCGGAATCGTGGTATCCCTGATAAGGCTCACGGTTTGCAACAAGCCACTAAGCTCGTGGAATTAACTTCCACGATCAAGTGTCTTGCGATGTCTCGACATGTAGCGCAGTACGAACTATTTAGAGTCGGTTTCGGCTCCTCCTATCTGAGTTCTGAGTGTGGTAGTTGAATTTGGGAGTGGGCTGTAGAGCTCATGGTTGTTGGAAGGATCTCCGAGAATCTTGGCCGTTGTGGCGGCTCGAGGCTATGCAACCGCAGAGTGACGTGGAGTATCGTCCGTTCATCTATTAAAAAGGAAATAATCCATTGTCACTAAGCCCATGTAAGCCACAACGAGGCTGATCCAAAGGAGCGGTTGTACTTGGTCAGGTACAGCTCCTGCTGGAGTCTCAGCCTCGAATAAGGAACGGGACTAATGATAAGAGGTGATAAAACCCCACCGGGAAAGTGCAGTGGAGAGGAAACAATCGACATGCTAATGGAATATTGACGGGTCAATTCAACACCAGTAGAAAAGAAAATGTTTCATGGCTTGTGTTTAGGCTGCTGCCAAAATTGGTAGAGAAGTAGCACCGCAACTGTACGTGCAGTACTGCTCGTATTCTGGCTGCGGATTGATGACGGAAGAAAGTGCCTCGAGAAAGGTGGAGAAAAGAAGAAGAAGAAAAGTGGTTCCGTGAGTGCGGTTGGAACTTGGCTAGCCGCTGCTGCTGCTGCTGTTGCAATTGAACGCTCCTCCGTCCTTCCACACCCCCCATCACCTCTTCTCCCCTCCCCACATTGGCGCCAGTAAACAACTCTCGCTTACTTTGCGATCACTTATCCTCTCCTAGCCGCCACACCTCGCTCCGGTTTCACTCTCCTACAACCTTAACTCGGTGCGCCCGTCCTCGGAGATTAGCAGCAATTCAGTCATCGCACAGCTACCCGCCCTGCCCGCAGTCGAGTCCGAGCTAGTCCTGCATAGCAACGAGGACGGGATACCGCATCTGCGCCCTTCCAAGGCCCGTCCGGCACGCGCAATCTAGCAGGAACGGTGTCCAGATCTGATCTCTATGCAGGGGTCAATTTTGTTTGACACTTCGAGGCCGTATATACACCGCAGAACCCCCCGAGCGCATCCCTCTCAACCGCCGCGTGCCCATGGTGGTGCGGGTGCAGCGCTATGAGCAAGCCCGCCTTCGTGCGAGTATCGGGCCCGCCAAATGGCAATTTCTTGATCGGATATCCTGGCATCTCTGCCACAATGGTCAGTCGGACACTCGGTGCCTCCTCCCCTTCATTTTCTCCGCAGATCGAATTCGATAGCTGACCTATACAAGCCACGTATTGAAGGCAAAGTCGAGATCAGGCCCAGCACTGGCATTTCACTCCCCGTCAGTGTATCCCTCGTTACAATCTCCCTTCATCGTCGCGAGACGATACACCCATCGGCGGATTCCGTGACCAAGAAGCGCCTTGCGCCACCCAGGAAGGAGATCACTGATATCGTGGGCAAGGAGATGCTCCTTTTCCGTTGCCCGGCTGGTCGAGAGTCTGAGGAAGTCATCTCTATGGATCTGCCTTTTGTTCTCTTCATTCCCTTTGGACGAGGGGGAGCAGATGCATCGAGGCGAGTCCCTCCGGCCAGCTTACAACTCCCCAGTCGCACTGCAGAGACGTACTATGAGATTGTGGTAGCGGTTCAACAGGGGCCCTCCGAACAGCGGAAATACTCCTTCCCTGTCCCAATAGCGCGCTACGACACGCTATCTACATTTGGGATGTACAATCGCCCCGAGTCAGCGGAGAGAGTAACGGATCACTTGGTCACACTGGGAATATCCTTGCCGCGGTGGTCTTACGGGCCTCTTGACCCTGTAAGCGTCTATGTCAAGCTTTCCCCAAACCCGGACTGGATTAGCAAAGCCAGAAAAGTCACTATAAACAAGATTACGATTGGCATCGATGAGGAAATTGTATACAATCACGAGGGCGACGAGCCGCAACGGAAGGTCAAGACCTTGACCAAAAGGACAGAAGCAATTGGTGTCAAACTACCCCCTTCTGGCTTTTTGACAAATCTGGGCTTGGTGTTCCCGGCCAAGGATATGCGAGACTCTGAGGGAATACTCCCTCGAAGTAGACCGGGGTTTCCCACTTACGCAGTGAGCGGGTTTACGACGACAGCAAGTCTCTACAAGGTCGAGTACTATTTGACTGTCAAGGTATGGCCAATACTAAGATCCTCTAAAATGGCTTTTGAAACTGTGCTAAGTCTCTGCAGGCTCACTTGGCATCTGCAAGGGATATTGTTATCCGGCAGCCGATCGTCGTTTGCCCCCTGGACCATGCAGGGTGTAAAGAGGAAATGGAGGCTATCGAGCAGGCTGCGCGGGACGCTGTTCATGTGAATCCGGACAATCCCATGCTACCTCTGCCCTCTATCGTGCGACCTAACGATCCAAACGCTCTTCGCCACCTCGGGGTGGCTATAGTCGGAGGCAAGCACAAACCTTTGATCGACTGAGTGGAGAGTATCACTGGTGCATAAGCCATTTCCTCACAACGATTGAACATCATCGACCACCGACTCTGATTCAGTGCCGACTGAAGCATCAGCGTCACATCATCCGGTCAAGCACACATCACGACTTACTCTTCTAATTGTTCTTCTCTTCGATTCAGCATGCCTGCAGATTTTGCAGAGAGCATGGACACGTATTACGAATGCATGGGCGACGGAGTTCTTGTTGCATAAATTTCATGGTCGCTGTATGGATTCATATCGCGGTTGGCCAGGACAAAACAGGGTGTTCAGGTTGACTTTGCTGCGCTTTGGCAGGGGTTGATGGTAGAGAGGATCGCTTCTTGCCTTGTCTCTTTTCTGCGCCCTCTTTTATACAGTCCCATCTAGTGGTGTAAGCTCAATATAATATGTAAGATGTATCTGAAGAGGCTCCTTAAGGTCTTAACAAATGCTATCCATGCTCCAAAACGCAAGCAAATGAAAACACAGGTCCGACTCAAAGAGATGCAGGCACCCACTGCCCGGATAGGCAGATAATAACGATGGTCTTCAACATCGCCATGTTGGTTAGTTTCCCAGTTCCAGAAAGCCCATGGCGATGCTCAACATGTCGGGATCTAGAGCTCTCGACCTGCGCGCTCTGTCATTGTCCATTTCTTTCAAACAGTCTTTCAGAATATTCAAGATATTCTGGAATTGGGGCGACGAAGCACCGAATGTATTTAGTGCATTATTGAGATTTACAGAGATCTAGGGCCACGTAGTGTCAGGACCGAATATGACGGAGTGTGTGAGGTGATCTTTCCAGTCTTACCTGTGCTATGAATTGGTTATAGTCCGTAGGCTCGTCCATGATTGAAATCGGAATGTAGTTTCTTGCTGCTTTGTCTGTCCCTCTGGAGTCTCCCCGCGATGGTCGGGTTTGATAAGCTTTGGGCAGCCAGATAAAAAGTCAAAGAGTCTCGACAATTGCGGGTCTGAGATGCTGCTGGTTTTCTTTTCACAGATCTAGCAATCAAGTAAGCTATAATAACTTGTCCCCGTCATCATTTGGTTAAAGATGCATGTTTGATGTCCGCGCAAACAAAAGGCCGCGGCAGAGTTCTTATCGCCCGTCCGTATCTATCACCGATCCGCCCACCTGCATTTCTTCTCTCCCATCCAACCCCAGCAGCTCGACAGCTATCTCCCCGCAACCAGTCCGGCGCATGCACCTGCGCAACCGGCCCTATCATACACAATGGCGGACACCGACGAAGCGGCGATACATATGCCATCCCAGGATGGGTCAGCACACATCGAAGTCGACCTATCCGACGAGACGCAGGACTTTCGCATGCTGAGCAATATTTCCTTGTGAGTTCGCTCCCTTTTCATGACATTCTTGGTTGGGAAGGGCATTGGAAGAAAGCCCAACTAGGATGCTAATAGAAACAGTCTCTCGGATGGCTCTCAAGCTAGTATACCCAAACGCGGCGAAAAGGACTTTGAACCGAACCCAACGCTCTACCAAGCCGACGTCCTCTCCGCCTCTCGACAGGCGATGCACAACGCCCTTTCCTACCCTCGCATACACCACCCCAAAAACCAGATAGTGGGCGTGTACGCGCCAATTGGTCCCGTCGCCCCTCCGCCAACTACTTCGAATCTCGAGTCTATTACAGAAGAAACTCAACCTACGGAATCTCCGAGCAAAGCGATCGGAAATGTCCACCCAGATGCCTGTGTCTATGTCGCAAACCCGAAGTCCAACCTCTTCAAGACGATGGGACAGGCGGACCGGTGGAACCGGATTTGGCTACTTCCCGAGGAGGCTCTGTTCATGCTGGAGAGAGGGAGTCTGAATATTCATTGGCCTCGTTCGGAGGTGGGATACGACGAGGATGAGCATAGCGTCGAGGACTCGGAGATTCCGATGAGCTTGCAGGCTGCTTATGCGGCGTTTGCGTCTCGGGGTGGGCTGAACAGTGAGAGGTTCTCTGTCTACACGGGCTTGAGGCGCTTAGGGTACACGGTCACCCGGGCTCCGGGCTGGGATGACGAGGCCGAGGAGGCGAGCAGCAATGAGCCTCAGGCTTCAGAGAACATCCGACAGCAAGGTGCGGGGCTAGCAGGGATATATTCGAGGTTCATGAAGTGGCTCTGTCCTCCCAGTTCAAACACGGCATTGGGGCCCGTTGCGGGCGTGGGTTTCCACCGTAGCTATGGTCAGTGGGTGCCTGTATCCAACCGTGCCCCGCTCATTGTACTGAGCTAACTTATACTTATGTCCAGATGATATCTACAGCAAACTCTCGATAATCCCCTGGTATGACCCGACTGCGAATTTGAATCCGGGGTCTCCCGCGCAGGCGCCCTACCGTGTTGTGTTCCATGTCTACAAACCATCCACCCCGTTCAAGAAGTCTGCGCCGCCAGCACCCGATTTCCGCATCGCAGTGGTCAATGCACGTGCGCATACCTCCTTCCCTACCCTATCGCAGCTGGGGGCTCTGCTCGAAAGCACACCCTTGGACCCACCGTCGAGTGAGAAGATGAGCCGCCAGTTGTATATGCGGCTGCGCCACGGGTACCGGAATGTGATCCTGGCCGTCGTGGACGAGGGTGTCGTGAGCTATTTACGGATCTCGGAGGCAGCTTTCGGCAAGGAGAAGCTCTACAAGCAAAAGGCAGTAGCCAACAAGACACAGTACCGGCCGAAGCCGAAGGGGCGATGAGAATCGGATCTGTGTGCAGCCAAGCGGCTCAAATTCACTGCCACACCTACGAATGGCTCGGCTATGTAGCCACCAAGCATATGTCTCCCCTATTTGGAATAGTTCTCTGGACAAAGCCCTGCGATCCACGAATGTACGGATGAGGGCTGGGTAGAGGGGATACAAGGTGAATCTGCCATCATCTTTAGGGCATCCGCCTATGTTGTGAAAAGAACGGATGCAGATGCTCAGATGGCTTTCTCCGTGAGTCACGGGCAGAAGTGAGAAGTGCAGAGGGCGGAGTGAGGTGCGAGCGGCACTGAATGTGCCAGTGTGAAAAATCTCTTGGTATAATATCTAAGATGCCCCTCCGACGCCGATAAATTGTAGACCGAAGACAAACCGGCAGCACAAAAGCTGTCAACTCCTATTTGAACGTACATGAGTAAAAGAATGAAAAATGAAAAAAAAAAAAATAAAGAGAAGAAAACCGTTATCCAGTATCGTTTTCACATGAGATCGTCACACCGTATGTTGTATGCAAGTATGGGGCCGCTGTAGCAGTTCGTCTTTGGTCTGTTAGCTTTCCGTGAAACGGAACGGTGATAACCTCGGAGCTACCGAGTTCTTTGCTCGAACCATTTTACTCTCGCCATATGTGCCTCAATTCGGGACATGAGGAAATATGGTTTATAGGTAAGAAGTCTCTTGGAGATCAAATGGAAAAGCCTACCCTCCCTCAGTCAGCAAGAACGAGAAATGTGGAAAAAAAAAAAAGGATTCCAGCACAACTAACCCAGTTACGCACCCCCGAAACTCCTCATACGCTACCGCAAAACGGCGAGCGAGCGTAGCGTAACGCGGGTAGATGGAGATCAAACATCCAGATAATCCGCGGCCATCAACAGCTCGAGACACAGCTCAGGCGGGATATCCATATCCGGGACGTTGATCTGGGTCTTATTCTTCTCGTTGTAGCACAGGTACTCGCAGACCTTCTCGAGGACGACGCCACTGATGTTCTCGAGGACGCAGCGGCCGGACAGCGCTTCGGAGAACTTGCCTACCGGTTGTTCAGCGTTAGTACGGGGACAGTGGCCAGGCAGGGTGGCTCGGGCGCGGGAGAACGCACTGGAGGGATCGAACATCATGGCTAGGGTCTTGGAGATGCAGGCCGTCGAGCGCGGCAGGACGAACTCGAAGCCGTCGCCCGAGACGAGCGTCACGAACGGCTGTTGCTGTTCTTGGTCTGTTGATGCCATGGTAGTGTGATTGGTGGGGTGGGAGGTATGTGTGTAGCTCCGTAAAATGGTCTGCTAAGGCATGGGAAGGTTCGAAGGCGGCTTATATTGTCATGTGCTGCAGCGCATTTATCGAGAGATGTTCCTTTGTTTCGGGCTGTAAGAGCGAGATATAAGATGAAAGTCTCCGCGGAATGACGGCGTCGGTTGGTCCGTGCGTCGCTTCAAGCTCGGACCGCTTCCGAGGCATACTTTCTTGCTCTTTACCTATTTCATCGATTCGCGAAGATTGTCTTATAGTTGTTGAAAACGACTCTACTTTGATTTCATCTTTATTTGATCGATCAATGAGCAAGACTGCGTAGTTGGGGCATAGAGTCTGACTCGGTTCGAAGGGTAATCTTCAGCGGGTTACTGCTTTTGTTTCGCCCAATTCATCAGGACCAATGCTAAGTAACGATCTTATAGTATCACTATACCGCACTCTGCCAACAGGTCAAGTGCAATTGAGACCTGAGTTGCGAAAGGAAGGCCGGAGAGCCACAGCTTCCCGAACGATCATGTATCCAAAGCACGCACTGCGCCTTTGCGCAGCATCCAGCAGAATATCTCAATCAGGAGTACCAGCACGACTCCCCTCTGCCCACGTCCTAAACCCAGTCTCCATCTCCGCTACAACACGAACCAAGAGACAGGCATACTCGGCCATCTCCGGGGATGCCAGTCCCCTAACATTCACCTTATCAAACCGCCTCGCAGGCCGCTCCTGCATGATCACGGGGGGAACCTCGGGCATCGGCTTCGCGATCGCCGAACGCTTCCTGCAAGAAGGCATCGACCAAGTGATCCTGGTCGGACGGTCCTACGAGCGCCTGGTCAAAGCAGCCTCCAAACTCGAGAGTCCATCCAGCCCCTCAGAAGCACCAAACCTCTCGCTCACCGCTGCCCCAGAGCACGAGCTAATCCGCTCCTCCCACCGCATCAGCCTCCTAGTAGGCGACGTATCCAACGCAGGGACCTGGACCCGCGAACTAGAGAAAGCAATCGTAAGACCACTCACCACCCCCCCTCCCGCGCTTCAAGTCCCCCAAGACACAACTCGTCCATACACCCCAGAACTAACCCCCAACAAAGCAAACAACCAACCCAACCCACCTGATCAACGCAGCGGGCCTCTCCATCTCAAGCATCCTCCCGAAATCCGAACCAGCAGATATCTCCCGCATCCTAGACACGAACCTCCAAGGCGCGATCCTCACGACGCGCGCCTTCCTGCGCGCCACGATCCGCAACCACATGAAGCAGAAGCAGAAGCAGCAGCAACGCCCCAGTAGCTCCCCTGACAGCACCGCAGAACCAAACCACCAGCACCAACACCAGCTGCAGCCGCCGACCTCGAAAAGCATCATCAACGTCGCGTCCCTGCTGGCGCACAAGGGTGGCACGGGCGCCGTCGCCTATGCCGCCTCCAAGGCGGGACTCCTGGGATTGACCCGGTCCGTGGCGGTGGAGACGGCGGCGTCGATGCGCGGGGTGCTTGTGCGGTCGAATGCTATTGTGCCTGGGTATGTGGAGACGCCGATGATCGCGGGTGAGTTTCTTTTCCCTTGGGGCTTTTTGATAAGGAGATGAGATGAGAGGATCGAAGTGTCTCGTTTCCGTCTTGGGGCGTGAATTCAGGTGCACGATTGGAATGAATTGAGCTAATGTTTGTTTGTCGGGGCAGATTTCAGCGAGGGGGAAACTACCCGGTTGAAGCAGAGTATCCCGCTGGGCCGGTTCGGGTTACCCCGTGAGGTGGCGGATGCGGCAGTGTTTCTGGCGCTGAATGAGTATGCGAATAATTGTGTGCTGAATCTGGATGGCGGGTTGAGTGCGGTTTGATACCAGCGGGTGGATTTGTAGGGGGTTGGATTATATGGCGTTTGTGGGTTAGCTACCTAGTCTTGGGGTCATATATACTATCGCATCTGGCATATAATAATGTACTGTAGTGGCTACGTTGGCTCTCTATGTGGTGAAAGTGTAGGTGCTTGGTATCATAGTGTCATTGATATTGAATTTCACTTTATTCATTCATCCAGATAGGTCAAGGCAGAAGATAGTGGTACATGCATCGAAGTGGAGACACATCATGCCAATCGAGCGCCAGTAGTCTAAGTTCAAAAGGAAACACATTACCGTGCGATGTGATATGGCAGACAGATGGCAGAACAGAGAATGCCTTAAATGGCCGACATATCTGGTATCGTTCAATCATCATCAATCAGAATTGCACCACCGGTTCCCTCGTCTAGAACGATAGGATTTGCCCCGTCCCCGTTGGCTTCGGAGATGCCGGCCACCCGCTTGGCGCGGTCGTCTCCATTGCTCAGCCCTGCTTCGTCCGCGCTACGCTTCCGCTTTGCGACTGATGGATCCGACGGCACGCCATTGACCTGCTCGGGGACTGCGGGAGTCGGTGTCTTTGGTTTCCGCGGAATGTCGGGAATGGTTTCGATAGAAATAGGTTGCGGCTTGTCGCTCGCGCCGTTCTGGTCGGGAGGCTCGGCTGCTAGCACCACGAGCTCGAGATTGACGCGTGGCTCGTCGTCATCGTCAATGACGGTAATGAAGCTCTCATTCTTCACGCCCAGGTCCAACAGTTTCTTTGGCAGGTTATCCTCCAGGTCAGGGTCGTAGATGATACCGGACTCCGTTGTGAGCGAGAACTCTTCGCCGTATCCCAGTTGCAGGCGAAGAACCTGTTCAACTAGGTCGTTGACAGTTGCACGCTTAGGGTCGATCTTGAGACGAGCATGTGCGACTGAGCAGATCGGGCAATTCGGGTTGGGAGGTTGTAAAGAATCGGAGTTGATGGCCCGCGCACCCGACCGCTCAAGAAAAACCATCTTCGCTTGGTTGTATTCGCCTTTCATTACCTTGAAGGCTTGCAGCACACACAGACCAGCGGTCATGGCATTTGTTGTGGCGATTGCGGGAATGATGTTACCTGCCATTTGCTTGGTATCGAACTTGGACTTAGGGTCGATTCTGAAGATCTTCGCACGCAGGTTTGCTGTTGCTGTGACAAAGTCTAACGTATCATCGTCGTCCTTGTCAAACACCAGGATCGGCTTAACGTCGCTCTTTGTAGCCTCTTGCAACGTCTTGAGGCGCTTGCTTAATCGATCCAAGCTGTCCTTGAAGACGGCAAAGTCTTCAGCTGTAGACCAGACCTTTTGGTCATTGCTTGAGACCGTGGTCGAAACGTCAGCCGACTCCTCGTTGAGTTTTTCATAATTCAGAGGCTCTGGCGGCTCGCGGTTCTTCCACATATCGTCCATTCCACGTAGGCGCTCGATATCCTCAGTGAAAACCTTGTCAAAGACCTTCTTGGCGAACTCATCAGAGCCCATCGATTGGCGAATCTCCTTGAGAGCCTGTGCTTCCCGGCGAAGATTTTCGATCTCCGCAGCTGTCCCCAAGTTAGACCGTGAACGGCTATGTCGGACTTGACGTGGGCAATACTCACAGTTCTCTGCATCTTCTGAATGATCAAACTCACTAGAATCCTCCTCGCTGATACCGAACAACTCCCTACAGACAGTTAGCATGGCTCAAAGAAGCTATTGTTTAGCATTTCCGTAAGCGACTTACGGTAAGAGGTAGCTCTTGGCCCAGACAATGCAGTGAATCGGTTGGCTGGGGGTACTGCGAATGGTACAAACGGGGAAGGACTTCGGAACCTCTTTCGGAGTGCAGTCGTAGCACTCGGTCAAGCCCTGCCAGTCATCAGTACCATGCGCGATCGACAAGCAACCTCGGGAAGCTCACCTTCTTAATGACTTGCACTTGACCGTTGAATCCAGTTGTTCCACTCTCGATCAACGGCACGTTTGCTGCCAAGCACATGCGATTCACATGACGACGAGCCTCGAGGTTGTCTAGCGCATTGAAAACGACGTCGAAAGTGGCAAACCAGTCCACGTTGAATTGGCTGTCTTTGATATTGGCATGGTAGGCTTCGAGCTTGGCACTTGGTTGGAATTTGTGTGCGACCTCCTTTGCAACCTATTTGTAGCGACATCATTTGTTAGACATGTGTTACAAGGGAGGTCAAGAGCGGGTTGACGACAGCCGGGCCGCGCGGGGAGAACACATTCAAGGTCAGAGTGACGCACCAGTGCTTTGGATTTCTTGATGTGTTCGAAACGGAAAAGGAACTGACGGTTCAAGTTGCTAAGATCGATTGTATCGAGATCAATGATGTGGATTTCGCCAAAGCCGGAGAGGAGGAGGTTCTTCAGTAGCTCGCAGCCAATGCCGCCAGCGCCGACGAGGAGCACACGCGACTAGACGAACGGTGGTGTATTAGCTACTATGGTCACAAACAGGGGCCAGTGTACATTAGGGCAACAGATTAGAAGCAATTTGGAGTACCTCTTTGATACGTCGGGAGAGAGTGCCCAGTGATCGCTTGTGATAAGTGTCGCGCGCCATGATTGCGGTTGCGGTTGCGGATGCGGTTGCGGCGAACGGAGGAAAGCCGAAACGGAGGATGTCGTTCTTAGTATGAAAGATAAGGAAGCATCGCCGGTGAACAACTCGGCGCGGACGAAGAAGAAGGAGAAGGAGTTGAAGCGAAAAGAGTGGTCGATTTGAAGTGGAGGAGGAAGGTAGTCGAGAAGGGAGAGCCAAGCGGAGAAAGCAAGTGAAGGGTAGAAGAAGGGACGGTGTTTAAAGTGAGTAAGTGAGGTCAGGGCCGGGAATGGTTTGGATTGCAGATGGAAATGACGGCAACTCTTCCGACCCTCACTCACTCTTCATTCATCCCACCCTCAACTCAACTTACCCTTCACTTCACTTCCACACCCTCCCCTTCTATTATACCCCTATCGCATCGCCTGAATGGGCATGAAACGGGGGAGCGGAGCGAGAAAAATGTCTATGCAAGCTGAGCAATTGTTTGACTGCCTTTCGGCGGAAAGCAACGAACCATGCCCGGCCAAGCGTAGAAGGTGGCGGTCCGTGATCCGATCGCCCTTCCCTGTTTGTCGCACCAACACGAGGCTGACCTGGAGAGGAACACGCTACCTGGAACTCGAAAGGTACTTTTGCTTCCTGATTGACTTCCTCTCGGGAAGTGATCGTTCATACCCCCAAGTCTGTGGACTAGCAGAAAGCCAAGCTGCTGCATCCCCCCGGCCGCATTGTGAGACCTCACATTCTATCTCTGAATCTAGGCCCATCCCGCATAAGGCCGGATAAACGGAGTATTTTACTCGTACATGGGAAGACCATCGCATTGCCAGGTGGTGTTGATTCATCCTCTTGCCGTCACTGATCACCATGCATCAGCATCCGCAAACTGGAAGCTTCCCAGGCTTGCGCAGTTCGCCCCCGCCTACCTTTGATGCTTCTCGATGACAGCGATGCTAGATGCCAGGTCTAGAACATCCTCCATGCTAAGCTGTGGCCCAGCTCCAGAGCTGAATAGATCTGACTTATGTTTGAGGACACTATGGATCGCTCCGGACCCCAGGACCCCGGCTGGGTTCGCTCCCGATTTTACCTTTCCGGCGAAGCTCTTGCACATGGAAGCTCAATGCTAATAGTAGTAGCCTGTCTCTACATCGTACAAGTCTTGCTCTGTAGATTGAGATGCGTTACCCAGAATCCGCGCCAAATGCTTGTCTATTCTTCTGTAACACTATGTTTCAGATGGGTATAGGCACCGGCCAATCACACAGCTAATGGTCCAAGACAGTTTCTTAGCTTTACGACCAGCATCCGATCTTATCTCCAGTTGTGTTTCTCCCCTCAAAAAAGGAAAGAAAGAAGGAAGACTCCTGTATCGGCTTATATAAGCGTGCCTTATCGCCCCCTCGGAAAAGTGGCCAGGAATTCCCGATAAGCGATAGGGATGGGATATCACAACTGCAAAAAAATATTTGGGATCTCCACAAGGGGCTGCCTGTGCACTTGGCCAGAGCATTTGTCTTAGCAGCACTGGATTTTCATGAGAAGACTCTCTGGCCCATCGATCTCACTGGATTTGACCTCTTCAGCACTTCACAACTCTCTTTGGATCGGCTCGATACCCGATCACCACAGTCTTTGGGTCAACCACAAACCGTCCATTGTCGGTGCCTGTCTTCCGCGGAGTAAACCTCTTCCTTCAATTGTTCGCCAATATTTCGCCCACCGACATTCTTTCTCTTCGTTTGTTCCTCCCCAGAACCTCACCCATCATCTAAGACGTCCGGCAGTCATCCCCAGACTCTCTCCGACATCGTTCGTCGGCGCTCCCTCCCGACACCCTCAGTTCTATATCAATTCCACTGAGCAGACCCACTCAGCCGCCATGTCCGACGACGAAGCCGATCCCGAGTTGGTTGCTCTCCTTCGCAAAACTCTAGGCCTGGGAGGATCGCCAGACCCACACACAGCCGAGACCAAGGTCCTGCAGAACGCGCAGTATATCTTCGACAATGCCATCGACGTTGCCCTGAATTCGGCCAAGACGAAGGAAGCCGCCGAGACTATCTGGCAGTTGATGCAGAAGAAGGAGTACTCAACGCAGACCTGGGCCGCGCATGAGTTACACCCCAAGACCAAGGACGAGAGCACCGTGGACTTTATCTTCACCATGGACCTTCTCAATTTCAGTTTCTGGTCGGAATTGCCGAGCGACAAGCGCTTTTCGATCGAGTATCGGGGTAAGAAGTGGACAGGATATTGGAGCCTAGTGGCTGCGCTACAACGGGCTTTGGACGAGGGTAGGTTTTACGGCTCAATAATTAACTCTGCCGCATGCTGACCGCTGCAGATATCCCCATCACCAGTCCGGAGTTCTGGGCCAACGAGGAAGAATGCACCGAGGAGGTTATCAAGCATGTGTTCCGATCTGCCACCGAGGAGGAGATTCCGCTACTTCAGGAACGCCTGCAGTGCTTACGCGAGGCTGGTCGCGTGCTGTGCAGGGTATGTGTACAGTCCGGAGGCCTGTGTGGCAGTGTTGTGGTGATACTAACGTGTTCTACCTCTACCCAGGAATACGAAGGCAGCTTCCTGAACTGCATCTACAGCGCCAATTACTCGGCCGCGGCTCTTGTGAACCTTGTCACAGAAGGGTTCGCCTGCTTCAGGGATGAGACCACGTTCAATGGTCGCCGAGTACGGATCTACAAGCGGGCCCAGATCCTGGTCGCGGACCTGTGGGCGTGTTTCAATGGCGAGGGGTTCGGCGAGTTTCACGACATTGACACCATTACCATGTTCGCAGGTCAGCTTTCATCGAACCTACAACCTCACCGTTTGATCACACTAACCATGTTCATTGCAGACTACCGCATCCCCCAGATGCTCCACCAGCTCGGCTGCCTGATGTACTCACCCCCGCTAGAGAACCACATCCGCGACCTCAAGCTCATCCCCAGCGGCTCGAACTGGGAAACCGAGCTCCGCGGCGCCAGTATCTGGTGCGTCGAGCTTATCAAGCGCGAGATCGAGCGCCGCCACCCCGAAGTTAAAACGAAACCCATCCGAAAACCCGAGCAGAACCCAGCCGCAGACCAAAAAGACAACACAGTTCCCCAAGAACAGGCACAGCAGAGCTATTTCGCCGAAACGGCCCCGAACAAGGGCGGGTTCCAGGAAATATCGGCGAGGGGTATCAACGCCATCCTGATCGATTTCTTTCTGTATGACACCATGAAGGAGTTGGAGAAGGACGGCCAAGAGTCCATCCCGCATCATCGCACCCGGAGTATCTGGTACTAGAGAAAGAAACTGTTTGACTTGCTTTATTTCTTGTGCGGCACCTGTATAATACACTATACCCCTATTTATTGTTGCTGTTGCTGTTGTTGTTACTCTTATACCGGTTCTTGGTGGAGTTGTTGCCTCTCTTAGCGGGTAGTTAGGTGTCGCACTGTCCTCGCTGAGATGGATGCATTAATACCATGGTCAGCGTTGGGTTGCTGTTCAGTGTGCTGATTGTGGATGGTATCGGGGAGTCGTATCCTTAGATTCATAAAGAGACTCGTTCAATACATTAGCTCTTACAGAGGTCTTCATTCTCCAGCCAGAGCAAGCCTGCAAGCAACACTGATCTCCATGGGTATCATATTCTCACAATGAATCGACTAATCATACATCCTACCATTGTAAACGAGCAAAGAGCTCACGCCGCCAGCGCAGCCGCTTTCTCAATCTGCTCCACGCGGGCCATGATATCCGCCTTCCAGAGCAAATAATCCTCCCTGCGGTCCTCACTCAGCCAATCGACGCGATCCTGCATCATAGTCCCGAGACCAGGAAGCAGGCCGCCGGATGTCGCACCAGCACCCAGCTCCGAACGAATACGCAACCTCTTCCGCGCCTGAGCACCACCACCTCCTCCTCCTCCATCACCATCTCCAGCCTCCTCGCCCTCCGCATCCGACATAAACTCCGCATCGCCATCCCACTCCCCGGCTCGCGGGATATTCTCAAACCACTCCCTCCCCTGCGCCCAACCCTGCTCCATGATCACAGCAATCCACTGATCGACATCCTCGCGGTGTCTCCGCTCGGTAGCCGGTAAACCCAGACTCACGAGCGCAGTCTGCCGCATCTCCGTGAACGTCTTCTTATCCATGACCTTCGCGTCGTCCGCCGCCCCGGAGCCAGACCCAGCCTGGCCGCCCCCCTCATCCTCAGCAGGCTGCCGCCTCCTAGCAAGAACAAGGAAATACACAGCGACGACCAGCGCATGCACAAGCTCCCTATATTCCTCGTCCGCCTCGCCATCCCCGCGGACCGTGAGAATCGGCTCCAAAAACTCGAGCAACTCGTCATCATCGTCATCTTCCGAATCTTCCCCGCGTTTAGTGGCCGTCACCTCGGAAACGAAGAATAGGATCGAGGACACGCCCGCGAAGATGTGCGGCGGCAAGGTGCGTGAGATCGGGGGCCGCGACCAGGTGCTCATTCGCGGGGCCGGCGTGGAAAGTGTCTTACAGACTGTGCGGATGGAGGTCATGATCCAGTTCGGGGCGTCCGGGATCTTGGTTGAGGTGGAGAGGCCATACGTGCGAGCAGCGGCGGTGGTGGTGGGTTTGCGGGGGGTGGGGGTTGGTTTCGTGGGAGTGTCGTTCGGGGGTAGGGGTCGTTTCAATGGGGTGGATTGCGTGGGCGTGTTTGTTAGGTTACCTGCTGCGGTTGCGGTTGCGGGGGTCCTGGAGGGCGTTTGCGCGGTTGTTCGTCGCGCCGCCGCGGCTTTCGTTGGCGTGGAGGGCGTGGAACGCGCTCGGGACGGTGTACCTGGTGCGGAGCTGCCGCCGGAGGAGAGGGATCGGTCTAGGAAGGCGTACAGTTTCTTGTAGGCTCGCGGCGGGCAGGGCGGGTGGCCGAGGAGCGAGGGTAGTTTGAGCGCGCGGGTTAGTCTGTGATGCGGTCGTTAGTCAGGTTGGGATATGAGCTTGCGGATTGTCTGTAGGTGCGTACCTCCTGCAAGCTATCTCCGCGCATGCGTAGGGCCGCGCGATCTCTTCTTCGGGCTTCAGGCTCGCCGAGAAGCTGCGCGACTGCGCGACAAGCGAGATGGCGAGACTGAGCAGATCCGGCGGGAGGTCCTGTGCATGAGTCGGCAGCAGGGTAGCCAGCGCCTGCTCCACCGGTCTGTTGTTCATGTTGGTTGCTGGCGCAAGTATGAGATGAAGCAGATAGCTGGATGCTGGTGGCGCGATTGCCGTAGGGGGGGGAAGAGCTGGCCAATGGGTTCAATGTGATAGCAACAGGTATACTCCAGTAGTAGCATATACCTGAACACTCAAGATCCCCTCTACCGAAGAAGGTGATTTTGTAAGAGCTTTAGACCGACGAGAGGAGTGCTGGATCAAGTATCATGGCTATCATGTGACCGGCAGATTGGCTCTGCCGCCTTGCGGTTTCTGCCACCGCCTAAAACGAACAGTTTCCTGGAATGTTTTTCCGGCGCTGTTCGGTCTTAAAATCCGCTTATTTCCGCGCTTTTCCGTAGTTTTCGTTGCGAGGTTCACTAGTTTCTGCCGTCGAAAGCGGTCAATCAGGTGAACTACCGCCTTTAATGGACTGGATGGTTCTCAGGCTCCAGGCTGGTCCTACTGTTGCAGGCGATTTGCGCCGGGCCGATCGCCGATAACCACTTCCGATAGAGCAGCTGTCAGGTTCCTCTACTGTACTATACCTATCCTCCGCTCAACCGACACAGACACGACACAGACACCATGTCTGTCACGGTATGCCATCTAATTCTGTAATTGACTCGTCAACTGCACGAGCACTAACAAGACCAGCTCCACACCACACACGGCGACCTCAAGGTCGAGCTATTCTGCGAAGCGGTCCCCAAAACCGCAGAGGTACGCCAGACACTCAGTTCAGGCCCTCACCCAACCCAACCAACACACCCAAACTAACCCCAGGGGCGAAAAAACAGAACTTCCTCGCCCTCAGCGCCAGCGGCGCCTACAACAACACGCCCTTCCACCGCCTAATACCCGGCTTCATGATCCAAGGCGGCGACATCTCGCTCACGCAAACGGGGCCCACAAACCCAGACACGAAACGACCATACCTCCCAATCGACGGACCGATCCCAAAAGGTGGAACGTCAATCCACCACCCCTCGGCCCTGAACCAGGAGATCCATTTGCCAGCGCTGAAGCACCACACGCGCGGGATGCTGTCGATGGCGGCGCGGCCGGTCAAGGACCGCACGGCGCCGGGGGCGCAGGGCGCGACCGGCGCGACCATCAACGGGAGCCAGTTCTTTGTGACATTCGCGGCGGCGCCGCATCTGGATGGCGCGAGTACTGTGTTCGGGAAGGTGCTGAATTTGACGGCGCAGGATGAGGGCGGGGATGTGTTGACGAGGTTGGAGCAGGCGAAGGCGAAGATTGATAAGAAGGGACGGGTCGTGCAGCCTGGGCCTGGGGAGGAGAAGGAGGGCGAGTGGGAGGCTTTGGCCATCAAGTCTGTTACTATTCATGCTAATCCGTTTGCGCGGTAATTTGCTTTATTTTGTCGGACGGATGTTGTCTGGTGGTTCTGGTGGCGAGGGTAGCGGGGTTTCATCTTGGGGTTACTGGGGTGGCCTTGCTGAAAGCGACGTCGTTGAGCTCACGGCGTGAGATACCAGTGACATTCGCTCGGATTGGGTTGGGTTGAAGCCCGGCCGGTTGTGAGTATGTCATGCCCCCTCTCCTGGAGGATAAGATCGTGCACTCATCCGATACGGCAACGCACAAATTGCGATATCCGCGTCATTCAGAGACCATGTCTACCTGCTTGGCTTGCCCGAGGCTGCACAGATGCAGCTGTAGCTGATCTCATCATACCACGCCTCCCAGTGGTTTCCAGGTCACTGCAGAATACAGGTCTGCCATACAACCAGGATCCGGGAGCAACGGAGAGGGCTTCCGGTGACCTGCACATCAACACAGCCAACGCCTGAAACACGGCCTCAAGCTATACTCTACTACAGCCAGTGCTACACAACGCAAAGAAAGAGGATAAGTAGATATCGAGAATGTTATATCATCTATTTTCATGGCAAACTTTTGTATATGCACAACCAGAAAGAAAAAGGCGCTCCACAACCACACCGTATAACAATGCTCATTCTCGGATATCTTGCAGGAATAAAAAAAAAAAAAAAAAACTGGTCAAGACAACACCGTAAATGGATCATGGGCATCGTGAAACCAAGAAAAGGTCATCATCAATCAACGAGAAGAAAAATAAAAAGAGAAAGGTCTATGGGTATAGAGACCGGCTTCACTGCTGCTCAGCGGGCTTCTCCTCAGCCTCGTAACCCTCGGTCTTCATGTCCTTCAGTCCGAGCTCTTCCTCCTCCTCGTCAGTACGAGTGTACTCCTCCGTAGTGATCTGCTGGTCAACGGCGGGGGCGCACAGGTCCTGGACGTAGCTGTTGGCCATGGGATCCTCGAGGGTGATGACGAACTTCATCTCGCCGCTGATAGCCGCGTCGAGACGCTTGAAGAAGCGCTCCCACTTCTCCTTGTCGTCGGAGGCCATACTGTCACCGGCGCTGGTGTCGGCGAAATCGAAGATCTGGCCGTGCAGCTGGTCGCGGATCTCGGTCAAAAGACCCTCGACGGTGGTGAACCGGCCACCGAGCGTACCGGGCTCGACGCGGACTTCGAGCTCGTTGCTGTACAGGGCGCAAGTATCGGACTTGAGGATGTCACGAGAGAGATCGACTTCGTTATCGACGCGGAGGGTGATGCGCTTGCCCTTGTCGGGCACACTGCCGCCGGTCTTTACTTCGCTCGACTTGTAACCGCAGTGATCGCAGACCGTAGCCCACACGATGACCTCCTTGAAGCTATATACCATGTCAGTAGCTGCCTAGTTGCTCTTAGGGGGTACAGTAGAACTTACTAGGGGATATCGATCTTCTTCATATTCACGAAGCAGTCCTTGGAGCAAGCCGGGCATTCGGAGGGCAAGGAGTACACCTTGCCGGCAATGATCTCTTCGTCGTCGTCCTGCTCGGGCTGAGCCTCGCCCTCGTTCTTCGCAGCGTTGGGGTCACCAGCGATACCGAGCTCCTCGTTCTGTTCGTGGGTGCGCAGGTAGTCACGGCGGCGGTACTTGTGGCCGGAGTCCTGGGGGGTGGGGGCGATCCAGGAGTTGCCGGTGGGATCGTCGAGGGAGATGGTGAAGGGGAAGCCCTGGCGGTCGAGGATCTTCTGAAGCTTGTCGATGATGGGCACCAGGGCATCGTGCAGCTCGGGTGCCTGCTCCTTGCGCAAGTCCTGCTCGCTCGACAGAGACTCGTGGATCTTCTGGATGACACCCTCAACGGTGGTCAACTGACCTTCACCCTTGGGCATCTCAATGCCGAGGGACTCGACCTTGAAGACGGAGACGTCGCTGCGGATAACCTGACGCTGCATGTCGGTCTCATCCTCGACGTCGAGCGTGTACTTCGCGCCCTTCTCTTGGATTTGCGATGCGGACTTTATCGAGTTGTTCTTGAAGTGGCAGTGGTCACATTCGAAAGACTCGAGGATGATGTCGCGGAAGTAAGGCACACGGAGGAGTAAGAATCTCGTGGTTCCCTGCAAACCGGCGCATTAGTACTCCTGTATAGATTCTAGACATAGATATCGTAGCACATACGTTCTCGTGGCAGTTCATGCAAAGACTTTCCACTGACATCATGTTAGTGTCCAAGTTGCGCTCGACGAGGTCGCCGGGCTTTTGGAAAGCCACCTGCTCGCCGTCTGCAGACATTATGAAGAGGTGATGAGGTCTAAAAAGTGTACAAAGGGTATCTTGAAGAAACGACAATGTCTAATCGCAAAAGTTGACTCCCAAGTGGGATCCGTTAGAGAATGTATAAGTTTATAATCACCAGAGGAAATTTTAGCCAGCGTCGGCGGGAACGTTCCTTTTCCTTCCACTCGATCTCCATTGCAAGTGGCGGGGCAGTAATTTTTTGGAGGGGCAGCGGAGGAATTAGTCAGCCCGCCCACTTCGGGCATGGACCCCCTGAATGCCTGAGGCCTCATGGCAGTAAAGTTGCGATAGACCTAAGTATTCATAGTCGGCCACTTGCACTACTGGGAGGGTTGATTTCATGCGATTTTCGACTTTGATATGAAAATCAGTCGGATTTTCTGACACCCGTCTGCGGCCAGCCCCGAGCCATGCACAGTACAATCTTGATTGGCCATGGTCGTGCAGGAAGGAGGAAAGCTAACAAAATCCCAATCTTGAGACGGCCACTTCACGGCGGGGATAGTCGAGCTTCCCCTCCGCGCTCCGTGATCTCGTTCTGGGCCCCTGTTTCTCTTCTTCATTGGATAAAGAGAACAGACCTTTATCAGGTGGTGCAGACCGACCCCATGTCGTTCCTTCAAGTCTCCGTAGATGCGGGGAAGACCTACTATGCCCGAGGTTGCTGCAGGGATGCTTGCCAATCATTCCCTGCAACAACCCCGGTCACAAAGGCAAAGATTCGAGTCAGGCATTGATTTCATTGGTGATAACCGTACATGAACGAGAAACACGCAGGCAGCACAGGTCTCCTACCAGATTAGGAACTGCGAAACCCCCTCTCGCAATGGGCGGTGGAGCGGGGTCGCCAGGCATCCTCGGTATGTCCTGGTCGATGGAATTTCTGCAACAGATTTCGCCGAAGAACTGCCTCAAATGGGGGTAAAGAGTGACATTCGATCTGTCACGATAAGATGTTTGCTTGGGTGATGCTTTCGAACAGTAGTCTGCAGATACTAACGCGCGGTCTTTTGATATACCAGTTTGCCCACCAATGTCGACGCTGGATGATGCTAGGACTTTTCTTCCTGGGTGAATGTGCATGATCGTCCACTATGCTAATGGTGAATTGAGTTCATTAGTAGCTGCTGCAAAGAGTGCATCCTTGACATTTTCATCACGTGTAGATGAGGAGCAGCAGCTATAAAGAAAGCAGCACGTACCCCTCTTGCGCGTTAGAATGAGCCAAACTCTTCTCCTTCGCTAGTCATTTCAACCCTGTATATTCGACGAAACCATCGCACTTACACAATGACCATCCGGACCAACCCGATCCCAAAGCAACAACGCGCTGCGGTTCGCAGCGGGTCAGGCGAGACAGCCACTACCAGCATTGAGACCGTCCCTGTGGAACTCCCGGGACCAGGGCAAATCTTGGTCCGGATTACCTGGACCGGAGTTTGTGGTTCCGACAAGTCTCTCCTTCAAGATGAATGGCAGGGTTTCGGTGTCGCAATGAAATCTCAGGCCAACGGGATCGCAGGCCATGAGGGTGTTGGCGCTGTCGTGGCGATTGGCGAAGGGATGGAGAGTCGTTGGAACATCGGAGACCGCGCTGGGATCAAGTGGATCGCGAAGACGTGCGGCGAGTGCGAGTTCTGCTTGAGCGGGGTGGATGAAGTAAACTGCATCAGACAGATCAACAGCGGCTTTACTACCCCAGGGACCTTCCAGGAATACTGCCTTACGGATGGACGATATGCCTCCAAGATCCCAGACGGGGTTTCGGACGAAGAGGCGGGACCTATCATGTGCGGAGGAGTGACTGCCTATGTTGCCTGCAAACGGTAAATGCTTATTGGCCCTTATCTGAGATTGTCGAGGGATGCTGACAGTGTGCCTGCGATAGTTCCAACGTCAAGGCTGGCCAGTGGATTGTACTCCCCGGAGCTGGTGGTGGCCTGGGCCATCTGGCGATCCAATATGCACGGGCGATGGGTATGAGAGTTATCGCCATCGATGGAGGGGATGACAAACGAGAGCTGTGTCATAAACTCGGGGCTGAGGTGTACATTGACTTCCTCACGACAACAGATATCACTGCTGAGATCAGAAAGATCACGACGTATGGAGCGCATGGGGTGATTGTGACGGCAGCGACTAGGGCCGTTTATACGGCGGCACCCACATACCTCCGTCCGAGTGGCACGCTGGTGGCTGTCGGTCTGCCAGCAGATCCAACTGTTCTGGCGGGAGCTCCTCCCATGCTGTTGTCTCTTAAACGACTGAACATTGTTGGTACTGTGACAGGGAATTTGAAGGACGTCGAAGAGGCGCTGGATTTCACCGCACGAAATGTGGTTCACGTAAGAAACCTTTCCTCGAATCTCGAAGCAGTCCGGCTAACAGCAGATAGCCTGTTTTGTCTAAGGGAAAGCTTGAAGATCTCAACTCGTGGGTCGAGAAAATGAAGAAAGGTCAAGTGGCTGGGCGCGCGGTGCTTCAGGTCGCAAACTAGTCCCTGGCAACCTTGGGGGAATCGGGTTACCTTGGCAGTCTTTCGTCCTCGACATTGCTCAGTACCCTAGTCTACCTGAACATGAATTCACAAATGTAATGTAAATACTTTTGAAGAGCAAAAGAGTATTCAATTATTTTCAATGGCCTAGCCGCCCGGTAAATGTTTCCGAAAAGGGCCTCAAAAGTATTATACAGTCGTGTTGAAGCGATCCTCCTCGTCGCCAGCCTTTGTATAAGTTTCCCAAGAGTCCATCTGTTCCTGCTCGGCCTCACCCAGCGCAATGTTCTCCCGTTGAATCACGTCTTCTTCCGTCTCCATGGGAGCAGCAGCGGGGGTTTCTTCTCCGGTAGCCTCCTCAAGCGCAGGAGTCACTGGAGTCGAGGATTCGGTCTCCGCTGAGCGCTTGTGCGTAGTGTTCACCAGCGGGGTGTTGTCGTTGAACAGACGCTGAAGCATCGCGCGGCGATCCTCTTTGGGAAGCATCAGGTTGACAGAGTACATCGAGCGCCAAAGGGGAAGGGCCATGTTCTCACTAGTTCTTGGTTAGCCTTCTTATGATATAGAGCAAATGGAACCATTCTTCTGTACGTACGTGAAACCTTCTTGACCGGGGGCAGGCCGGATGTAAAGGATACTGCATCCCATGGGGATGTCCCGAACGCGCTCTCCGATCTCCCCGAGTTCCTTCCAGCCATCTTGGTCAACCTTCGGGAACATCTCCACGAGAAGGCTCCGCAGAGTCTCCTTCTGTGTCAGGGTGACCGCCCGAGCAGGGCCAAGCCAAGGCTCGAGCATCCTCAGGCCATCGGTCTGCACTCTCCAGCGACATACGCCTTCACGTTGCACGTCCTGTTTCACAAACATCTTGACACCGCAGTGCACGAACTTCATACCAGCTCCCTCATTTGAGCTCAGGATATCGCGAGCCAGGGCGCTAGTGTAGTAGATGGTTCTCGTCGGGTTGGCCTCAGCGTTGCGGACCATGAAGCGGTCCCGGGGGAACCGCTTGGAAATCTGGTAGAATTCATAGATCGGGTCGAGCTCGGTGTGGTTAGGATCCAAGTACTTGAACGGTTCCTCAACCGGTTGGCCATTCCTCCGCTTCTGAGGAGCCTGAGGCTTCGAGTCGGTCGAAGCCTGTGTGGTTTCCGCGGGAGCCGGAGTGGCATCGGAAGTCTCAACCTCGGCGACGGCAGGTGCAGGAGGGTGGATAGGACGGTCACCCACGACAACCTCAGCGCCATTCTCAAGCTTGGTCCGCTTAGCAGGGAGCCCATCTTCAAGACTGTCCGCATCACGCTTAGCGGCAGATGGCTCGGTGATGGCCGAATAAGGCAGATTGTGTGTAGCCTCGGCAACGGTCGCGTTCTTCTCCGCCTCCAGATCCGCCTCCTTGTCGTGAGCGACGAGGTCATCCAAAGCATCGATCTTCCCCAAAGGTTCTCCGCTTCCTTGCTTCTGTTTGAACTCCAGCTCTTCAGCAAGCGCAGCGATAGAGGCCTTGGGAATAACCTTAGAAGAGTCCTCAGGCTTGGCGCGGATCTCCGACAACTTCTCAAGGACAACAATGAAGAAACCACCAGTATCTTGCATGTGGGGGTAGATGCGGAGACACCTTTCAAGAGGCAAGTCTTCGGTAGGCGGGAACATGCCTTCAGCGATTCTGCCCAAACCACTGATACCTTCCTTCTCCTTGCGCTCTTCGACCTCCTTCCAGCTGTCATAAAAGCGACCTTCACGGTCCATCACCTTCCAGGAGCGAAGACCAGGAGCGCGCTTCAGTTCCGGAAGCTCCTTGCTGCAGTCCACGATGCGGACGTTCGCAGAGCCACACCGGTTAAGCGCACTAGCAATGACGGCCTCGTTCTCAATGGGGTTCATACTGCAAGTGGAGTAGACGACTCGGCCGCCAACCTTAAGCATCTGCAGGGCACGGACGAGAATGCGGACCTGGGTGGCGTGCAATCCCAGAGCATTGTTGGCGTTCCAATCCTTCCAGACTCCCCAGTTCTTCCGAGCAGTTCCATCACCAGTGCAAGGCACATCTGCCAGGATACGGTCGAACTTCAGGTAGCGAGCCTTGCCAGGCTTTCCGTTGACGCCGGGCTCGGAGGGCAGCTTGATCGAGGGGAACAAAGTAGCGTCGTGATTGGTGACAATCAGGTTCGGGGAGCTCAGGCGCTTCATCTGGTGAATAAGCATGTGTGCGCGCTTGTAGTCGGCATCGTTGGCGATCAGCAAGCCGGTGGTTCTGCCATCGTCGTTGAGACCCTCAGGTCCGATCGGTTCATCGCCAGCCGTGCCTTCGGCAACCTGCTGAGTAACCTGTCGCATAGCTTCCTCTTCACCGGTGTGGACCATCTCCATCAACTGCGCGGACTTGCTTCCGGGGGCGGCGCACATATCCAGAACCGTCATTCCAGGCTTGAGATCCATCAGGAGCGGGGGGATCATGCTGACAACCTCCTGTCTGCTGATGTTGCCAACCTCGGTCTCGGCAACGAGGAACTTCTGGAAGGATGCGAAAGGCGCAAAGCGACGAACGACCTGCTTGGGAGTGGTCATGGACCAGGCGAGCTCATCGGGATACCAGGGGACCGGGCGAGGGGGCTCGACAAAGTCGCCCTCATATTTAATAGAGGTGATCTCGGGGATATATTGGTTCTTGAGTTTCTTCTGAACGGTAAGAGCATGGCTGCGCAAGGGAAAAGGTCAGCATTGAAGACGATATAGCCTGTCGCACAGCTTTCATGCGCGGCGTTTCGCACGCCGATAGGCTTTTTGGTTGGCGCATGACGTACCCTCGCGAGCCAGTGAATCGGAAACTGTTAGGGAGATCTCTCTTGAGAGCGGTCCAAAAGGCCTCCTTCTCCTCCTCCGGAATAAATCCCTGAGAGTTGTAGTAATTCTCGAACTTCTCGTTCTCTCTGGAGATTTGCTGCCAGTTTTGGCGCTCGCCGCCTCTGCCACCCTGCGACAAGGGATCAGCACGAGTTCGATACGACAACAACCGGATTGATCGAGAACAAGAACGTTCTAAGCCACGCAGAGAGTTCCCAAGGCCAAACATACCTTCTTTCCACGTTTACCCATGATGATCAAGTTTTGATGTGAGAGATTGGAGTAGGCTGGGACTGGTCGCAATTTCTCCGCTGCAGAAATCTTATCAGCAAGCTCGCCGTTTGCCGCAGAGAATTATGTAATCGGCCTGGAAGTGCACAAGCTAATCCCAAACCAGTCGTCTTCGATCAGTGAGTCTTCACGTGGCTCGCGTTTAGTTTCGACAAGTAAATGACCCAAAATCATACACCTTCAATCATATTTGCATTGTCAAGGTCTCGGCTTAATACATATCAACTTAAGGAAGCCTTCATGGTATGGCCTGGACCACCATACGATACTACAATCACAGGGTCCGGCATAATTTAGCAGCTCAAGCCCTGTTAATCTCAGGCATGGCCACACATCGCTGGATATACAATGGTATACCAAGAGACTACTAGTCATGCTACAGCCACGAGACAGGTCATAGAAAACACAGGCATTCTAGCAGACCCACATATGCAGGCTTCGATGCCATGAACTCGGCCCGCCAGATGATCAGATCTCATTCTCTGTACAGATCTGCTAAAGATGATTTGGCCATCATGTAAAATAAGCCATGCTACAGAAAGAAGGACAAACGCATCTGCTCTGTCGCAGTCGTCATGGTACATAGGCAATGCATATAGCCCTTGCATCAGACTGCATGAATTCTATATCGCCAACGCACAGAATCACCGCCTTGTGGCTATAGATCTGCCTATAAACATGTCACAGCCTCTATAGAACCTTCAATCCCAGCGGTTCTTCCTTTCATGTCAATCGCGACAGGCTTGAGCAATATAGGGACGCTGAAGCTCTCCGTCGCCGTAAATGAACGTCGAGCACGTTGAGTACTCGTCTGTCGGTATACAGCAACCGCAGAACGCATGTTATGCCGAAGGCGGCTCCAGAGCATGGCTTGTTGTATTCGGGGCGTGGTGTGCCTTGGTTCCAGCATGGGGGATTATGAATACAGCCGGGGTCCTCTATCTATGGACCAGCACGCATCAACTCAAGAACTATCCGGAGTCGAGTTACGGCTGGATATATAGCGCCTATGGTTTTTTTGTTTACTTTGCCGGGGCGCCAATGGGTGTGTACCACTGATCTGCCCTCGTTCTTTTTCTAGACACGGTTGACCGTCTGAGTTAGGAATGATTTTCGATGCTTGGGGACCAACTTATCTTGTCGTCATGGGATCCCTCGGCATGGTTGTATCGTTGATCTGCTTCAGTTTCAGTAATGGTAAGGTTGTACGACCCCCGATCGAAATAGCAGCAGCCAAGGCTAACCAGTGCTAGAGTACTACCAAGTCTTCCTCTCACTCAGTGTGCTGGGCGGGCTATCAGCCAGTGCTCTCTCCACCTCAGCTCTTGCAACAATATGGCACTGGTTCGATCGCCGCCGGGCCTTCGCTACCGGCGTTGCCTGCACAGCAGGCGGGCTCGGAGGCGTGATCTTCCCCATCATCATCTACTTCACAGCGCCCAAGGTCGGATTCGGTTGGTCCATTCGGATTATCGCTCTCATCAGTGCTGTCCTGCTCGTCTTTGCCTGCTCCTTAATCACGACCCGGCTCCCAGTTCGAACAGACGCTTATAAAGGGCTAGCCCTCAAGCCATTGAAAGACGCCAACTTCGCTGCCACGACCGCTGCGATCTTTCTGACCGAGTGTGCGGTCTTTATCCCGAGCACATACATCTCCTCTTACGCGGTGCACGTGGGTCTGAGTAACATCATCGCATACCTGCTGCTCGTCTTCCTGAACCTAGGCATGATCCCAGGCCGGATTTTACCAGCTCTCGCAGCTGACCGACTCGGGCGATTCAACATAATGATCCTAACGACCCTCATCTGCGCCATCATGACCCTCGCCCTCTGGTATGAAGCCGGAGACAGCTTAGGTGCACTCGTCTGCTATGCTGTGTTCTTCGGATTCTGGTCCGGTGCGGCGCTGAGCCTGTCGCCCGTGTGCATCTCGCAGACCTGCACGGCAGCGGAGTATGGGAGCAGAAGTGGCATGGCATATAGCATTGCCAGCATCGGAATGCTTCTGGGAATTGGCCTGGCGGGCGTGTTCGAGCAGCGGAGTCACGGAGCAGCCTACAACCGAGGCCTCATTGTCTTCGCAGGGGTGTTGTTCCTTGCGGCCGCAGGTGCATTCGTCGTCGCTCGAGGGGTATGTCGGGGCTGGTCATGGAGAGCCAGGTTCTGACGGGGACGCAGGCCACTTAAAATAGTGCTTATGCGACCAGCCACCCTAGAGCCGCCGTCGTTCTTGGTACTCGGTTGCGCCTCCTCGCTAGGGCAGGGAAGGCGTCCACATCGACAAGGCTGTGGAAAAGCCAGATTGTCCGTCTTTGGCCATTGCTTTCGTTCGGGTCGATTCTAGCATGCCACCTTCAGTGGTGGGTATCCAAGTAGGACCTCCCCTGATCCGCCAAGGATCTAAACTTCACATATTAGCGGAATAGTCGAGGAGTCTCGAATTCAATTATCACGTTCGCAAAAATTGATATCTAATGTAGCCCACAGGCTTATAAGACGACAAGCACTTGAACTAGCCGCGTCAAGCACTCCCGTTGAAAAGAGAAATAGGCGAGCTGAAACACCGTTCCTACCACCCGACAGAAAACCCTCCCCATCAATTTTATACCCATTGTGGCTATAGCCGGAGCAGTTCGGGAGCGGACAAATCCTAGCGAAAAGCTTAAGCTGTTATATTCGACCAGGGTTCCGACGCCGGCAACAAAGGAGAGGACTTGGAAGTGGGGATGAAGCACAGGCAGGGAAATGAATGCCCAGCAGGCACCTGAATCCGATCCAATGCAATGCGTTCGAGATTCGGTAGTGCAGCCGTTTATCTTTCCAAGCGAAGCCTCAAACAGGGGATCGTCTTTTGCGAATGTGATTTGCCGGGGCGCTGATCGGGGCCGAAGTGAGCGATTTCCACCACCGCAATGATACGCGAAGGATCGTTCCCGTTGTAGTTTTGAGCGTTATAGACGAGCTGCTCGTGTCGGTGTTAACCCTCGAGACAGTATTTTATTTTCTTTCTTGTGTGTGCAAAGTCAATTGCAAGCTAGTGTCAAATATCAATCGACTCTCGACCCCTGACAAGTAAAATGGTGTTGGCCCCCAACCTTAAACATGCCAGGGCCAAAAAATCACCCACTGTTTATCTGGGACTGTGCCACGCAAGGCTTAGAAGCTGCGATGTATCCTGGTGGAGCTGGGGCTGATTTTCTCTTCTGTCTTTATTTTGCATGTGTCTTTAGTTTCACGATAAGTTACTAACACGAGCAACCAGTAAGAGTAATAAAAAAAAATAAGCCTCCTTAGAGTGAGTGAATGTAGCAAGCACCCTCGTACTCGGCCCCAAGCTCCATCCAACGTCTTATTTAAGTAGTGTCACTCGCTGTGTTTTCTCAGAATTTTTACTCTTGTTCCTGAAAGTCATCAATCCTCAGTCTCTCAGTCTAGTCTTTCGTTCAGTACCACTGTACTCTCATCCACTCGTTCACCATCCACTCGTTCACCATCCACTCCTACAGTCCTGCAATCAACCAAGCCTACTACAACACTACAACACCACACCACACCATACCAAACCAACAAACCCACAATCACCACCACCAAGATGAGCGGAGAACAAGAATGGTCCAACGGCTTCTTTGACTGCTGCTCGCCGTGCAACACCTGTGCGTTTCGTCCCAGACCACTCCAACCTCCCCTCCAAATCACCGCACCCCAATTAACATCAAATAAATCAGGCTGTCTCGCCTTCTGGTGTCCCTGCTGCCTCCACGGCCGGACCGCCTCGCGCCTCAAGGACCCTGCTCTCAAGGCCCATGGGTCGATGAACGGTGATGTACGTTATCCCACAGCCCTTCCCACACCTAGCCCAAGTAACGACCCTCAATCCAAACGCACCAGCCCATCAACCCCACCATCAAAAAGCAACAGAAACAGACACAGACACTAACCCCCAGAAAAACAGTGCTGCCTCTACTTCCTAGTAGGCTACTGCGGCCTACACTTCATCCCGCTAATGATGAAGCGCGGCAAGTTGCGCGACATGTTCCAGCTGAAGGGCGGCGGCTGCGGCGACTGCTTCCGGTCGTTCTGCTGCCCTTGCTGTACGCTGATGCAGCATGAGAAGGAGGCTGAGGCCAGGGCTGCGTTGCTCGAGAATGGTGGGTATAGGGCGCCGCAGGGGATGGAGTATAAGTGATTGGTTGATTCTTGAGGGGATGGGGGGGAGGTTCAAATTGTCGGTGGTCGATTGGTTTGAATTAGGGGAGGAGGGGGCGGGGACGTTGTTTCTTTCTTTCTTTCTTGTATGTATTGAGAGCTCCGTGGGTGTGCTTGAGTATGATCTGTTTTCTTCTGAAGCGTTGCGTTTTTTGTTTTATATATTTCTTCTTGTATGTACTTGTGCTGGAGTGAGGTTGAGCTTGATCTGGAATGGAAACTGAATTGGATATGGATACGGGCATGATCTTCGGAAGGAACTTACCAGGAGCACTGATTCTTCAGGCTTAGCCCTTATATCCCAGTTACCACTGCTGATGCTCACTTTGAACGAACAAATACATTTTGATATAGCGACAGTTGTGTACTGTACAAGACACGCTTCCTATCGGCACGACCACCGCTTCTATCTATTAAGAAAAATCACCAAAACTAGAAATCACTTGCCATAATTCTTCTCTTGCAATGACGATAGACACAACCCCTGGCAACCTCACTCCACACACACACTCACTTCTTCAACCCGGCCCGGCCGCTTAAGCAGCGTTGCGGCTCATGTCCGAGCGGAGACGCTGGTAGTCAAGGATACCCTCGATGCTGCCGACGGCGCTCATGGCGATGTCCTGATCCCACAGCTTGCGCTGGGCGAAGTCCATCACATGCTTCTCGGTGATCTGGCCGATCGTGCGCTCGACGTCCTCGGGGCTGAGGCGGCGGCCGGTTGTGATGATCTGGCGACCGATGTCTTCGGCGACGGCGGTGGTGCCGTCGAGGGAGAGGAGGATGGAAGCCTTGAGCTGGGCCTTGGCACGCTCAACCTCGGCGGGGGTGACGCTGAAGGACAGGCGAGACCACTCACGGAGAGCGTAGTGGCACAGGTCATCGAGGTTGGTCAGGTTCTCGGAGACGAGGTAGATACCCCACAGACTGGCAGAGACACATTCATTAGCTAGGAAACATCATAGAACACAGAATACAAAACTCACCCAGTGTCGCTGTAGCTGGTGGAGAAGCTCATGAAGCTGTTGGCAAGGCTGTGGTGCTCAACCAGGGAGCTGAGCTTGCTGCCAAGGTAGGGGGAGTTGCCCATGGCACGGTCCCAGTTACCAACAATGGCCTGGGCAACCAGGGCAGTGAAGTAGTCGTCATCCTTCCAGCTAACACCCTCGACGGCAAGGGCGATGTGGGCAGTGGGGAGGGTGTCATCACGGATTCTGACCTCGGAGCCGATGAACTCGGGGGTACGCTTCTGCTCGGCGGTGAGGGCCAGGGCAGCGGACGTAGGGGGCTTGTTGGGGAGGCTGCCGAAGTGCTCCTCGGCGAGTCTCACGAGCTGCTCGTGGGGGATACCACCGGCACCAACCAAGACCATGCGGTCGGCGGTGTAGTTGGTCTTGATGTAGTCGACCAGGTTGTCACGGGAGATGGTCTGGATGTTCTCCTTGGGGCCGAGGATGGTGCGGCCGAGGGGCTGGTGCTGGAAGGCAGTAGCGTGGAGGTGGTCGAACACGACCTCCTCGAGCTGCTTGTCGACCTCCTCCTGCTCACGGAGGATGACGTCGCGCTCGCGCTCAATGGCACCGGCCTCCAACTTGGAGTTCTGGAGGATGTCGGCGAGGATGTCGACGGCCTTGGGGACATCGTTGTTGAAGGACTTGGCGTAGTAGACGGTGTTCTCGCGCTGCAATGGGTCGTTAGTCGCAATCTTCAATTCCATATTTTCCTTCCGGTCCGTACCGAGGTGTAGGCGTTCAGGTGAGCGCCCATGTTCTCGATCTCGAGCTCCAATTGGTGCTGGGTGCGCTTGTTGGTGCCCTGTCATAAGGATCAAAGTATTAGCCGCCGCATGGTCAGTCAGCGTGAGTTGGAGAAGCATACCTTGAAAGCAAGGTGCTCAAGGAAGTGCGCAGTTCCGTTGGTCTTGTCAGTCTCTGCCCGGCTACCGGCATCGATCCAGACGCCAACAGTGGAGGTCTGAGCCCATGGGGAGTGCTCAGTAGCGATCTAGAAGCAGTCAGTGAATGTCAGAGGCGATTGACGACAGCGGCGTACCGTGAAACCGTTGGAGAGGGTGGTGGTCTGGGTGGTGGAAGGCAGGGTAACGGGAGAAGCAAAGCCACGCTTGACGGGCTGGACAGCCTTCAGGGCAGCCCGACTCCGCAGAGCCTGGTTGAGGTTGAATGCTAGGCGCCGAGAGGCCATTGTGTAATAGATGGTGGAGGTGAATTGGAGGGAGAGGAAGGGAGGAGAATGAAGGAAGGGTGTAACAAGACGGACGGTCAGCGCCTGGAGATGGCGAGGTTGAAGTTCGGGAGTCAAATTGTTCGCCCATCCGCCAGCCAATCACATGACCCGCTTTTCCAAACCACCGCTTTCGATCCCGACTGTTTCCTTAGCACCGGATTTCATTGTATTCATCTACATACAGCCATACAACGAGACATACAAATCGAACAACAACCACTACAGCCACAATCTATCGTCTCTTCCACACCATGCGCCCTCATGCAAACCGACTAGCATACTGCCGAATATTCTCCATCATCGACACATCCTCTACAAACCCCAATTGCCGCGCCCTGGCGGTATTGAAGTTGGGCGTCCACGTTTGCACGATCCGGTCAATATCAGCATCATACTTCTCCTCGACCAATGCGCGGCGCTCAGTACCGCCCACCACCTCCAAAGCATCCAACATCTCCTGAATACTAACCAATAAGCCTGGCAAATTAACCGCACGCGACCCATTGCCAAACGCCTCCTTCGGCACCTCGCGCGCATGCAACAGATTCCGAACAACCGTAGCAGGCGAGCATATCCACATCTCCGTCTCCTTAGGCACTGGCAGCACGGCCTTGCGGCCGTGGAACGGCTCGCGGATGATATCGCTGGCGAAGCTGCTAGCGGCCTGGGTGGGCTTGCCGGCGCGCACGGTGACGGTCGGCAGACGGACGGCGCGGCCGTCCAGGAACCCGCGGCGCGAGTAGTCATTCAGCAGGGTCTCAATGATCAACTTCTGCGAGCCGTACGAGGACGCCGGGATGGCTGGGAAGTTGGTCTCGTCGATAACGAAGCCGGCGGGCGCGGGCCCGTAGACGGCCAGGCTCGAGGTGAACACGACCCTCACGCCCGGCGTGACCGTGCGGAGGCGGTCGAGGATGTTGCATGTCGCGTCCAGGTTGACCTTCATCCCCAGCTCGAAGTTGGCCTCCGACCCGCTGGACATGATGCCGTGGAGGAGGTAGACCGTGTCGAATGGTTGTGCCGCGGTGAAGGTCTCGTCCACGACTGCTGGCGAGGTGAGATCCGCTTCGAGGCAGCGGGCTCGCGAGGCATGCTGCGCGGCTGATTCAGGCACCGTGGGCGTCACCACGTCGGTCAGCGTCACTGTAATCTCCGGGTAGGTCGATAGTAGTGCGGCGGCCAACTCCTGGCCTACGTAGCCACTTGCGCCGGTGATGATGATTGACATGTTGTAGCTGGATCTCTGTCTTGCAGCGTGCTGCAGGTGTAAGGTCGTAGTACTGGTAGTAATAAATGGGGTGGTTATTAGACTGCTTAGAAGTGAAGTCTATATACCAACACGGTGCGGGGTTCGATCGCTACTACCACCATCCACGGCTCCCAGCCTCGGAACAGCCATATTGGTCTTCCGTTAATCACTATGACAGTATTAGACCAGAGCCCATTCATCTACGTGAACGCAGCAAGTCCGATCTGGTGGCTGGTAACAGACACACTTCGGCACGTAGCCCGATTACCGAGTTAGACTGACCCGCGACGACCGGCGAAAGTCCGAGATATACTAAGTCGACTGGCACATAATGCTGTGATATCATGCTCTATGCTCCGCATGCATTCCATTCGGACTTGACTATCTACACTCAGCCGAAGCAATTGTCTCACTGAGAAATCAGCCTCAATGGCTCCCAAAAACCTAGAACGTACATAGTTTGAATCGACCGGAAAACGTAACCCTCGAATTTTTCTGACTCAAGAAGTACATTTAAGAAACCTAAACAAGGACACGAAATCGTAGAGCGACCAAGGTAGAGAAAAAAAAAAGTTGAAGCATTTCAGCATATCACGGAACACTCGACGCCGGTAAAGAGCATAAATAATTAAAACATGAGAAAGCAGACCACCAGATTCTTTTGTTCTTTAAATTCATGCAGAGCGCTTGTAGATACCAGACACTATACAGTGGTCACGTTCGAAGGGCTCCAAGGTCAGCTGCTCCTTGGGCTTGATTCTCTCCTCTCTCATCTTCTGGACTTCACGGGCGAACACAACCTCGGGCTTGGCGGTACTGTCGATACAGTTGGCCTTGACGGAGACAATGACACCACCCTCGTTCTTGAGGAACATGTGGGCGTTCAGGCCGACGATACGGGCCTGGTCGGGCTGGGCAACGTCGGCGAAGATGACGTCGACCATGGGGACGAGCATACGGTAGCGGAGAGGGTGGCGGGCGTCCTCAACGATGGGGATAACGTTGGTGCGGTGGGTAGCCATGCCGATCAAGTCACGGCCGGAACGGTGCGAGAACTCGACGGCGTAGACGTTACCAGTAGGGCCGACGATATCGGCAACGTGGGAGACGGAGGTACCGCTGGCGGAACCGAGATACAAGACCTTGGAGCCAGGGCGCATGTAGATCTCATCGAGACCACCCAGGATACCGGCAGCCATCTTGGAACGGAAAGGGTTCCAGACACGGTACTCGGTCTTGGTCACAGCACCATCCTCCTCGGCGGGAGACTCGACAGCAATGCGCTTTTCACCGTAGACAGCCTCTCCGGGAGTAAGGTTCTTGGTGACGAGCAAATCTTCCTTACCACCACGGGCAACGAAGACACCGGCGTGACGGTGGGGTTCCTTAGCAGAGGATGTCAGTCAACAGATCCGTTAGTCGCGGGGGAGGCAACACCTACGATGATGACCTTAGCACCACCCCTGGCGCCACCGCGAGCACCGCCGCGAGCACCACCACGGGGACCACCGCGGCCACGGGGAGCACCACGGCCGCCACGAGCACCACCACGGGGGCCACCACGTCCACGACCACCGCTACCAAGACCGCCTAGAGAATCGCGAACAGAACGAATTAGCCTCATGATCTCCCAGCAGCACCGCAGGCCAAATGTTGTCCGCTTCCGATGGGCAAAGCATATGCATTGCCCGGACAAGACGAGATCTGAAATCGCAGTTCTCGATTCCTCATCTGTCGCAATCGTACTGGCACAAGAAAAAGCCTGTTCGGTCCGAGACGGAGTTGTCGTGTGAACAAACCTCTGCCACCACGAGCACCACCACCACCACGGGGGGCACCACGACCTCCACCGCGTCCACCTCTAGGGGCACCGAAACCCATTGTGTAAAGTTATGTGTGTCGAAAAGTGTTGACGGGTATGAAAATATCAGATGCTGTCAGCCGGAAAAAATTTGGCTGATGCTTTTCGAGAACCGCGTGCGGATGGAAAAACTTCCGGGAGAGATTGAGGGATGATGGGGTCCGTTCGGGAGGGATTGAAAATCGAAAATTGGCGAAGTCTCGAGCGATCTTGAGATGGAAAAAAAAACTTTTGTCCAAAAATCGTCTCCGCACTGGCGTTCAGTGTTCGGTCGCGGCCGTGCTGCTCGTCGTTGTTGCGGTCGAGAATTTTCAGACGGAGCCTTGGGAATCTTTCGAAAATCAGGAAGCGCTATGGCGTTTCGGGACTAGCGCTACATGCTGCTGTGGGCACTGAGCGCACGTGACTCCAGCAAATAGCGAGATCACCTGATCTTGACAGCCCTGCCAATCGGAGGGTGTCTTCGCTATCCCGTCCCTTCTTCAGTGCCTTGTCCCGGCGCTTACAGAAACACTTCCGCCCATCACAGCTACGTTTCGGAAAGTTTGTGTGCTCATCAAATGGTATTCGTTACTGTCGATCATCTGTTCAATAATGTCTGACTATTTACAACGCAAATGGCATGAAACCACACCCCTTATAGGCCCTCACGATTCGCCGTAGAAATAGTACAGCGCAGCATATTGAACAGTAAAGGTCGACTGCATGTTCTTGCATGTCTCTGGAGCAGCTCCGGAGACGGTTGTCACTCGATAGACACTCTTGTAATCGCCGACGGTGCCGTCAATCGTGGTGAGATAGAGCCATTGGACAGCCCCGGTGCCGCCTTTGACGGCATAGGAAGGAGCATCGATTGCACCCTGTTTCTTAGTGATCGCAATGCCGTTCTGGTGTTCGGAGGTGGTATCGAGGTTGAAAATCGGAGTCGAGGTTCCTTGGAAGTAATGATGGCCCAGAAGTTCGAGGTTCGCCGGAGGGAGGGTGTCCTCCTCAGCACCAGGCAAGGGAATATTGTACGCTAGGTCTGGCAGCTGCTCGAGCAGGGTCGGGTAGTTGGCTGCAATACAAGTTGCGTTGTAAAGGCGTGCCACGGCACCAATGGCTACTGGCGTTGAGTTTGAAGAGGATGTTGCGCAGGTATAGTTCTAGCGGACTATCAGCTTGGGCTGTCGGCCCACTTGGCATGCTCATTAGTCACTGACCTGAGTGCCTCGTCCGACGGCAACATAAACTGGCGTCAAGCCAGATGGAGATGGGAAGCTCGAGGCGTATGCTGGTAGCGCGATCTTTGATGTGTCACAAGTCGAGGCGCGAAGAGAGACTTTCTCAATCTCCTTGCTCACCTCGCCGAGAAATGAAGCCATTTCTTGGGAGTAGTCGTATATATCATCCAGCCATGTGGGAGCTGCAAGAGCACTTGCTACAAAGCATGCGAGGACGCAAAAGCTGGGCCGCATCTTGGAAGGTATACCAGGCACTTTCTATGCTCTGTTGTGGAGGGGTATCGAAAGAAAGCAAACAGGACGAACACTGGTGACACTGATACTGGTTCGACCAGAACACCGTCGACTTGATCGATGGATTAATGAAAGAAAGCTTCACGAGCAACGTCCCAGACGGACTCGCAAGTCTACAAAACAGAACTGAGCGGAGTGGGTATAATGAAAACAACGACTTGAACAAAAAAAGGACAGGCGACAAGGCTTCATGGCCATGACGGGATATATACTGCAGAAAACCATGTATGCTCGGACATGGCGCTAGATAGCATGTGCAGAAAGTCGAAGCATCCAACCGGGCCTTTCAAGCCCACAATGTTGTATTCTATAAACAGCTTCGACTCACAGGGATTCTCAAGCCGCCGATGGGGAAGAGCTGTTATCGCATTCGATCATTGGCCCATGGATGGCGCCGGGGGGGCATCCTTCAGGCCTCCGCAAAGTCAAGAGTTCTAGTGCCCTTGACGAAGAACCACACGAAACGCAGCCGTTTCACCCCAGCGTTTGCGCTGCAGAATGCCAGGTGGTTTTCGGCAACCGTGATTGGAATCCCTGCGGATCGGGAATCTGCAGGCTTGTTTGGCTGGACGACGGTGATTGGCGCCAGCCTCTCAGAATATTCCGCTTTAATCTATCAACAGCTAAGAATAGGAGGGTGGCATATGTAGCTTTGGAGACTAATATCTCACCGAAGGAGGGGTCGGCGCTTAAGGAGAGCGCTTCTACTAGAATCTTACCGATGCGGTTAGCCTGCAGACTCCCGGCATTTACCAACAATCCACCCTAGCAAGTCTCCCTTCACCCCGGTCAACCTTGAAATCGTCGGTGAAGACCGCAATGGCACTGTAATTACCTTCTGGTTCTATTCTTGATCCAGTTCCTGGGCTTATTTTTGGATGTTCCAATGCTACCCAAGCTGCAGAAATGGAGTCCTGAGCGCTGGCCCTACCTTATCTATAGCACGCGATTATTATATCACTCAGTTACCGAGGTTGATAGCTTAGCCCTAAGTTCTCTCTCTCTCTCGTTGCAACTTCACTGGATATGGGATATCGCGGAGCTGCCTCATGATATCACTCGTGTATCAGGCACACATTACTCCGCGGAGAAGGACATAGGCTTCTGATTGCAGCGTCATAGGCACGTTTAATGGACGAGAGTGTGGTAGCATCGATCAATGCCGTGTCCACTGCTATAGATTTCCGTGGTCCTGCACTATATTTGGTCAAAAGGAAATAAAGAGGTTCCGATTAAAAATAGAAACATCACGGGCGCCATCTGCAGGATAGAGCAGGGAACGCTTAAATCCTTATCACCGATCATTTGCTGTCGTGGTACACCCTCTAGGTCTCTTCAGGGGCATTTACATTGGAGAAAAAAGCATCATACTCTTCCCAAGGGGAGCAGCAATTGCGAATGCACAATCATTGGATAGAACCTCCTTCGTCTGGCAAGCTTCGCGAAATCCTGACATTCGTTGAGACCACCGATAGCTTTCGCAGCGTCACTTGGAAGACCAAAAGACCAATACTTCACCTAACAAAGATCATCATTCCCCTACCAGGACTCAATCATCACCAGACTACTCCACTTCCGAGTGGCAACCCAAGAGGGTTCCTCAATCTATCTCGGAGCCCTGTCGTCGGGCATTCAATCCATCGACCGCTAGCACGAGACTGAATATAGGTCTGATCGCACTATCCCACCTTCTTATCTTCCTTGAATCGGGTTATTGAGTTATGACGATCCCCAAGAGCCTTCCCCGCTTCTTTCTGATTATGAAGAGCATAGTCACTTGCAGTCATTCGGGCCTAGGGTGGATTCCAACTCCAACAAGCTGCATGATCCTGTGATCAGGGAGTGCTATAATGTCTCATCGCTTGAGCATTGATCATCAGCAGGAGAGTATCAGGGCCGTAACTATGTGGCATCGTGAGGGGTGAGTGGGTTTCAAGGACCACTTGTCGTAGTAGGCATCTAGTGGATGCGCATCCTGCGGTGCAGAGGGAAACAAAACAGTCGAGGGGGGCAGAATTTTTCACTTCCCCCCATGACTTGCGGGTGGTCCCTTCTCGCCCCTGACAGCTCAGGTTACACGTCCTATCTATTCTCCTGTCTGGTTGCACTGACTTCCAATTCCCTCTTGCACTCATTGTTCATGCATCTATCCGGGCGGTGTGTGCCTTGTCACACCTTCAGTGAAATTAGGTAGATGAATCCCATTCCTTGATGTTTTATGCAGAGGCACAACTTCGCATATTGAAAGGCTTGGACTCTATTACTGAAGTCTGGCTTGATCATGGTCTGCTAGCAGTGTTAGTATGTGTTCATTGGACACCTATATCGCGCTCCCTTAAGCATTTCAACCTCCATGCTCGCAACATCACATGCCCTTATTCATCTGCAGGTAGGTCCAGTCACACTGCACGATAAGAGTGGCGCGCACTGCTTCCAGACCCATACATCATGCAGCAGATAACACTGTTGCGGAAAGGCCTCAACCACTTGATTCAGTAATGATTCCATAATATAAATAGAAGTACACCACTAAAAGCAGCAGCTATATTAGTCTACGGTGACCGGTGGACTTCCGGAGTGCCCGGCACTTACCCAAAGTAAGCCCGAGCGTGGATTGATAATAATATCTGTATTGTATGTAGGCTTTGCGTATTCACATTAAACAAAAGAAATCCAATCGTGACCGTCACTCGAGCCCATGAACGCCTAAATAGGATACAGCACGGCGACCCACGTGTCGGTCAGTTTACACCGGCTTGGTTGAAGCCCTCCTGTCGCCAGTCATCCCCATGAAGCTGCTGTCCTGCGTAGCTCCTCCCTCCGGCACCGGCCCCGCCGCCGCCAGCACCACCTCCTCCGCCGGCCATTGCTGCCGCGGCGGCTGCACCGAGACTCGCGGCACTGTGCTTCTCGATCTCCATGGAACTCATCATGTACAGCATGACAAATATCAGGACATGGAGTGCGACGCAATAACCAGCGAAGAGGTTTCGGCTCGTGCGGTTCGCGAGGATGATACGCGTCAGAGAGAACACGATGCGCTCGGGCAGGGACATGCGCTTGTATGCGCGCGCAGACTCGCGGCCACGGAAGGCTGCGAACGGTGAGATCTGGGCTTCGTAGGCGGATTGATAGCGATCGAGAGAGAGCCCTGACGGGGTGTCCGCAGAAGCGTGGACGGAGGAAGTGTTGGGTTTGTTCGCGTAGGCAGATGCGGATGATGATCCACCCGGGCCGCGGTTGTATGTCGACACGTATCGGGTCTTCTCGTAGAGACTAAGGTTGTCCTTCTGCAGAGAGGCAACTTCCTGTCTGAGAGACTTCACCGTGCCGTACAGTTTGGACAGCTCCTCCTCCAGCTCGGCGTTCTTCTTCTTGAAGCGATCACGCTGGGCTTGGATCATGGGCAAGAGACCAGAGCCTCCACCGACAGCCTCGCCTGCCCGGATAGAGTCCATGGTATTGGCCGCTGCAGCTGACTGATCAAAGCCAGAAATGATAGAAGATGTAGGTGATACCGCGCCCCCTCTTCTGGATGAGTGGGGGTATTTGGAGGTGTATGTCCCGGCAACAGACATGGCTGACGACGGGAATGTGTTTGCCGCCTCTTCTTGTACACGGAGAAGGTCATTCTCAAGCGTTGTGGACAGTTTTTGCGACTTTTCGAGCTCCTCTTTGGTAGTCGACAATTCGTCGCGTAAGGCTTCGAGCTGACCCTGGAGATCACGGTGCGAGACGCGCAAGATGGTGAGCTCATCAGTAAGCTTCTTGTTTCGAGCGAGCAGGAGTTGCTCAAGGCTGTTCTTGGAGCCCTCCTTTGTCTTGGATGCAGCACCGTTGATAGGGCTCGTGGCGTCGGCAAGATCGCCAGCTTCGTCGTCATCCCCAGGCGAGAACTCGATAGACTTGCCCATTGTCAGTGCCAACGATCTCCATGGATTCAACAATTGAAGATGCTTACCTTGATCATCTCTAATTCCCGACGGATATCTTCGTAGTCGGCCACCTTCTCCAATTTCGAGCGCAGTTCTTCCTTCTCGGCAGTGACATTCTTGATCTGTCTCTCGGCCTGGGAGTACTTCGACTCCCAGGAATGTCTTTCGGATTCTCTATCAAACCGAGCAGCATCAAGTTTGCGTAAGAGAGAAGAATTCTCGGACTGAAGGCGGAGATATGCAGGGTCATCCTCCACCGATGCTGCCTGTCCTGCCTGGGAATGAGAGACGGCTTGAGCCAGCTCGAGCCTGAGTTGTTCATTCCGTGCCTCTACTTCTGCTAGGCGTAAACTTGTCTTCTCCAATTCCGCCGAAACAAGCTCCAGCTCGGCGGCACTAGCTCCATGTTGGGCGCCATCAGTATCGTCGCCGTCTTGTCCTAGGCGTTGTGACACCTCATAGCTCGCTTTGAGTTCCTTGACCAAGCGCTCCTGGTGCTCCACCTTTTCCTCCAAGCTCTTCTCCTTGGCGGTCCAGTTATTAGTCTTCTCCGACAACACAGCTGACCAGGACTCCTCGACCTCTTTGATCTTCGATTCTTGGTTTTCCTCCAGTTTCTTCCTGGCAGATCGTTCTTCCTCCAGTCGCTTTTCCGTGTCGTCAACCTGTGTTGTAAGACGATCGACGGAGCCTTGTAGTTGGTCCCGCTCGGAGGTCAATCTAGGGACGGTTTCTTCGGAATGAACCAGGGAATCGATTGATGCTTCGAGAAGGGGGTATGGATCCGGTGCTTCGGATAGAGACGAGTATAATTGTAGGAAGGCGGACGAGGAGGCTTTACCCTGATTCGTTAAGAGATCGATAAAGCTTTGGTAAGCTATAATGTACCGGTTAGCCGCAACAAGGTGGGAAGTAGACGGTGGCAGCGCAGTGTACCCTTTAGCAGTCCCTTGTATTCTGCTAGTTTCGATGCATCATCTAGCTTCCGAAAGTCCTTGGTCTTCTGGGCGAGATCCTTCCGCTGCACGAGTGCGTCGCGTTGCTGCGCAACGATGTCCGAGGCGGTGCTATCTAGCTTTGCGACGGTGTTCGATAGATCGATACCTAGTAGAGACCAGAATAATTAGTGCTTGGTCTTTTCAAGTACGGATATGCGAGAGACACGGACGACATACCTCTCCAAGCTGCGATGGCCCGCTGGAACTTGTTTGCGCCCTCGGGTAGCTTGCCGGTGGTGGCCTTTTCGGAATCGTGGCCATCCTGAGCACTATTAGTCTCAGGGACGATGGCTTCCGTAATGGCGAACGCATCCATTTTCGCGTGAAGATTAGTTGAACCGCCTCAGTGTTCCAATGTATAGCGCAACACCCCCATCCAACACTACACTCGGAGATACTGCTTTTTCTGGATGAGTGAGTGACAATTGATTGAAGCCAGTTAACGTAATGCGATGCGGAGGGCTGCACACTCCGCTCGGCCCGATGATCTTCCGGATAACAACAACGGCTGATAATCAGTTGGCCTAGTCAACAAGTATGGATAATTGAACTTGGAGAGAAGGTAGAATAGAGCAGATAGAGTCTCTCGCTAGTAGGCCGCAGTCAAAGAAGGTAAAATCAGCAACGATTGCTAGTTCCTGGCCGTCTGAGTCTCCCAGGCCCGATGTCGATCAGATCAATTGCGAGATCTCGATTCTATCTATTATACTTATTTATAGTAACCATTGCACACGTTCGTTTCAGCCAAGTCAATGATAATGACATGAAGACGTGTCAGAATTGGAAGCGTGTCACATGTGCAGCTTAGGTGTGCCCAGGCAATGCCCTGTGACAGGTCCAAGAATCAGCTCCGATTGAGAGTTAATGGTTGAGTTGGTATGCGCTCTGGACTTGATGCATTGGTCAAGCCAACCGAGTCACTGGCTCTCTGCGATGTATCAGTGAGTTTTCTTAGCTGCCCCGAGAACCCTTCTGTAATGAATTATCCCCAAATGCTGCTGTGGTTGTTGGCATTGTTGTTATACACTTTCATACTTCCTAGCAATTGATGGGCCCACTCTGAGTCAGCAAACTAAACTAACAACCCCGGCTCGGGCCCACCGCCTAGTAAACGACGCCCGCCAGCGATCCCGAAGCTTCCCAAGTTCCTGGCATTATCCTCAGCTGCTCCAGAGCCTTGTCAGGTCCAGTCTTACTTCTACGACACCGGAGCGGGTCTCATCATGGTGTCTGAAGAGGAGGGCATCAGCCCGCGCAAACGGCGGAAGATCGGCCCTCCCAAGGCTCCCTATGTTTTGCGATCGTTGTTCGACCAGGTACCCTTGAATGCCGATGATAATGATGACGACGTCCACATCACGACTGTTGAGTATTGGAGTAAGTGTCTCTGCAGCTGTGCCATTGCGCACTGATAGCTAAAGAACGTTTCGCAGATGACAATCTGTACATTGGAACATCTGCTGCCGAGATCCTCCATTTCGTCTGCCTTCCGCCGGACCCCTCGGACAAATCGAGCGAACCATCGTTTATCTTAGCCTCACGATTGCCGATCCCATTCTCCCACACCACATCAGTAACTGCCAAACCGCTCGGAATACAACAGATTCTTTTGTTACCGGCGGTCAACAAAGCCTGTGTTCTGTGCAATGGAACAGTTACCTTCTACATGCTACCGGAGCTTAGTCCGGCGTTCGGGAACACCAAGGTCAGCAATTGCTCCTGGATTGGAGGTGTGGATCTCAACACGGTCAAGGACGAACAGGAGGAGCAGGTGGTGTTGATTGCGGCGCAAAATCGAACTATGCTAGTAAGGATCGGAGAGGAAGCTCGACGCATAAGGAACATCGAGTTCCCTGGGTGCCTGGTTGCGGCGCGAAGGGGGATAATCGCTTGTGCCGCGGACGCACACTCATACTCTCTCATCGACGTGGAAAATCAACAGAAGATACAATTGTTTCCCATCTCTTTCTCGAACGAGAATTTCGAACCCAACCAGGTCCATGACGTCTCGACAGGCACGCCCTTGAAATCACCTACCTCGCCCTTTTTTACTCACTCGCCCACCTCGGAGAGTCATATGTATGAGAGGAGCGCTAGCTCAAATACATTGTCTGGATTGTTGCAACCGCACGGACACCAGCGATCAAGCTCTGTCACCTCGGAGCTGTCTCCGGAGTCAGGGACACCGAGACGCTCGCTATCGAAAGAGCGCGCTGGAGGCGCTTCTCCTAGGCGGAGTATCGAGAACCAGCCACACGAGTCGGAATCGAGCTCGGAAGAACGAAAGCCACTTCCCCCGCTCCCGAAGCCTACGCAACTGAAACCCCATATCATATCGCCGACACCGTCCGAATTCTTGCTTGTTAGGGGCACGGATGGATCTGAGCCGGGGGTGGGCATGTTTGTCAACATTGATGGCGACGTGGTTCGGGGCACAATCACTTTCCATAAGTATCCAGAATCCATCGTCATCGACAAAGGCGACGAGAACAACATGATACATTCACCTGATAATACCCATGAGGAGCTTTTGCTTGCAGTGATAGAAGCAGAAAAGGAAGGCCAACGTCGCAAGTTCCTGGAGGTACAGCTCTGGGACGTTGATCCTGGGGAAGCGGACGACCACAAAACATGGGTGGAGATACCGTCTTCTCCGGATATGCAGTCTACCCATGTCGGTCTCAGTCATACAATCAGCCCGAGTCAGCTGGAAATAAGCGAGATGGGCAATCTCTTACGAATGGTTCGCTTGAAAACCCCGTCGCTGTCACCGCATGTACCCGCTACAGATCCGAGAACGCAAGCGTCTATTGAACAATCGCAGAAAGAAAAAGAGCTCTTCGACGGTCCTGAAGGGGCTGGCGAGGCTGAGCGTGGCTGGGAGAGCGAGCGCAACGCTGAAGAAGAGAAATTTGCGCGTGCATTGGGCCAGACACAAAGCAGTCTGATCATGTGGAATGGTAATCAGATATGGCGGGTGGTGAAAAATCCACTAACAACGCAGCTGGATGATGCCCTCCAGAGCGCCCACGTACAGGATACGGATGGTCGCAGGGTTCTCAAGCGGGATTCTATCACGGATGTCATTGATTTAGTTCAAGCTGCTGAACCAAAGTCGGAATCCGAATTTCTAGGCTTGAATTATCTGAAACAGAAAGCCAGTTTGCTTCTGTTCGGCGACCTAATCCTTATGGACTCGAAATACAGAGACGAGGCAACGATTGATGCTACGGAGCGAGCTCTCATTGTTGGAAACCTGGATCCTCGTATCCCGCTACTGTTGATCCCTCTTTTGCGACGAGAGGTTCTGCAGAGTCCACAGGGAATTTGGATACATGCGGGCTTGTCGGAGGTGACAGAGAGTTATGTGCAGCAGCTAGAGATAGCTGAGGGGGGCGGGGCTTCGGACAGCGCTGTACTGGATATGATCAAGAGGTTCTTATTTTCCTGGCAGCAAAAGAGGGGTTATGGAAGTATCACGGATGAGACATACGTCTTCGACAGCGTCGATGCAGCTTTTCTGCACTTACTCCTGGAACAGGACGCACAACTTGCGGCCGAACAACGCTCGGTCTCTCAGTTGCGTATCGAGCTCAACAGACTTGTCGATAACTGGAAGGGCAACTTGGAACGCGCGGTGGCACTTCTAGAACAGTATCGACGACTGTTCGTTTTGAGCCGACTCTACCAGAGCCAGAAGATGTCTCGAAATGTCCTCAAAACTTGGCGCAGAATTATTGAGGGGGAGGAAGATCTAGGCGGCGAGGTCACTGTTGCAGGCACAGAGGCACAAATGCGCCGGTATCTGGTCAAGATCAAAGACGTTCAGCTGGTGGAGGAGTATGGCGCATGGCTTGCCCAGCGCAATCCTAGTCTCGGAATACAAGTATTCTCAGATGGCACGAGCAGGGTGAAGCTGGAAACCGCCGATGTCGTCGCTCTTCTTAAGCAACAGGCACCTAATGCCGTCCAAGCGTACCTGGAACACCTTGTCTTTGTCCGACATGTGAGTAGCGCTGCCTTTGTTTCAAAGTAGCTTTTTACTAATCGTTCCGTTGCCAGCTCACGCAATATGCGGACGATCTCCTAGCATACTACCTCGATTCCGTCCTCTCTGTGCTGGAAAGCTCGCCATCAGCCCGAGCCTCTCTCTCGGAATCTTACTCGACCTACCGCGCGCTGACTCCCCCCAAACCGACGTACATGAACTTCATCACCGTGAATGCCCCGTCGGAACCATGGTGGCAATCGCGGCTGCGGCTCCTCCAGCTTCTTGGCGGCAGCAGCACCGGTGGTAGCCAGTTCACTTCGATGCCAGCGCGCACCTTCACCTTTTCCATCCCCGCGGTTCTCTCCCGGATTGAACCGTTCCAGAACGAGCTTGTCTCGGAATCAATCATCCTCGACGGTCTCCAGGGCCGCCACCGCGAAGCTCTCCATCTACTCACGCACGGCCTGGGCGACTACGACTCGGGCATCCGATACTGTCTCTTCGGCGGGCCGCGCGCCACCACCAGCTCCTCCGCCTTCGCGGAGCGCAGTCAACAAAGCGAACTCTTCCGGTTCCTGCTGGACGAGTTCCTGAAGATCCAGGATCCGTCGGAACGCATCGAGCGGACCAGCGACCTCCTGGGCCGATTCGCGGCGTGGTTCGACGTCGGCGAGGTCCTGCGGATCATCCCGGACGAGTGGAGCGTGGATATTCTCGGCGGGTTCCTGGCGCACGTGTTCCGGGTGCTGGTGGCCGAGGGCCGGGAGGTGCGGATCGAGAAAGCGTTGAGCGCAGGGCTGAACCTGCGGGTCGGGACGGAGTACATCGAGGGGGTTGAGAAGGCGGGCGGATGGGTGGAGGACGGCGAGGGACTGCGCCGGCTGAAGGGGGGAGTGGCTCGGGGGACGGTGCAGGATGAGAGCGAGGAGTTTGGGGATATTGTGGAAGCGGATGGCTAATGACGAGATTATGGTACTTGTATATATGTGAATGAATGGGGACAGCGCCCTTGTATATTTCAATCTGGATAATCCCGTGTTGCATAGACAGGCAGCGAGCAGTAAGCAGCAATTCAACTTGGCAAGGTGGCGAGTCCAATCAACCAGAACAATAGAAGATGGCCATCAACATTATAGCTCCAAAAGATCATGCAATTTTCCCCAAACCGCGCCAGCATCACCCTGGCCCTCAGTGTCCTCCTCATCAAGCCCCACCCCACCCTCCAAACCCAAATCCATCTCCAAATCAACCAAACCCCTCAATCGACCCTTCAACTCCTCAACCTCCATCTCCCCCTCTCCACCCTTCTCCCCCTTACCCTCTTTCCCCCTATGACAACGAGGAACCAAAACCCCCCTCGAAAGAACATGCAATACGCCATCCCTCACGGGCAAATCCGCCACGGCAACCTCGACACCAGCAGCCGTAACGCCGGCCCAGGGGCCCAAATTCGCGACATCAACCGCCAAGTCATGGCCCTCCAGCAACGTGGGCACATCAAAATGATGCAGTCCAGGCCCGATCTTCTCGATTCTTCCCTGGTGCGTATACACCGTATCCGAATATAGAGTACGGTGCGGCACGAGATGGTATTTAAGTAACGCGCGGAGGTACGGCGTGCCGCAGGGTGAGAACAGAAAGGCGTTGGCTTTGAGGCCCAGGGATGCGAAGGCGCGGTTTGTGGGGGGGAGATAGGTTCCTCCCCTCCCTCTTACTTCTCCTTTGGGGTTGATATTGGGGGAGTGGGGGTGGGAATGGGAATGGTTAAACCACTCCGCCAACCCCGTCTGATGCAGCGCCAGCACGAAGGTACTAAACTTCGACGGCACGATCGTCAGCACTGTCAATGCACTCGGCGGCGGCACCAGGATCGAGTCGATGGTGTACAGGAGCCCGTTGGCGGCGTGTTTGTCGGCCGCGATGATCCGGCTGTACAGGTTTAGCGTGAGGCCTTTCCAGCTTGCGTGGATGTGGAGGCGTTGCGGGAGGAGTTTCTCTCCTTCTCCGTTGTCCTCGTTTGGGTTCGCATCGCGGGAGTCCGCGTCCGCTTCAGGGCTGAGCAGCGGCTCGGTCAGCAGGGTGGGCAGCGTGTGAGCGTGGAAGAGCTCGGCGGGGGTGTAGATCGATGAAACGAGGTGGTATTTGATGACCGCGCGGATGAGTTCCGGCGGCGGCTTTTCGTGGTCTCCCCCTCCGTCTTCATTGTCATCCTCATCGTCATCATCGTGGTGATGGTGTCGGTGCCGGTGGTGCGGGATTTTGGCAAAGGCTTCGTCGGTGGGCGCGAAGAAGGTGAGCTTCGCGGATGTACAGTTCAGCAGGTGCACGAGATGCTCGTCATCTTTCACGATCTGCGCCAAGATGGTGGTGTGCGGGTTGTCGGAGATTAGGTCGTAAAGACTCTTGTTGGAGGGCGGATGGTGGGGATGCGGCGGCGGAGACGGCCGGCGGAACGGCGGAGGCAGCTGGCTGACTTTCTCAGGCACCCATCCGTCCTCCAGCTCATCGAACCAGGTAGTGATCTGCTCCACGGGCGGGGGGGAGTTCAAGGCTGATACAAGGGTCCGGAGAGCGTCGAATGATCGGTGCGTCTCTTCCAGCTCGGTTTGCTGCTTCGGTTCATGGAGAATCGTCTGTTGCTTGGGAGGGATCAGGAAGGCGGATGTCAGCGGGAGAGCTGCCAGCGCCCAGATTTGGAAATGCTTCATGGTGAAGTGCAGTCGCGGGGCCTACAAGGTAAATTGGGTCCTGAGGATATACTCCGGATACCCTCTACGTGAGGAGAGGAGGGGTGGGCGATGTTATAGTCGCTCCAACCGTCAATATACTTCCGACCAGCTGGGATGAGGAGTTGGGCCACGGCTTCTAGACCGGCCGGTCGATACGAGACGTGGTCCGTCTTCTCCGCTGGTCGTCGTCATCATCTTTATCTCCTGATGTCATCGCGGGTCATTTTGGAGTTTAGATTGATGGAAGGTCATTAATTTCATTGATGTTCTTTCTAATCTGTCAATATGCTGTTGTGCATCGCCGGCGCATGCAGGGCCATTTTCAAGATACAAAGGCAATACTCAAAGCATACATGGTATATCTTCTCATCTGCGTTCGTAAATTGACAATGACTCCTTCTCAAAGCCAGACGAAGTCATCATCCAGCCGAGGTTGACTCGGTAACAGCTGTAGCCGAGCCATCGAGGTCGGTCATTCCAACATCCTCTTCATCTAGTGATGGCCGTCCCTCCTATAAGTAACAAAAATACACTGCCCCCACGGAGCCCTTACTCCTCCGGCTGCACAAACGGATTGGCGATCTCCTCGCTGCCATCGGCAGGCGAGATCAACACAATCAACGTACCACGGGCGACGATCAAACCCAGGGAGCGCGTAGTCTCGTTGCCCTCGTCATCTGTCCGGCGTCATTAGCATATCGTAGACCGGGGTAGACCTGTGACTAAGGGTGACCTACCACGCATGCCCTCCTTCACGTCATCCAAGACCAGGTTCATCAATTGGTCGTAGCCCTTCAGAACGCCCGTGACTGGAGAGATGTTAGTCCGTTGCGCAGGGATGTTGAGTTGTTGACTTGTAAACTAACCTTCACGTCCACCATTGAACTTGACCCGCACTTCCTTGTCCATGTACTTGTTCAAGTCCAGGATATTCTCCTTCTTGGGCTTCTCCTGCTGCTGCTGTTGCTGCTGCTCCCGGTTGGCACCGCCACTCGCACCGCCACTTCTTGCGCCACGGCCGCCCGAGCGGTCACCGTAGCCTCCGCCGCGGCCGCGACCTCCTCGGAATGAGCCTCGTTCGGACATGGCTGGCTTGGCTGTGTTGGTTACTCGAGGGTTTGATGGGAACGATTGATTGATTGATTGATTGCTAGTGTCTGATTACAGCGGCGTGGATTAGATAAGGCACGTGCCGTAGTGGACTAGTAAGAACTCAAAGCTACCACCACGAAGAGAGGGGCAGCACCAGAGAGAAAATGGGGCGTTGGGATTTGAAAGGTGGAAAAGACAGACCACTCAGGCTGTTCGGCCGGTCAATCTTTGGAGTCACCCGTAAGTAACCCGGAGAGGGGAAAAATTTTTGACCCGATAAGGAGAGGGCTGAGGAAAGGGGCGGAATGGGGGGGAGACCTTAGGAAGAGGGGAAGCTGAGCAAGTGAGCAACAACGGAACGAACTGGAGTGATATAATCAGTATGAGGGATTTTCCAAGTAACTCATAACTCATAACGCGCCCCGGCGGTGGTGCGTGGGCTTTGCGCTGCATTTCCCGTGGCTTTCCCGCTCCTCACCGCCTTAGAGAGACCTGTTAAGCCACTCTACCATTCCTAGGCCTACAATTGGTTCAGCGGACAACAGCACTCGCGTCTGTCCATCAATGGTAGTGGCTCAAGTAGGTCGTATTTATATCCAGTATTTACATCCAGTCAACTCAAAACAAATGGCATGTTGAACCCTTTTCTTTCCCCTTACTTAAGGCTTTGATTTTCTTCATTCGATTCAATCCAGATTCACCGGGAATTTCTCTCGGATCATCTTGCCCATCCCAGCCCACAAGTCCCCGATTGAGGTCGGTTTCGGGGTATTTGGTCGGTGGGAAAGACTGCGGGTATATGGGATGCGATGCTTCTGTCGGCTCTAAAATCCGCGAAATGATTTGGGAGGTTGATGTCATATGACAGATTCTGGATCCCGGAAAACGAAGAGCTGATGATAATGATGATCAAAGTCTGACCGAGAAAAACATCACAAGTCTGCACCCTATGGACCCTGAATGCTAGCTTCTTTTAATGCTTGCACAACTGGCAGTTCCCCGACTGATGCTTCTATTCCCCTTGATCCGCGGCTGTCAGTTCGCTCTGGGTGGGCAGTACGGAGTATCTCCCGCCACCTGACCGAGGCGGACGCTCATGGTGCGGAAATGCCCGGGATACTTGTGCAAGGTCGCGTCGAGCATGCGCTCGCAGACATACTTGGCGTCTCCGTAGCCATTGGAGAGGATCGAATCGATCCCGACGCGGTCTTCAGGTACATTCCGGTTGTGGCTCCAGAGCGGATAGTGGCCGACGACCGCGATGGAAGAGATGAATTGGAAGGTGATGATGGTGTGCGATACGTCGGCGGCGTCGCGCGCGAGATCGATCAGGTCGCGCATGGCGACGAACTGGGCTTCGACGCCTCGGAGTGGTCGGGCTCCACTCATGGGCCATGCATTGTGGACAATGGAGTCACCATATGCGTCAGCTCCACATACTGCTCGCAGTGAGGCCCAATCGGGGCTTCGACGTATCAGTTTCGATGATGCGCAGCTTAGCGGACTGGTCTGACAACTCGAGCTTCAATCCCTTTTCCTCCATCGATTTGTGCTGTCGTTGCTCGGGGCCGCTGCCGCGACTGAGGCGGTTGAGACAGATCACGGTCTCGACGTCGGGTCGGCCCAGCAGCTCCTTCACAAGGTGTGCACCCAAGCTGCCTGTTGCCCCGGTCATGAGGACGCACTGCGCACGATTTCCCTTGGGCTGCGCACCGTGGGACGATGCGGATGGTTACATAGTAAAGCCGCAGGTGAATTTCTCCACATATTCATCCACAACTGCTGCTCTCTCCGCAGTGTTGGAGGCTGACTGTGTGATCGGCTCCGCGGGGAGAGGAAGCCGCCCAAATCTAATGCAGCAACATGGGGGTCAGCCAATTCATCCAGCTTATAATGGTCCAGTGGGAAGGCGATCATACTGCGGACCAGAAGCCATGGCGATGATGATGCACTGAAGCTTGTTCTCTGGAAGGTACCCATCAGTCCAGTCTATATGGCCGTAACCAACGGACTGGAGCTCTTGCTCCCACCACGACTCCGGAGAGATCGCATGCTGGCGACCGTCGTCAAATAACCACCAGCCCTCGAGACCGAAGATAATGTCCACCTACGGGACAGTCTGCGTCATCTCTAGCATCATCAGGAAACCGTCCGGTCGGAGCGCCTTGCGGATATTCTTTGCGGAAACCGTCAGGCTGTGGGTGGCGTGAACAGCGTTACTAGCAATAACGATGCTGTGTCCAGATAAGGTCCTCCGCAGGCTCCTTCTCCATATCATGCGCGCGGAACTTCATGAATGGGTTCGCCTTGTACTGCCGCAGGGCGGCCGCCACGAACGAGGGTGCCAGATCAGTGAAGGTATATTCCACCGGGGCTCCCAGGTTCGCGAGGAGAAGGCCAGATACTTCGTCGTGCCACCGGTACCAGCGCCCATCTCGAGGATTTTCAGCGGAGCCCGAATTGCGCGGGAGATGGGAGACAAGGCGAGTCAAGATATCCTCCATCTGCTTGTAGAGGATTTTGTTCAGCTGGGTGCCGCCATAGAGCCCGGAAACCAGCAAGCGGCCTTCCTCATTCCCATAGATCAACTTGACTCCGTCGAGCTTTCCATTTGACTGGGCAGGACTGGGCAAGGCCAAGGTGGTTGATGTGAGTAGATATTGCCCCTTCCTTCCTTCCTTTCTTCCCGCCTCCCCCTTTTCATTATCTGAAGGATCTTGGCTGACCCCAAAACCGTAACGCACAACAGGTCGGTGGCTCCGCGGGCCACGTGTCGATTGAACAGGCCAGGGTCTTCCCGGAGCTGGGAATTTATGGTGCAAGATTTCAAGGGGTTCAAGACCTTCCACGAGGGCGTGCCAGAGGCGCTCAAGCTGCGGATCTGCTTCGAGACGCAGGATATCCTACAGCCCGACGCGCACTTCGGCGCCGACGTCTACCTCCTGCGCTCGATCCCGCACGACTGGTCGGACAAGTACGCCGTCCTGATCCTCAAGAACCTCGTCCCCGCGCTAAAGGGTAAGGCGCGCGTGCTGATTGCGGACTTCATAGGGCCGGAGACCACGCAATCAGGACCCATGTGGTTGGAGCGTCTGTCGACCATCCGGTCCATGCAGATGAAGACCGCGGTGAATGCCCCCGAGCGATCGGAGAAGGACTGGATCGACATGATCAAGCGCGCGGATGAGCGCTATTCGGTTGAGGCGGTGGTCACGCCGCAGGGAACCGCCATGTCGGTCTTCGAGATTGTGTTCAACGCAAGTGGGTAGACAAACGGGCTGCCTGTCTTGTCAAGGGCTTAGACGCAAGTTTAGCTCAGACTAGCAGTTCCTGGATGATTGTTGTCTGTCCTATCTTTGGCTCCCCTCCACGAGATTCTCTTCTGGACGATTATGATATTGTTCCGTCCTTTTGTTATTCATCACTGTAATTCTTCTGATTCTCGTCTCTCAGTAGGAGCCTCCCTCGATATGACATCATAACCCTAACTTAATAGTGTCAACGCGACAACACTCGGCCATTGAAAGAAAGAATGAAATACCAACGTATCGACGTTGTAGTTTTGACGGTCCCTCAACCTGACTGTACAGTCAGTGAAACAACACCGTAACCATAAGCATCGCCCAGAGAAGCTTAAGATAGTGGGGGGGTGGAGGGCGCGTGAGGTCGGAATAATGGCCCGGTCTCTTCCGCAGCCCTAATGTGGACAACTTACGGAGGATCATTTTCCCCTCCTGGACAATTGATAAGAAATCCTGATAGCCACGATAAGGGAAACACATTACTCGTTACTCTGTCCGGAGTAAACGCTGTTATTTGACTTTGAACTTCAGTTATATCGAACTAATATAATATTAGCTACTTCCGGTCATGTTCATAGGCGGAAAATCCGAAGGAGTTCTTGAGCAATATTCCTTGTAAGCAGGTGCCCACTCTTTCTCGTATTCCTTTTGCTTCGAATCCTGCGCTGCGGGGGCAATCACATCAAAAGTCCAACTGATTTGTACACCGTCTTGAATTGTGGAAGCGGTCACAGCTACATAGCACTATATGTGAAGACATACTCTGACCCCAAACATCTTGGTTGGATGGCTCCATAAATCTGGTAACATTGAAGTTCTCGAAACTCTGTAGATTACAAATACGTAGCACATTGTTCATGAATAGTTCAAAAGAAGTCAGCGTTGGTAACATTCCCCTGCTGAGACTGCACATCATCTTATACTCAAATTGTGGATCAACTACGATCTATGCGCTCAAAATTCCTCAATGGAGTAAAAGGTGTGGATGGCATCATCCCGGCTTGCCTTGAGGATCGAGTGATGCGAACCTGAAAGGCATGATTGTAGTACTCTCTAGGCTACGGTGACAATGCATATACTTACGTCCTCATTGTACCCATGACTCAGCAAGGGGATCTCTCGGTACAGTCCTCAGAACTGCATCAAGTATTCAGAAAGACGGTTCTAGTTGGACACAAGATCGAAGGACCGTGATTTTAGCATTCAGATAGTTACCTTTGCTCTCGATAAAGAGACTGCAGCTTCTATGGAATGGGACGTTGATGCTTTGGTCCGGGCTGTCGAATACCAATTCCTTGACCAGGAGGGCTCAAAGTACTCTAGCAACAACGCCAGTGCCGAGTATCGCGTTCGAGGTTCAGTGATTGAAACAAACCCTAGATCGTCAAAGACACAGTGGCGGGAACCGTCATCGAAGCACAGTTCTCCCCACCAAAGCCGATTCTTTCCACCTGGGAAGATATTCAACGACCTGTTCGATTGATCAGCACGAGCCCAGGAGTCGATTATCTCGCATGGGTCACCGATGAAGAGATCCTAGACAGGCCACTTGCGGCGAATGAGATCGAGATTGATGTCCAAGCTGTTGGGCTCAACTTCAAAGATTTGCTAGTGGCCATGGGGGAGATCGACCAACCCGGCTTCGGACACGAAGCAGCGGGTATAGCTGTCGGAGTAGGCTCCTCCGTGCGAACTTTCCAGGCTGGGGATCGAGTGATGTACCTAGGGGACCCTTCTCCGGGGAAGATGGGTACGTTGCGCACCCGCAGCCGCACCCATCCCGGGCTTGCGATCAAGATCCCCGACTCCATGGGTTTTGAGATCTGCCAAGACCTCTTGCAAGAAACAATCCAGTTGTGGTCAAACGACGAGATCCAAGAGGCTCGCCCAACCCAGGTCCTTGGTTATGGCCAACTGAAAGAAGGGTTGCGCTTGCTACAGACCGGCAAGAGTATCGGCAAGATCACGCTTGTTCCGGGCACTCATCCTGTTTCCGTCATACCAGCGCCACTGCTGCCACTGGAGCTGGATGCCAATGCATCGTTCATCCTGGCGGGAGGTTTGGGAGGTATCGGCCGTGGTATCGCACTCAGGTTGGCTAGTCGGGGTGCCAAGCACCTCATCTTCCTTTCACGGTCCGCACCCGTGCATGAGGCAGGACAAGAGACGATCGCCAAACTCAAGCTTTTCGGCTGTAAGAGCCATGTCTTCCAATGTGACATCTCGGATGAACCCCGTCTCCGTGAGGTCATCGCCCAGATTTAGGCAACGTTGCCCTCAATCAAGGGATGCATACAGTGCTCCTTTGTTCTGAAGGACCGAGTCTTCGACTCCATGACGCATGAGGATTGGCAAATCGCTCTGGCACCCAAGGTCGCGGGATCCTGGAACCTCCACTGCCTCCTCCCAGACGTCTATTTCTTCCTGATGCTAAACTCCATCACGGGCATTGTAGGGAAACCGAAGCCAAGCCAACTACAATGCCGGTAACAACTTCCAGGACGCCCTGGCCCGTCACCGTGTTTCCAAGGGGATGCACAGTGCCCGTGTCAATCTCGGCGCAGTCGTGGGCATTGGATTCATTGCGGAGAACGTAGAATACGTTGGAAAACACACGTTTAAGATGGCCAATTCCCAGACGGGGGACGAGGTCCTCGCCGCCGTCGAGTACCTGAGCGATCGACGAAACCACACGAGTACGACGACCACCACCCGGCGTAGTCGCGATACGGCCCAGCTCGTCTGTGGTCTCCGCACCCCGGCGTCATACAGCCTCGGGAACGAAGACCAGCCGACGCATCTCCGGTACCCCATGTTCGCCCAGCTCTCACCCGCACTCTCCAAGGCCGGTGGTGGTACCGGTGCGGGATCGGCAACCGCACCCTCGGCAGCCCACCTTCGCAACCACCTCAAGGCAGCTACCACGGCTGAGGACGCGGCGAGGATCATTTACAAGGCGGTGCGGCGCAAGGTGGCGGATCTGCTGAACGTCGCCGAGGACTCCTTCGACGACAGCCTCAATGTCCGCGCCAACGGGGTCGATTCGCTGATCCAGATGGAATTCCGGACCTGGTTCGCTAACGCCAAGGAGCTGGGAACTGTCGTGCCGTTGAAGGACTTGGCCAAGGACCTGACCCAGTTGAGCGCCAGACTTGTGTCCCTGAGCTCGTTTAGCAAGTTTCGGTGAAAGGGATTGGGAGGGGGGTCGTGAGATGTGTAACGACTCGCTTGCAATCACATTAAATCTATGTAAAAGGCCACGAAGATTCGAAAACCTAGTACATACTATGGCCCAGTCACTATTCTGACTGGACTTTCCAAATCTTCCCGAGTTCTTCAACGAGGCTCATCCCACTACCGAGATACATTATATACATCATATATCCTTGACGGCTCCACCAAAAAAATCTTACTACTCGCACTTGACCTGCAGTCGCTGAAGATACTCTGCGTCCACGGCGTAACAGATCGCCTCATCAGTGACGTCGTAGGTGGCGTAGAGGTCAGCACCACAGTTGTCATAGTCCTGCTCGTTGTAGGTGGTCCAGGTGTACAGCACGGGCGACTTATTGGCATCGCTGCAGGCACTGTTGGAGAGGTAGGGGGCAAGGGACTGCCAGGGCCAACCTTCGATGCCGAGGCACGCGCCCTCCAACAGGGTGTAGGTGGTGGCTTTGGCAGAGGAGCAGGTGTTGTTGTTGAGATAAAAGTCGATAGAGACCTCCGCAAGGGCCGACGCGGTAGCGGCGGTAGCGGAGAGGAGGGCAAGAGCCTACACAGCGTTGGTTAGTTGCATCCGCTTCAGCGTTCGTAGGTGTAGCAGGCTCCATGGAGTCAATTCTGACCTTGGACACGGTCAACTTCATATTGTAGAGTGTGTACTTGTGTTTTGTTATGTGAATATCGAAGAGCTTGATCAGTTTGGGGGTCTCTCCTTCCGGTGGGAGGTAGACTCAATCATTTTATACCCCACAGATTCAGCCATACCTTGCTCTTCACATTCCATGTTATTTCTCCGATTACGTCGTGCTTTCCAGACAAACGCTTCAAGTTCGGTCCGTCCACATTTCTGGGAGCCCGCCGAGAGCTGAAGTTTCTAAGCTCACAAATCTCCGAAACTCGCCCAGAAAGGCCCTTGATTCGTTCCTTGGTTCGAAGGATGATTACTTCAATTTGATGATTAGTGAACTGGGGCCGAAGTATCGCCAGGATTCGCAGGTATATCAAAAATAGAAGGCCTAGAGAAGCCGCCAACGTCAGCCCCCGCGCGGTTCGGGATGATTGTTCACGGACTAGCCCGCTAGCGTGGGAATTCCAGGGGTCCACTACGATTTCTCGCTTACGTCCACGCTGACCTGATTGAAGTTGAACAGGATGGTTCATGTGTGTCTGGGAATGCCCACTTCCCCAGATCGTGCTTTGTGGAGTATGCCTTCTCTTTCCCTTATACAGTCGAACGCGGCAGATAAACAGCAATATAGAAGTGGGCGATCCGTTCATATTGATAACCGATGTCGACTTGTGTCCTTGTCAATGGAAGTCCTTGACCGATTGAATCTAGAAGTAGTCTATTTGCCTCTATATTCTCTTCTTCAATAGTCGTACTACGTATCCCATCCCCCAAAACCTAGTCAGGCTGTCAAGGTGCGGGCTGGCGGGGCTGGGCAGGGGTGGTAGAACTGATAATTCAGGCAGGCTGGCTGGTCTTGCCTCAGCCTTTCGCATGAAGGGCATTCTTGACGCGTGAGCGAAGCCTGCTTGATTAGAAGTTGAAGTGACGATAATGGGGCTATACAAGAAGCCAGGAAAACAACATACCCGCCGGTGGGACTCAAGTTAAACACATGACTCTAGTTATGCACAGCTTAGCTGTGTTACATAGCTAATACATCAAGCTCAGACAAGCGCTCAAGGGTGATGATGGTCACTTTCTCTGGAGGTCGCTCCCGGAGCAATGGATCGCTCAGGACACGCACTTTTGTGCTCACCCCACGCTCCGGGCCATTCAGTGAGAAAAAAAGCGGCGCCAAGTTGGACCGAAAGCGGAAAGGGAAAGTCGCTGAGTCGATTTCCGCACAGGGATTCTGTTCGATAGTATCTACAAACCGTACTTTATCCCTACCCCGGGAATCAGCAATTATGATATACTCGCGCCTATCAATTGAACCCCTGCGGGAGCAAGAGGTGGTCACGTGAGAAGACTAAGCAAGTAGCCGTAACCTCCACACAAAGTGACCGCTACCCGTGAGAATAGAAGATTAGCGATAATACCTTCAGGCAACATAATACTACCTTTTGGCCCTTGCGAAGGATATTTGTTCATGATGCTATTTCACACCTTAGTCCTTATAGATTTATATAGTTATTATAAAATTGATGTCAATCTTAAAGTCTCAAATATTTTCTTATTTAGAGAGATCTAAATTATATTATTATAAATTTTCAAAAATTATTATAGTATAAACAAGAGTTTAACAGTAATTATTTACCCTTTTTTGACAATTTTAGAAGAAAAAGTTATTAACTAGTAGTAATAATCTCTACTCGTAATTATTAATTATCAATAATTCTTCATTGTTAACAATGATATTTAGAACCCCTTTCACAAGCATCAGCAGGCCAGTTGGATATAATTGTTGGCTACAACTCCAGGTTGGATGCGCCGGGACGGACCCATGATAGTGTAAGGAATACCGGTGGATGGTTACGGAGTCGATCCTGACAGTACCTGACCACCAGGCCGGTCTACGAGTAGCGTGGAGAGCTCGATCTATGGTGGCTGGAACAACCGGTCAAGTGTCGGAGGGACATCGGCCTGCGCCAACTTCGATTCGCGCGGTTAGGCACCAATTTTCCCATTCAGACCTTGCAGCTTCGTCCATACCTACCTAGTACCCGCCCGTGTCTTCCTCCTTCGACCTGCCTGCCCTACCAGTTCAAACTAGGATGGGGGGGAGCACGAACGGTAGTGGTACGGGAGTGGCACACGGCTTCTGCGCGGGCGGAGCGAAACATCTCCCGTCCGATAACCGTCAAGCCAGCAGCACATGGGTGGATGCGGCCGGACTATTTGGTAGGAAGTACTGAGGGTTTTCTCTCCTGCTCGATACTATGACATCAGACCTTTGAGACAGGATCCAACCACGAGAGTTGTCAACATGGTTGTGGTCATCGTGGAATTACCGGTAACTGATTGTCCTTGTTCCTGGAGGTCCGTCCGCAAGGGGGGCCCAAAAATGCAACCAGCAACCATTGCGCTGTGGGCTTGTGAATAAGCATCTTGTACGGAGTACTGTGTATCAATGGAATTGAAGGTATTGGTCATGACAGGGTCATGACAGGTCACGGTCCATCCGAATGGGCAGCGGAAGAGCCCGGCGGGACTCCGCCCCTGCCTTTGCACCCACCCATGGAGTTAGGATAATAGCAGGTCCTGAGGATTTTGGTTGGGAATTGTCTTGTGGGAAAGAGTTTCTGCTGAGTATATGCACGGTACTAAGTAGAAGTCCACAGAATGAGACTGACAATTACTACTTCTCTAACTATACTCCTTTCCTCACGCTTCCTCCCCCCCGGAGTAGATAAAGGCCAGTCCCCTTTTTTTTTATTTTGCTCTAATTGCGGAAGATCGGAAGACTCACCTCAGTTGAGTATCCGGTCACTGGACCTGCTGACTTTCCGGCCTGTCCCGTTCCGCCATCCCCTCCTCGCTCTCTCTTTCTACGCTCTCTCTTCTATTCTATTCTTATCCATTATCCATGGGATATCTATTGGCCATCGGCCTATCTGCGAACCATCTTTTGCTGCTCCTCCCGTCGGTTCTGCCGGCCTTGTTTTAGTTCGCAGGCCAAATGGGTTGAACCCCATTTCCCTTCGAATCTGCTGTTGCTGGGTTGTCATTTGTTCAATCGTTCTGGTCTGTCCCGTCTGTCGCTTTCGCTTTCGCTTTCTCTCTTCCTCCTCCACTTTCCCTCCTCCCACCCCCTCCTCCTCCTCCCCCCTTCCTCTCCTCCTCCCGTCTGCTTCTCTTTTCCTCCTCCTCCTCCTCCTCCTCTCCTCCTCCCTCGTCGCTTCAACCACCATTCCTTTTCATTCTACTTCCCTTTCACCTCCCCTTCAACCCCCTCATTCAACACATTCTGCTGTTCCATCACTCCGTTATTCCACTATTCCCTTCCACCCCCTCCCACCCCCCCGGTTTGCGTCGGCTGGGGTTATCGCATTACCTAACTCGAAAACAGTACGCGCTACCCAGTGGCTGATTGGGAGCCCGCACTTCTGGCGCCTTATGCTCCGCCATCGGCAGCCTGTCTTTCGCCAACGTTCCCATTACTCATTCTCTCAATAATTCCTTTTTTTTTCTCCTCCCTCCGTCGCTCCGTCCCTTCCCTTCCCTTCCCCGCCTTGTCTTTTTTCCTTCGGCGACGTCTGTTGTAGTCGCGATCCGAGGATCTCTTCTCCTCCCCCCTCCCCTCCCCTCCTCCCTCTTCTCTCCTCATCCCTTCCCATACCTCTCCTCTCCTTCTCCTCTCCTCTCAGCCTCTCCGTACCATCACCATGGAGTCTCGACCTGCGACGGCTGAGCCGTCCAGTAAGCGGCCGCGTTCACCGTCCGGCGACTTCCCTCCTATCGCTTCCAAAGTCCCCAAACCTTCTAATCACCTGCAGATCAACTACCTGGCCCGTCAGTATCCGGATAACCTGCCTCTGGTCTCCGTCGAGGATACCATGCCCTCGATCATCCATCTAATCGGCGAATATGACGGCGTCCTGCACCGACACGAGAGTATCGCCGGCAACCTGGGGGCTTGTCCACTAGGGCCCATCCTGATCAAGCGCTTCGAGCGCCTGTTCGATGGTCCACCCCGCGTGCTCAAATCCCACGGCAAGGACTCTCCCAATGTCACCTGGCTGGACGTGGTTGAATTCGCCAAGAACAAACCGGAACAATTCAATCTGGAGAAGTCTCGCAATGGGGTGCGCGTCTGCCAATTCTATACCAAACAGTGTCGCGTCGAGATCAGCGAGGAGGACTTCGTTCTGATTGCATCGGGCATGCCGCAGAAGATGATTCCCCCTCAGCCGATCATTGAAGACGAAGAGAAGGAACTGGGCGCGCTCGAGATCCTGGAAAAGAACCTCCAGCAGATCATCCAGGTGGCCGATCAAGGTGAGCTTATCGTCAACCTACGTATTCGCCCCAAAGAATTGAGTTGACTGACGAGCTGGTCTTAGTTTCTGCGCGTGCTCGACAACTCAACCATCGCTTGAAGAATCGGAGAACGGCAATCGTCACCCGGCGCGAAAATGACCTGTCGCTCCATTGTCAGCGGCAACAACAGCAACCACGCTCTCTCAGTCCGGCATGGCGCGATGCCAACGGACATGGACCACCGTCGCTCAATGGTAGCGCGCCGGTGAGCGCCCACTCTCCTTCCACTGGTTTTGTGGCGGTCAATGCCGGCCGGCCCGGCGCTGGCGAAGCAGCGGTGGAGGAGAATTCCCTCTCGTCGCAGTTCATGTTTTCGCACTCCAACACGGATAATGTCACCATCATTAACGGAACCTCCATCAAAGGGGCCTCCCCGACCACGCGCGCCGAGCTCATGAAGAAGTTCTTCACCACGCAAGACCGACAATCACGATCCTACGAAGAAGGGCCCGACCCCGCTGCCCGACAGTCGTCACGGCCGCGGCCGCGGGCGTCTGACGCGTCCGACTACAACATGTATACCCCGGCTCCCACTACCGTCGCTATCCCGAGTACGCCGTCCTCGTTGCTGCCACCCCCCAAGTCTCAACACCATGATAAGGATGACGGCGGCCCGCACAAGATGGAGATGGTGGCCCGCATGGAGGAGCTGCAGCGTGGAGAACGCATCATGCCCCCCTGCGATCGATGTCGCCGTCTCCATATGGATTGCCTGAAGAACCTGACAGCATGTATGGGATGTACCAAGAAGCACGCCAAGTGTTCTTGGAAGGACGTGAAGGAAGGAGAGCTACGGGAAACCCGGGTGGACCGCAGCTCCCGGGAGCGGGTGGAGGAAGCGCAAGCCAAGGAGGTCTCGGCGGCCAACATGCTACCCTCTTCCGTACAAGCGCCCCCCTCCGCGGCGGCGACTCCGGCCTCGGATCCGACGATGATGGATGTGGACCGACCCCACGCCCACGAGGTCCATGTCGATTTCAGTACGCGACGAGAGTCGGCCCCAACCGCCCCGGCAGGCCCGGCAGTGGGCACGCCTTTCAAGAGAGACCTCTCCCCACGTCGAGCGATGAGCGAGATCCAGGGCAGCAACATGATGACTCAGGATCGACGAATCAGCATGCATCGGCATAGTGATGCGGCGCAGGACGATGACGCACCGGATGCCAATTCGCGTCTGATGCAGGCGATCTTGGATACGGTAGACCATCACGCGCGGGTGGCGGCCGCGGCGAAAGAAGGGCATGAAGTCAGTAACGAACGAGAACGAGAAAGGGATCGAGAGCGCGAGCGCGAGCGCGAGCGCGAACAGGAGCGCGACCGGGAACGGAAGTTGGTGCGAGCATAGTGTATATTTCTGTTGGGTGTGACGATGCTGGCCGCTGTGACTGGTGATCCGGCGTGTTTTGGAGCCTTGTATCTATGCGCTTTTTTTTGTTTCTGTGTGTACTTTCGAGCGAGTCTGGCAGATATCCCGGTCGTTTGTCGTCATGAATGCATACTGCTGAAGTTGTGTTTTGTAGCGGAAGTAGTGTTCGGTGTCGATCTATGATCGCTTGAAGTCAATCCCGAGCGCGGATGAAGAATTGCCGATGTCGATGCCTGGGTTTGCTTGGTATTGTACTTCGTATGTGCCGACCCCTTCCCACACAACAGATACAGTTGGCTTGCAATTGATGCACTCTTGAGCAGCGCTTGCTTGGAGCATTGAGGTATATGGAGATTTCGGGCATAGCACGCCGCAGGAATTCTTAGTCTGCCTCCTATGAGTACTCAATACTGTGGTAGGTGGAATGAATCTGGACCATTTGAAATTTAGTCACAATTTCACAGGGTTGTAATGAAGTTAACTTAGAAATTTCAATATGAACATAAAATATATATAGAAAATCTGAGTAGCATTTTGTATATTCCTATGTAGCTCAGTGGTGAGATTTTTAGATTTTGAAGCTTGAGTTTCTGAGTCGATTCGCGGTGCAGTCCAATTTCTTGTTAATTCCTTTCCAATATTTAGACTGAATATAATTCATTTTAGAATATAAAAATACCTTCTTCTATTGAAGAAATACTGTTTCCATATTTTAAGGTTTGGATATCTAGTAGATGATTATATGTATTTCAAGCAGGCAGAGATAAAATAAAAGATAAAGAATATTACTAGTCGTATGATAGTATTCCTACCCGGAATTGAAATCACATGGTGAAATTCCAGATTTTGTCACGTTGAACCCCTGAAATTATTGTATGGAGAAAAACCCTCCTAAAACTTGACTTTCACCCATCGTTACTCAGTACTGAGTACGAAAGTACGGAGTGAACGGCTCCAGGTGTAAGGATTTGGCTAGCTTGTTGCTCCGTTATCTCCCCACAATGACCGGGTATCCCGGAAGGATGAATGAGCCTGGCCATTGTTCCCATTGTTCCAGGCCTCTAGGAACAGCCAATATGACCGTGAGTTGGTAGTAGGCATAACTTTGCAAAGTGTGTAGAAGCAAGGAGCACGGCAATGCGGAAATAGCAATAGCCGGGGCCAGGCTGAGTGATGCTTACGTAGGGAGGGCGGTAAGGGGGCGCAACCAGTGAGGAAAGAGCAGTTACTCGTCCGGCGCAGGCAGAGATGTGGGGAAGGCAGAAAACACCCCGCAGTGAATGATTGTATATAGACTGGCAGTCCACCGGCTGGCTATACTTAGCGGCCCTTTCTTTTACTTCCAAGTTCTTTCCATCTAGACCCAACACTCAATCCTTTGCCTACTTTATCAATCCCTCGCCTGCTTCACATCCAAGTTCTTCCGCCATAGACCCAACCACCCAATCCCTTAATCTTGATTCGAAAATCAAAATGGACCCCTCCCTCGTGAAGATCCCGCCCATGAAAGACCTAACCGTGGACAACATCACGGAGAACGTGATCCGCATCAACTCACTCTGCCGCGACGAGCGGATGAAATACGTCCTCGAGCGGCTAGTCACACACCTGCACGACTTCGCGCGCGAAACGCGGCTCAGCACCACCGAATGGATGACGGGGCTGCAATTCCTGACGGAAGTCGGGCAGATCTGCACCGACGTGCGGCAAGAATTCATCCTCCTCTCGGACATTCTCGGTCTGTCGCTACTGGTCGACTCCATCGACCACCCCAAGCCCCGCGGCAGCACCGAAGGCACGGTGCTCGGGCCGTTCCACACGCACGAAGCCGAGGAGCTGGCCGCCGGCGCCTCCATGTCGCACGATCCGCACGGCCAGCCGTTGCTTGTGGTGTGCACCGTCAAAGACACGGCCGGGAACCCGGTCCCCGACGTGAAGGTCGATATCTGGGAGACCGACTCGACGGGGCATTATGATGTGCAATACCCCAATCACGAGGGTCCCGACGGCCGGTGCATCATGCGCAGCGACGCGGACGGCGTCTTCTGGTTCCGCGCCATCACGCCCGTGCCCTACCCCATTCCGCATGATGGGCCCGTTGGACGGCTTCTGAAGAAGCTGGGTCGGCATCCGTTTCGGCCGAGTCATATGCATTTCATGTTTGAGAAGGCTGGGTTTGATCATTTGATTACGTAAGTTTCCCCTTCTTCTGGATCTTTGGGGGGAGGGGGGGGGGATGATGTTGACTGAGGCAGGGCGCTGTACCTCCGGAACGATCCGTACGAGACCTCGGATGCTGTCTTTGGGGTGAAGGATTCGCTGGTTGTGGATATTGGGACGGCGGGGCCGGAGGTTGCGGAGAAGTATGGGGTGGAGGAGGGGCATGCGCTGCTTCGGTATGAGTTTGTGTTGGTTTCTGATGAGGAGACGAGGGCGTTGCGGGCGAGGAATTCGAAAGAGGCGCTCGATCGGCTGGGGAGGAGGGTGAAGATTGTGAATGGGTTGCCTGTGCCTGATTTGGATTGATTATTATAATACCTTAGTATTTGGGTTGAGGGGGGCCAGGAAGTTGAAAGGAAGGGGGGCCCGGGGGTTCTCCTCCGGATACGCTTATATTCCTGTTTGATATAGAATGTAGGTTGCCAGGGAGTTGAAAAGAAAGGGGGGTCCGGGGGTTCTCCCCCGGAACGCTTACTGGTTGTATTATAGATTGGGGAGTTGAGAAGAAGGGGGGGGGGGGGGGGGGGGGGTAAGGGTAAAGTGACAAGGTTGCTTCTTATATTTCTACCTAGGTCTCTCGTCCATCGTAAGTTATCTCAAGCAAGACTGCCATGGCAGATAGCCAAATGCGCAAACACTGCAAATTTCCGCGAGGTCGAATCCAAGACTGACTGATCTTGATCATCCCCTGTCTGCCACACCCATTAGTCATGGGTTACCACTCTTCCACAATCATGGTTCTTCCACTGCTGCCTCGGTACTCAAAATATAGTGGTGGATTGAAGTCCCTGAGAGATTTATATAATTGCAGATGCAGAAAGTAATGATGTGCGCCGCGCGGCGCACTACTAGTGGAGCCTCCGGCTCGAGGACGCGGGCTTGAGCAGCGCCTGGAACGACGACTCCAGGGCCTTCTTGAGCTCCTTATAGCTGACGACGAAGCAGCTCTGCTCGTCGCGACTGACCAGCGTGATCTTCTCGTCGGAGCCGGCGTCCAGCTTGTTGAGGCACGTCAGCACGTGGCCCAGGTCGACGACGGGGTCGCCCTGCGCGTCGACCTGGTGGAAGACGTAGTCGCGGAAGATCTTGAGGAAGTAGCGCTCGCCGTTCTCGGCCCACTGGCGGTCGTGCTCGTACTCGGGCCGCTCGTTGATGAGGTTCAGCTTGGTCATCAGCCGCACCAGCCGCCCGTTCTCCAGCTCGCGGCTCAGGTCCGAGGTCAGCTGGTCGTCCAGGTGCAGCGCCGAGTCGAAGGTCGACATCAGCTGCGACGAGATGCCCGTGATGAAGATGTCGATGTTGCGCTCCTGGTCCTTCTGCAGCCCGTTCAGGAGCCAGAACACCGAGTTCTTCAGCTGCGGGCTGTACGCCCGCGTGAAGTGCTCCATCGCCTTGGTCGGGTTGTGCTGCACGCTGGGCGAGTTGGCGCCCAGCGTCACGATCAGCTGCCCGAAGTTGACCAGGTCCTGCCGCTGCAGGTCCGTCACCGACCGCTGCGTGTCGAACTGCACCACGTCCAGGATCGCGCACGCGCTGAGCCGGATGCGGTTCTTGCCCGTCAGCAGGATCTTGCTGGCGTCGATGATGCGCGCCGCCAGCCCGTTGCTGTGGATCGCCTTCAGCGCGTTGCCGAGCTGCGTCATGTAGCTCCAGAGCACCTGTTCGGGGATGTGCGTATTCTGGCGTCCCGTGAACCGGTTCCCGGCGCCAAGGTGTTGCTCGGCTAGGGTCTTGGACAACGGGTGGTAATCGGTGACAAAGATCAGGGAGCTATCTTGGAAGCTCCTGCTGGTGAAGGCGTCGTGCACGGTCACCACGCTGCCGCTGCATACCCGCTTCCACGCTTGCACCGATCGGATAGCCTTCTCGTTCGTGAGACGGAACCCTGCGTGCTGCGGTTAGTATCAATGCCCACACCAACATTGTCAACCACCAAGATCGGCCTACCTTCTAGTCTTCGAAGGGCATAGAAGTTGCCGTCCTTGCTTGACTGGGCCTTGTATACCCAGCTGGGATAGCCGAAGATGGCTGCGTTCTTCTGGTGGTTCAGGTCCAAAGGGACGAGGGAGTGGAAGTAGTCCACTTGAGCGGGTAACTGAGTGTCTGCGGAAGATCAGCTGCAGTTCATGGCACATCGGCGGAATAGGGCGACTCACTTGGTAGGGTCTGCAGTGTGGCCGCTGCCTTCTTCTGTAGTTCTTCTCGGAAGTCGTTGGGGAGGAAAAGATCGTGGACATTTCGTTGATAGCCCAGGGTGTTCTGGCTGTGTGGCCCAATAGGGGCATACATGTGGTATTGAACCTGAAGACAAGGGTTCGTGAACAGTTCCCAGGACCTTCAATGAAGGGACTCACAGGTTGCTGGAAGCCAGACTGATTCGCAAAGAATGCTGCCCCTCCAAGCGCCGCGGCTGTATCATGGGTGAACGGGTTCGCTTGGACTGGGCCGATAGCGCTGGCAGCAGAAAGGGGGTTTGGCGAAGTCACAAAAGGATCAAAGGCATTGGTTGCAGGGATGCCGGACGTGCCGTTTCCTTGTAGGGAAGCCTATATTGAAACATCAGCCACATCCGCCAAGCAACAGAGCGACTGAAGTCCAGGATGATCTCGAAGCAAAACTTGCACGAGAGCACGGCTAGGTGTGAGGCAGATGCGCGAAGCCAGGGCTTACCATATGTGAGCCATCAAAGCTCTGAGGAACGAATTCCTGGGCTTCCGCGACAGACCAATCGGGAGTCATCGTGCCTTGTCGAGCAGTCGGTGTGCTAGAGCTGGACCCTTGTTGCAGTCAGACGAGAACTTCTTTCATCCGTGGAATGACGCAGAGCATACGTGATGAGATCCCTCGCGGTTGGAAAGGGGCTGCGTTCGCAGCTTTCGGTGATATCGTTGCGGTCTTTTTCATGGTTGCGGATGCAATGGTAGGAGAGGATCCATTGGAAGATAGTACTGTGGGGGTAAAGCTCGGAGAGTCAACGTTCAGTCGTTTCCTAGAAGCACACGAGTCAGCGTACTGTCGACAACGCAATGGCCCAACGTAGCGCATTCGCTCATGGACCATCATGTTAAGAATGCTCACCTGTCCGCGTATGAAGTCACTCTGAGAGGGTCGTGGTTGAAAGCGCATCCTTCACCATGGAGCGTTAGCTGCATATTCGGCATGAGCTGAGTAGGGTTCAGCTATCTACCTTTATCCTCGAATCGACACTTTCCGTAGATCGTGACATTTCGACATAGAGTATCCTTGGCATTTTCCGCTAGGTCCGCAGAGCACAATATCAGCTGAAATGCCCATAGAATCACAAACAAGGAAAGACAACAAAGCTGGCTTTGTGCGACAGGGGAGTAATTGAGCTAACCTCGTGCCTTCATCTTGGGAGAGCCCGTTGCGCGACGGGAATCGTCGAGAGCGGTAGTTGACTTTCCGGTGGAGGCCATGGTATCTCTTGAATCCACAATTCGGCGCGGATTAACACAGATGAATCCCCATCGAATCAGAAGAATGCAAAACCGGGAGATAAGAAGACGCTAGAGACAGCCACATTCCTCTATGAATAGGAGCTCGGGATCGGATTCGACAATAGGGAATGAATGGCCGATTGAAGTTGCGTCTTTTGTGCAGGCGTCAAGCTCGTGCTGCCTTCCCCGGGCTTGAAAGTCCAGTGGTGATATTCGATTTGAGTCAAGCAATGACTCACCGGCCGCAGACCAAAGATCCGGCTGATAGCGTCATGCCATGGGAATAGGAAGGGGATCGAGGCAGCGAGGCGGGCATCCGGGATGTCAAGGGCGCGCGGGGAGAGGGAGAGGGGAAAGTCGAGGGCGGGTGAGTCGGGCGGTCAACCTTCCACTCGGTACTGCCGCTGGGCACAGACCATCCCTCGGTCAAGCGCGCGTCTAGCGTGACGGCGGCGGCGATGACGGAGCTCAACGCTGCACTGAGGCCAGCTAACTTAGTCTCATCGAATACTACTCTACTTGTGACATCGCTGTCCTTTTTCTCTACCCCTCCTGCGGCCGTTAATCTGCCCTTATCGAACGCATTCCTTTGTCTTAAACACCTGGGAACACTCTCTTAATCCCACGGGTCAACCCAGACCGATTTTCCCTCTCTCTGTCTCATCCCGGCCTCACTCCATCCTCCAATACGCACCCATTTATGGCAGAGAGCTTCGCTTGACAATGTCCTCATCCGGGCTTGATATATCGCAGCTGTCAGACAGTGAGCGGGCCGGCCTTGAAACGTATATCGCAGTGACCGGTCAGGATCCTTTGGAGGCTATTCCTCTGTTACGTCGTTCGGAATGGAATGTGCAGGTAGGATCCCAGAAATCTTTCCCGCCGGCTTGTGATGCGCTCAGACTAATTGAATACCGACGAAGATTGCCATCTCGAAATTTTTCGACGGTGAAGGACCGGACCCGGTTGAAGAAGCTCGCGCTGCCCTCAATACCCCTCCTCCTCGGCCGACGCGACAGACCCAGAATCTATTGAGCGATGACCTCCACGCGCAACTCTCCGCATCTACGCGCTCCGCCGAGCCAGCTCCGCGGATAGTGACACAATCCGAGGAACAGCCCGTCTACCGTCCGCCTTTCATCCTGGCGCTCTTATTTACCCCTCTCAATCTCCTCTACAGACTGCTGTACAACTCGTTTCGCTTGTTCGGCTCACTCTTCCCCTTCCTTCCTCGGCTCTTCCATACTACAGCCAGTCCCGCTCTGCACGGTTCACGCCGGAATACTAATGGTCGGCGGCCACTGGGTCCGAAAGATACTGCTGCTCGGTTCATCCGGGAGTTTGAGGAAGAGTACGGCACCAACTCAATTGGCTTCCTGGAGAATGGATACAACATGGCGCTGGAGAAGGCGCACCGGGACTTGAAGATTCTTCTGGTCGTCCTGCTTGCCCCCGAACACGATGATACACATGGCTGGGTCCGCGACACTCTGCTCTCGCGGGAGGTCACCGACTTTGTCAACGACCCGCAGAACGAGATTCTAGCATGGGGAGGGAACATCCAAGACTCGGAAGCATACCAGGTTGCAAACTCCCTACGGTGCACTAAGTTCCCATATGCGGCTGCGGTCGTGCATACCCCCAACGTTTCTTCTACTGCGATGTCTCTCGTAGCTCGCATACCTGGAACCACGTCTCCGGCGGAATTCGTGGAAAAGTTGCGGACAGCAATCACGCAGAACAAAGAACCTCTGGAGCGCATCCGAGCCACCCGGGCAGAACAACAGGCTTCGCGCAGTCTGCGCGAACAACAAGACTCGGCCTACGAGCGTTCGCTGGCCATTGACCGCGAGCGGGCGCGACAAAGACGCGAGGCGGAGGCAGCGCGCCAACGGGAGGAGCAAGAGGCGGCCGAGCGACAAGCGGCGGAGGAGAAGCGGACCCAAGATCTCCAGCAGTGGAGACAATGGAGAGCACAGTCGATCGCTGAGGAGCCTGGTCCGGATGCCAAGGATGCAGTGCGGATCAGTGTCAGGTTACCATCGGGCGAACGCGTCATCCGCAAGTTCGCGCCCGAGTCGAGCATCGATGAGCTCTACGCCTTTGTTGATTGTTATGAGATTCTGAAAGAGCCAACGGAGGGCACTGCGGCAGTCGCCAAACCGGACGGGTATGAACATCAGTATGGATTCCGACTGGTTTCACCTATGCCGCGGGTGGTCTATGAAGTGGGTGCAGGGGGATCCATTCGAGATCAGATCGGCCGCGGTGGAAACCTTTTGGTTGAACCCATCGATGACGAAAGTGACGAGGAGGACTCATGAGCACTATCCACCTGTATGACTATTGATTCCGGGTTCTTGATGTGATGGTTGTATATGGTATTCGAAGGACTGGCCTCAGATTGGACTACATCATAGACTACGTTCGCTCCCAGAAGACACGTGCCTTTACGGTACGCCTCATGTAGTAATATGTGTCCAGGAGTTTAGTGGGAGTAACGGAGTTAAGAGCCGAGGAGCCGCATGAAGGCTGAGCAGCGGCTCAGCTCGCAAAGCCAAAGGCACATGTGCTGTCAGATCAGGGGCATTTATGGACAGGGAAGGCCATCCTCCTGCTAGGCCGCTTCGAATTATAACCGTCCACCATTGCAATTCCACTCTGACTCAGCCCCGGAGACATATTGTATAGCACACACATACTCGTAGGAAAGAGCTGGCGGGGTAACGGAAGGCACTTCTATCATTACAGTAGCCGATCGTTGCTGATCTCTCTCTGATAAACAAGGAATCTCGAGGAGCGGTGGGTTGGGTCCATCGATCGGTCCATAGTTGGCATCGCCAGCAACCCGCGGTGAACCTCGTTTGAACTGGAAGGTGTGTATCAAGATGATACGGCATAAGCACGAGAACACCAGGTGCTGTGTCTCATGGGGCTGAGAACCTCGATTGCTGGGGGGAGGAATATTCCGATGTGCATGGCTGACGTTAGACTGATTGGCGGTCTAAATATACGTGGTCAACTGATATGGATAGAGTAGAAGGGTACTAAACTCCGGAAAGTGCCTTGTTAATGCTCGTGTATAGCTGAGTCAGCCCAGGTTATCCCGACTGCACCGGATCCTCACCATCCCGGGGCGGTAACCTAAGTATGTTAAGGGGCAGTTTTACACAGGAACTTGGAAAATGGATGGGGTTTCGGATAGTTCGAGTGCCGCCCCTCCGGCCCACTTCTTCCTTCTTCTCGCACCTGCCATTCCGCTTCGGGACAATGGACAACTCCGCCGCGGGCCCCGCGGGACCTTCCTCCTGCCAGGCTCCAGGCTGACTTCTTCCCTACCGTATTATTCTCCCTGGCACTTCTCGCCACGTTTTCCTGCTTCCGGCCATTTCTCACAATTACTCATTATGACTCTACTGTACCATTAGGTGATAACTTTTCGGGTCACAATTCCCCTCCTCCGGTGGCAACCTGTCATGCTCACCGTTTGGTTGGCTTACTGCTTGCTTGCTTGCTTGCTACCCAAAGAGACAAGGCTGAGCTGCTTGACTTCCTTATCTTGTGACTCCACAACCAAACCGAAGTAGTAAAGTTCACATTTACTGTGGAAATGAAGTGCACTGACAAATCGTGTTTGCTTCCTCTAGCTTAACCTATCCTGGACTCCTGGGCGGCCGTAGTGGCGTCGCTGTTCCTCGCACTAGCTAGAGCAAAGCAACATTCCGATTCTTGTTATAGACCATGGCCAATGGGATGCGTCTACTGAGCTATCGTCAGCTCTCTTACCCTTGGCTTGGCATAGAATGCTCGAAGACTCGAAGGAGTCTCAAGGGTGGAAGCCTGGAAGGATCTCGACAACGGGGTTTGACAGGGTTCATGGCCAGTCATCTTCTGCCATCCTGCTTACGGGTGCTCAATTATCCGTGGCCACCCTTCCCGATGTGTGCCATACGTCAGATTGGACATGCAAGTCCATTCCGTGGGGTTCTCTGCTCGAGCCTTCCATCTGCTGTCGCAAATCCCGTATTCCCCCTAGCCAGGAATACGCACGGAGGGTGGGAAGTACCGGGTGGATCTGGGTGTATCAATCTGGGTTCCGACCCGGATGTTGCGCTGTTCCTGGTCCCGATTCGCCCATCGCAGCGTAAACTTTTCCACTCTTTGGAGCCTGTAAAATGGTGGAGAGCCCAGACACTGGGTCCCCGTTGTTGATTTTTCTCCTCCTGTTTCTCACTTTTCTTGACGGTCTGTCCTCTTGAACAGCGAAGATCGTACTGTTCCTGATCGATTGGCTAGCGATTCGTTGCTACTAGTCAGTCGTCAGCTGCGATAATTTTAAGATACGGGGCACCGGGGCTGCCGCTACCCTAACAACCACCAGATACTTTATTATCCTTAGCGTTCGGCCACCGTCTCTCCTCTCTCTCCTCGCGCGTCCCATATCCGTCACTCTTTACGGCCTCCGCGCTCTTTCGCCTAAGGCATCGATCCGGGATCGCTTGCTTCTCTAATCTTCTTGCAACCACACCTCTATGCTTCTGGCGTTCTCTCGTTAACTGGCACAGTCTTGCGAGACTGATAGTCTCCACCCTTAATCACCATGTCGCTTCTAGGCACTATAAACCCTAATGTTAATCCAGCTCGTGGCGTGGAATCCCACGAAGTCCACGAGAATGAGAACGGAGGCGCAGCAGCAAGCACCGCGTCGGCTGTGAACGAAGGCACATCCGAGTTGGGCCATCGCCAGCACAGTACTTATGCTACCAACGATGAAGAAAAGGTGATGACAGAGTCCGGTTTCAGCCCCCCAGGACACGACACACGAGGACGTTGGAGCCGTCACACCACCTTTAGCAGCGCCGAGACTGCCCTCGAGAAAGAAGATGGAGGGAAGGAGGATGAAGACAATGAGAGTGAGGGAGTTGCTGCTCAAGAGATCCACCGTCTGGCGCAGCAGTTGACTCGTCAATCCACCCGAATGTCCACTACTGGCGAGAACACATTCCTGGAAGTGAAAGAGGATTCGACCCTGAACCCTGCCAGCTCCAACTTCAAAGCAAAGCATTGGATGAAGAACCTACTCGCGCTCTCCTCGCGCGATCCCGAGAGATACCCCAGACGTGAAGCGGGCGTTTCCTTCCAGAACCTCAGCATTCACGGTTTCGGCAGTCCGACGGATTACCAGAAGGACGTCTTCAACTCGGTCTTGCAGATCGGGGCTCTCATCCGCAGGCTCACAGGTACCGGCAAGCAGAAGATTCAGATTCTCCGCGATTTTGACGGTCTTGTACGCAACGGCGAGATGTTGGTTGTCTTGGGTCGTCCGGGAAGCGGTTGCTCAACCTTCCTTAAGACTCTTGCTGGTGAAATGAACGGTATCTACATGGACGAGGCGTCTCAGCTGAACTACCAAGGTATCTCCGCCCAACAGATGCGGAAGCAGTTCAAGGGTGAGGCCATCTATACCGCCGAAACCGACGTCCACTTTCCGCAGTTGACTGTTGGCGATACCTTGAAGTTCGCTGCGCTCTCTCGTTGCCCTCGGAACCGGTTCCCTGGTGTCACCAAGGAGCAGTATGCGTTGCACATGCGCGATGCTGTCATGGCCATGCTAGGTTTGTCTCACACCATCAACACCAAGGTCGGTAACGACTTCGTCCGTGGTGTCAGTGGTGGTGAGCGCAAGCGTGTCAGTATCGCCGAAGCCACTCTCTGTGGCTCTCCTTTGCAGTGTTGGGATAACAGTACGCGTGGTCTGGATTCTGCGAACGCGCTGGAATTCTGTAAGACGTTGAACTTGATGACCAAGTACGCCGGAGCAACAGTTGCGGTGGCTATTTACCAAGCGTCGCAGAGTGCTTATGACGTCTTTGACAAGGTTACTGTCTTGTACGAAGGTCGACAAATCTACTTCGGTCCTACTAACGAGGCGAGGGAGTTCTTCACCAGGATGGGTTTCGAATGTCCTGACCGTCAGACCACTGCTGATTTCCTTACATCCCTGACCTCTCCGGCGGAGCGTATCGTTAAGCCCGGATATGAGGGCAAGGTGCCTCAGACTCCTGACGAGTTCGCCGCTGCTTGGAAGAACAGTGATGCGCACGCCAAACTGCTCAGAGAGATTGCCGAGTACAATCAGCAATACGCCATCGGTGGCGAGTCGCTTGGCAAATTCATCGAATCCCGCAAGGCTATGCAATCCAAGAACCAGCGCGTCAAGTCTCCCTACACGATCTCCCTCTACGAACAGGTCAAGCTCTGCCTGATCCGAGGTTTCCAGCGATTGCAAGGTGATGCCAGTTTGACCATCTCCCAGTTGGTCGGAAACTTTATCATGGCTCTTATCATCGGAAGTGTCTTCTACAACTTAAAAGACGAGACGTCCAGTTTCTATTCCCGCGGTGCTCTGCTGTTCTTCGCCGTGTTGCTTAACGCCTTCTCTAGTGCGCTCGAGGTATGTCGAAAATGGCCCTCGATATCCAGATTTACCAGGTGCATCACTTACTGACGTTGCGTCCCAGATTCTGACCTTGTACGCACAACGTCCAATTGTCGAAAAGCAGTCTCGTTACGCCATGTATCATCCGTTCGCCGAAGCTATCGCGTCCATGCTCACTGACATGCCCTATAAAATTGGAAATGCGATCATCTTCAATCTCACGCTGTATTTCATGACCAACCTCCGTCGAACACCGGGTGCCTTCTTCGTCTTCCTGCTGTTCTCCTTCGTCACGACTTTGACCATGTCCATGCTCTTCCGTACCATCGCCGCCTCTTCTCGCACGCTCTCACAAGGTAAATATTCATCCTTCTTCTCTTTGCCGCACACATGCTGACCTTGGACTAAGCTCTCGTGCCGGCCGCCATTCTCATCTTGGGTTTGGTCATTTACACCGGTTTCACGATCCCAACCACTTATATGCTGGGTTGGTCGAGATGGATGAATTATATCAATCCGATCGCTTACGGTTTCGAGAGTCTCATGGTGAATGAATTCCACAACCGACAATTCAAGTGTTCCGATAGTGCCTACGTTCCGTCCGGCGAGGGTTACTCAAACCTTCCCCTTGTGAACAAAGTCTGTTCTGCAGTGGGTGCGGTCTCTGGTCAAGAATACGTCGATGGTGATAGGTATCTTGACTTGAGCTTCAACTACTACCACAGTCATAAATGGCGCAACTTGGGGATCATGTTCGCTTTCATGATCTTCCTGATGGGCACCTATTTGCTTGCCACCGAGTATATCTCCGAAGCCAAGTCCAAGGGTGAGGTTCTGCTCTTCCGCCGCGGACATGCCGCCCCTGTAACCAAGGATGTCGAATCGAGTCGTCAATTTGCTTCTCCCGAGAAGGCCGAGCAGGCTAGTGGTCAGCAGAGTGCTGCTATCCAGAGACAGACCGCTATCTTCCAATGGCAGGATGTGTGCTACGACATTAAGATCAAGGGTGAACCGCGCCGCATTCTCGACCATGTCGACGGATGGGTCAAGCCCGGAACCTGCACCGCCCTCATGGTAAGCTAACCTGTCTATCCCCTTTACAGATAATACCTATACTAAGTTATACAAGGGTGTTTCGGGTGCCGGTAAAACAACCCTTCTGGACGTGCTTGCTACTCGTGTCACCATGGGTGTTGTCACTGGTGAAATGCTGGTTGATGGACGGCCTCGCGATCAAAGTTTTCAGCGTAAGACCGGATATGTCCAGCAGCAGGATCTCCACCTCCACACTACCACTGTCCGTGAGGCTCTTCGTTTCAGCGCCATCCTTCGTCAGCCTGCCCACGTCAGCCGCCAAGAGAAACTCGACTATGTTGAAGAAGTTATCAAGCTCCTCGACATGGAAGAGTATGCTGACGCCGTTGTCGGTGTTCCCGGTGAAGGTAAGGAAGCCATCAGAGTTGTATTAGTCGGGAGTTAGTGTCTAACATTAGAATAGGTCTCAACGTCGAGCAGCGCAAGCGTCTTACCATCGGAGTCGAATTGGCGGCTAAGCCGCAATTGCTATTGTTCTTGGACGAGCCTACTTCGGGTCTTGACAGTCAAACGTCCTGGTCTATCCTTGATCTTATTGATACCTTGACCAAGCACGGACAAGCTATCCTGTGTACCATTCATCAACCTTCGGCCATGCTGTTCCAACGCTTCGACCGTCTTTTGTTCCTCGCCAGGGGCGGCAAGACGGTTTATTTCGGAGATATTGGGGACAAGTCCTCTACTCTTGCCAGCTATTTCGAACGCAATGGTGCTCCCAAGCTACCTGCTGATGCTAACCCCGCTGAATGGATGCTAGAAGTCATTGGTGCCGCCCCTGGATCTCACAGTGATATTGATTGGCCTGCTGTCTGGCGCGACAGCCCTGAACACCAAGGCGTGCTTGACCATCTGGCCGAGCTCAAGTCTACTCTCTCGCAGAAACAGGTCGACACGAACCAGGCCGACTCCGGTAGCTACAACGAATTCGCCGCGCCCTTCACAGTCCAATTGTGGGAGTGCTTGCTCCGCGTGTTCTCGCAGTACTGGCGTACGCCCGTATACATTTACTCCAAGATCACCCTTTGCGCCCTCACTGCCTTGTACATCGGATTCTCATTCTTCCATGCCAAGAACACCACGCAGGGCCTTCAGAACCAGATGTTCTCCATCTTCATGTTGATGACTATCTTCGGAAACTTGGTGCAACAGATTCTACCCAATTTCTGCACCCAGCGCTCTCTTTACGAGGCTCGCGAGAGGCCTTCCAAGAGTTACTCTTGGAAGGCTTTCATGGCTGCCAACATTATTGTAGAGCTGCCTTGGAACGCGCTCATGAGTGTGATCATTTATGTCTGCTGGTACTATCCGATCGGCCTCTATCGGAACGCTGAACCGACTGATGCTGTTCACGAACGTGGAGCGTTGATGTGGCTGCTGATCCTGGCATTCCTTCTCTTCACCTCCACCTTTGCCCACATGATTATCGCCGGTATTGAGCTTGCCGAGACCGGTGGCAACCTTGCTAATCTGCTCTTCTCTTTGTGCTTGGTCTTCTGTGGTGTCCTGGCAACACCTCAGCAGCTCCCTGGCTTCTGGATCTTCATGTATCGGCTTTCTCCATTCACATATCTGGTGTCCGCCATGTTGTCTACCGGTGTATCAGGCACCACGGCCGTCTGTGACAACTCCGAATTTCTACACTTCGATCCTCCTTCTAACACCACTTGCCTGAGTTATATGAAGAGCTACATGGCAGTTGCTGGCGGCTATCTTGAAAACAACGATGCCACCAGCAACTGTGCCTTCTGCTCCATCAGCGACACCGACACCTACTTGGCTGCGGTCAACAGCCACTTCTCGGACGCGTGGCGCAACTTCGGTCTCATGTGGGTGTACATCGTGTTCAACATCTTCGCCGCGGTGGGTATCTACTGGCTTGCTCGTGTCCCGAAGGGCCAGAAGACCAAGGGTTCCTCCTAAGGGACACATGTATCAATGTTTCCTGTTCAGCTTCTGTATAATGTGTTCACACATACATATGTCCAGCTTTCGTTGTTGCGCATATTAGGAACTTTTGGGTTTAGACGCACATATTTAGATTTCTCTTCTCACCCACCCATCTTCGCTCCTTGCTTCATATGCATAAGCGTATTCTAGAAACTTGGGCTTTGTCGTCGTTTATTGAATCAGTTCGTCCTTGACTGAAGCACTGACTCTATGCTACTTCCGTGCCCTCGCTACCCCAGACTTTTTGACTTTCTCTTCTTCATCCCACTCCACTTATTCATTACTCTTCTATGCTGATACATATGTACGTACATACATCGGTAATTCTCCGCCAAGGCCAAAAGGAAAATACATAGAACAAGAAGAATTCCACTCAGATGCTAGAAACAATTTCCGACATTTGTTCGGCCGTGCCATCAAGTGCCACTGCGTAGGGCTGACGGCGTGGACAATCGATCAGTTGGGAGATCGGGCAAATCTCACCCCTTGATCGGCGCCTTCTTGTATCACCTAGTTACCCATAGACCGACCCATTAGGCGTGTTCCAACAACGTCTTCTAGAACTCCGAAACCTTTAGTTGCCTTTAGGGCTCAAAGCGCAGAAGATCTAAAGCAGGATCGCAGGTGGAAGGCACACCGGATAGTGATACACATGCCCAGCCCAACCAGGAGCCCCATTGACGACCAGTTGATCTATCAACGAACCACCCATAACAACCGGAAGGGAGATAAACACCCCACTGGCACTGAAAAGTGAGCAGGAGGGCAGTGCTCAGCCTCCAAGACACCTAATCTAGGCACGGCCGGGAGGGACTCCAGTGTCTCGGAAGTCCACCGCCCCTACGGAGTACCAGGCCGGGCACTTACAGAAAAGGAGGCAGCAGCAATGCCCCGAGCTGCCAAGCAACCAACCAGCCATGAGCCCGAGCCCACTATCACATTCTCTTCTGCAGCTCCAGCTCCAGCTCCACTAAAGACCTCGGAAGCCAAGACCGGCATTAATTCTCAACTTTCAGGGGATGAAGGTTAATATCGATGTATCCATACGCACGGGCGTAAGTTACTAGCGGGAAGCTTTTGAGTACGTAATTGAATCTGAGTTTGAAAGTGTCTGGTTCTTAATCTAGATACGGTTGGTTTGGATTGGGTTTGGGGTTCTAGGTTGTACAGATTCAGATGGGCTTAAGAATGGGGTTAGGTGGGTGTGTCTTCGTCCGTAGTTTAGCTATGAATGGATTTTAGATAGTATTCAGATAATGGTATTGATCTGGCGGTCGTTCGTCGTCTCGGTACAAGGATACAGTACAGTACAGGTCGGGATTAAAGCGTTTTTTGTGTGGGGGGATGGACAGATCCAATCGGGGTGAGAGGGCTGGCAATGCTTTCAAAAGTTTGCTTGCGCTTTGGTGTGGGTGGTTCTTGTTCTGAGGATTGAGGATTGAGGATTGAGGATGAGGATGAGGATGAGGATGAGGATGAGGATGAGGTCATGGTAATGAAATGAAGATGCAATGGTCACGATTGCGATGCGTTGGTTGGCTGTAATAATGAACAATGGTTTAGATATATATCTCAAGGAAATTGAAGAAGAAAGAGTGAAAGAATTGAAGGGGTAAAGGAAGAAGACAAGGGAAATTTTGACAAGAATATTAAGGGCGGGTGAGGATAAAGAAGGAACAGAGAATGAAACACTGAAAAGAGGCCAAGGCTTGAATCACAATAGCCATTCAGATAACAAGTAAGCATATGTATAATGTTTTTTTGGTTGGGTGCTAGGGGAAGGTGTAGGTGTCTACCACGTAAACGCTTCCTCCACGAAATCGACCACGGCACCCTTGCCGATCCGAGATCGGGCAGCTGCACGGACTTCATCGGCGAACGCACCAGGCCCACAGACGGAGACGACCGTGGCGCCGACGCGCTCGGGGATGACCTCGTCGAGAACGACGTCGGCCTTGCACCGACCCGGGAACATCTGCACGGTGGCACTGGGCGAGACGATCTCCCGAGAGGACTTGGGCTTCGAGACGAAGAGCTTGATCGTCAGGATATCGCGGCGGCCGGGCAGGCGGAGGATCTGGTCCATCCATTCTCGCACCCAGGCGAGATGCTCTGTGCTGCGGACGGACCAGATGAGATAGACCTTTTGCGTGGCGGCACGGCCTTCGGTGGAGCGAATGATCAGATCACGAACGGAAAGCATGTGATGCGTGATGCCAGCGCCGGCGGAGAAGAGCACCGCCGTGCCGTAGCTAGCCAAGTTACATGCATGAGAGGCATAGGGCCCTTCGATGAAGCCGGACGTGTGAAGGGTCTGTCTAGGAGACGCCAGGGCTTTGTTGTACAACTTGCGGGTCATACCTTGGCGAGCACCCACGATGAGGGACACCGATGTCGGTTGCTGGTGGGCTTTCATGTAGTTGTCCAGATCTGAAAGGGGCTGCTTCTCAAGGTCGGAGGCTCTGCCGGTCGTTGCTGAAGCTGTCACAGACTCGCTGGGTTCAACCCAGGCGACAGAAAAAGGATGCGACATCCAGAGAGCAACGCTCGGGATGTAGGCATACACATGGCTACCTGCGCCAACGTGAACGCGCTTGGGAAGCTGGAAAGTCACTCTGCAGGCATCGCCAGGGAGGGCTTCGACGGTCAGAGTCGTAGAGCCTTTACTAGGGGAGATATTCAGGTATGCAATTCGGCCGAGGCGAGCCAGCCGCTCAAGGAGCCACATTAAACCAATCGCGATAAGCCAAGGCTTCTGGGGGAGATTGTCGAGATCCAGGTGCATAATGACACCGATATATGCAAGGAGAGCACAAAGTTGGTGGATATGCAGGAAAGTCTCGTAGAAGGCATGTCGAATCGGAGACGGGGAGTGGAGACCGAGAATCACCATCGCGACGGTACCAACCAATCCCCAAGAGAAAAAGGGAGTATCACGTAGGCGTGCAAGCATGTCGGAGAAACTGACTTCGTCGCATGCATTGACCGCCCATGCAGCTGTGTGAACGACACTCTCGATGACAACAATACGACCAAGCCACCGGTGAAGCAGATTGTACGTATCGAAGCTGATGTGCAACAGGGGAATGAGCGGGTTGTTGCGGGCAGCAAGAAGAAAAAGAGGAACCATGTTGAGGACGGCCAGCGTCCCAGATCGACCGCGCAGCTCAGCGACAAGAGCCGCCTTGACGTTCACCTTGTAGTCAAGGATAACACAGTAGGCGATCTGACTAGCGAGATAAAGACCAACGAAAATGGTTTGGAATCTGGAAGGCACAGTGCCCACGTTGAGGGCCGACGAAATCTGAATCTCTCGATTGTGCCGCTTGCTTCCGAGGGGTGCATACAGGATATGCTTCTTGATGTTCGCCCAGGTCGATGATACCTCGACACTCCAGAAGGTCTGTTCTCGTCGGCTTGCCGTCAGAGATGTGATATGGCGAAGGTAAGAATGGCTGATTTGCGCGATTCGTCCGCAGAAGACAATAAATGCAAGGATGGTCAACGACGCGTAGATGATCTGTGTAAACAAATGATCTCGAGGTACATCAACTCCATTCAGACCCCTAGAGTATTCATAAATGTAAGTGGCATTGACGCCATAGCCCCGAGAGGCTATGTGCTGCCGTACACCATCCATTGGAGTAGCGATGGCCTGCACAGCACGTTGTAGGAGATCAGAACGGTGACAGGAGATGGAAGAGAGACAACCGGGTCCTGTGGGGTAGTGATTCCAGCGACCTTCCTAACAATAGCGCACGATCCGCTTGAAACAGGCCAATGGCTGCGTATAATGAAGAGAGCTTAATGGCAGGGAAACGGAAGGAATGTGGGGAAGAGCAAGGGACTTCCAGAGAATCTCGAGCGAACAAGGCCCCCAGCGAGAGCGACGGATGGTATAGGAGTATCGGCCAACTGTGAAGGCTGGTTTTGACACACGAAGATAGTGTTTGAAGCTTCACGAGTTGAACCTGGACCGAGCTTGTCTGGCGGGTTGTTTTATCAGGCAATCCTGATGATGACCTCTATTCCAAGGGATGGGCAAATGACCAAGATGTTGTCACGGGTGATGTCCTTTGGAGGAACCAAGGAATGTCGGGGACACCAGGGAAAAGAGCCAACTTGACGTTTGGGATCTACCCAGATTTAGTCTTAGAGGTTATGACCAGCGTCACGAGGGGTGAGCCAGCCTTCGGATATTACTCACCTCCAGCAGCCTACGTGCATAATATAAGGAAAGTAATGCGGCAAGGGGACGAAAGACGCACAGCGTCAAGAAAAAGAAGTCCAGCGGCTAAGAGAAGCGAAAGCTGCCGGCAAGAGCAGGTAAGTAACACAAAGAAGCGAGTGTTTATTGTTGTAAAGAGGACCAATTCCGCCTATTTCATGATAGATGATGTCCCGGGTGCAGGAGATGATCGGCAAGACCCAAGAGAGGCAGAGAAAGCTTGTACGTTTCAACACAGGGCACAATGGTCGATTGTTTGGAACACTGGACAATGGGTGAATGAACAGGCCGCTCGGTGAAAAAAGAACGACCAGCCAGCTGGCTAGGATAAGAAGAAGGCAAGAGTGTTAGTAGGAAGAATGGAAAAGAGTGAAAGAAGAGGGTTCGAAGAATACGAAAGGTAAGAGATGGAGCAAAAGTCACTTCTACATTGAGAGATGCACGGCGCAGAGAGATAACTCTTTAAGCGAAAGAAAAGTACCACATCAGGCAGCGGGCCGGGACTGCCATCAAGCTACAGACCGAAAGACCAATCGTCAGGGCCACAAACGCATTAGCAGGCAATAGTGGCGTGGTCCTCCTGAGGGGGATTCATCTTGAGCGCCAAGATAAACGTCTGCGCTCGGCCTTGAACCGGTTGGAAGAGCTCTGGAGCGCGATGAGGGCCCGACGATGGCATCGTCGTTTCTGATAGAGATGGGCAGGTCTCCAGGCTTGGCCGGAGTTTAGCGCTCTTGGCTCCAAGCAGCAGCCGCGGAGACGGGGCAATCTGCAGGCTTGCAGCAGGGGTAATCCGACCGAGGCGCAACGCTGACCACTGAACAGCCAGCCCCTGACCAGAACTACATCTGAAGAACTCCCACAGGTCCAAAGACGTGCATGTTGAGGTTTGGATATCTCGACTGAAAAGCTCGTATTGGTTTATCGCGACTTCTTTGCATGTTTCAAGTGCTGCAGTTCAAGCTGAAACGATTGCTCCATATTGGCCAGAGCGATGTTTGGCGGCCCACAGATGCCCACTGGCAGGGTCAAATTCAGCCACTGACTAAGAGTTATTGTGCATGCGAGCGGAGAGGGTCGAGAGTGGGAGGGAGGGGGACGGGGGAGGGGGGAGGGTGTAGCTACTAGCTGTTAGCGAAGAGTCTCGGTGAAACAAGCCTGCTGTCCGAACTGGTGGCGGAAATCTTTGACAAGAATATAATTAGTCGATGAATTGAAAGTGGAATGGGGGAAGGTAAGGTGGAAGAAGGGAAAGAGATAGAATTAGAGATACAGTCAGGGAAATTAGGCGGAGGCACATGGCGGTCACGGGTCCGAGACTAGGCCCGCCCTGTTTAATCTGTTAATCTATTTTCATATTATTTATGCTCGCTACCAGTTGTTCGGACACTTCGGACTCTGGCTATCTCGGAATAGTCTTCCTTCAGTCGGCCCTCCGTCCTTGAATTCTTGGAGTATTGGAGTTTGGTTAGTTCAAAAAACACAAATTCCAGATGAAAACAAAGTTAAAAAAAAATTCTCGGAACGAAAAAAAAAAAGTGGATGTGCGTTTACCCTTGGCATTCTACGTACCAGTTCTTTCGGCTCGACCAAAAGCCACATGGAAGTTCGATGCTCAATTAACAATGACAGGCAGTAGCTCATTAGCTTTTTATGCCATGCTTCCGGCGCCTAAAAAGGGAAGACGATTCCACGGATCTGAGACGCACTTAATAAATCCTGCGCGGCTGTCAGTGTGGTATGACGAGCTACGGCAAATATGACCTGACATATTAGCATCCTTCGCCTGTCGGTGTCGAAGCAGGGTTAACTTCCTTACCAGAGATAAAGAACTTGACTCGATGGCGCCTGCACATGTCAATTATCACCTATCGTGGTGCGCTCTTCTTCGCCGGTCTGGCTGCTTACCGTCATGGCGACTTCCCCTGAAACACAAGATCCGAATCCTACCTCGGGATCTAGGATGTCGGATGAAAGTCGAAGCACTTCCGTGGTCGAGTGTGAGGAAACAGTAGGACTTTCGCATGCTTGGGCTTGCTACCTTGCCGCCTTGCTTCAAGATTCGTCTCACCGTCTTGTGTCTCGCTGCCTTCGTCGCTTGATTGCTTGCGTACTTGGTTGAGCTAATTGGCTCTTGCTTGGTCGCTGCAGTGCTCTATAGAGTGGTATGCATCTCAGAGCGGTTGCCCCTACCATTTGCAGCGAGATACCTGCGCATTGTCAATAGCCTACGGCACCTGGGGTGATATTATGGTGCCGGTGCAGCACACCGACTGTAAACGGGTTCAGTCTGAGACACCTGCAATGTTTTCAGCAAGCTCGACAGCCAATGTTAGGATAAGTCTCACTGCAGCGGTTTCTCTGTTGAACTTAAGACTCTCTCAGCTCATGGCTGGGTATTGTGTATTATAAAAATTCATTGCATTCTTCCCATGCTTTGCTTGTCTTCTCATGCGGGGGCAGCATGACTAAGGTATCTACCGATCGGGTATGTTCAGAGCCCGATGCCCCGCATACGGCTATTGAATCCCCCTTCTGGTTGCCTGACGGCGTCCTCGTACTGTAATCTGTATTGCTGTCAATATCATCATCAACAAAGGCATCTATCCCCGGGCTCGATTGGGAAAGTAATTCACACCTAATGCATCACTGCTCGCCACAAACTTGGAGCTAGTATCTGCATGGGGATTTCTTTGTCTTTGTGAGCCTCAAATGTGATGCAGCAAATCTATGTGGAATTCCTATACTGGTACTTAGCAACGGCTCCTGGCTTCAGTGCAAGCTGAAAGTATATATCCGCTCCGAGACCTTTCGTAACAAGCATGGCAACAGCCATCAACATAGTTCCAACTCAATAAGGAATCATGACTACCTAGCCCCCTTAGTAACACTAGATTGAGGTTGCCTCTTTAGTACTAGTAGCTACTTGAACCATCATGATTCATTCGGCTTGAAACTCTTCATCTTGATGTACAAGGTCACTGCTGGGATAGAATACAGCGATGCGTATGGAGCGGGTAATACCACCATTGCCACTGAGGTACTGGAAAGCACTTTCCTTTCTCCGCGCCTCCTGTGCATCACAAATCATACTTTGGAATCGAGCATATGTGATTAGCGCAGCATTCATGTGGAGTACTGGCTGATGGCTTAGTGCATGCGTTTTGTCTGGGTGGCTGAACCTATTTTTACCTAGGTTGCCAGAGCCAGCAGTGTGGGGAAAGCACGAGCGCCTTGATGAAGCTCGAATCAGAAACCCGACGATAACATTGAAGCACGCCAGAGCTGCTGAACGCCCACCAAAACTTCTCGCCTAGTACAACTGACATCAAATCTCTTCGCTGATCAGCAAGCGTCTCAACAATCCCTTCCAGATCACACCATCTACAGTTCCCACACGCACTCATTACCTGCATGGTATCTCAAAGCCAAATCGCGACGCGTCGCTCCAATAGGCTAGTCTGCCAGCATTGCTAGGATGGAAATGCTGCTTTGAAATCTGTCTGGCCAACTGAGTATCTGAAGTGATCTTTGCACTTGAATGAGCGTTCCTCATGGAGCAAGACGAAGGATCTTCCCCGGTCGCGGGAACGCCAGGGTCGAGAGCGAAGGCTCGTTCAGACCAATTGATGAAACGCGTGTCAAGAGCTTGCTTGCACTGCAGGCAGCGTAAATCAAAATGTGATCTGTAGGTCGCCGTTTAACAAATTTACCATCTCAATCGCCTTTAATTCATCTCTTTTTGCTCTTCGATCCTGCCTACATTCATTTTATCTCCGTTCCATGGTCGCATGCATGTGAGAGCTGATTCCCATATATGGCTAACTCAATCGGGTTTATAGAGACAGCAGTGGCAGTCCTGGTGTGCCGCCCTGCCGGCGTTGTATTCGCGATAATCGCGAGTGTGTACTGGGAAGCTCCAACCGAGGCGGACGCCGCATTCGCAAAAACAAAATGCAGAATTTCACCCCGGACAGTATAACATCAGGCCGGAGACACTCTGTCATAGAAGCAGCAAGTCCCTCCAATCCAGAGAACCACCAGGCAACGGTTTCGGGATCGTACCCTGGTCCGCTCATGTTTGTTCCCCCAGACCCACCAACAGCGACTTCAATCTCCGTGGACGATGAAGACACGGCTTCGATCGGCTCCGTACCTCGGAATCCCTCTGACGCATGGCAGTGTTTGACTGGCATTGCGAAAAGAGGCGCGGATGGCCCCAGTCCGGAGTTCAGAGCCGAATCTCTTCGTACAAGCTCGAATGGCTTCACGGGATTCAGTGCACTCCAGAACGGCTCTGTGAGTGACTTTCAGCCAACAGATGGCATCAAAGCATACCGTCTTGTACAATCACGATCTCTAGATACAGGAACAGTATGGCAGCTAGTCCTTCGATATGCCGAGCACTTCCACCCGTACCTCCCATTGGTTCCACGGAAATACTTTGAGCGAAGCGCACTGGATACGTTCGCCAACAATGAGAAGCATCTCCTCACCGCGGTCCTGACTATTGCATCCAAGGACTTGGTAGAGCGACCGGAGATCCACGAGTACTGTTCTAAGTACATGCACGAATTGATATCTGGGATTGCCGCCGGCGCTGACTGCGACGTGGAGGCTGTAGAAGCGTTACTTCTTCTAGCAGAATGGGAACCCCAAGGCCTCCGACCCCGGATAGAGAAAGTTGGCCGTGGAGAGGAGGACCGGGCTGCTTGGATGCATGTTGGTCTTGCTCTGCGATCTGGCTATTTCCTCGGGCTGGACCGAACATCATTTCGAGGGGACTCATCCGGGGACACAGAGACGGAGGCTCGGAGGCGATTAGCATGGACCAGTTGCTATGTGTCAGATCGATTAATTTCTGTCCGCATCGGACGAGCTTTCTGGTCCCGAGGACCGGGGCCAATGACCGGTCTCGTCAGCCAGGATTTCCCGTCGCTTCAACCAGTTAACGAAGGTGATGAGGACTATGCAAGGATCTTCCAGGCCACACTGGACCTTACTCAACTCTATAACAATGTACATGATGTGCTATATTCCGGGATGCGAACGAGCAACCAGATGATGCTCATGGGCGACTACGTGAAGTACGTTGACGACTTTCGACTTGCAATCCTGCGATGGAAATCTCGTTGGGGCTCTTTACCGTGTAAGTCGAACCTCCCGTAGTCAGGCCTGGTTGCTAATCAGCAGCAGGCTCTACGCCGATGAAGGTCACACTGCAGCTGTCTTACGAATACTTGAGACTTTACACCAACGCCTTTGCTTTTCAGGCAGCTATTTCTCAATCCTTGGTCTCCAAGTTGAAGAACGACGACCAGTCCCAAAGAGAGTACTTGCGGGCAACCTTTAACAACGTAGCTTCGATGCAGGATGCTCGATTTATTTACGAGTCAGTGGATGCTGCCAAAGCTTACCTGACTATACTTGTCGACGTGGTCCACCCGGAGAAACATCTCCACTTCATGCCGCTGCGATTCTACCTATATGGGATCTATGCTGCGGTGTTTCTGTACAAGGTAAAATCCCGGAACTCTTCAAAATGCATTGATTTGGCACTGATCTGCTTCCTGCTAGGCCCGCTCGTTCGGTGTCATGATGTTCTCCGAAGAGATGAAGGTGCGAGATCTTGTCACTCGGACAACGCAAGTTTTGAGGCGAGCCAGTGCCGGGCCTGACGATATTGGGTCACGGTATTCGCGGCTTCTCGAGCTCTTATGGCAACAAAAATCGATTCCAGCTGCTTCGCCAGCAGGAACGCACCAAGAAAGTGAGATCTTGATGCAAAACAATAGCAGCACACTGCCGCACCAGACATCCAACCCCAACGATCATGTGCACTTTAGCCCTGCGAACGACTTTTCATGGCTTGATCTCGAGGCTGTTGGGGACTTTGTCTCAGGCGACCAGATGTCGGGAACGAACACGCTCCCACTAATCACATTCCAGAACCCTGATCTATTCACTACAGGACAGGATCGACCCCAGACATGGCAGGTACCGACATGGTCGGGCGACATGAGCAGTAACCTTCTGTTTTAGAAGAATCGAGGATTGCCGAATGGCAGCGAGTGTGATTGCAAGGCGGGAATGATTTGACGCGAAATGGGCATTATTGACGCAATGGAGGCCAGGGCACCGGGGTATATTTCCGTATTGGGCCTGTACGGGCCGTATCAACCAGCTTTACGACTTACACACAGGCTTGACCACCGCCGCCCGTCCGTTTCCTTCACCCCCACTGTTCAATGCGGGGTCGTGGGGGGAAAAGCATTGAGTCGGATTTGCGCCGACCTGAGGGGAACATGGCTATTGAGATTCCTGTGGTCGATGATCGTTCGGTCATCGCATCCTCAAACTCGTCGTCTGTTTACCCTCACGTAATTACCAATCCTGTTGTCCAAGTCCAATCGCTCCAATCCCTATCAACACACCCAGGCTACCGCCATCTTTCCAAACGATGGCTCAGTTAAACGATATCCGCGGCCGACTGGCACTGATCACTGGCGCCTCTGGAGGGTGAGCTCGCAATGAATACTTATAGCTTCATTCTCCATGCTGACCATGGCCTTGCGCCAACAGGATTGGAGCAGCCTGCGCACAACAACTGGCTGCGCGCCAAGTCCATTTGGCTTTGACATATTCGTCTAACCTGACTTCCATTACATCTCTCAAGGATGACCTGAAATCAAAATACCCTGCGCTCCGCATTACTATACATCAGGTGGACGTTGTCTCTGCCGAGCAAATTGAGGCGATGTTCGCGCAGATTGACGAGCAGCACGGTCAACGACCCGACATCCTCGTCTCAAATGCCGGCCACGGCAAGCGATTCCCTCAGATCTGGGATATTTCACTCGAGGAATTCGACTACACACTAAACGTCAATCTGCGCGCTTCATTCATTCTCTCAAAAGGAGTGGTCGAGCACATGAAGAATCAGCGATGGGGTCGGATTGTGTTCATGTCCTCCATTGCCGGCTACGGAGGAGGGATCAATGGTTGCCGTATGTTATCTTGGTTGTCTGCTTGTAACATGTGCTGGCAGCTTACTAATTTCGGATGATGGACTACAGATTATGCCGCCTCGAAGGCTGGTATGACCGGTATGATGAGGAATCTCTCCACTCGACTGGCCGGGTACAATATCAGCGTGAACGATGTGGCACCCGCTATTATCGGAGACACAGGGATGATCCCTAACGCCGAATCCGTTCCCGAGATCGCCGCAAGTATCCCCCTTGGACGGGTCGGGACTCCAGAGGAGGTTGCGAATGTGGTGACTATGCTTGTGACGACAGGTTACATGACGGGCCAAAGTTTGTTGATCGCAGGCGGGTTGAAATAGGCCGTGATGCCTCCGGGAGAGGTCAATTTTTTTTTGTTCTAGTATCACGAAGTGTTGAAAGCTCAACAATTAAAGGGCCGCGAGGCGCATCAGTACTGATCATTAGAGTAACTTTGCTCGGCATGTAGATTGAGGAAGTGGTTATTGCTATTGTTGTTGTCCGCCCGGGCCCGACCCTTGCGTCAACCCAAGGCGGATTACTGCCGGGCGGTGAGCGGGAAACCTACCAGAAGCACACTAGTGCTAGGGCTAACATACCCTAGGCGGGTGCCAAGCGCGAAAAAGCGCACCACAACGAGCGAGCCTCGCGATCTCAAGTTCGAGCGGCCGACGACAGAAAAGCGACAAAACTTCTCACCCGACATCGAAGGACCACCCGCTCGGCAACCACATCAAGATGGTGAGTGCTATATTCGAGTCCGTTGCTGTTGTTGGAATCGGAGCAGAGGATTTTATCGCGAGAATTACGGTCTCCATGATTTTCAACCACCATTGTACCGGAAATCTTCGATCCTGTGTGCCCATGTCCCCCGAATGAAGGCCTATATCCAATTTTCTCGACCCCTGCTGTCACAACCACCAAATGGACCACCTATCTTTCCCGTTACGAATTCTGCTCCGGAGGAAAACAAATGGCGTGCTAGGAGGATTTTGATATGTTGAGGGCTTATGCTGATGTTGGGTTTTTTTTTCCGTCGCCATCAGGTCCGTTACGCTGCTCAGGATATCCCGGCTGCTAAGAGCGCCCGCGCTCGCGGCTCTTACCTCCGTGTCAGCTTCAAGAACACCCGTGAGACCGCTCAGGCCATCAACGGCATGAAGCTGCAGCGTGCCCTTACCTTCCTCACCAACGTTACCGAGAAGGCTGAGGCCGTCCCTATGCGCCGGTACGCTGGCAGCACCGGCCGCTGCGCTCAGGGTGAGTGCCACATTCAATTTTACCCCACATGGAATGGATCGCGGAATGGAACACAACGGAGGAATCGGAAACCAATTTGGGAGCGTGGCCGTCGAAGTGAAGGGCATATGAGAGCGGCCTGGGGGGACAGATTGAAATCCTGGGATCAGCAACAATCTCTGAACGAAGACAACTAACAGTCTTCATTCTACAGGCAAGCAGTGGGGTGTCAGCAAGGCTCGCTGGCCCGTCAAGTCCGCCGAGTTCCTCATCGACCTCCTGAAGAACGCTGAGGCCAACGCCGACACCAAGGGTCTCGACACCGGCAACCTTGTTGTCAAGCACATCCAGGTCAACCAGGCTCCCAAGGGCCGCAGACGTACCTACCGTGCTCACGGTCGTGTATGTTGAATCCTCGAACCATGAAATCTCTTGGTCACCAGTGGCTGACATACTCTTGATTAGATCAACCCTTACATGACCAACCCCTGCCACATCGAGCTTATCCTTACTGAGGGTGAGGAGGTCGTCCAGAAGGGTCCCGCTGTCCAGCGTGAGGTCCGCCTCAGCTCCAGACAGCGTGGCGCTCAGATCCGCCGTGCTCTCATCGAGGCATAAGCGGTTCATGGGTGTCGGGGGAAGTGAAGTGGTCAGAATCTGAATGGGAATGCCGGAGTTCGCTGTTGTACGGAAACCTTTACCTGGTCACGGAAGGAATACAAAAGAAATTATTACTTTTTTGACAAATGGAAAAAATTCGAAACCAACGGGCGAGACCATCTACCAGTGTCACAATTGAGACAGTTGATCTCTATCCACCTCCCACCGGTTCCTTCCCTAGGAGTTCATTGTTCTGTCCCGACAGGCTTTGCAAGGGCTTGTGATGGTAGAACAAGAGTCGAGGATTCTCTCTTTGACAACCCGAAGGAATGGATGAAATGGGTCGACACGGCTGGTTCGGACATTCTCATAATTCAGAACACTTTGAGCGCTGATTTCATGAAATGGATACGGAATTTATTTTTTTTCATGAAGTAAAAGTTGGGGTATCTCCAGATCGTGTCTTTAGTAGTAGTAATGTACAGTACCTGCAGCAGAGACATCGAAACAGGCTGCAACTGCGCCACAGAGCCATTGGACCTACAAGCGATGGCTAGATCCATCATCCTTGAACTCCAGGCTCTCGCAGAGTGCCGAAGACCGTTGATGCCTGCCTGACACGCCAAGAGTGGCTGTGTTCCCCGACCAGTGAGTATCCTCCACCTCCGCCTAATGCGATCACCCGACAACCGACTCGCATGCCCATGACGACAGGAAGCAAAGCATATCACAACAGACACGCATACGTAGTTGTATCCGGTGGGTCGCGCTGGTGAAGCTCCTGCGCATTACTGGGTCGTCCGTGGTCGCAAGCAGGCGCCATCATTCGCCGATGGGGCCAAACCGCGGCGGAAACCATACTTAGGCATAGGCAGAGAGAGCGGGAGAGAACGAGAGGAAGATCTCGGTTCCCCAGGTCATTCTCGACCTGTCCAAGACCAAGCTTGCGTGTTGCCGACAAAGCGTCCTCGCCACAGCAGATTGGGTTCTGATCTCATCCTCACACATCTTCACAACGAGGAAGGTTTCGGGGGGATGAGTGGGAGTAAAAGAATACGACCTGCCGCTCGCCGCCGTTCGGTCGGTCCGCCGCTTTTGCTAACGTTGCTTGCTTTTCCCTCTCCAGTTACTGCGGCGCCTAGTCAACGAAACTACTACTAACTACAAGTCAACCTTTTTTTTTGTTGGTCTGCTTCTTACCTCCCCCCCCCCTCCCTTTCTTTGCTTGCTTCTCAGATTGTTCTTGTCTATATCCTTCTCTTCTTCCCTATCATACCATTCATACTCTCTCATCACTTTGGCATTGTACGGCGATCATGAAGCGCATCTTCAACTCTTTCAGCAAGCGTAGCAGTGAGTGGTTTTCTTATCGCGATCATGCCAGTATCAGTCCCTTATGCCCTGCTGTCTGACAGGCCCCACGCGCGACAGTCCCCCCTCTTTTCCCGATGACTCGCCCGAGGGAATCATCCTGCGAGAAGTGGTTTGTTTAGCCCCTTATTCCTCATTCAGATCGTACCAAGCTAATTATACTGCGTTGTGCTTCAGACTGCTTTCTGCGAAGAAGGCGCCAACAGTGTCGTACGTCGTTTTCCTTTCCTTGTCTCTCGATCGCCACGCCCATAAGTTTCGCGTGTCTCACCTGCGACCAAAGACTCATGCTATGTGTCCAGGGAAATGAGTACGTCCATCTTCCAGGGATTGTCGAGAATGCAGAATCCAGCCCCAACGCAGCGCGCGAAGCCGCACTGCTCATTCGCAATATCTTGTCGGAGCCGTCGAAGCACCCCGGTCATGTGCAGTACAACGCAATCATGCTGATTCGCATCCTCGTCGATAACCCGGGCCATACGTTTTCGCGAAACCTTGACGCCAAGTTCGTCGCGACGGTGAAGGATCTACTCAAACAGGGGAGGGACCACCGCGTCCACAGCTTGTTGTGGGAAACTTTGGATGCTTTGGAGGTGCAGCGATCGTGGGATGAGGATCTCACGCTTCTCCTGCAGATGTGGAGCAGAGAAAAGGGGAAGAGCAATGGTCGGCCTAACGGGTTAAGTGTGAGTATACTATTGGTGATGTAATCTCCTTGCTGCGCTGATGACAGGACCGCTTTCAGGCCAGCCGGAGTTCATCGCAGGTGCGGGTGCCACAAGCGAGTCAGAACCATTTCGCTCCTTCGCGACAGCGGGACACGCTACCACGGCCCGAAGAGCTTGCTGAGCGGATTTCCGAGGCGAAGACTTCGGCGAAATTGCTCACGCAGTTTGTCCAATCGACTCCTCCGACCGAATTGCTGGAGAATGAACTCATCCTCGAATTTTCCGACCGATGTCGTACGGCGTCTCGCGTTATTCAGAACTATATTCACGCGACGAACCCCGCGCCTGATGAGGATACGCTGTTAACACTTATCCAAACAAATGACGAACTCACTGTGGCTCTGTCGAATCACCAGCATGCCCTCCTTCGGGCGCGTAGATCGATGGGCCAGAGCGGTAGCCCGTCCCCAGCAACATCATCGTCCAACGAAGCCGCTGCGTCTGGTGCTGTGCAAATGCACGCACCACCTCCAGTACCCCCTCGGCAGCCGCAACGTACTATGTTTCCGTCTTCTGCGTCGGCGCCAATGATGCCCGGTGCCGCAGGCCCTTCGGGGTCAAATGCCAACAATGGCGGTTGGCACGAGCAGCGATCGGGGAATAGTAATGGGGAACAAGATCCGTTTGCAGACCGCCACACCACTACTGCAGGCCCCTCGACGTATGGCGAGCCGAGGACAGACGGACCGAGCAGCGACTGGTGGACCGAAGCGCAGCAGCGGCCAGGCCAGCATTCATGATTTCTCCCTTCCTTTCCCTTCTTCCTTCCCTCACTTGTGTGTTTTTATGATGTAGCGATACCTCGATACGATACCTCTCTGCGGAACAGTGTTAGATTGAGTTTACTATTCTTATTTGCCTTTCTTTTACTATTGGTGCATTGTGGGTCGTATAACGCCAGCCCTGACCCTCGCAGGGGCAGCCGCCATGGACAGGAGCCTGGCTCGGATATTGCAATGCTCGTTCCGAATAGATGAACTTGCTGCATTCAAAGCCTCGGTTCCAGCAGGGGTGGAAATGCTTGATGGATCTTCTTTGGCTGATCGGGGTCTTAGCTCGAACCGGCAGCGCCAGCCGCCGTCACCGGGCTGGAAATGCCCTGGCTGGATATCTTCCCAAGTTCCTACAGGCGAGGGGGGGGCACAGCAAACCAAGGCCAGGAAATTTAGGAGGATCCGCTGGAGAGGGAGAGCGTGTGGAATAAAAATCGGTGTCTGGCTGGGCAAGGCGCGGAATTAATGTAGGTGAAACCCTAACTGTGCCAAGCATCCCGAGCTCACTGCTAATAAGTCGCATCTCCACAGCTGTTTCACGCCCATCTACGTGAAACCAGTCGGCGCTTGGGATCATACCGATCTGGTGCGTGCGACCGCTGCACGCCCATCGGTCTATGGCCACTGGCGTGTCTGGATTAGTGACCTGTCAATCTATCGTGCCATATTCCGGTGGAGAGGCACCCTGTCATTAATTCTTCAAGGGTTCGGATGGTTCTGTCTAGATGCAAGAACCGTTTCACGGCCGACCTCCGAACGAAGCTGCCCCAGTTGGCCCCTGCACCGTTTCCCTGGTATATAGGATGGCGAGCATCGCTACTCTGCTCGAAACTTCTCATCTTTCTCTACACGCAGGCTTGTCTGTTCGCTTCGTCCTTCTCTTCGACATTCTTTTTTCTTCTGTCCGGTCTGTGACCATCTCATTCCTTTAAACCATCCACTCTTTAAAACATCAGGTATACTGGTATACCCGGATCCTTCGCTACATTCTTTCTATTTACCCAATCAACACCAATTCAAAATGAAGCAAACCGGCTCTATCCTCGCCCTCGCTGGACTTGTGTCCATGGTCAACGGTCACGGTTTCGTGACCAGCCCCCAGCCCCGTATGCCTGGATCTGCCATGGAGAAGGCTTGTGGCCAGCAGGTGTACAACAACCAGAAGGCCGACAACTACGGCAACATCCAGGGTGAATTGCAGATCACCAATGGCCAGAACGACTACGACGCCGAGGCCTGTGATATCTGGCTCTGCAAGGGTTACAAGTACGCCGACAACACTGCCAACGTTCAGTCCTACAAGCCCGGTGAGACCGTTGACTTCAAGGTCGATATCCGCGCTCCTCACACCGGTACTGCCAACGTCTCCGTGGTCGACACTGCCACCAACACCCTGCTCAGCCAGCCCCTGGTCTACTGGAGCGTCTACGCTTCCACCGCTACTGGTGTGACCGCCAACGAGACCAGCTTCAGCATCACCATGCCCGAGGACTTGGGCGACAAGTGTAACGAGGCTGGTGCCTGTGTTCTCCAGTGGTGGTGGGACGCCCGCTCCATTGACCAGACCTACGAGTCTTGCGTTGATTTCACCATGAGCGGTTCTTCTTCTTCTGATTCCTCTTCCTCTTCCCCTTCCTCCGCTGCCGCGGCTGTCTCCACCAGCGCTGCTGAGACCACCACTGCGGCCAGCGTCGCCGTCACCTCCCCCGCTGCTGCCAACAACATCGCCTCCTCCGGCCCCACCACCCTGGCCACCAGCGTGAAGCAGACTGCTACTGCCGCTGCCGACTCCAGCTCCAGCGCCACCAGCGTCTCCTTCCCCACCGACGGTACCGCCGAGGAGCAGCTCACCTTTATTGCCAGCGTCTTCAAGGCTCTCCTCAACTACGCCAACTAAATATTGGTCTGGGATGATGCGGGGTGTACCTTGTACATGTGTATGTTAGGATAGAGGTGGATAGCAGCTAGATTGCCTGTCTATTCTTATTAGATCTTCTTTGTTAAGACTAGCTACTTTATTAAAATTATTCAGTTCTTCCAAAGCATGACTCGTCTTCATTAAGTAGTTTCCACTGAGTTCACATTAGCAAATACCTTTGGCTCGTAGAAGTGATGGTAATCGAACAACGGTCGCTAGGCAAGACCCCGAACCCTTCTTAGGTCTTTCGAGGTCCTCGGGTCTCAGGGTTGTGCAGCTGGTCATGCGGCCTGACTTGAGGAACTTGCTGAATCTATTGCATCCGTTTGAACTACCTCTCCGAGACACCCAGTAAAAATATTAGAAAGATTATCGGGTGGTGAAAAATTGAATAACTTTTTCTTTGACAGTTCTCACAGTATCGCCTCCGTTGATACCTTGAGGATCTACCGTAGCCACCCGGTACCAGGGCAGCCATGGTAAAGTCAAACCTGGACATCGCGTTAATGAAGACCTGAGAAACTCACATCGCGTTAATGAAATGCTGGGAATTTCCGCGAATCCCCACACTGTCTATCACGATTTGTGTATGCTCGTACCTTAAAAATGGATCTAATCTCGTTCCACGTCGTCATACGCGGAGTTTAAGCCTACAGGCGTGAATGAAAACACAGCGAAGCTCTCAACAAACCGGGGCCATAAATATCCTCATCTTTTCGCCTTCGTCTTTCTGTCTTTTTTCTGTAACACCTTCGCTTAATACTCTTGATCGTGATACTGTGTTATCGATCTTCGTCTGGTGTTATTGGCACCTATTCTTCTTCTATCCTCGTCCATTCGTTGGAAGATACAGTCGATACTATCCAATCACTCACCTTATCTGTTTCGTATCAAGTCATCGCGAGAAGTGTAAGCCAACAACTCACTCGTTTATTCTTCTTCGTTTGTCTTCGTCGAACGGTGCACTAACCCACAAACAGGATGAGTTCTGTGCAGGAATCCGCCCAGGGCCCGGGCAATCCGCCTGCTGCTCCGCGCCCTCAGGTCCAGGCCAACCAACCTCAGCAGGCTCGCCGTGCCCAGGCTGCCGGGACTCGTCGTGACGCGACCCAGCAGACCGGTACCTCCCCGTGAGTGTCTCCGCTTTCTTTCACTGTTTTGCATTTTTCATTATTCTAATGTGTAACACGCTCCAGTCCCGCGAAGAGAGTCCGCTCGAACGCACAGGCAAACGCAAGTGCTCAGCCTGTGACTGGCCAGCCAAATATTGGAAATCCGGCGATCGTGAATAACCGGGCTACTGTCAATAACCGACCTACTGTCAACAACAATAATGTCAGGCCTAGTGCCAACCAGGCAGGCGTCAATCAGCCAGGCCTCAACCAGCCAGTCGTCAACCAGCTCGAAGCAACCCCGCCCCCCGGCGTCTCGCGCTTCCTACCAACCTACCAGCCGGTCTTCAACAACCAACAGTTCACAATCCTCATCTGGGTAGGCGTGCAGCACACAGCCTTCTTCGTGGACCTAGAGCAGATCCGCCCGTACAGCAATCAACTGTACGCCTGGATGGTCAGCGCGAAAAGGCAGGGCACGCGGCTCATGACCCTCCGGGACGAAGACCCCGCCACCTTCAGCAACTTCATCAAATGGACCGGAGACCGCGTCCTCTTCGACGGCCTCTGGCTCCCCGACCTGGCCCCCGTTTTCAAACTGTGGCATTTCGCAGAACGCCACACCTGCCCCGAGCTGAAGAGCGACCTGTTGCTGTACCTGCAGAGCTGGCTGGGCGGGAACCGCGCCCCGATCCCGCTGAGCACCATCCAATACGTCTATGCTTCCTCGCGGCCTGGTTCCATGATGCGTAAGATGGTCGCCGAGGTTAATGCGTGGCGGCTTGGCTGTGTGGAGTTTCGTGGTACGAAGACGGTCGCGCCTCGTGAGTATATTGAGGATCTCGCTGAGGGGTTGTTGGCCGTGCGTACGGTTTGTCCTGTTACGGGGTTGGCGGGCGATTTTGCTACGCGTTATTTGCAGGTTCAGGCGGAGGGTGCTCAGGCAGGAAATGCTCAGGCTGGAGGTGTCCAGGCTCAGGGTGCTCAGGCTGGAGGTCCTCATGCCGGAGGCGCCCAGGCGCAAGGTGCCCAGCAGAATGCAGCATAGAGAGTCAGAGCAGTATCAAGCTTTTTGCTTTCAGGCCTGCTGCTGAGGAAGGTGGTGTTGCATGGTGAAGTGGATTGGCGTGCCGGAAATGCATGGTAGATTGCCAGGTGAATTTGTTTCGTGCGATGAAATTTCTTTGTTATTTGTCACTTGCTTAAGACTGCGTTGAGACTCTTTGTTTCCTTGCGACTGCGGTATTGATTTCGATGGAGGAAATCTGGGAATTGCTCGAGAATGTGTTGCGAAGCTTTGTCGTCTGAATGGTTTTTCTGCGTTTGTGGTTGCTTTGCATGCGAGATTGTGCTGTTCGATCTGAATTAGACTGTTTAGATCAGAGAGAATTAAGTCATGCCAGTTACTACTTTAAGTAAGTCATGCAGACGCATTGAGATGTAGCTGTATTTAGCCGGGAGATATAAGAAAGTGTAGGCTGAGCATGTTCTTCACTTGAAGTAACTATAGATTACATTGCCGGCTGCACGGCCCCTAACAGCTGAGTCAGGGTCCAGGTTCGCTAACCGGATCTGGACTAGTTCCCGCTTGATAAGAAGATCAAGCAGATTGATAAGTATCTTGTCCCCAACCATCACCACCACCCCCTTTTCGCCTCAACAAAAATGGAAGAAACACACCGGCACGGCGCCTCGGTGCCCCTTTCTCACCTACCTCCTCACTCCCACATCCCACACGATGCCTCGATTGCCTGCAATGCGGCCACCACCACCGCACTGGAGCTCTCGGCGCCGCACCGGCGAGTCAGCATCGGCAGCGACGAGGAAAGCCAGCCGCCGCCGCGGTACACGCTCGCGAATGACCCATTCCAGCTAGCCTCAAAGCTGAAGACGCCCGAGGAGATCGAACAGATCCAACCGCAGGCCAACATCGCGCGCAAACGCGGGTCCGGACCCACAAACCAAAACCGGAGCTGCCTGGCCTCGACGGGCGGCAGCGGACGGGGGGGCCCGCACCGGGCGCTGGCGCACAGCCTAGTGTCGAAGCAACTGCAGGGGTTCTACCAGACGCAGAACGAGAACATCGAGCGGATGCTGAAGCCGGTGGAGGAACACGTGCGGGCGGCGCGCGAGACCAACAATAGCAACCAGCTGAAATACCGGATCGCGGTGTACGGCAGCTTCGCGGCCAACGTGGTGCTGTGCGTGCTGCAGCTGTACGGGGCGATCTCGTCGCGGTCGCTGTCGCTGTTCACCACCATGGCCGACGCCATCTTCGACCCCATGTCCAACCTGACGCTGCTGCTGTCCAACAAGGCCGTCAACCGCGTCGATGCCCGCAAGTTCCCCGCCGGAAAGGCCCGCATCGAGACCGCCGGCAACATCTGCTTCTGTTTCCTCATGTCTGCCGTCTCGTTCATCCTCATTGCCTTCTCGGTGCGCGAGCTGGTGGAGGGCTCCGAGTCGGAGACCGCCTCGTTCCATCTCCCCTCTGTCGTCGCCGTCATCGTCGCCTTCTGCACGAAGTTCGCCCTGTTCCTGTACTGCTTCGCGCTCAAGGACCAGTACAGCCAGGTCCGCATCCTATGGGAGGACCACCGCAATGATCTATTCATCAATGGCTTCGGTATCTTGACGTCCGTCGGTGGAAGTAAGCTCCGCTGGTGGATTGACCCGGCCGGCGCCATTCTGCTGTCCGTGCTGGTCTCGGCCCTGTGGTTGCATACCGCCTACCATGAGTTCCAGCTGTTGATTGGCGTGACGGCTGAGACGAAGATGCAGCAGCTGATTACGTATATTTGTATGCCTTCCCCTTTCAACCCAGGTGTTTCAGCTTCTTATCCTCTGCGTTGTTTCCATCCTACCTTAAATTACGTCCCGTCTGCTAACCAGACAAAGCAATGACCCACTCCCCGCTGATCACCGCTATCGACACCGTCCGCGCCTACACCTCTGGGCCCCGTCTTGTCGTCGAAGTCGACATCGTGATGGACCCCGATGACTCCCTGCGTGCCACCCACGACGTGGCCGAGGAACTGCAGACGAAGCTCGAATCTCTGCCTGATGTGGAGAGAGCGTATGTGCATGTGGACTACGAGACGACGCACAAGCCGGAGCATTTCCTGAAGAAGGAGCTTTAAGTTGGTGCTTTCTTTGATGTGCGGGGGTGTGTGTGTGTTGGGGACTCGAAACAGACCACCAGGACGGATTTATGCTATCAGTGCCGCTTGGAAGGGCCACATTGTACCGTACCTGATATGACTTAATGTCTGGACAACTTATGTCTGGAAGTATAGAATAATCTAGCTGAATAATCACGTCGTTCATCTACCCCTTACCCAGCGATATCACCGCGTCTGCAGTCTAAGAGCAGGCTCAGTAAGATCAACAAACACGCTACACAAGCTCGCCCATCACGACCTGGCTCTATCCTCCAGCACGGGCTGCATCAGAAAGTCATCGAACGCCAATTCCTCGGCAGTCGGCCGCTCCTCCGGCTTCCAGCGGAATATCCTTTGCAAGAAATGCAAAAAGAGAACATGATCGTCTCCAGAAAACTGCCGCTCTCGTATAGCCAGCGTCTGCTCCGGAATGGGCACAGTCCCCTTCCAAGTACCTGCAAGAATCAGCATCACCATGGCGCACAAATACTAACAGGTAGTACAATACACACCATCCTGATCCCAAAATCGACGACACTTTTCACTGCGCGTCAGAAACTCTGGAGAAGGAGGACCCATCAACGACACCATCTCCGCAAGATGCTGATCATCATTGAGAACCCTATCCTTTTTTGCGAAAAACAGGTGGCCCCCCTCCACGAGATCCCAAACCTAAGGCCAAATTAGCCGCAATGTATGTACACCTCGAAGGACGAGACACCAAGTGATGAGACCGCACAATCCAGTTCGCGTAATCGTACTCACCATAGCACCGATCGACCAGACATCTACTTTCGAGTCCCATTCCATGTCCAAAATCACTTCCGGAGCCCGATAGATACCCGGCATGATATCCCCTTTAAGCCTCCCACCCCCCACACGCGCCTCCCCAAAGTCAGTGAGAACAGGCATACCGGTACTGACCGGCATTGGTCGGGAGTAGTAAATGTTGCGATCAGCCAACACTTTCCGAGCGATAGGCCTCGCTATCTCATCTTCTTCTATCTGCGGCAGGATCGAAGGATCCTCGATCCCGAAGAGCACGTTGTTAGACGAGATGTCTGCAAAGTCTTAGGTATCTATTTTCCTCAAACACGTCACGTTGGGCAGGGTGCCTACCGGTGTGAATGACGTTGTTATCATGCAAAAAAGCCAGCCCGATCAGAATAAGCTGGGTGCCCCTCTGAACAAGATCCTTCGGGAGCAGACCGTCCGGTCGGAGGTCGCGAAACTCCGTAAAACTCATGCCCAGGGGCTGGTAGACCAGGCATGTGTGCTTCCCGTGCGGGCCGGCGACCTCGAACGAGTCAAGGACTAGGCGAACAAGCCTTTTCCCCGTATGATCGGGGCAGTCCTTCAGGTGCTCTGAGATCATGATCTCATTGCTCGGCCGTTGATCCCGTACACAGACTTTGAGGGTGTAGTAGCCGTGGTCTCTGTAGCGTAATTAGTCATGCGACATGCTCTCATGAACTCAAGAAGGCGATCTTGGCGCTCACTCAAGGTTCCGGCATAACCAGGCTGTGGAAGAAGTACCAAACCCGAGCTTGGAGACTACTTGATACTTGCCGGCAAACACCTCACCAATATCAACGGGATAGTATCGTTCAGCAACATAGAAAGGGAGTTGCTCTTCCTCTATCTTCTCACTTGGGTCCAATTTCACGAACCCCGAGGTAGGAAAGTCGCGCGGACGAAGGGGTGGGACTGAAGCCATAGATCTTAAGATCATACCACGGGAAGGGGGAGTGACAGTGCCAACGGAACAATACAAGGAAGTTCGAAACCGCTGAAGAGTTCTAAATAGTGTTGACATGGTAGAAAGACCCCGCACACACCTGGCGACTTTGCTCTTGGCTCGGAGGAAAGAGAGAGGAGGTTACATGGGGAAGGCGCCATAGAGTACCTCCTCCTACTACCGCTTAGTGGGCCTAGACGGGACGACGGCAGTTGGTTCACACCGCTCGCTCACCAGTCAGATCGGCTGCCTTGAGTGTTGCCTTACTGCCTTACTGCTTTGGCGCCATCATCCACGGTTGATTTGACCTTGATTCCATCCTTCTATAAATAGGCCGGCGGTTATAGTCTCTAGCTCATGAACCACAGGGCAAAGACCGAAGACCGCCCGCATCTGAAGCGCTTCACTAAAGATGTACAGATTATTCCTAGCAAATGAATTTCATCCTCCCTTGTCAGGTTCACTTATCCTTCGAGGCCGCGTTACTTATGGGCAGTGGGACTTGAATATAAAAGCATCGTTGAGAACACCTTCCTAGGACAAAAGGTTCGACTTCCCTACATGATTCACTTGACATACTTTTATTTACTTCTCAACCCAATCAATCCCCATAGCGAACCTTATTTGACAATGTTCAATTCAAGCAGGGCACTGGGCGTCGCATACAGGGGGATTTCCCTCGAAACTCTATTCAAAGATGCGGGATCAGGATTCGGCAACACTGTGAATACTGCCAGTACAGTTATCGAGAACAAAGTGAGTGCATAGACATCTCGACTTTGCTTGGTGGAGATGGGCCTTGACCCCTGCTTACTGGCTTCTAGTACCCAGCGGTCGTTGAGGGAAGGATTCAGTAAGTCCCTTCCCAATTGTACCCTACGTGTTAGTTAGTCCATGCTAAAACGGTGATATCTCACAAGGGGCTCGAAACCTCACCATTCCAGCAGAGACAGGAACGATCCCAAGAAAGTGGTCACTGTGGGGTACCATACCAAGAATGGAACAAGGTTACTGTCCATTCATGCACATGAGGACGGCACCTGGAAAGAATTCATCTCGCGGGCAGGCAGATCCGCTTCTGCGACGCAGTCGACCCATGATTCCCCTCCCGAGTCAGAGTCCCAGGGCGATCATCAATCAAAGGGAAAGGCCTGATGTCGGGGGTAGCCATGCCCAATTCTGCGAACCATTTGTCGTATACGGCTATAGCTTCTTGATATTGCTGTCGGCTATGTCTCTTTCTAATATACACCAACCTCTATCCATTGATTCATGTGTACCTCAGTCAGTCGGAGTCCTGTATCTATCAAGGTGCATATCCTGTTTATACATACATCTATGCGTTGAAGTTTATCGTGTGTTCTCACACGACGCAGCAATACACTTCAATATCTCTATCACCAACCTCTGTCTATCATGAGCTTATGATTACAATTCTAGTGCTTGCCTTTATCGAAACCCAGCACGAGGCAGTGCTATGAAACCAGAAGAGGTAAGGTAAAATACCCTATAACTTAACAGCAATGGCATCCTCACATGAGAGTACATAACCCCTTCCGTAGCAGAACGAAAGTACTGTTCGTTTGTCACATAATTTTATTCATTATCATGGCTCATCATCATAAACATCAACATCAACATCAACATCATTCACATCAACCCCTCCGGCCGGTGCCTCGCGTCGAAATCGGCAACAAACTGCCGGCGAAATCCGTGTCGATGCTCTTGCGTATCGACCGATTCCCACTCAAGATCTTCTCAAACTCATAGGTCGTTGCCCGGATGGCTTCCTGCTCGTCTCGAGCCGGTTTTCCACCACTACCACTACGACGCAACTGACCCCTCTCCCTACGCATCGCCATCCACCGGCGCGACCGGCGGATTCCCTCCTGACACGCGTCCCCGATATCATCGAGCGATAACGCCAGGATGATCAGCGGGATCGAGATGGCGAAGCCGATGCCGAAGGTATACTTGGCGACATACGACAGATGCAGCTGGCCGGTTCCATCGCCGGAGGACTGTCCGAACTCGACCAGGTTGATGGTGAAGATGGAGGTGATGAACGACAGCGGCAGGAAGACGATGGTCACAATGGTGAAGACCATCATGATCTTGCCCTGGCGCGTGGTGCCCGCCGCCTGGTCGCGTGCGAAGCGCGCCTCGAACGCGTTGGCGTGTTTCTGCTTGAGGTCCAGGAGATCGGTGATGGACGAGTAGATGCGCTCCGCCTGCTTGTCCATGCGGTCGATGTCCTTCAGGTGCATGTCGATCGTGCGCTGTTGCTCCTTGAAGCGTTTCTTGATCTCGTGCTGGGACCGGTGCTGGCCCCCGTAGATCTCGCAGATGGCTTCCTGGAAATCCAGCAGCACGTGTTGCTGGTGCTGGAGGACGGTGCGGATCATGTTGAGCTCGTCACGGATGTCTTTCGCTTCGGAGAGGAGATCGGTCTCCTGGCCGATATCGAGGAGATTGTCGACGAAGAGTGGTTGTTCGTCTTCGTCTGATTCACAGTACTCGTCGCCGGTGGCTTCGTTGAAGCCGCGGCGCTCTCCCGCAGATTTCGTGTCGCGATCTTTGCTGGGTGGTGGAGTGCGGGCAAACCGGCTGAGCTTGCGGTGGTTCTTCAACCAGTCGGACGCTTGGGCCGAGTCCCGGTTGAACTGGTTGAACAGAACAGTCTCACGGTCAGTTGCTACACCGATGGATGCCTCGAACATGTCCAAGAACTGATACTCCTCGTCGCCCATGCGGTGACGGTCAAACACTCCCGAGCAGCGGGTGGTGATGATAATGGCCAGATCGTAGACTGACTTGACTGGCTCCCTGGTCTTGGAGTTGATATCTTCGATGATCCCGTCTAGGACATTGAGCGGGTCATTCTTCGGCTGCTCCCACCGCTCTGGGAAACTGGTCACGATCAACCCAGTTCCAAGAATCCACATCCACAGTTGGTCCACCATGAAGATCTTCGGTTCCGACAAGAACCGCTCGCGGCCCTGTCCTTTGGTCTGGTACCGGTATACGACCTGGTCTTGGTCTCGCGTCAAAGTGTCGATGTTAGGGTAGAAGAACTGGTCCAAGGTGCGTCGGACGTGAAGCGACGTGGTGGATGATACTAGATGCGCGCTGATCAACAGCTCGTCTCGCGTAGGAGTCCGAGTGAGGCCAGGCCGCGCCAGACATCGCGTCTCAGCTCGCTGGATGGCGTCTTGCATCTTCTGGCGTCTCTCTGTTGTTTCAAAGTGCAGATAAGGCATGAACATACACACATTGCAAGCGTTGGATCGTGTCTGATCTTTGCAAAGGGACAGCGCCGATCGGTTTTTGTCGTTTCGGTCGGCACTGTTCTGAAGTTTGGATTCGTACTTGCTCGGTGCTCCTCCAACCTTGCCTTTCTTGTTCGCACCTTTCCCCTTCTTTGCTGTGGTGTCAGAAATCGGTTCATTGCGCTCTGTTTTGCTCGCGTGCTCTTTCGACTTCCGGCCTCGAGACTGGTTCACCTCTTTTGGAGTCCCGGGGACCTCGTGGGCCTGTCCATTGATGAGGATCTGTGGCGGCATTTCAGGCGTCTTCTCTTCGGAGCTCTCTTCCTCATGGAACCGCGGCGCTCGGGGAGTACTTTGACACAGAGGACGCATAAAATGTGAGTGTGTGCGTTGTCCTCGATGCTGATACCGGAAAGATTTTTCCAGTCCTTTGAAGCTCTCAACATCGTGTGCCCCTTCTTCAATAAATGACTTGGTCAGAAGAGCCTCAACCCACGTCAAGTTGTTTGCCGGAAGATGAACCCATCGAAAGTCAGTCGCCCTACTATCGGCTGGCAATGTGCTGAAAGCCTGTTTGCGTGGATTCTCAGGATCGCGACCGTAGAGAAGGTTGAAGACCGATGTCTTCTTGACGCGATTCTCATTGTGAAAGTTGCCGAAATCGACGACGGTAGCCTCGAACGCTTCACATGCGCCCTTGGCTTCCGCAGACAAAGCTTCCACGTTGTTGAACGGAGCTAGCAGAGACACTATATCTCTCCGCTTGAACTGAGCAGCCCGCAGGAACGGTGTGCTGCCGAAGTTATCTCTGATCCTTTGCTTGAGGCCCTTATGCTCCAACAGACATTCCACCACCTCGCGGTGACCGGCTTCCGCAGCCAGATGCAGAGGCGTCCTATTGTTGAGCAGCTGGCTATTGATATGCGCCCCAGCACGTAGAAGAATCCTCACAATCAACACGGAACCTCTATCGCACGCGTTATGCAGTGGCGTCCAGCCACCATCACTGCGCGCATTCACGTCCGCGTCGTAGCGAAGCAACATCTGGACAATATCATCGCGGCCATGCGTGACGGCGATGTGCAGCGCAGTCTTAGTCCGACATTCGACGGCGTTCACGTCAGCGACCGGACCATGGGGCCGCGTGAGAAGAAGCTGCGCAAAGCGTAGTTTTCCCGTGGCGCACGCCCAATGCAGCGGCGTGCGACCGAGTTCGTCCTGGCCGGCGAGGCCATCGAGTGTGCAGCTCGTACTGAGCAGAAGCTCAATGACATCCTCGCCCCAATCGCACTGCTTGTCCGCCGCCAAATTATGCAGAACGTTTCTCTTCCTCAGGTCCCGAGCGTTGACATCGGCCCCGCGAGCGATCAACAGTTGCAGGACATGCCAATGGTTCTTCCAGGCGGCCGTCATCAACACCGTCCGGCCCTTCTTGTCGGGGATTTCCGGCGATGCACCGTGATCGAGCAGGAGCTGGACGATGCGGACGTGGTTCCGCTCCACGGCGCGCATGAGCGGTGAGGGCCGGTGACTGGCGACGTCGGTTTTGGCGCCGATGCGAAGGAGATAGTCGGTCGCAGCAATGGTCCCGCGCTCACAGCTGCGCATGAGACCGATGCGCAGGAACGTATCGTTGAGTTGGCCATTTTCGCGGGCCAGTTCGACGACGGTTTGTAGGGCTGCAATCTGATCGCCTTCGGCCGCCCTCAGCAGCCGCGGCTCCAGACGGTCATGGCTGTCACTCGCAATGCTGGATCGTGACCTGGACATTGTTATAATGTCGGTGTTGTTTCAGGGCTGGAGACACTATCCGAGGTCAGTCCCAGGGGCGGTCCGTGGTCCACATATTCCTCAAGCTTTTAGGTTTCGAGGAAAATATGGGGGCCAGAATGTCAACCAAGAAAAGAGAAATTTTAAAAGAGCTGATGGCAGAGCCGCCCGTCAGCCGGGACGAAATAGTGTCGATTGAAGGGTGCGCCACGGCCCACGACCGACCGTCACTGGCCAGAAGCACGAGTGATACGACCTGACGGACGCACAGACTGAATTAGCTGCATGTTCGGACGTTGCTCAGTGGTGCGCCGGTGCGCGAGGGATCGGCTCGCTTTCTTCTCCACTGCGGCAGAGTATTGAGACTCGGTGCTCTGATCCAGCCCCTTGGACCCCCTGCTCACATGGTACGGAGTACTTTCAGAAGATTGTTAACCGACAGGTTTCGTAGATTCGAAGCAAAGGATCTGGACAAAGAAGATGAGGCGAGCAAACCACGGTATCGTGGCTTTATGGCAGTCACCGTTTGTAGGGTAATCAGCCTTTTAAACGTTAGGTGGTCTATGGGGCAGTCACTCGATGGTATGACCAGCTGTGAGACAGGTCAACCAAGGATCTATGATTGGATCAACTCAGATTCAATCAAATGTGGAAACCGTAGTGATCGTGGGACAGGTTGAAGCTCATTGACTCCCGTGTCTGAACTCTGAACGCCATGAGACTAATGTACACTATTATATTAGTAAGCATGTGCTACCTAACTATGCACCCGGCCAGTACACTACTCTTCCGGGAGGTTGCTACATCTGTTAGTTGAGAAAGAACGCAAAGAAAAACAGATTTTGCATTGGATCTTTAAAGAAACAGAAAGAGTAAGCTAGCTGATCACTACAGATATCTTGACTGGGACCAAGTATACACTTTCCAAGAATACTGGGATTGCTAGGCTCCTAGGTATAGAGCACTGAAAACGATAATATATCTCACTGCCGGAGGCTATGTTATCCCCCATTAAATACAGCCCATCCCCCTCACTTGAAGCCTTCGGTCGAAAATATTGACAAGTTACTATGTCGACACAAGTGAAAATAGATTTGAACGATCTATCCACTTTTGCTATTGAAGCTACTTTACTACAGTATAAGCTAGGCAGGGCAATTGCGCTCTGGGAGTGCCAGGTTCCATCAACATACAACAGTCCTACACATTCCTTCCCTGATACCAAGTGTAATCGTCCAGACCCAGTATAAGGGTGCATTACATTAGTGCTAGTCCATCAAAGGACGTATTATCTCTATGCGTCTGAAAGGTGTAAATCACATCAAATCAGGCTGTCTGACACGGCCGGTCACGGAGCAGCGACTTTCATAGGAGTCCGACCCAAAATCACAGGCAAGAAAAGTATAGTAGAAGGAGAGTCAAGGAGATAAATGAGAATGCTCAAGGAGCGTCAAAGAGGACGGGAAAAGGAAATGAGGACGAGGAGCAGATTCCAAAAAGGCAAGATTCATGATTCCAATGCCGTTGACCCAACACATGCTCTGCCCCAAAGGACCCAAAGAGACATAAAAGAAATATTAAAACAATCTTCTGGTTCTTGACTGTCGCTACCCGACCCGAGAAAACTTCAGATAGACGCTCGTTTACGCCATTCCAGCCTTTTGAGATTCAAGATAACGTGTGCACGCCCAGTACGAGAGGTAAAGGAAAAAGACGGAATGACAGGAGAAAGGAATTTGAGATGACAGGATACAAGCGAGCTAAAACGACCAGGTTTAGTAATGCAGGGGATGGGAAAAAGAAATTTGGAGCACCGGAGAGGAAGAGCGACATGCTTCCAAGGGACCACATTCATGCTTCGGTCCTCTCTCGGACATTATACACATCTAAAAGGAGGTCTTCGGGTGTTTCTATTGCGTCGTTTTGTCCAAGACTTATTTCTTCTTCTGCTGGTTCGGGACCTGCTTCAGAATGTCATCGAAGCTCATGTTGGGGTTGAATCGGCTAACGGGTCGAGCCGGAGGATCCAATGGGGCCACACCCGCAGGGAGCGGCAACGCTTCCAGGCCGGGATAAATCGACGTGCGGTGCTCTGCTCTCCGATTCAAAGCCGGTGAGTTGAGCCGAGGGATTGCAGGGGGAGGGGGGCCAAGGCTGCCAGGAGTCATGAGGGGAGCGGGCTGTCCGCCCGAAAGCTGTTGTTGTTCCGAAGATGAGCCTGCCGACGACTGCTGGGCTTGGTACGGTGAAGACAACGAAGACTCGTTGTCATACGGGTCCTCGATCGTCGGTGGCGCTAGGATAGCATCCTTCTCAGCCCACTGCTCGGCCACCTGCCAGCAGTGACTGCGGCGGTAAATGCCTTCCACACCGTTGATAACCACATCGGAAGGCAGACTGACCACACCAGCACCATTGGCCACGCCAAACCAGCTGCGTGCAGTCTTGCCGTCGTTTTGAATCCACGGTGCACCGCCGCGGGGCGCAATGCAAAGGAAGTACTCCACAGCGTCCGTGTACCTGACATCTTGCACATCAACCACCACCAATGGGAGGGATTGAATGACACAGTACAGGAAAATCCACTGGCCGCAACGTAAGTCAATCATATCATTGATGTTCTTGCCGTGCGCACAGCGGCGCTCAAATTGCATGAACGACTCAATGAAGGGAGTGGGCCGCAGACTCTCGCGGGAGTACGAGCCCATGAGAACAGCATTGATGTCCGCATCCTTCAGTTTCTTGCTCCGTTTCTTGGCTTCCTTCTTTGCATCCATCGGTTTGCGCTCGAGCGTCTGCAATGAGGGGAACATCGGGATATCGAATGGAATAGGAGGTTGGACTGGCGGCGTGCTTCGGTCGTACTCGCTCAGAACCTGCCGGAGAGCCCGGACCATCAATTCATCGGGGTCAGTGGTCTCGGACGTCTCTGCTGCCATGTCCAGCGTGCGGGTGGTAAGGGCGGCCCGGTCGACCAGCATATCGTAAAGATTGGCGAAATCATTGTAAAGATCCTTGACGACCTGACGATTGAGACCACTTTCCTCGAATTGATTCTTCTTTGAGCGAGCCTTTGGAGGCCAGGATCCGTATTTCTGGCGATAATACTGCATCGTGAAGCGTCGGAACTCCATGAAAGCCATCCTCCAATTCTTGAAACGCACAACCTTACTCTCAACCGAAGTGGCCGAATTGGCGATACCAGAAAAGACGGAAGGAAAGTCGAAATCGTCCAGCTTACTGTACAGCACCCGAAGACGGGTATCCAGATCGATGAAGCCTCGCTCCAACCGCTTTTGGGTCACAGGGTTGATGAGACCGTACTTGGGGCTTCTTAATTGCTTCAATTCATCCAGCTTGCCGACTCCGTGCACGAAGCCCTCAAGATAGAGGGGTAAGAATCGCAACCGCTCACCCAGAACGATGGCTTCAATCGTTTTCTCGCGACTCTTCCGTACATCTGCCAGCCGCAGTTCCTCGCAGTAGTTGCCAAAACTCGTGGTAGCAGTCTCGCCAAAATTGGAGCCATCGAAGTTGGTGAATTCGAACCGAGACAGTAGCGTTGCGACATCCATGAAGATGGAGAAGAGAGATGGGGACCGGGGCGTTGCGATCAAGGACTGTCCCAACAAGAAAGCGAAGAGGTTGCGGAAAAGAAGTAGGTTTTCCAAATCCTCCCCAGTAATTCGAGTAGCAGGATTGGAGACATCGCTGTTCAAGGGGATGGGAAGATAGAGGTGTAGCTCTTGAAACTCCTCGGGACTGTCATCGTCCATGTAGGCCAGTCGCTGGCTACCTGAGCTGCCATTATCATTGTCGGCCAAGCCGTCTTGAGGTGTCAATGGCGGCGACGCGAGGTCGGCCGCGGGGCTGTTTAGAGACAAATTTCCCGTTTGCTGCTCGAGAGACGTTGGGCTGCGAAGCTCGTTTCCGCGGGCAAGAAAGTGGAGGGAGGGAGATTCTGCAAAGACCGTGGAGTGAACCTTGAATGAGGCTTGTCGGCCGGTATTTTGCGGGAATAGGTACACGTAAGTATCGCCATTCTCGTTCCACAATTCGGGGATCTAGTGTGTTTCCAATATTGAGTTTAGTAAACGCTAATGAGTGGGCTAGCCGTGTACTCGCGGTTCCCGCGTCCCGGGCTAATTGATGGGAACGTACCTGTTCTCCTCGAGACAAAGGTTCCAGATCATAGAGAATCTTCTGCTCCAGACCAGCAATCCATGCACTGGGCATGGCCGACGCGCTGGCGCGCGGTTCAGCTGAGCTTGCGCGAGCCCGCCCAGGCATCCAGCTGCGTCGCTTGGATGATGGTGTGGTCGGGCGCGAGTCCGGGCCACCTCCCGGCACAAACAATCCGGTGGAACTGGACGGTCGACTTCCACTGCGGCCGCGTCCGCTGCTCTGGGGTCTGCTGTCGGAGGAGCTGGGGGTGCTGGTAGCCAGATCCTGATTGACGGTCAAGAGGGATGGAGGTGGCGGCAAGGGTTCGTCCAAATCGAAACCGTCGTGGGGGCCGGGGGGAAGAGGTGGGCGGGTTTCGCTGTAGTCGCTTTGAGGATTGGAGGCTACACGAGCGGATCGGGAGGCGCTGCGAGGACGTGCATCCTGCGGCAGCTGGTCGGGGGATACTTTCGGGATACTCGGAGATGCAGGTGAGGAGGGAGCCGAGCTATCCCTGGTCGAACCCAGGGAAAACAGCGACGATATACGCTTGGCTGATTTTACCGGAGCGGACAGCATGGTCGGAGTCGCTGCGAGAAAAAAAGAAGCAACTGTCAGCCCCGGGGCACGAGAGAAAAGGCGCAGCAGCGGTGGTCGAAAGGGTGAGTGGGGAAGGGAAAAGACATGAATAGCGAGAACGGAGAACGAGAATGGAGAGGGGAGTTGAGGAAGAGGGAGAGTAAGATTCGGGGGTGGGAGCCAGAGGGTGCGAGTGAGAGTGACAGGGAACTTCCCCCTCCATCCACGGAGGAGACCACGGGTTCGCGAAAGGCAGGCAGGAACCGACGTACCTTAACAAGTGAAGTAAGAAAGAATGTAACCAACCATGCGCAAACTCTCCCAGGCGGTCCAGGGACAAGTTAAGTTAAGGAATTCGGAGGTAGGCAGGGAAGGGCAGGCAATTCGTGAGGATCGCTTCGACGTGCCCTGAGGAATGGATCGGCAGGAGGGATCCAGCAGAGGAGGAATGGATGCAGCTTTCGACTTTTTGGGGAGGGAGGAGGAAGAGAGGGAATTGGTTTGATTCGTGGTACAAGAGAGGAAGAAGGAATTATTATAGGGAAGTAAGAAAATAGGCTATACAGTAGGATGAGGAGAAGGAGGAGGAGGAGGAGGAGGAGGAGGAGGAGGAGGAGGGGAGAAACGGAGGGTTGAGATCGATGACAAGGATGGGTTGTAGGGGATGTGGTATAGAGACACACACATTCACACACATACAGACACAAACATACACACGCACACTCTCTCTTCTCTTCTGTAAGCGGTTGTAGAAAGAGAAAAGAGAAGAGAGACAGACGGAGAAGAATGGGGGAAAATAATAATAAGGGTCAGAGAGCAAGAAGTGACAGAAAGCAGGTCGGTATTGCGAATACCTGATTCGGTAGTGGGGGAAGCTGCGCGATGGTCGTATTGTTACTTATAGTGGCTATAGTGGAGGTATCACGCAGGTAATAATGCAGGTTCTTATAGTATTTTTAACCTCTCCAGTGGAGCCGACGGTCGGCGAAGAATTTAATCTGCATCAAAGTTGACAAAAAGTTGACAACAAGACTGTCAGGGAGTCTATAGAACTTGTCGCATGCGATCTGACCATGAAGCAACAGGAAACAAATGCAGTCTTATATCCAGCGAGCAGGAGATGGTTCGTCGGTTGATCTTTTACAATCCCAAGTCATCCGCAGCGACATTGCTATACTTTGTCATGACTGATGTATTCGTTCCAGGCGGTAAGATCCCTCTTTGATCCATTCAGATTAATAAAAAAAAGGATTGTTCACCTGTTCGTGTACACGATACATGGAGTAGAGGGGAAAAAGAAAAGAATAAAAAAAGAAAAAAGAAAAAAAGTAAAAAGATAACTTACGTAGTACTAAGCTCACTCTCAAAAGCTGCCTCTCAGTGCCTCGTAAAGGTGGTAAAGGTGCTGACGACAAGTGATAATGAGAGAATAAAAAATAAATTTCTAATTCCGACGATTAATGCTTTGTTAAGTTGCCCTTTCTCTCGGCCCCGGATGCTTCCACCTTTGCACCTCCTCCACCTCCTGCTTGTTCTTGAACTTCTAATGGATTCCTTCTAGTGGAGACGCTCCCCGTTTAGTCTTCTCTTAGCATTTTGCCTTGCCCTCTTTTCCACCTTTTCCCCTTTCCCTAGTATTGCAGTTCGTTTCGGTAGGCCGGATCATCGGATCGAGTGTTGACAAGAAAATCTCAGAAACTCTCAGCGGTTCCTGAAGGCGCATCCTGTATCAAATCTGATTGCGCCATGTCTGTGTGCGGCAAAAGTGGGTTGCGGCGAGGCAGTGTCAATGCGGTTCAGGAGGAGGCTGAAGGCCTCCCGAACTTCTTGGCTTGTCAGGAGAGCGCCCTGGCCGTGTCAAAGGGAGAGAGGGTAATTAGTTGATGTGCACCAAGCCATCGCTCAAGGTCTTCCTTGTGGTTTGGTGTGGTTGATCGCTAATTACTATTGCGGAGTCGCAACTGGTCGTGTCCTCGCTGTATTGTATTATCAAATCTCCATGGATACAACAGTAGGCAGAAGGATTTCTGGCCACACTTGCGCCAGGTGGTTGGGTTCACCATGCGATCGGTCCTTCTCAACTTTTCCAGGGCATCGGCAGTCTATAATCCTCAGTCGGCTCAGGAATCGATATCCAAGTTCTCTCCATCCTTGATCGCATGTCGGAATCTCGGAAGGCTACACACAACCCCATGCAACTCAACTCAACCACCTTGCCTTTGATTTACACTCGTTCCATATACTTGAGGCACTGGATTGGTTGTCACGATACGAACGGTCGCCCCTCTTTTGCCCCCTGATAATCAAAAATATCACAGCCCAGTCGATAAAAGGCGCCATGGTGCAAAGGAGAGGTCCAGGCTTGAGGGGCAAGGGGGTGGTAGGATATAGCAGGATAAAATCCCGTAAGGATGACTGCACTGCATACTTGCGCCTGCTGTTGGCACGTCATGCTGAATTCCAGCGGAGAGACCAACTCTATCTCCTCCGTCCACCGATTGAATGCTGTTCCTGGGGACGGGCATCAGCCACAAAGGAAAAGGGGTTCCTTTTCTGGATAGGAAGAACAGATAGATTCACGATCCTGGATCGAGAGAGGTCGTAAGTACAAAGTTGATCATCCTTGCCAATCGATGGATAGATCATCTAGTAATGCGTCCGCCGTCCGCTCCCATTGGGTCCCGCGGAGGCATAAACCCCGAAAAAGGGCGTGTGTTCTTGTGCAGCAGCGGACTAAGAATAGATCTTGATTCCGGATGGTTTACCAGGTACAGTACTGACTGCATGTACGCACTAGTAAGGGTTTCCCTAACTTAATGCTTGCTCTTAGCCAGACTTAATCAGCCATACTTGCGCCGGAGCATTGTTTTTATCGTCGTTGTCGTCCGACCGGGCGAGATTGCATGACCCGTTGGAGACCTCAAGGCGACCAATTTGGACTTACGTAGGTAGTATCCTACGCGTGGCTGGTCTGTCTTTGCGTGGATCGAATGTACCTTTCTTTGGCCTCGGTTGGCGGACTAGCACGGAGATCTCGACTCGGGCAGGATTACGTAATTGGATCCGAGATGTGCGATTAGATGGCTCATTCCATGTCCACAGAGACACGGGAGTACTTGCGAGTACAGACTCAGCGTCAATTCGACATTGATTGTTGTGGTTGTCACAAACTCACGGTCGGATCTGGTTACCGACCTGCACGCAGGCACTCCCAGGTACCTAGTAGACGTAAATTTGCAGTCCTCGCTATCGGCTTTCAAATGGCTTAAACTCAAATTAATTTCCCCTTCCGCCCGTCTCCGATGCCCCTCCAAGGCTCCAACATTGAACAGAGTGACTGCCAGGGCGAGGGGGTTGGTAAGCTTGGCAGTGTGGACTTGGAGGAGGGCCTTGCCTGTCAAACTGATTTAAAATCTCATCATCATCATGATTATCATCTGTCAATTGTCAGGACGGGGAAGGTGGTTGGGGAATAGTCCCACCTGCAACAATGACAACAATGGCGACTTACGCAGTATGCATTACTGGACCCATGGGACGAGGTCATTGTTCCTCCATGCTAAGTGCGGGCGGTGGAGACTAAACTCGAAGTCGACCACTCACTCTTCTCTCACATTTCGTCGCTACGTAGTTACATGAGTAGGTACCTGCTTTCCTGGTTTGCAGCAGCAGTTGCAACGGTTGAAAGACACCCCCGCGAAACACTACTGAGGACTGGCTGCACCAACATCTCATGGTGGTCATCAATCTTTCTCGTGGGTGGCCCAACCCCGCCTTGCTGCCCACCGCCGCCTTGGCCACGGCCTCCGCCACTGTCCTCGCCTCCCCGACCATCTGGCAACCAGCCTTACAATACGGCCCTGACGAAGGATTCCAGCCGTTGCGTGAGCATATCGCTCACTGGCTCGCAACTTTCTACCAGCTACGCTGCCCCCTCTCTCCGGATCGCATCTGCATTACCGGCGGGGCCAGCCAGAATATTGCCTGTATCCTTCAAGTCTTCACTGATCCGCTCTACACACGCAACGTCTGGGTGGTTGCCCCCACCTACCACCTGGCGGGGCGTATTTTCGACGACTCTGGCTTCGCCGGCCGGCTGAGAGCAGTGCCTCAAGGTGCGACAGGTCTGGACCTCAACTATCTGCGACAGGAGTTGGTCGCAGCTGAGGACAAGGCGCACCGTGAGCAGAACTTGGCACCAGTACGTGACAAAATCTATCACTATTATCTCTGCTCATTGCTCAACTGGGGGTTTCTCAATTGGTCGCTGTCGTCATGGATTGCTCAGTACTAATGCCACCCAGAAAGTCAAACCAGCACGACCATGGACGAAGATCTACAAGCATGTCATTTACGCCACGCCTACCTTTTCGAATCCGTCCACCTTGACAATGTCGCTGTCAGACCGCGAACAATTGCTACGCCTGGCGCGTGAATTCGATGCGTTGATCATTACGGACGATGTTTACGACTTCCTACAATGGTCTTCAGATCCAACTGGAAAGGAGACCCAGCCTGAGCACGCACTGCTTCCCCGGATTGTGGACATTGACAGATACTTGGATGGTGGACCATCTGATGAGTGGGGAAATGCCATCAGCAACGGCAGCTTCAGCAAGCTAATCGGCGCTGGCATGCGGACAGGATGGGCGGAAGGCACGGAGAAGCTGGCTTACGGCCTTTCACAGACGTGAGTGAACGGTGGTTTTCAATCTGGAGTGCGCTTTCACAAATTAACGCCGGGTGGTCACAGGGGTTCGAGCCGATCTGGGGGAGCACCGTCCCAATTTTCCGCCTCTATGGTTGCGCAGCTTTTCCCCACTCGAATTCTACAGAACTACATCGCGCATGTGCTGCAACCGGCATATGCAGCCCGATATCATCGAATGATGTGTGCTATCAACGAACACCTGGTACCCCAGGGGGTCACGCCGACCGTCCCTAAAGGGACTGCAGGTGGTTATTTTATCTGGCTTCGATTGCCCGCCTCCCTTCGGGCGACTAAATTGGCGGTGCTTGCGCGTCGGGAGCACGAACTGGAAGTGGCGCCAGGTAACATGTTTCAGGTGCAGGGCGATCCGGTGGCGGAGAAGAACGACTTCGACGATGGGATGCGTCTCTGTTTCGCGTGGGAGGAGGAGGCTGACCTTGAGGAAGGTGTGCGACGATTGGGGTGTGCAATCCGCCAGGCTCTGCAGGAACGGTGAGGATGATCTGGCGCATCAGCTGCAAAAGTAGACGGATGACTTGAGCCATAGCGAGCTTTTAAAGCACGCAGGCTCGGGTGTGACCTCCTCGGACCTTACGGCTAACCAGAGGTAACTTCTAGTCAAAGAACGTAGTTGAAAGTGCCCACTGGGCAGGTCTATGGGGGTCAAGTGAGCCTGAAGGCGTAGGGCTAACGCAGGGAAGGGCAGCTGATAAACTGCGTATTTGAGGTAGGCCGGGCCGAACATGGCATCAGCGCCGGGGATAAAGATCGAGATTCTGGAAAGAGTGCCTGTGCGGAGTCATATGGGCGGATTACGAGACTATGATAGACACAGGCTATTCCTTCGTGCTTCGGACAAAAAGGGGAACCTTATGAGTAGAGTGGAATTTAAAGGACGCGTCGAATAACTCTTCTCACCTGGCAAAGGGGAGCAGTTGGTCAGTACCCGGTTCTCGGAGATAGCACATTCTTGCCGAGGTGCGGTCTGTGCCGAGCTTGGTGCGTTGCCCTAGGCTGTTTATCATCATCACGCATGTGTGCACCTTGGCGTTTCGCTTGCTTACTTTTTCCTTATTTTATGGGGTGGGAGGGGGGCAAATGTCTTGAGATTTTGGATCTAGAAATCCCTAGCACAGCTGGTGGCGAGATAGAGGATGGGTTGTGCATCGACATGGAAAAGCAGAATGTCTCGGGTAGTGGTCAACTAGCGGTGCTATTTATTGTCTAGTGGTAGATCGGTGACCCAGTGGATAGGCTTGCAATCTGAAACCGAAAGCTTGATGGCGCTCGCGATATTGGACCCAGACTTGATGAAGCCAGTCTCCAAAGGGCCTGGCTACAAGACCGTGAACGCGGTGGTGACCGACAGAGAGTGCTCTTCCTGAGAGATCTAGGTCATTATTGATGTCGTCGATATTTCTGATGGAGTCGGGGTGTCCCTGAAGGCGTGTGTTCCTCAGCAGTATGCAACCCCTGGACGATAGCCTTTGAACCTTGTAAGGGGAAGAAGAGTGGGGCAATATGTACGGAGTACCTGGTGCTGTCCTCAGGCATCGACTGACTCGTCTCGTCATACTGTAGAGCTCCAGAGCGGATCCACCTCTACACCAACTACACGGCGTGGCACGTCTATTCGCGTCCAAGAAAGTGAGCTTGCGCTTAACTCACCAGGGCACACACTCAGTCAGCCTGAGCGATAAGTCGTTTCTAACCCTTTGCTTAAAAGCAATGCACTTAATCCGGAACTTTCAGCATTACTGCCCAGACCCCCTCTCCGCCGGTTGACCCGTGGACGGCGAGGAATGCCACCCGCTACGCAGCGTCCTAGACGGCGGAAGGGTGTGTTTGCGTGCTGCTGCCCTGGCCTGCTGGGCGCCATGCCATACCATTCTTAGGGCCCAGTTGTTGATAGGATTCCAATCACTGCATGCAGCCTACGCGGGGGACAAGAACGAAGCAGAGTCGTCGATCTGCCTTGGTCGACTGGATTCTGGCCACAGCGGCTATGTTGATCCCACGACAGTCCAGTTATTTATCTCAGCCAGTCTGCTGATCGGTTGACGCGATTTTCGCTTTCTTCACTTCCTCCCGCTCTCTCTCTCTTTTCCTCCTGATTGTGGGATCCCCTTCTGCTTCTACCATACGCTCGCTTGACCCTCTTGGTTCACTTTCTCAGGATCCGTCCAGAGGAATTGGAACGAGATTCTCTTGTGTGTTCATCTTGCAATCACCACTCGCTCGTTTTGTCAGTCGTGTATTGTTTATCCCTATTTGGGAGAGAGGAAAGTCAGTCGAGGTTCTCGACCCGCTCGCTCCCGACCGTCATTCGCACGGACGATTATCAGACGGGACAGTTCAAGGTAAGTGCTGACTGACTACCCTACCTAGTCAGATGCTTGGTTGGTCTAGAACTGGTCATTCATGCCACTGCAATCTGCTGTAGTGGCTCTGAAGCGGCTCGGACGGGTCCAATGAGGGTGGGAAGATGTACTGACTGGCTCATGTAGTTCTTGTTGCTTTCGTTTCAACCCCTGAGCCAGGCGTTTCACGCGTGCCAAAGGATCAGCTGCCTGAGGGGTGCTGCACTTGCTTTCTGCCCGTCTCGGCCAATCAAGCCAGGGCGGTGATCGGGCGCTACTGTGGTGGTGGCTCCAGTGGTGGAGAATTAACATCTGCCTAAGGCCCGCTAGACGCAATCAGCGTTATCAGTGCCTGGAAGGACCCGCGCCGGAACGGAACCAACTCTAGTCCATCTCGGGGTCGAGCCAGTCTTTTAATTCTTCTTATTGTCCTGCTACTCGTGATTCTTCACAAGCCGGCTTGCTTTTTTTTTCCCCTGTCCCCCTTCCGTTCGCTATTTTCTTCGTTTGTGTTCCTTTCCCCCCTGCAGTGTGTCGCACCGCGTGGATTTGTGTTGTGTTGAGTGCCTGCAGGTTTTGGCTACAGCATTGTTGTGTGTTGGGTGTTGTGGTGTCCATTCATTGATTCATTCACCCTTTGATCTTTCCTTCATTTTAGTGACGGTCTACTTGGCCTGCCTACCCTTCTTTGGTCATCTCACCCTCCCTTCTGCATTCTCTCCAGAATCTAACTTCTGGAAGTTGCAAAACTCTCCTTCTGACAGGGTCGTGTGACGGATAATCATTCATCACCCGATCTGTGTTTTTCTTCAGCACTGGTTGCTGAACTGTCTTACTGCTTGACTGCCAGTCAGCCAGCTATATTACTGTCCTACCCCACATCTTCATTGTCTCTGCTGGTTCAGTGACATTCGTATACGCCTCAACAATGGCTGTCCTCAACAGCTTTGTCATGCTTTTTGCCGCCCATGTGCTTCTGCTCCTCGGCCTGCCCGCCGGCTTGGTCTCTGCAGTCCCCTTGAAGGGGGGCTTGGAGGCCCGCGGGGAGCTGAAGGCTCGCGCCTCGAGCTATTGGATGGCTGATATTCAACGTCAGGGCGCTGTGCCCTTTGGTAGTAGTTCCAGTTACCAGATCTTCCGCAACGTCAAGGACTTTGGTGCTACTGGTAGGTGTTTGGTCGTGCTTGATACTCCGAGTGTAAGCTAATCAACGACACATAGGTGACGGTTCCACGGATGATACCGCCGCTATCAACAACGCCATCTCCTCTGGTAACCGTTGTGGTCAGGGCTGCGATTCGTCGACCACGACCCCAGCGCTGGTGTACTTCCCTCCCGGCACGTACGTTGTCTCGAAGCCCATCATCCAGTACTATTACACCCAATTGGTCGGCGATGCCAACCAGCTCCCAATCCTCAAGGCGTCTGCTGGTTTCACCGGTATGGCCGTCGTCGATGCGGACCCGTACACCAGCACGGGGGCCAATTGGTACACCAACCAAAACAACTTCTTTCGCGGCATCCGCAACTTTGTCATCGACCTCACTGCTATGCCCCAGTCCGCCGGTGCCGGTATCCACTGGCAAGTCGGCCAAGCGACCAGCCTCCAGAACATCCGCTTCGAGATGATCAAGGGCGGCGGCAGTGCCAACAAGCAGCAGGGTATTTTCATGGATAACGGTTCCGGTGGTTTCATGTCCGATCTGACCTTCAATGGTGGCAATTATGGCGCTTTCTTGGGTAACCAACAGTTTACGACACGCAACCTAACCTTCAATAACTGCAACACTGCCATCTACATGAACTGGAACTGGGCTTGGACCTTCAAATCCGTCACCATCAACAACTGTGGTGTAGGTCTCAACATGTCTGCATCTCCCTCGAACCAGAGTGTTGGCTCCGTCTTGATGTTGGACAGCAAGTTCTCTAATACTCCTATTGGTATCGTGACGGCTTTCAGCGCCGACAGTATTCCAGTTGGCGGTGGCGCTCTCGTCTTGGACAATGTTGACTTCACGGGCTCCAACGTCGCTGTGGCCAGTGTCTCTGGTAGCACCATTTTGGCGGGTGGCTCTGTGATCGACAACTATGTGCAGGGTAACGCGTACACTCCCTCCAGTACTCTTAAGAAGCGCTCTCCTGCCGTCGAGGTAGTCGTTGAAACCATCACCGAGACTATTGAGGTTTGTGCTGCGGATTACACCACCGCTCCTGTGCCCTCCGCTCTCCACACGGCTGCTACCGAAGCTGCCGTCAACAGCGCCAAGGCCACTGCTGCAACCGAGCGTCATCCCCATACCGGCTACTCATGGGGTACTTCAGAGAGCAGCGCCACCGACCAGACCTGGGCTTCCGCTTCGGAGACCTCCCCGGCACAGCCCACTACCTATGAGTCCGGATCTGACGACGAGGAGACTGCTCCTACTAGTGCATCTTCTGACTCTGAATCTGAGCAGGCCTCTCCTTCCGGTGGCTCGTCTGGTGCTGGTGCACAACAATCCTCTGCCGCTGGCGGGGATTCCGGCAGCTCCACCTATGCCCAAGGCTCCTCAGTTGCTGCGTCTTGGTCTTCCGCCGCTACCTCGGCTCATGCTTCTGGCTCTTCCGGATCGGGTACCTGTTCTTACAAGACTGTCACTAAGACCCGGCTCGAGACAACGGTGGCATCTCCTGCGAAGCCCAGCGCTCTGTTGAAGAGCGATGGCTCTCTCTTTGAGAAGTCTAAGCCCTTGTATGAGAGCTACTCTGCTTCGTCCTTTGTTAGTGTCAAATCTGCTGGCGCAAAGGGTGATGGATCCTCCGACGATACCGCTGCAATCCAGAAGGTCCTCAATGCCGCCACCGATGGCCAGATTGTCTACTTCGACCACGGAGCCTACGTCATCACCGACACTATCAAGGTTCCTAAGAACATCAAGATTACTGGTGAGATCTGGCCCGTGCTGATGGCGTATGGTGACAAGTTCTCCGATGCGGAGAACCCCATCCCCATGCTCCAGGTCGGCGAAGTTGGCGAAAGCGGCTCCGTTGAGATTAGCGATTTGATAGTCGAGACCAAGGGGCCCGCTCCAGGTGCCATTCTTATCCAGTGGAACCTTAACGCGGAGTCACAGGGCTCTGCTGGTATGTGGGATGTCCACGCACGGATTGGTGGATCCGCTGGTAGCAAGCTTCAGAGCGATACCTGCTCTAAGACCCCCAACCAGACTACCACTGCCAACTCGAACTGCGTGGGTGCCTTCCTCCTCTTCCACGCCACTGAGAGATCCAGCGTCTACCTCGAGAACACCTGGTTCTGGACTGCCGATCACGAGCTCGACCTCGCAGACCACAACCAGATCAACATCTACAATGGTCGTGGTGTTCTTCTCGAGACTCAGGAGTCTGCCTGGCTGTATGGTACCGCCTCCGAGCACAACCAGCTTTACAACTACCAAGTCGCCAACGCCAAGAATGTCTTCATGGGACTCATCCAGACGGAGACGCCTTATTACCAGGCCAACCCCAACGCTCTCACCCCATTCACTCCTAACACCACGTGGAATGACCCGGATTTCTCCTACTGTACCACGGACTCATGCCGCAAGGCCTGGGGTCTTCGTGTCCTCAGCAGTTCGGAGACTTATGTCTACGGAGCGGGTCTGTACAGCTTCTTTGACAACTACTCGCAGACCTGTCTCGACACGGAGTCCTGCCAGGAGAACATAGTGGAGGTGGACTGCTCGGACGTGCACATCTATGGTCTCAGCACCAAGGCCAGCACGAACATGATTACCTCGGCGAGTGGAGAGTCGTTGGTGCCTCAGGAGGGTAACGAGAGCAATTTCTGCTCCACCATTGCGTTGTTCGAGTTCTCATCTACATAAACGTCCTGTCTTTTAGTTTGTCTAGTGGTTTAGTGGAGTCGAGTGAGTTTGTCTCTTCTCAGTTCTTTGTAACTTGGCATGATGGTAGGGCGGTGGTGGTAGAGGAAGTATAGTTCAATTGTGGTCTTGTAGCCGATATAACGATAAAACAGTTGGTGGGCTGGATGTGGATAGATACCACTTTGTTTACTTTATTTAGACTGAATTGAATACCATGATAGCCATTCCACTCTTTTTCCGGACAGCAGTGTATAGAACCTTTCCTAGTACCCAGTAACGGACCGACCTTCCAAGGCTGGTTACACGCTCCCATGAAATCACGTGCAGCCATCTCAACAACAGCCCCACGATGAATCCAGTTCTCTGTTCCACTTTCATCAACTACAGTACGCCGTTTCTGTCAATATCACAACTTTACAAGACTGACGCTCCACGTCGACATGGAAGTCATACAAAAGAACGAAGCCTTCAAGAAGATTGACGGGGGGATGAAGTTCTCTTATGTCCAGGTTTTCGTTCACCAAGATGGCAAACTGTACACTGGGAAGTGGATGAATCGATTCGACTCGCCGAAAACGCTCGAGGATCTCCAGGACGTCAAGCAAATCCCAATGGATGGCCGGGGTCCGAAGGTAAACCACGCCTGGTCCGCAATCTACATGAAGACCCCCAGTCTCCTTGCACTCGTCGACGGGGATCTCGAACAGCAAATCACCCGGGAAGTTGAAACTTGCGAGATCCTCCGCAAGCACCCTCACCCGCACATCGCAACCTACTACGGCTACCAGGCGACGCGCGGCCGCGTCTCAGGACTCTGCTTCAAGCGCTATGCCTCCACGCTCCTCGAATCCGTCAACCCCCAAAGTCTGAACAAGGTCGCTTTCCGGTCGAGTGCGCGCGAGCTTGTAACCGCGGATATGGGAACTCGTCTCGAAGGGATTCGGGCTGCCGTCACGCATCTCCATTCGCTAGGGCTCGTTCATAATGATATCAATCCGGCGAATGTTATGCTTGACTAGGACGGAGCGTTTGTGCTGATCGATTTCGGTAGCTGTCGGTATGTTGGGGAGTCGCTGCGCGGCACCGGAACGAAGAGGACTCACCACTGGCATGACCCTTCGATTGAATTCTCGAGCGAGAAAAATGACCTTGACGCTTTGTATGACCTGCAGATTTGGCTAACTGGATTGGTGGGTGAGGAGTTTCGTCTCGGTTGACGCGTTTTTGTGCGTCAGATGCTAACACTGAAGAATCGTTGGGACCACAAACCGCGTTGTAGGTGGCTTGTTGTTGTCTTGTAGGACAGTGTACCCATAAGCGAGGCTATGATGGTTTCTACTAGTTGAATTGGTGGCAGTAGTCGTCCTTGTGTAGTCGTGGAAGGTTTGTGTGTTAGTATTCCGACCGACAAGTGACTTGAATGTCTGGACTTGAAGCATCACAAGTGTTACCTACCTTGGGGTAGAGAATATGAACAGCCGAGGAAGGTGGAGCGGAGACCCGCTGCCGCCTGCCCGCTTTCCACCCCCGAATCTCCCCGCCTCTCCGCATCTTCTTTCCTCCGTTCATTCTCCCATTCGAGCTTCATCCATCAACTACCACTTTTCGTCCCGAGCACAGTATGTCTTATAAGTCTATTGCCCACCGTAAACAACTTCAACTCGAGGCACAAATTCCACCCCAATGGCGTCTGGATGTCTCACAGATTGCCCCAGCGCTACTTTCTCCAGCCGACTCGATCACGAAAACCGCCCAATATGAAGCCATCTCCGTCACGAACCTTCCCCGGACATGCGGCCTTCTCACAGATAAAGAGCTCAAAATAACTGAGCGATACAGTGTTCAGCCCATGTTAGATGCGATTCGCGAGAGGAAGTTCACTTCGAAAGAAGTTGTCCTAGCTTTTTGCAAGGTAAAGATCCTCTAGCCCAGTGGTATCCTCTCACAGTATTGGTTTTGCTCACCTGGGCCATTTACAGCGAGCTGCAATCGCCCATCAACTCACACGCTGTCTCACAGAGCCTGTCTTTGAGCAAGCGCTCGAACAAGCCCAAAGGCTCGATGACCATCTCCAACTCACCGGCCAGCCCATTGGCCCCTTGCACGGTCTCCCCATCTCCGTTAAAGACTCCTTCCACATCGCCGGCGTCGACTCAACCACTGGTCTCGCCGGCCTCGCCTTCCGCCCGGCAACACAAAACTCCCCGCTTGTCGACCTTCTCACCTCCCTGGGGGCCGTCATCATTGCCAAGACTAACGTCCCGCAAACCATGGGTGCTCTCGACTCTTGCAACCACCTTTTCGGCCGAACACTCAATCCGCTGAATCCTCGCCTTACAGTCGGCGGCAGCACGGGGGGCGAAGCGGCTCTTCTCGCAATGCGCGGGTCGATGGTTGGCTTTGGCACCGACATCGGCGGTAGCATCCGCATTCCTGCCATGTGTACTGACTTATACGGGTTCAAGCCTAGTGCCGGTCGCGTGCCAATCGCGGGGACTCAAGAAGCAGGAAATATTCCTGGGAAGGGGAGAATTAGTCTCCAGCCTGTGGCGGGGCCCATCGCCCGCTCGGTCGAAGATCTGAGGGCCGTAATGGCTGAGATCGTGCCTCGCGCGGAACTATTCAGTGAGGACGGCATCCCGGGACGATGGCTTGACAGTAGCGTCGGCTCTTTTCTTCTAGCTTGTGATACAATCCCCCAATCTCCCCCCAGCGGACGCAAGAAATTTACCTTCGGGATTCTCCGCCGTGACGGGCTAGTTGAGCCTCTTCCGCCCGTTGCCAAAGTCCTTGACGAGGTGGCGCAGATGTTGCGCTGTACGCCCGGCGTCGAGGTTGTGGAGGTCCCTGTACCCCCGGCTCTGAGCAAATGCCAAGGTATTGCCGGTCGATTGATGGGGGTAGACGGGGGCATTCCCATGATAGATCTGCTGGAGAGCACGGGGGAACCGCTAATTCCCTGGTTAAAGAACCGGATGAAACGCGGTCGGGAGATGACGCTATCACAGGTGGGGGCATTGCAGGCACAACGAGCTCAGGTCGAGCGGGAGATGTTGCAAATGTGGACGACGCGGAGGGCGACAACAGACGGCAATCCTGCTACTGCTGCGAGCTGGACGCGAGACATCGATGCGATCATTCACCCGGTGGCGCCGCACCCTGTGCCGGAAATGGATCGGTATAATGCGGTTGGATATACCTCATCCTGGGTATTACTTGATTATCCAGCTGGCACGGTCCCCGTGCGCTCGATTCGCGAGGATGACCTGGAGTTGGGTAAGGACATGACGGCGGCGGTTTTGGGAAGCTGGGATAAGGCTAATCGGTTGTTGTGTATGTTTGTTCTCGTCCCCTCCTCTTTCGAGTTGAAAATCTCCCAAATGCTGACAGTCAACAGGGGACGAGAAAACTGTCGACCGCCGGGTATACCTGGGCTCGCCGCTCAGTTTGCAGGTCATCACCCCTAAGCAGCATGATTACGAGCTAATCCAGGCCATGGAAATCATCGATCGAGTTGTGACGACGGAGAGAGGAAGGGTCTCCAAGTTATGAACATTGGCAGGGTCGCAGTCAATTCCTGCAATGGATGATACCGCTATGTTTTGCTTATTTCTAGTACCTCGACACATCTCTCCCAAATAGGTGATTTAGCAGCCACCGGAACGCAACGCGGACCTTATTCCGCCAGCTGATACTCATGGTCAAATACGCCGAATTCCAGACCAACCAAGCGACTCTGCCCTTTAAACCTTCCGGTAGGTACTTACTGTGCTGTCCTTTCTCATGTGGGATCTGCATCAATGCATTCGCGTTTCCGATATAGGCCAAGGTGCCCATATTGCGGAACGAGAAGGGGGCTGTTGGCTGTGAATCTCCCCGGTTGAGCCGGGTAGCCAACCACTTGGCCTCCTGAAAGGTTGCCTGTGCAGTGGCCGGGGGTGCTCCATTCTCTGGCATGGCGTTGTCACCTAGGGCAAACACATCCTGCAGCACCACAGTATCCCCACTGTCATTCTCCAATTGCACGCGCAGCTGCTCGTCCACCAACAATGCGCCGACTTTTGGCGCTTTTTTGACATGCCATGCGGACCGTTGCACGAGATCGTCATCCGGCCGACCCTTTCCATCCTTTAGCAAAGCTGACTCCGTGGGGAAAGCCTGCACATCCGCTAGAGCATCTCGGACGAACGAGTTCATGGCATTTCCCGTTGCCCACACGCACATACCGACCCCTACCTCGCCCTCCTCCTTGGTAGTCAGAGTCAAACACCTCTTTGGATCCATCTCCGTGGGCGCCTGTTCCCCCGGCGCACCCCACCGCAGTCCCTCAACATGATGCGAAACCTTGATATCGACGCCTTCCTTGCGCATGGCGTCCATCGCGTATTTGGACAGCGACTCATCAAACATGGAGAGCACTGTCGGCGCAACATCATATAGCGACAGTTTCGGAATTCCTTTTAGGGATGGATACAAGGTCATCAGGTCCGCAGAGATGAAGTCGCGCAGCGAGGCCGCCAGTTCAGTCCCAGTGGGGCCGGCCCCAACGATGGCGAAATGCAGCAACCAGCGTCGCATCTCGGGGGAGGTGGTGGGCAAGACGGCTAGCTCGAAGCATTCGCGCAGGCGACGACGCACGCGCCGCGCATCCCCCACGTCCTTGAAGAACAGGGCGTTCTCGCGCACGCCGGGCGTGCCGAAGGTCTTGCTGACCGTGCCCACGGAGATGACCAGCTTGTCGTAGGGGACGGAGAAGGTCTCGCCTTTCTCCCAGGATGGTTGCGTGGGTTCGGATTTGGCGTTCTCGGTGTCTGTGTGTGACCTGTCGTCGTCGCTTCGCGGGGACTCGGTCACCCCGCTCTTCACGACGGTGGCCTCGCAGATGACGGTCTTGGTGGAGAAGTCGACGGCGCGCGCGGCGGCCTGGATGAAATCGACTTTCGCATTGCGGTCGCGCACCGGCTCGACGATGTGCGAGAAGTCGAGGGAGCCGCCTGCGGTGTCGGTGAGGAGCGGGGTGAAGACGAAGTAGGAACGTGGGGAGATGACGATGGGGGAGTAGTGCGAGGGGGAGAGCTTGCGCGAGAGGTTGTATCCTCCCCAGCCGGAGCCAAGGATGACGACGCGGGGTTTGTCAGTGAGTGCTGTGGTTGCTGTCACTGTACTCGTATGTGTTGCCAGCGATCTGTATTTTTGTCTTGTGATGAGTGGACTCGTGAGGGATGTTGATGATATGAAGGACGTTGTGAGTGTGAGTGATGCAGAGGGCGTATCGACCCTTCGTCTGCATGATATCGAGGAAAGTGTCCTTCTCGCAATCCTCGAGGAAGGTCTCAATGACGGGGACATAGGGCCCAGCCCAGCAGGGGCGCTACCCCAACTCCCGAACCGCGAGATCCGTCTCATGAATAGTTCTATACAGTATGTGTATGTTCAGTCAGCTGCGCGACAGCAACACCATTTTCAACAAAGAACACCAGCCATCTTAGACAAAAATCCATTGAGACAAATTCCATTCCTATATACCCTTTCCCACCTCCCAGTGATACAAAAACCAACCCAAACCCAAACCCAAACCCAACCAAGTTAACACATAATGATCTCATCCATTCATACCCACGGAACCCACGAATCCGCATAAACCGGGTTCCACCGAACGCAACCCCTGCAGAACAATCAACGCCCCTCTATCTAACTCTCATATCGTATACTCTCAAGATATTCCTATCCCTAAATCTCCCGCCCCGACGATACACGAACGGGAAACCCGGTGAAGCAGCCTGGAGTTCACCTCCCGCTCCCCGGGACGATCTACGCTTTCCGGTCCGGTTGGGATCGGTTTGTGTCGGCTCGGAGGTTTCGGGACGGGACGGGTTGGATGAGACTTTCGCTTGTGACTTATTTATACACCATATGAACGGAAGAATGGTTCGTGGGTTCCAACTTCCGAGGGTTCCACGTTATTTCTATCTAGCTTAGTCTTGGTATACTTAGGTAAGGTTGGGACGGGATGAGTCAAGCTTGTAGATGGAGTCTATAGTACTTACTTATTTACTTCAATAGTGAAGGGGTTTTGGTGGCAGGGATCCGATGAAGGATTGATTGTTTAATTGATTGATTGCTTGGCACGTGGAATGGGAATTGTCGGATGGGTATTTGGTGTTATTATAGTTGCTTTGGCTGAGGGAGTGTGGTTTGTTTTACTATACCTATGGTGAAGGATTGTTTGGTTCTCATGGTTTTTTTTTGGTGGAGAGGTTTATTGGGTTGGTGGGTTTGAGCATCCGCAGGATAATCCAATATGGTTATCTGGGTTTCCTGTGTAGGTGAGTTCTGTAGATGTGAGAAGCAATGGGGAATGGGAGGGCTTTGAGATTAGATAGATAGATAAAGAGGGAAGGTAGAGCATGAACTAACCAGGTAGTCAGATGAAGAAGACGACTTCACCACTGCTCCAGGACTATCGAGCAACTAGCTAAAAACTTACACTTTCTGCTCACTGGAGCAGCGCTCATTGACAGTCTCACATTGGAACACGTAGTAGATAGTGACTCCACGTTTTAAAACGGAGCAGCAGATTTCCTCTGCACCCGCGAGAACGCGAGTGAGATACCCAGTACAAAAATCGGAACCATTCGGCAGCTGCATACTGTATGGCTGTGGAACCTCACCTCAAGCAGGCTCCAGCCCCAAGTCCCGAACAATCCCCTGTCGCGCTAACCTCCTCAACTTCGGTACTATGTAGTCGGTGTAAGGTCACGAAGGTATTGGTTGTCCGTGCTTCTCACATTCAAGTCTCCGCCCGTAGATACGGCAACGACCTCGCTCACCCCGCCTCCGTTACGATAGCCGGGCACGCAGCATCCTGAAGTCCATCGGCGTGATCTGGTTCCATTATGGAACCCTCGTATGCACCGTGGAAGGCGTTGTATACTAGATGATGGAGGGTATTAGCATGGGTTTAAGCACTGAGTGTCCAGTATCTGGAGCACGGGATAAGCAGTCCGGTATGTACATACATCCCCCGCATCCAGGCCGCATTAGATCGGCTTCCTTAAGCGTCAACTAGCTGTGTGCACACCACGCTATGCTGGTCGAGATTCCCCATGCACCCTGGACATTGAGAACGTTTTGCGGCGAGACGCGGACGCGGAGGGTGCCCGTGTGGGAGTTAAAGTTTATTCTTCTGCGAAAGGAAGATCGTCTGTCCACTATGACTCGCACCAAAGACTTGATTATTCCATAACATATAGAAAACGGCGTAGCAGACGTTCTTTCGAAAGCCCATGATCCTCCCGCAAGAACCGTCTAGTCGGTGACTCGCTCAAACAAGGCTGGAGCTTGATCTATTAGCTGAAGTAAGTGTGTTTTCGCAGTAGAGCCCTGAGCTTCTGATGATCAATTAGTAAATATTGGGGGTGGATTGGGAGGGTATTCGTGCACGAACCCGCTGTGATAGTGGAAGAATGTAGCTGCTAATGTGCTGTCATCTTTCCGTTTGTTACTCAGTTATGAACAATTACGCAGCCAGTTCTCAGGAGTTGCTGGAGATTTGCCGTGCCTCGCGCGGGGTGTGGTCTAGAAAACAAAGAATACTTTGTCCTCTTTCTGGCAAAGTTGGAAAAGAGGTATTTTCTACTGCGCTGTGAAAGATTCTCCCTGTCTAACACGGTGAGACTCTGCGAAAGATGCTGGTTGTTGGAAGGCAGTTGTGAGGGTCAACTTACAGCGAACATTTCTCACAGCTCTTGCTTTATTTAGTGCAAATCATCCATAATTGATCCAAATCATTTCTTCTCCAGCCTTTGTCTCAAACAATGAACATTTAAAAAACATGGCCATTGGGAGAAATTGGGCCGTTATGAAGATCTCTGGTCTCTCGGGGACGAATATGAGGCGGCCAGCCATTAACATCGAGGTGACTCTGCGTTTCCGGTCTCGCTTGACGCGAAGGCCAGCATTGAGCATTGTAAAAAGCAGAGTCTGAGCGTCTTAATTCGTTAAAGCCTAGTGTCTTCTTCTGACCAATACCTTTGGGTCACACAGATCTCAAGAGGAGTTGGCCGAGGCTGGCAGTGGTAGTAGCCAAGTAAGAATGTGCTCAAACCAGCGCATCAGTGGAGGGGAAACGAAGAGGACCTTGGGGTCGGTCTGGAGAGGAAGTAAATACGCCTTAATCACCCCTCCTCCGCTTCTTTTTCCTTCCCTTTTTACTTTCTTCTCTTCTTCTTAACTCTTTTGCATCGTCAACTGTCTTCCTTCCCCCAACGCGCAGTCCATACTACACACTACATTACAGACCTACCAACCTCACCATGCCAACCAAATACACCCTACCCCCCCTCCCCTACGCCTACAATGT